GAGAAGAAAGAGTGAAGAAAAAAAAATAAAATGCCCTGGCGTATTTATATATTTTTTTTTGGTTGTAAAAAAACACGTCCAGGCCCGTGCTAACAATACAGGCAGCAATAGCAACACGATCACACTTTTTTTTGTTACTTTCACACTTTTTTTTGTTACTTTCTGTGGTCGCGTAGTCGTGCTCGCGAAAATAATCGAAAAGAAAAAAAATTGTTCCGAGGCTACGAGCCCACCATTCTGTTCTTTTTTTGTTTTCTTTGATCAGAGTGTTTAAAGCAGGCTTTCAAGCTTGAATGTGTTAGCATGGAATAATGAAATATGACATTTGGTCTATTTTCGTTGGTTCAAGACCAAAGTAATGATGAATAGGAGTGGCCGGGGGCACTACTAGTTTTGGTTAGCGCCAAGCTCAAACCAGGGATCAAAGGGTCTCGGTACAGTGTCTACCGTCAATGTTGCTTAAGTTAAATACGAGATTATTTTTGGATTTGTACCGCGTCGATATTGGCCGGTGAACAATAGCTTCGGATGATAACGATATATTCGCGCAAGGTGTTGGCGAAATATACATCATTTTTGGTTTGGAGTAAGTATGTGCTGAATGTCGTATCCAGCTTCTTGATGGGATAAGTGAGCCATTGTAGAAAGTCTCGGCCGTTGTTGGATCAACCATGGTGCGATGTGGTGGCGTGTGTAACAAACAAAAGACGCACTCTTAATTAAGTATCAAGTATATACCCACGACAATCAGCGATTGTCGATCCCTCAAGCCCGCAATGATGGAGTGCTTGGTTCATTTGTAGAATTGAAGAATTTCATGATATGTATAGCTTCGATCGGGTGCCAATAGCAAAAAGAACTTTTATTACTATCATCCAGGGCTAAGAAGAAGCCATATTGCTTGTAGAGAAAAAAAAGTTCCTTGAAAGCTATCTTTCCGCCTAATATAGCGATATTCTGTAGTACTTGCTTCGGGGATATTTGGTGATTGTAAGCAATATTGAAGACGTTGTGATAATATAAGAAAATGCACAAGGGAAGAATGCATTAATCTAGCCATACGCTGCTAAATCATGAGTTGACTTGAACAATTGGTAGCATATTAGTGGTTACGATAATGAGACAGAAGAAATCTTGATCTTAGAGGTTGACAGTGAATAATATAGCACTGTATCCAGTCTTCAAAGATTTGAAAAAGGATTATGGCGTGACCCTTGCACACCCTCTCTCTTTCATTCTCATTCTTCCTCCTTTTTTTTTGTTCCCCGGCCATCATTATGTATTGCAAATGCCGTATAAAAATAAACAAATACTACCGTGAACGCGCTGATAGGTACGGTGAACGCGTTAGCCGCCGGTTGCAATAACACTCATTTCGATGGACAGCTTATGTTCAATTAGTGCAATTATCCATCATTTGCAGGGCCGGCCTGATTTACGTAGCAAGGATGACAAACTAGGTTTTCCTTCACGATATTCAAGTTACGACATGTAAACATATGGTGTGACCAGAACTCGTCCGCATCAATTGACTGAATTCACAACAAACGAAGTTGAAGCCCTTATTGTTCGTGTGGTGAACCACATTAATACACTGCTTAAGATATCAACAATAAGATATTCAGTTAAACATTATAGCACACACGTATGAACACTACGGCATTCCGGCTAAACACTATTGAATAAAACCTCTTACTCAGATGATCCAACTTACGTGAGCAGGACAATGAACCTATCAACAGGTACCTTGGCCATCACATCAGCTAACGTCGGTTTCAAAGTGTGCCCGATTAACATAACGATATCAGGAGAAGTTCTGATACGTCCTTGATCCATCCTCTATCACATAGTTTATCCATTAGTCGGATGAATTGATATCGCCGTCTTAATAGCTAGAATATAAAAGAGCTTTATCTTTTGTTGGAATAAAACATGATCTCAAAGATACTTAATCTTGTCCCTTATTATCTTTATTGAAGCTCTATCATCACAGTTCGGAACAAAGGCGAGGATTTCCAAAAATACTTTCACTGGACCCAAATATTTCGTCGAGTTTTTTAGGGTGTACACAAAAGTACATATTGCATTCGATATCCAAGCGTTTCAAGACGCAGTAACATGGAAAGGTGAGTAACTTTTTCCCTTTGCGATCTACAACAGTATTTTGACACATTCAGGTCCCAGTTTTTGCAACCGAGCTTTTTCCGAGCTTGCATAAACCGAGGAAGGATGTTTGAAAATGAGAAAAGCAATAAATATTTGACACGCTTCATGCTACTTGTGTTTCTTGCGATTATTCACTCATGCCTCTGCCACCCAACGTATAGTAGTGCTATATGTGCTCGGCACTCCACTGTGTATTCAGTTATTCGGCACAAGCTGACATGCCATGTTATTCAGCAGAGCTATTTCAATGACATTGCATCCAAAATCTCATTATTATCAGCAACCCAACAGTATCTGAGCGCACCATCACACGATACATGGCTCACTGGGGATTTGAGTCGCGAGGAAGTGGAAAAGACGTATGTACAAGGAAAATATACCAACTATATATTAGCATATGGCTAAACATATTCCGTATTGCTGTACACAGATCTATTTTGATGGCCACGAAAGCGATGATGTGAAGGAGTATCGTGTGCGCTGAGCCAGGGCAACGATGGGATACCGTAAGAAGATGAAGACGTATGATACACTGAAGATGGCGAGTCGAGCCAGTGTTAGAGGACGAAAACGACGCTGAAATGGTGATGGTGACACATGATGAATGCATATTTTATGCAAACGACGACAAGAAGACCAATTGGCTTGCCCAAGGTGGAACTTTTTCAAAGAAAGAAGGTCCAGGAGTATCGTTGGTGGTAAGCGACTTCTTGTGCCCATAGTCATGGCCGTCTGATGCCATCTGAAGAGCTTCGTAGTCTCTTAGAGCATGCACTCATTCCATATGAGTACGAGAAATCATTCTACCCGAGGCAAACCGTGAAGGTTATTGGGAAAGTGAAGATGTGGTCAAAAAATTAAAGGAAAAAGTCATTCCTATATTCCAGGCAATGCATCTAAAATGTAAAGGTATGTCTTTCTGATCATTTTATATACTGCTATATTATTTATTACAGCCTAATCAATCTCTTATCCAGACAGCTGTATTCTGCTTTGACCAGAGTTCCAACCACAATGTCTACAAGGAGAACGCTTTACGGATTCAAAGGTTCAGTCCTTATCCCAAAAGAACAGTTAAAAGCGATTCTTGCGCGATCCATCGACTCGTATCCGTATGGCTGGTTTTTCGATGAAAACAATGAAATGATGTTCATGTACAGAAGATGGCAAGATTCATCTGCGAGGCATGTGTGAAGTTAGTATATTTGAAAAGTACTATTAGTCATTGGACATAATACTCGCTGTTGTTCCTTTCTTTGGTAGATATTGGTAGAAAAGGGTCTTTGGAAACAAGGGATGCAAAAAAAGGAAGCAACAGAGGTTTTAAGCGCCCAGCTTGACTTTACCTGAGAAAAAAGTGCTCTAGCGTATGCCGTTCAAAACGTTGGTTATATTTTTCAGCTTTACCCAAAGTTTCATTGTGAGTGTAATTCCATTGAACGCTATTGGGGTGCTGTTGAACGAGAAGTGCGTAAGCGATGCGATTACACTTTTGCAAGCATTCACCGAAGTTCTCGATAGTATTCCGCTGCCAATGATTTGTGAATTTGAACGTAGAGTATTGATATACATCAAGGCGGTTTGGAAGGTGTGATGCAATTGATGCTGTAAAAATCTACACATCTCATAGAAGAGTTATAAAATACATGTATTAAAATCATATACGGAATTACACTATAATATATGCTGGAAGTATGGTTTAAGGTGGCGTGCACCATACTACTTTGTACCTTTTGAGATCTTACAGGTCATTAAAAGGTTGTTTGAGAACACAATATTGCTTTGACTTAATGACAGCAGAGATGCCAATATAATCAAACTCATGGAAAATGCGCCCAAGATATTAAATCAACCCCATGGATATCTTCCTTTTGCTGTACTCTGAAAGCTTGCTATTTATAACAAGATATTCTTCGCAAACTTGCAAGGAAGGGAAAATAAGACCTTGAAATGCTAGGACATTCTCTGAAACAAGTCTTCTTGGGAACCTTTTGTTGCATCAAAGTTAAAATAGACAAGATGAGCCCGGTACTGCATCACAGTGTGGCCCTCCCGTTGTATATAATATTGCGCGCACATGCTCACAAATAAATTATTTTCATGTCACAAGGTTGGTCGCAATGTCTAAGACACGAGAGCAGTAAAAGTATTAGACGGGAATCCGGTGCAAGTAAATGTAGAATAATGTGAATTGGAATCATCATATACGGATTAAAAACATAATCTTGCTTTTATATTGCTATGGTAATAAAATGGCGCATTGCTTCTGTTTAACACGAATAATTATTGCAGAGGGGTAACGACATATAAAATGTGAATTCTAATATATGATGATTATACTACCAGATTTCTTAAGCGTTGTGTTGCAATGCCCAGAAAATAAAGCCATCTGGTTAACTGTGTATTCAAGTACATACCACATATTATTTAATGACTGCGACGGAGGCGTTGCTGTTGTTGCTCGGTCATTGATGCTTGACGTTGCCATGGTACAACCTTGTACAAATGATACAGAGTATACTATGTAAATTGCCAAAATGCAGCTTCTCAGTAGTCCTTTTCATATTAATGTGTAATAACAGTAGTATCATTATAGTTTATTCAAAAATTAAATTTGTTTGTAGTTTGATATAGATAGAATAAGGAATTAGATTAAGTTTGACTACCTAAAACAAAACAGCTGAGCCAGCAACTGCGACGGCAGCAACAAGACCACCCAATTGAAGCTTGGTAGCAGCCGACTCATTGTCATCAGCATCTTGGTTTTGTTCTTCAGCATCATTGCTGGTGTTGTCTTCGCTAGTGTTATCATCACTGGTGTTATCTTCGTTGGCATTGTCGTCGTTGGACGAAGGGCTGGTTTCAGTAGCATCAGCATTATCAGAGGCAGAAGCAGATTCAGAGGCATCGGCTGAAGCGGAGGGGCTTGGACTAGCTTCAGCACAGGTATCATCCTTGTGCTCTTGGTACCAAGCACAAGAATCAGCGTGCTCGCGGTTTCCGTAGTCAGCTTGCTCGTCAGCCGAGCAGTTCATAACACACATTCCAGATTGAGTCATGTACGTGGTATAGGCGGGGGTTCCTCTTTCGCACTTGTAGCTCAAGGATTCAATAAAGTCTGCGGATGCTGGGTCATCGGTCCATTGAGCCCACATGTCCTGGCCGGCTTTCTTAAGAGTAAAAAGAAAAGGAAGGGGTGTTTCAATATCTTGCTGTACAATTATACATGACAATGACAGCTAGTGGATAGAAATGAGATTATTGTAATCAGACTTACGATTTTGCATTCCTTGACACACGGTCCTGGCTCTGCAACGTCGTATGAAGGGTTGCAGTTGGCAGCAGCAAGGGCGGCACAGCCGAGAAGGACGACAATGGACGAAGAGATGGTGCGCATGATGACTAGATGTGTTTTGTGTTGAAAGAGCTGTCTTTGCTTTTCCTTGCTCTCAGAACTCTCAATTATATAGTAGGTGGATGTATCGGAGTCATCAATCTCCGGAAAAAGTTAACAGAGTACCACGGTAAGATGGAGGACCGTTCGCAAGCGCGAAAACAGCAATTGGTAGAATCTCAAGTAATTCCAGAGGGTCTATAACGGACTACCAAATTGATTTATCAGATCTGTTTCCTATGATCCGCCGCTCAAGAGAGAGATGTAACCAGACGTTCTCACATGTCAGTTGCTACCCGGGCGGCAGCGAAGTTACAATCTGATAAATCCGTCAAGACTTGTGATTCATAGCTGCTGTATATTTTTTTTTGGAAAAAAAAAATACCCAAAAGTACATTTGGCGACACAGGAAAGCTTAACTTTTTTCTTTCTCAGGCTCCCGAGAATTTGGATCACTGCAATTGCATCAAAACTACAATTGCTACTCAACCAAAAGGAGCGCAATTGATTTAAACGCTATCGCAAGAAGTTTTTAATTTTACAGAAAGTTACATGGTGACATTTTGGACTGTATTCCATGCAGTAATGCTGTTCTTTTGGTTGGGTGAAAAGGAAAAAAAAAGTTCGCGTAAGCATTTGGTTTGATGTAGTACACACGTTGCACCGATGGTAAACCAGCCGACCGTCAATGATCGGGTATATGGCCGACAAAACAGCATCCATCTTCACCGCTCATGCATTGCTGAAGATGTAGTTTAAAAGCGAAAGTGCGCGCACCATCCAAGAATGAAATTGTGAGTAACAATCCCAGGGTATATATCTCGTACAGCATCAATTGTCGTTGACACAAGAGAGTGGCATAGAACAGGACGCGTAAATAATACCGTAGAATAAAAGTCGTGACAGCATTTTGGAAAAAGAAACGAGCATCACAACTTTGTACCTCTTTTTGTATCTTCGTTTCAGTCCATAAGAAACGAGTATGCTTATACAAGGTTGCATGTAGAATTCACCGTTACATGTCTGTTCCACTGCTCTGGTTATTGGACCCAAGTTACACAAGACCAACAAAACGCAAATTCGGGACGCCTGTTGAATTATAACAATGGGCGAGGAGCGTGATGCGAGGCAAAACTTATCAGATCAATCCACGGATTCCATGTGTCCCCATGTAAAAAAAAAAGAGATTGATCGGGTAGTTGCTCCTCAATTATTTTTTCTTTTTGCATATTAGGTAGGTGAATCTCGTTCGCTCGGACCCAAATAAATGTGTCAGGTTTAGCCGATATTATAAAAAGAAAAAGAAAAAAAAAACTTAGCATCCTCATCGTGGTGAAAAGAACGTCTTCTTCTTCTTTTCCGTCGTTCAATCAGCGGTATCAGTGATTGCAAGGAGCAACAGCAGCAGCGGTAGCCGTATCAAAATAAGCAATGTCTAGCGACTCAACAATCAAGCAGCGCGATGTCGATTTCGATACCAAAGAACAAATTACGGACGATTACTCGTACGATATAGCGTTAGCGAATCATCCTGGAGCACCCAACAGCAACACAGCAGCACAGGACGATAGCAACAGCAGCAGTATCGTAGTAACCGAAAACGACCAAGAAAAAGAGGCCCCTCCACGGAAATTCCTTTGGGTCGTTCCTTTGAAAGACCATGTCCACCCTGTTCGATTCTTTTTCTTTCTGTTCTCAGTCTTTGCGTCCCTTGCCGTCATTGTGTTCTTTGCAAACGCACAGTCCTGGACTTTGACCTCCCTCCTGCAGATTAGCGAAAACACAGGTGATGCCACCGGTTCCTTATCAACGTACTCTGAAGTAACATCCGTTATCGGTGTCGTTTGCTGGGGTATCATATCCGACAATATCCAAAAGCGAACAGTCATGGCGTTCGGTTTGGTGATCATGGGCATCATTTGCATCGCGTATCCGCATGCTCCAGATCTGTACCCAACCTTGCTTATTCTCCGTCTAATCTATTCTGTTGGTACCGCCGCCACAACTTGTATGATGGCAGCATTCATGCTTGAAGTTGTCCATGGTGAACGAAGTGGTCTCGTCTCTGGATTGATTGGCACGTGTTCTGGTCTTGGTGCCATCTTTGCCGCCTTTGTCCTATTCACCGTTCCTACAGAAATGAGCCATCTTGGCTCTTCACCGACTGATCCGATGCTCATTGTGTATGGCTATGCAGCTATTGGTGCCACCACGGTCGCCTTGGGATTCCTCTTGTGGTTCTTGATGCCCAAAAACCCGCCTCCGCAAAAAAGACTTACCAAGAACCGTAAGGAACGGGTTTGGAAAAACCTTTATTATGGCATCATTGCGGCCAAGGACCCTCATATTGCGCTCGGCTATGTTTCAAGTTTCTTTGCTCGTGCGGACGAGGTCATCATTACGCACTTCATCGCAATGTGGATCCAGCAGTACTATATTGACAATGGCCGGTGTTTTGTTGGTGCCTTTTGTCCATACGCATCGTCATCCACACGTACCATGACTGGCATTGCTCAGTCAGTTGCTTTGGTTATTGCCCCGTTCTTTGGAATTGCAAGCGAATATAACAGAGAGCTCTCCTTAGCTGCAGCAGGCATCATTGGTATTGCTGGCTGCATTCCATTCTCTTTCTCTATCGACCCAACCGACCGAACGACTTTGGGTTTTGTTGTTCTGCTCGCCATGGGTCAATACGGTATGTATAGGTGGCAGTGGTGACTATTTTAAAATATATGGCATGAATTAGGCTTGGAGCCCTTAGTAACTAATATCCCTGTTGTGTGCATGTAGGCGCGATCGTCGCGGGTATGGCCATGATAGCTCGTACGAAGGTTCCTGAAGAATTTCGAGGTGGCGTTGCTGGCATGTACTCATTGTGTGGAGTCATTGGCATCATTATCATTTCCAAGGTTGGAGGTGTGCTCTTTGACAAGTGGATGAGAGGTGCTCCGTTCCTGTTACTCGGTATTGGCCACGGACTGATCGCTGTTCTTTCGCTGGTATACTTTTTCTACACGACCGGTGCAAAGCTGAGAGCAAAATTCTTATCCAAGAAAACAAAAGAGTCTCCGTCAGCCGTAGTAGATGAGCAACCTAATTAGCGGAATGATAGCTTCGTCTGCTACTTGTAATTTTTATGTACTTCCATTCTTAATTGCCATGTAATATATGTCTTTAATACTCTAGCTATATCCGATCTTTTCCCTTTAATATTAATTATGTTGCTCGTTTGTCGTGGACACATTGATATGTTGACTATAGTCTTGTACGCGCACAGGCTCAGCACCACCATACACTTCAAGTAGTATACCTCTCCCCGTTGAGACTATGCTAGCTGTTGAAGAATCTTGGAAAGAAGAGGCAGATTACTAGACGTTGCGCTCAGGGCAGAAAGATGCACGTTTACACAGCACATATGGCAACTTGAACATGCCCATGCTAGGGTGATGGATCCTTCAATTATTTGAAAACAGTATCATTTACACTTTTGAATTATGAGTATTATGGAAAAGCAAATTTCGAGAGGGTACTATCAAACCCCGGTCATTGCAAAAAAAATTGCTGCCGGTGTTAGCGAAATCTCCCGTTAATAATTTATCGCTGGGTCGCCACGCCGCCAATCCCCCCGTCTGTAATAAACTTAAACAGAGGCATGTATATTGTGTCGGACAACGCCCATTTGAAAATCAGATTTTACCGATCATCTTTTGACAAAGTCGGATTCGAAAAGAAGTAAAGTCGACTTGTGGGTATTATAGAAGAAAAGAGACTACTTACAAATTAATAGAGAAAAAGAAAACAATTAAATTAGGCTGAAATGTGAGAGTGTGCGGGTGTGTGAGTGTGTGTGCTATTATATGAATTATAATGTTGCTAATGCAATTGGCTGTGTGTTAATAGGGATAATAAGTAGTAGGAAAAAATAATAATCAAGAACAAAGCAAATCGTCTAATCCAGGGCCTTGAGCTGCTCGCGCTCACCAAAAGTGCCACCACTTGCTTTCTTTTCATTATGTGCCGTATCCGACCACATTTTGATCGCGTCCAGCATTTCCTTGATCTTGGGCTCGTTTCCTCCGAACACATCTAATAAAAAAAATTAAGGTTTAGCGTTATGTACACATTGTTTTTTTTTCGGTTATATATAACTTACCCTTGATCGTATACCGGCCATCAACTTCGACGCCTTCCCGACCCATGAATTTGAAAGCAGCAACAATATTATCCAGTATTTGCATGTTCGCTGGAGCATTATTGGTAGGATGAGGTCGACGGACGTCTTTACCGCTCAAGCCCTCGAGCAACTCAATGAGCAGCTCACCTGATCGAAAATCGTTCAGATTGGCTACCTTGCGGTCCACCTGTTGCTGCACCCAGTCAACGTAGTCCGACGTACTCCATATCGACTGCACGGATGTGCTGATATGACTCTCTTCGGTTAACCGCTTCAACCCGCCAGGTCGGTTGCTCGCCATCACATCACCGTGCTGAGGATCAATCAAGTCTTCGTCGTCATCATCCGGTGCATAGCGTACAATAGGTGGTGTTGCGTTGTTGTTGTTGTTGTTGCTGCTTGGTGGACTTAGCAGTACCGAGGAAATAGGACCATGCGTGCTATCGAACCCAGAATCTTGCAGCTCTTGTTTGCTCTCAGCAAGTGAGAGAGAAGGTGTGTTGTCGTCATAGTCAGTGATCCCAGACTCGCGGTTCTGCGGAGCCGACAAGTCGCCACTATTTAAACGAGACATGGATGGGCGCTGTGAAGGTTGCTCGTCAAAGGATATCCGGCTGATTGGCTGTGCATCTTGATGTGGATGGTAGGTCAGTGAAAACGGTCGGCTATCGATTGATTCGAGACTGGGCGACTGTGGTCTGTTCTCCTTTTTGTACAGGATCATGGATGGAGGACGAGGTTTCATGCGACGGGCCATGTCGAGCGAAACGGTGGGTATTGTGCTGGATGAAAGAACCGGTGCTCCATAGTCGCGTGCAATTGTAGCCTTCATCAGGGTTTTGATCCATGCTTTCATGACTGCTTCAGAATCGGTATAGAAGTAAAAGGTGCGTTCTCGCTCATGCTGTGCTTTGAAGCAATATTTGCCAGAGTAGATGGTTTCATCACAGATGATCCTATATCCACGCAGATTGATGATTCCTTTCATGCGAACATCCTTGAGAACGCAAAAAGTTAGTTCGTTGCCATGATAGTAGTACAAGGTGCACAACACGCTTTAAAAGAGACGCTCTACCTTGGGGGACTTGAAGTAAAAGAGATTGGGTCCTTTCAGAACGAACCAGCGCTTATTCCAAGTCTTGTACTTGTCTCCTTGCTTGTTGAGCCATCCTTCCATATCGGGGGTCACATCCGGCAAGGCAGCCCGATGTGCAAGACTGTCCATGGATGCACGCGATGCAACTGGCAGGACGGTCTGCGGTTTCGATGTCGGGGAAAACGAATTGCGTGCATGATCGTACCGTCTAGAGTCCGTTGCGTTAGCTTCTTTACTTTTATTGTGAGCTATGTTTGTAGAAAGAGTGATGCTAAACTTACGGCTTGGCAGTCGAGTTTTGTCGTGCGATCCCGTGCTCTGGAACGGCATACTAAAGAGGTTCCTTTTTGCATAAGTACACATTCAGCGTTATATCCTTTTACCCTTCCCCCACTTTTTTATTCTTTCTATCCTCAGGAACATACCGTTTTGCGTTTCATCCCGGATTCTGAGCGATGGATGTTTTGTTGTTGTTGCTGCTGCTGCTGCTGTTGTTGGACCATCACTGATGCAGCGCGGGGTACATTCTTGCGCCCTACACTCATGCGTCCTGGAGGTTCCTGTCGAGAACGAGTTGAATCAATCGTGTCCATAGAGTATAAGCGACCTGTACGTGGCTGGTCTTCCGACATGGTGGTTACAGAGTCGAAATCGGTCTCTGCGCTTGGCGACATGGGCCGGGAGCTGTAATTGGATGCGTAGTCGTTGTCCAAGTCCTATAAGCAAACTTTTAGTTTGATGATTCAGATCAAAGGGGCGTTAATCACTAGCTCTATCATCTAGTACCTCTAGCCCAGTAACCGACTGTTTGGATGATGGATGGCGGCGCGAGATGCCTTCACGTAAAGCATTGATTGCGCTGTGGATCTTGAATCGTTTACCAAATGTGTTCACATCAAGTTCCTTGAGAGAATCGATTGTCAATTCAAGCAAGATATCGCCAGTGATCTCTTGGGCTGAGTGAACGTAAAAGAGAAAACGAGGCAAAAGGAGAGGCGTGGAGGGGAGGGGGGGAGGTAGGAATATGGATTGGATAATACAATAGAAGAAAAAGAACGAGGAGTGAGAGGGGAGGGCGTAAGCACAGATACAACCTTTGTATAGATGGTTCTTTTCTTTCTCTCCTTTGCTTCTCTTTAGAATCGAAACACTTACTTTTGAAGTTTCCTGCGACACTCTCAAAGCCCATGACATCTAGCCAGGCAGCGACTTGATCAACGTCCCAATCTTCTGGCGAGGTGTTCCTGAGATTGGGCAAGGTGAGAGCAGCAGCCAGCGTCTTTTGGACGTTCTTGGTCGCTGTTGTCAAGGACCGTGCGGGCGCAGAATGAGATTGGGTTGAATTCAAGGAGGACATGGAACTTGCACGAGGTAGGTGGTCCCGTGATTTTCTAGTGGACGCAGAGGTGGATGGTGTGGGGAGTTGCGTGAGGTTGCTGTTCGAGGTCGTCAGCTGGATTCTCGATATGGCGTCTTCGAGCGAATTAATTTTTTTGTCCAGTGACAGTGTCGGTGCGTTGTATTGTTGTTGATACGACGTATAGTTCATGGGAAACAGCCCAATTTCACCTCGCACATTGCGACCCTATAAGCAGGTAAAAGCCATTTAGCACCCACAACCTTTTCGTTCCAAAGGAAAAAAGAACTCTTAACTTGCTAGTATTATTCCTATTGTACCTGCCACCAGCCGTCATTGTAACCTTCGTCTTTTTCAAGCACAATGATCGGCTCGCCAACGGAGAATGCTATTTCGTCTTGACTTTCGGGCTCGAAGGTGTGAACGGCATAGACTGTCTCAAGGCCTGCCATGAAACACGCATAAAGTGGAGAGAGTATGAAAAGGGGGTGGGGCGAGAAAGATTGACGGAAGAAAAGAAAGGAAGAAAAGAAAAAAGAGTGGAATGAAAGCGAACAAGAAGAAGAAATATATATATAGAAGGAGAGTAAAAGGCGACTCGTATAATTTGTGTCCAAGTAAGCACCCGAGATCCTTGAAAGAAAGGGGGGCAAGAGAGAAAAAAAAAAGATTAGCCTCGTCTATTCAGAGCCGCGAGAGTGATACAGCAGTAGTGTTTATGTTATTACTACTCGTACCAATAATTCACATGCTTCCCAAGTTCTGGACAGAGCGCCCATATTGCAATTTGCTAGCTTGGCTTCTATGCGGACCTTTCTGGTCTGCACGCCCATATTTCAACGTAGTACGATCCAATTTCAAGTCGGAAAGAAGGGAGGAGTCGAACCGACGCGTGCTCCTAACGGCTAAGAAAGAGAAGACCCGCTTGCCAGAACACATTCATCCTCATCAGCGTAACTTGTATATGAATTTCTAGCTAGAGAGGGAGCACGTTTGGATTCCCTCAAGTGGGAACCACTGCTCAAGCTATCTCCTTTTTCAGCTGAGCTTGTGAGTTTGCTCTCTCTCTCTCTCTCTCTCTCTCTCTCTTCTTTTTATACAGTCGTTTTGCCGAGCAAAAGGAGAGCCGGTGTCAATAATAGGTTGGCAAAAGTATAACCACTGCGTTTCATCATCATCACCCTTATTCTCACATTATCTTTTTCTGGTACCGTCGCACATATTAGCATTTGAGCCGCCTTAAAAGCATCCGCCCCACCCAACCTGCGATCATCAATTGATAAAAAAGAGCATCATCGTGCATAAGTGCATAACGTTAGCAGGCAGGGTAGTGCATGCTGTTGGTCAGTGGCCTTATATAACTTGCACTCCCTAAAGCGTGCATCAGAGAGAGAAAGAGAGAGATATGTTTTATACCACCCTATGTTTGGAGCCCTGCTTTTCTTTTATTTCAGTTGGGTGGAAGTTGTTTGGGATGTTGAAGCGCGCTTATTGTGATTTGGCACATTTAATTTTAGCATTTTTGGGTCAGTGCCCCCCGCCTGCGTCCGCTTTATTTATTGTCTTGAATTCCGCTTGTCATAATTATATATTGTCACCTAGTAGCAAGCACTTTGTACTCAGTCAAGCGCTATGCATATGTGAATGCAACAAACTTCTCTATAGTATACGCATGAACAGCAAGTGTGGATCTATGCTTTCTTTGCCGAAGCTGAAAGACTGTAAAAAAAGCTTATTCCACATCTGCAGCCTTTGGGTCTTGTTTCCGTTCCGACAATTTATCAGTTGGAGTTGGCCAAGACATTCCATTTTTGGCGTGAGACCAAGGTTGTAATTTGATGCTTAATAACACAATATATTGAAGCGTTGACCGCATAGGTGCACGTTTTCTCACAGTGGACGGACGAGGAACTCTGTCACCAGTCGCACTCAACCTCCTCGCTCTCTCTATGGATGTGGATACTCTATACATGTTATGGTAGTAATAGCAGACTGTTGGCTGACAATCGATAATCTTTATCTACTTTTATACAGCTCAACTGACATTTATTTCGTTAACCATAGTTATCTTTAGTTAATTAACCGTCTGCTGTTTTTGGAGAGAGCAAAACGTGTGGTTAATAAAGTAGTGCAAGATTTACGCTGAGTGAACTACAAGAAATGGTTATTAAGTATAAGACAAGTTACAGTAGTGATACTATAGGTAGCAGCAGCAGCAGTAGTAGTAGTAGTAGTATATAGTAGTTTAGATATGTACATTAAATCAATTGCCATTGTATGACCGTGACTATGGTACTTGTCTGATTAAGTGCACTTGTAGGGTATGGCTCATAGACCTACCAGCCAAGTGGAGAAGAAGTTTATGGTAGAAAAGTAAAAGTCTTGATACATGTTTAATATTTGGTCAACTCATTCACAAAGCCAATAGCTATCCTAAAGAGAGCATTGCTGCTACACAAATGCCAGCCCTCGTGGAGATATACTCCAGCACCAACATTGCTATGTATCATGCGTACGTTACATGTACAGTAATTTTACACGAGGAAAAAGGCAAAGGGCCTGGAAAAAATGTGTATAAAAAAAGTTTATTCTATAGCAATACTGTATTGCGTTGAGAACCACTTTTTTTGTTGCCATGGCGTTGCCATTGTCACTCTTTGGAGAAATGAAAGGCTTGCTTGTTGGTTGCATGGTAACACAGAGCTTGATTTTCTTTTCACGAAACGTATCGGAGGACCGTGCGACGGGAGGAGTGCTTGAAGTTCAGGAGACCCTTATGTATACAGACACACTCTCGGTTCCGGTGCCTTGCCAGGCACCTCATATGCTCATTACGGTATAGGACTCTGTTCATTCAGGTGATCAGGGTAAATTACGATTGGACGGGAACGATCGTCACCTCCCCTCCTTCGATCGCTCAGCAGGCATAGTGGTAGTATTTAAAAGCGAAGCACTTAAGAAAGGGAACCACATGATGCCCTATCAAGGGTCCAGCGACGATCTTATAACCAAGCACGAGGGCCATTTCATTGGCTCAAATTATCCTTGAAAGCTTAACTTGAAGGGATGGAGATGGATGGTTAACGGGCAAACACACACACTCTCACTCTTATCAATTATTTCGGAGTTGGGCTCCCCACAACCCGCTCGGGCGAAACGAGCGTAAAAAAAAGAGGAAAAAAAAAGATCAACTCCCCTGTTCTTCCTCTCTTTCCTCTTACGACCTTACGAACAAGGAGTCCCATTCTTGATTTTCCTTTTACTCTAAAGCCAAAAGAGCCAAGGGCAGCACGCGATGAAGTTTTCGCATCAACTGCAGTTCAACGCTGTCCCTGATTGGGCAGAATATTATCTTCCGTAATTGTCCATGTTATTGTTGTTGGGGAGTCATGCAGATTTGTGTGCTACTTTTTTTTTTTACTGACTGGACTGAATTATTTGGTAAATATAGCTATTCGAACCTCAAAAAGCTTGTTTATTCCACTGAGCGCGATCGAGTAACTGCATATGGAACGCACAGACCTTCTGAAGACGATTACGAACGAGGCCCCAGTGAACGTACTGCACTTATACCTGAATCCGACTCTGTCGAAAGAGAAAACAGTCGATTCATTGCTGCCCTCGATCAGTCACTTGACAAGATTGTGAAATTTTACACTAAAAAGGAGCAGGAGCTATATAAAGAATCCGATGAGCTATTGCACGATCTCGACAAGTTACAATCCGAGGGTAATGGTGGCGGCAGCAGCAACGACTATAGTGAAGAGCATTTGCATGCATCGTCGAATTTCCCGCGTCGTGAATCAACCACTTTTGACGACGATTTACCCCCCAACATTATATCCCAGAATGTAACGGAAAGCGACCCGCAGCTGCTATCGGCATCGCACGACACGACAGAACTGCGAAAACGGACAATCGACATGTTTGTGTTGCTATCCGAACTCAAGTCGTTTGTAGCATTGAATCAGACGGCGTTTTCCAAAATTCTAAAGAAATACGACAAGATTACGCATAGCAATCTCAAACGGTACTATGTGCTCAACCACGTCAGCCCTGCGTATCCGTTCAAGAGCACGACAAAGCAACATTTGAACGAGCGGATCCAGCGAACCGAACGCGTGTATGCGACACTCGTGACTGATGGCGATCTGGACTTGGCCATCACAGATCTGAAAACCCACTTGCGCGAGCGGATTGTATGGGAACGCAATATGGTATGGCGCGATATGATCGGGCAGGAGCGCAAGGTGCAGACGGTCGGTGTGGGCGAGGCCAAACCTATCTCCCTGCGTACGCCATGTGGCACCCTTCACATCGATCGCGATCAGATCATCCAGGGCTTGTTCCTTGCGATCAGTTTGGCCGTGTTTGCTTTACTTCTCAAGGTCGACTTGTTTGGCCAAGCGGAACAGAATCGATGCTTTGCCATTTTGGTATTCACCAGCATGCTTTGGGCAGGCGAGGTAAGGCACCGTCAACTTTTCTTTTTTTTTATATACAAGAGGAAACATTTACTAACTCGCACGGGCCTTGGATGGTGCTGATGACGATGATTAGGTGATGCCCCTATTTGTCACTGCATTACTCGTCCCCTTTTTAATCGTAGTTCTGCGTGTCATGCGGTCCGAAGACGGAACTGAACGACTTTCGGCGCCAGATGCCACGAAGCGGGTTTTTGCGAGCATGTTCTCGCCAGTGATCATGCTATTGCTTGGTGGGTTTGCCATTGCAGGCGCACTTAGCAAATTCGGTATCGCTAAATCCATGGCAACGTTTGTGCTGTCCAAGGCCGGCACTCGGCCGAACCGGGTTCTGCTAGTGAACATGTTTGTTGCCACCATTGCCAGTATGTGGATCAGTAATGTAGCAGCGCCCGTCCTGTGCTTTTCGCTGATCCAGCCGATCCTGCGGACCCTGCCTGTCGACTCGACCTTTGCACCTTGTCTCATTATCGGCATTGCGCTTTCCTCCAACCTCGGCGGCATGGCATCGCCCATCTCGTCTCCGCAGAACGTTGTTGCCATCCAAAACATGAGCCCACCACCGTCGTGGGGTGAATGGTTCTTTGCAGCACTTCCTCTGTGCATTGTCGGCAACATCATTATCTGGCTATGGCTGCTGTGGAACTACAACCCAGAGAAGCACACGCCCCAGATCCACGCGATCCGGGCATCGTCTGATCCAGTGACGCTCACCCAATTATACGTGGTCACCGTCACCATAGTGACGATTGTGCTCTGGTGTCTGGCGCATACCTACGAAGGCACGTTTGGTGACATGGGCGTGATCGCCATTATCCCACTGATTGCCTTTTTCGGACCGGGTCTGTTGACCAAGGATGATTTTAACAACTTTTTGTGGAACGTGATTATGCTGGCAATGGGCGGCATTGCGCTTGGCAAAGCGGTTGAAAGCTCTGGGCTACTGCAGACGATTGCGGTACACATTGAAGAAATGGTTACCGGAATGAGCGCGTTTGAAATCTTGTTTGTGTTTAGCTCACTGGTGCTCGTGATGGCAACATTTATCAGCCATACCGTCGCAGCCCTGATTGTGTTACCCATTGTGGCGGAGGTGGGCGCTCGCTTAGATGATCCACGGCCAAGATTACTTGTCATGGTAAGATGAAGACTGAAGCGACAAACAACAAGATAGCTAAACTGATCGCATCTCTTTCTCCCTCTCCTTCTCAAAACAGGGCACTGCCTTCATGTGCTCCTCTGCGATGGGCCTGCCCGTATCCGGCTTCCCCAACATGAATGCCATCTCCCAAGAAAACGAGCTAGGCCAGCCCTATTTATCCACCAAGGATTTTCTGGTCAACGGTGTGCCTTCCAGCGTGTTCACGATGCTGTGTGTCACCACACTTGGGTATGGGCTCATGTCTTTGATGGGCTTTTAAACAGACCATGCACGTTTTCAGTTTAATATTACCATTATACGATGCATATAGTATATAAATATATATATATATAGAAACCACATCATCCTCCTCCTTCTTCTTCTTTCATCACTTTGACATCTACAAACATAAACACAACCATAATCACAATCACAATCACAGCTTTTCCCAATGAGTTCTTTCTCTTTGCACGGATACAGGAAAGCCAAGAGATAACACTCACCAGCATCTTGGTAAACTCTTCGTAGTTGATCATGCCGTCGCCGTCGATATCGGCGTCGCGAATCATTTCATCGAGCTCGTGCGCAGTCAAACGCTCTCCAAACGATGTCATGACTTGCCGAAGCTCTGGTAGCGTGATATATCCATTTCCATCCTAATACCCGCATTCGTGAATACCCTTGAAGCAGGTCCAAAAAAGGGACATATTAAACTTACTCGATCAAATACAGAGAAAGCCTCACGGAGCTCAGCCTGCGTATCCGCCTCCTTTTGCTTCCTATAATGCCCCCCTCACTCGCCGTTTTAATAAGCTTGCCACACCAGTTTCACAGGATACTGATGAAAAAAAAAGGAGGTCATTGCTTTTCTTCTTCTTCTTTTCGTAATACCTTGCCAACATGGTCAAGAACTCGTCAAAGTCGATGGTGCCGTTGCCGTCACTGTCCACATCATTGATCATTTCCTTGAGCTCGCTTTCGGTTGGGTGCAGGTTGAGCGACTGCATTACTGCGCCAAGCTCTTTGGAGTCAATGGTGCCGTTTCCATCCTACATATACATTATCTCTTCCCCATAAGGACAAACGAGCTGCTGCATGTTGCTCAGAGGGAAGAAAGGGTCTACCTTGTCGAAGAGTGCGAAAGACTCGCGATATTCGTCAATTTGCTCTTTCGAGAGTTGATCAGACTAAAGCAGTATCAGCGATCGTTATTAAGTATTCAAGAGAGAAAAGGAGAGAGAGAGAGAAAGAGACGATGATTATATTGGAAGAGAAAGAAAAAGAAGCAAAGGCATACCATAACTTGTATGTAAAACGAGTAAAACAAAGAAAAAGAGTGTTTTTTTAAAAAAAGGTGAACCGGCTGATCATATATAAAATAAGGGATTTCCTTTTTGTGCGTGTGCGTGTGTGTGTGTGTGTTTATATAAGATAAAGGCTAGTAAGTAGTATGTAGTATGTACACCCTCCCCCCTTTCTCCCGAGAGGGGATTCTTTTTTTAGGTTTGTGGTGGAAAGCATAATCATGACGATGGTGATGATAGTTGTCAATCATCGTCGGAACCGCACGTCGACGAGGCCGACGAGGACGACTGTTGTTGCATAGGGTAGAGGCCAGCGTAAGGATCCAAGAACGCGTTGGCCGGGTGGACGAGGCAGCCAGGACACAGGCAGGTGGGGCCACAGTAGCAGGTTACCACGCGCGTCGTGGTTGTCACTTGATCATCTTGTTGTTTCGGGAGCGGTGTGATTGTGATCACAACCGACTCGCTCTGCCCGTTCGAAGGCTGGCATGCCGATGAAGACGCGAAACTCCCGCAGCAGCTGACGACGGCTGTAGGCGCCGGTGTCGGCGGTGTCTGTGGCCGTTGCTGATGTAACTGCTGCTGCGGCGGCAGTAGTGCTGGTAATGGTGGTGGCGGAGCACCAGCAGCAGTAGTGGTAGCAGCAGTAGCAGCATGACCAGGCTGTGAAGGTGGCGTTGATAACAAGGAAGCGATACTGGCGGCATTGGTTTCGGTCATCTGGGCCACAGCAGCGTCCAAGTCCATCATGGACGGAGACGATGAGGACGCTGGTACCGGCGGCATGGGAGGATCAGGCTGGGGCGCAGGCGTTGGAGGCTTCTGAAACACATAGCCAACGTTATTGGGTCGAATCCAAGCCCATGAGAAGGAGTCGTCGTGGTTGTTGTGGATGGGAACAGCGCTGCTGCTGGTGGTAGTGGCAGAGGCAGTGATAGCTGTGGTTGCAGTGGTGGGACAATCAGGTGCACGCGTGGTTTCCAGAAACCTATCGGGTTCCGCTGGACCGGGGTTGAAGCTCTGGCCAGTCATACCTGGCGGAAGACTAATCGTCACAGCAGGCGAGTTCTGGGCGATGCTGCTGCTATTGCTGCTGGTGTGAATGCTATTGGCGTCGGCTATATTTTTTATTACGTTATGTTGGGTGTCAGCCCTTGGATCAGGAAAAACCCAATAAAAACAACCTTCTCAACTCAGAAACAAAAAAAAAGTTTTTTTTTTGGCCACTGTGTGGACTAACCTCTGCGTTCGCTGCATACACACTTGACATGCACCTGCTTGGTCTTGCGCAGATCTCTGCAATACGCGCACTGCGTTACAGGTCGTCCTTTTGGTTATCCAGCTACAGTTATTACACGGCGTTTTCCACATAGACACACTATCAACTCATTATTAGATGAATAGCCTACCTTTCCGGCGAATTTCAAAGAGAGGGCGCTCAACGTGATTGCAGTGTGACGAGCGATGGCCCTGTGCGGAAGATCAGTTTGTGTATTCAGGTAACACAGGGGCAATATATATAGAGAGAGAGAAGAGAGAGAGAGCAAGTAATAAAAAAAAATTACCTTGATACAGCTATTGCAGGCAAATTTGATTCCGTTGATTATTGGCATGATATATGCTGGGCTAACCACAAAGCCTTAGTGTATGCGCAGGTGTGTGAGACGTGCTAACTCCTAGAGATCGCCTTTTGTTTTTTTCTGCTTTTTTGACACCTGATCGCCCACTTTATCTATATTCTTACCTTGAAATAGTTGCGTGTTTAAATAAGTTGGAAAGAAATATACAATGAAAAAGAGCCGGTGGTCTTTCTTGAGGGGTAGTGTGTGTGTGTGTGGGATAAGATATAGCAATGGAAATAGGATAACTAATAGGAAAGGACGAAGAACAAGGGTGTGCAGATGATAGAGTAGATGCTCTCAAAGCAACACAGAGATTGCTTCTGAACGAGCGTCCGGTCACTGCCAAAAAATGGATAATAGATTACTACTACTACTGCTACGGCTATTACGATGATAATAATGACTTGATTTCAGGACACGGGAACAAATCATTACCAATGCAGAAAGGGGAAGAAGGGAGAGGAAAAGACAGAAGCAAACAGTAACAATGGAGGGTGGGTTTGAATAACAGAAAATATTTAATAATTAGAAAAGAAACGCGGTCGATTGTGAGGCCTCTCCAGATGTATATTCAGCTGTGCGTGCGTGCGCGTATGTGTGTGTGTGTGTGTGTGTGTTCCGGGAGGGAGAGGGAAAGAGAAAGAGAGAAAAGAAGAAGAAAAAAATTGCAAAGCGATGGGACATCTCCTTTCGAAGAGGCCCTCCAATAGTACACAGCCGGTTCTGGAAATTGTTCACCGATCAGAGCCCTCATATAGGGAGAGTCATTATAAGACAAACCCAAACCCGCTTGGGTGGGGGGAGAGAGAGAGAGAGCGCACACACACAGAAGAGAGCACAGCGGCACACAGCGTGTATATAAAATAGCGCACCTACCGTTCAATGGCGAATACAGCTCAGGCTAATCGCGGACACATCGAAGTTTCGCTGGTGCGACAAAATTCTGAGTGGGGTCCTTATTTCTTGGCAAATCACCAGCCACTATGGCCCATGAGCAACCAGCAGCAACTAAATTCCGGATCGCTGTGTTTGGGTTGCCAACACTCAACCACAAACATACGTCACAACACACTGACACCTTATTTCCATTTTCCTTTATATGGTCCATTTTACCCCCTCTCCCAATTCTCGATTGAGTAAGCTCCAATTCTTCCAGCGATTCCGGTGCTGTAATTTTTTTATATTGTGCACATGATAGCGATGTTACCACCACCATCACTACTATTACTACTACTATTACTACTAGCATGACGCTGCTGACGCTCCTAACACCAACAATAACCCTAGAGGACCTCCAGTCCTGGGTCGCTGAGCTCTACAGCTGCGCTCAAATATTCACTCCCATCGCCGGATTGCTCGCCATCCTGCTACCCATTTTGAGAACCTTTGCATGCTACCACCGCTTTACCGACGCTGTGTCTGGCCTTGTTGAGGTTGCCTGGCAACAGGTTGCCTGGTTCCTGACATCATGGTCATCATCTTCATCATCGTCAGGCACGTTTGCTTCTTCTGCTGCCACAGTGTGCCTCGACAGCCCCGACCCTAGTGCACTTTACGTGTCTGGTCTCGTGAACACAGGCAATTCGTGTTTTCTGAATTCGTGTCTACAGGTCTCTCAATCATAGCAGTGATAATAGTAATAATAGTAACAATCATGAAAATGATAATAAGCACAACAATATTGCATCATCCAACTTATACAGCTGATTTCTTGTTGTTTACCCTGCTCTACTTTTGCCCGTAAATCACTACTCATTAGGCCTTGTCCTCGCTGCCATGTTTACACACCTATTTGAATGACCACCCTGTTGCTGATCAGGGACCTGTCACCGGATCTTTGTTGAAGACGATCCGACAGCTCTCGAAACCGCTAAAGCGTCATGCGTCGTTTCGTCCCAGAGACATAGTGGCGTCGCTACTATCAAAACATGTCATCATCAACCGCGAGCAGCAGGATGCGCAGGAGTTGTTTCAGCTCATAGTAGGCGCCTTGGATGCCGAGGCAGCTGGCAGAATTGCAGCAATGATGCTTGGCGGGCTCAAGTTTCTCACGCAATTCAAAACACAACAACAGTTCATGCTTCAGAACACCACCACACCCTTTACTGGCCTTTTGGCAAGTCGTCTGTCATGCATGTGCGGATATACCGTAAGACTTTGATTTCTTTTCTGTAATTTCTGACTTTTTTTTTTCTTATTTCTCAAACACTTTTTTCTTCTTCTTCTGCACGTGTATGTACTGTAATTAGGAAGCCGTGCGACATTTCTCTTTTAACAATATACAGTTAGCCGTACCCCGTGCTGTAAGTACTTTATATTTTCTCTCACCATTTCGCTCGTGGAAAGGAACTTGCTTCTGTTGTTAAATAGGGCAGTTGCTGCTTTAGTAGTATACAACCACACTGGATGCATGTCTACGCCAGTTCACAGCAATTGAATACCTCAACGACGCAGCCTGTCGCAAATGCTCCTTGACCAATACTCTGCGCACGCTCAAGGAACAGTCGGCTCTGAAACCGAACAGCAAGAAAAAGAACAAGAAAACCAAGATGCTGCTTGACGAAATCGAGTCCCGACTCAAAGCGAACCGTATTGAGGATGAAATCGCCGGCGTCGAGCGCACCGTGAGCCCGCTCTCCACCAAACAAGTCATGTTTGCCAAACCACCCAAGATTCTGTGTCTTCATCTCTCGCGCTCGGCCTTTCATGCTTCTGGCGCAGTCTATAAGAACGCATGCCAGATATTGTTTCCAGAGTATCTAGATTTAGCACATTACACGACCACTGGAACTCTCTGTACTCAGCCCAATGTGCCTATATCGTCCCCAGCCGACGAAGAAGAGAATGGCATCACGTCGTCGTCCAACACACAGTACCGTCTGATGAGTACGATTGTGCATTATGGCAGCCACAGCTATGGTCATTTTGTTGCTTTTAAGCGTCGCATCCTTGCCCGACAGTGCCGGTGTCCCAATTGTTGCGATGACAAAGAAGGACACGAGTCGTGGGAAGGCAGCAGCGATGATGCGTGGTATCGCATATCGGATTCCAAAGTCGATCTCTGTACATTCGACGTTGTGCAGCAAGCTAATCCGTATATGCTGCTGTATGAGTTGATGGAGCACGGCTCTCAAGAAAAGGGTCAAGGAGTAGAAGAAGATGAGTCGGACGAGGACAAGGATAATATCGATGACCTGATGGTAGCTGCCACGACCAGCACAGCGGCATCTGCAAGCAGTAATAATGCCGACAGTCCGACGGATATCAAGAAGATGCCGTATACCTCCTACTGCTCCTCTCAGGATGCAGAGGAAGCACTGAGAATAGCCAACTCTCTCTTGATGGACGATCGCAACGACAACCATGATACCGCCTCTCGCTGGTCCGAAGGCGCACCGCTGATCTCGATTCCGTGAAAAGATTCAATAATATTGACAAAACCACTTGCTTGGTGGGAAAAGAACCTTGACTGGGAAAAATATTCGGGAAAGAGTGCTTCGGCAATTTTGATATGTCAGCAAGATTTAGGCTTACCTATAAAAAAAACCTCTCCACACTTTCTTTTGCATTAATTTCTCTGTTTGTTCGTTGTTTGATATATTTATATACCATGCCTGTTGAAGGTTACAAAGTCGATGTTTCCAAGGCCGTTGGCCACAAGTCGCCCGTCCAGAAGGTTGGTGCATCTTCTCGAGCGTTGTTGCTGTTGCTGTCCTAGTAACCCTTAAAGAATTGTGTACTCACTTTGTAACTTTCTATTTTCTCACAGGCTGACTGCACCAAGCGTGATTTTGCTCTCTATGCCTTGAGCGTTGGTGTCAAGGAAGATGAGATGAAGTACCTCTATGAATTAGGCAAGTTGTCTACTGAAGATTTGGGAATCAAAGAGAAGAGAAAGGAACTAACGCAAAGCTTTCTTTTTATTTTTTGACATATAGACCCTACATTTGGCCCATTGCCTACCTATCCACTGGTCTTGGCTTTGAAGGGTGAGGGTGCTGACACCAACTTGTTCAAGGAACGATCGCAGGGTGAGACCAACCCTGGCATTCCTTCATTCGATCCCAACAAAATTGTTCACGGTGAACAGGCTCTTCAAATTCACAAGCCTTTCCCCAAAAACGGCGGCCAGTTCAACTTGCAAAAGACCACTACTGGCGTTTATGACAAGGGTAAGTAGTTGGCTACACAGAGACGACGATTAGACCTGGGATGTTATGTCATCCATGGATGAGATGGTAGTTCCTAACTAGAATATGTGTGTGTATGTGTATAGGCTCTGGTATGGTGATCGAGGGTACCATGGACCTCTATGGTGCTGAGGACAATGTCCATTACTGCACCATGGTTTCCAAGTCGTTTGTTCGCGGCTATGGTGGCTGGAACGTAAGTTAGTGATGATGAGATCTTTCTAGTTAAAGTATATTTGAAAAAAAAAAAAAAAAGACAAAGACTCATCCGCAATCTTACGTTCGTGCAACAACAACAACAGGGTCCTAAGGGTCCCAAGGCACCAAGCTATGCTCCTCCCAAGCGTCAGCCCGACGCTGTCGAGAGTTTCAAGACCACCGAACAGCAAGCCCAATTGTACCGCTTGTCTGGTGATTACAACCCTCTCCACATTGACGTGCCCGTTGCCCGCTCTGTCGGTTTTCCTAACCCCATCTTGCACGGCTTGTGCACCTATGGTATCACTGGCCACGCCATCCTCAAGCATTTGGCTGGTAACGACAGCGCCCGCTTCAAGTCCATTGAAGGCCGTTTCTCTAGCCCTGTCTTCCCTGGCGAGACCGTTGAGGTCTACATGTGGAAGGTCGATGATAAGGACCCCAAGGTTCAGGGCGTCATCTTTGCTGTCAAGGTCAAGGAGCGGGATATCGTGGTCATCAACAACGGCTATGCTACCCTTTACAAGGAATCCCCTGCTTCCAAGCTCTAAATATCACGCATCTCCCATCTTTTTTCTCCTTCCAGCACATCCTTTTTCTTCTCTGTTGATCAGAAGCGAATAAAACTAAAAAAAAAAAACATTGAAAAATAAAAGCTAGCGATTGTATTAACGAGCAAAAACTAGGTTAAATATATTTGGGGTGGGGGGAAAAGTGTCAAACGCTTCAAACTTTGCGTGGATTAGGGAATTCTAGTCGTCGATGGAGACGGCTGACAATGTCAATAAAATCGGGCTCATTATCGGCCGTCAAGATGCCATGGCGTACCATAAAGTCGATAGTAACCAGAGCACAATTGGGCTTCCATTCGTTGTTTAGAATTGTCTTCTTCACCTCCTCCATGTCCATCAGATAGAACTCGTCCACTTCACCGTCTTTGGGAGTCGGCGTAAAGTCTTCAGGAATTGGCAAGTCAAATACGTACCTTTCCATACCATGGATTATGGGGCAGTGAGTTATGGATATAACAGTCTGAAGAAGGAGAAGAAACTTACTGTGTCTCGGGCTGCAATCCAAACTCGGTTACTGTGTAATAAGAGACAATACCGGCATTCTTTGCTCTACCTGCAATCGAGGACGGGATACTTGCTTCTTCATCACACTCTTTTACAACCGTTTCTTGGGTCGAGTATTGGTACGAGATGCCGCCAGCGACGATGTTATCCAAAAGACCAGGCCATGTTTGCTTGGACTTGCTGCGACGCGCCACCCAGAGCTTATCGCCGGTATATCCATTGACGTGGACACCAAACGTAGAGATACCGAATAAAGGCGTTGCGGCGCGTTCCATGACAAAGTCAGGCTCGCCTGAAACACCATACACTGGATACAGCTCGTTGCGCCAGCCTTTCAGCGACTGCATTCCGTCGGCACGCCACGTATCCATGAGTTCTTTGACGACTTGGGTACGCTTGTCAAACGAATCGACCCATGGTTGGAATTCAATCTGATGAGTAATTCGAAATGGTGGTTTTTGGCAGTTGTCATTGTAGTCAATTAAAGGATTCCGGACGTTGGGTAGGACGTTGCCAATAACGCGTCCGTTCAGGACAATGGGGACAGAGCCGTCATTAGCAGTACCGTAAGGGTATTTGTCGCAGTGAGCCACGACTTGCAAAAAGTTATCAAACATGGAAAACGGCAACGCCTTTAATGCTATATCATCCCCGCCAATTTTTATGCTCTGGGATTGATGCGCTTATCGCAAGCATTTATTACCATCATTTTATGCAACTTGGATAAATGTTATGCATTGACAGGACACATTAAATGTGCTATTATTAAATCCTTCGTATTACCACAGGCTGGTTGGGGCTTATCTGGCTTGTAAAAGTTGCATAGAAAAATCGATCCGCTTTAAAAGAGAAAAGCGCATATGGTCCCCGGTGTGCTCGGAAACTTACGAGAAACCTGAGCGAATGGAAATAAAAGTGGGGCGCGGAAGAAGCATCAAACCAATGTTCGGAACAGAACGTCTAAGCCACGCGAAACCCGGTTATTTGACAGCAGATTCCACAGGAAGCTTTTTTTTTTCTGGTATTCTCTGCCCACAATGTCCAAGCTATACATTAGGTAACTAACTTACTTGCCATTCCTGTTTGGACGAATGAAGTTTTTCTCCCCCAGCAAACTGTAGAAAAACGTCTTTCTAATACTCGTAACAACAGCTACAACCAAATCCACGAGTCTATCCGTGACGCCGTAGAACGCTACAATATCAATAGCGACTTCAAGGTAAAAAAGAAGTGAGCGAATTATGCATTTGCCGTTTTGTTTATCTCCAAATAAATAACAAGAGCTTTCCATTAACGGATAATGTATAGGCGGATCTCATGGTGACTATCACTGGTGGTGGACTTGTGCCTAGCCGTATCTTGCGTACGTTCTTGGACAAGCGCGAGAACCGCAACGTCCCCATCCAGGCTATTGGCTTGTCACTCTACGAAGAAATCGAGCTTGCTCAAGCCAACGGTGAAAGTGGAGAAAACATCCAGGTCGTCAAGACCCAGTGGCTGAACCCGGACGAGATATCATTGCTCGGCCGTCGCATTTTGCTCGTGGATGAAGTCGACGATACCCGTCAGACGCTGGCGTTTGCCGTTAAGGAGTTGTTGAAGGAAATTGAGGCCGAAGAAGTCAGAAAGGGCCTGCAGCCCGGTGAGTCTAATACCCAGCTTGGTGTGTTTGTCCTGCACAACAAGCTCAAGCCCAAGAAGCGCGACTTGCCTGATGAAATCATGAACAACTACTTTGCTTGTGTGGAGATGCCTGATCAGTGGTTGGTCTATCCTTGGGATGCCGTTGATATTCAGGAACACACCAAGAAGGCCTCTATCTAGAAAGCAAAATAACACACATCCTAAATCATGCCATGCATCTACAATTCTCCTCCAGTTTCCCCCTAATTAACCATCTGTCTTTTGTATAATTCCGTTTGTAACACTTTCATTTTTGCATGCCTCTCACCCCTTGTCCCGCATTCTTCATATTCTAGTTAGTAATAAAATTTACATAGAGTCTCACCAAGTGTTGTTACACCAAAGGTCTGATGTATTTGGAAACAGCAGCCAGCGAATCAGAAAATAGGATTATGTAACCAAATGAAGTACAAGGATTAACCACAAAAGATATCATATTCTTTTTTTATTATTATTCAACTAATAACATAAAGTTGGACTGTACAAAGGTAAAGAGGATGAGAATAAACGAACAAGGGCGAGAGAGAGAGAGAGTGTGTGTGTGTGACAGGTTGCTTAGATACCACGGCCACCAGTGACTTCGAGGGTATGGCCAGTGACGTACGAAGACAAGGGGGTGCAGAGCATCATGACAGAGCCAGCGACTTCCTCGGTGTTACCGGCACGGCCCAAGGGGATGTCAGCATAGGGGTTGCCCTTGGCAGCACGGTTAGAAGTGGGGACACCCAAAGCGACCTTCTGGCCGTCAATCTCGATGGCAGTACCAGTCTCCTTTGCGCGAGTAAGACGGGTGTCAACCCAGCCGAAAGCAACGGTGTTGCAGCGGACGCCAAAGAGACCCCATTCCTTAGCAATGGTCTTGGACAAACCGACGACACCAGCCTTGGCAGTGGCATAGTTAGCCTGGCCAACGTTACCATGGAGACCGGAGGTGGAGGAAATCTATCATGAATGTGACATGTTAGGATCAAGTAATCCTGGTACCCCTCCCCGCAGTCTTTTCTTCCCACATCAGTTAACTCACGTTGACAATGGCCTTGTTCTCACCATCCTTGTTGCGCTGTTGAATATTTAAAAGAAAAGATGCAGTGTGAGAAAAATCACAGGTCATTTTGTAATCCCCGTAGCACCGTTTTAATATTATTAGCAAAGAAAACTTACGAGGTACTTGGCGGCAGCGCGAAGGACACGGAAGGGAGCGGTTTGGTGAACGGTCAACATGGTTTCCCATTGCTTGTCAGTGATCTTGTGAGCCATACCGTCAAAGGTGAAGCCGGCGTTGTTGACGATGTGGTTGAGCTTGCCAAAGGCCCTAGAAAGAAACGGAACAAATGTCAATACCACCGCAGGATTCGTTGCGAACGAGCGTAAAAGGCGCGATGATACTCACTTGACGGTGCCTTCGACCAACTGTTCAGGGAACTCGGGGTCCATGATGTTGCCAGCAATAGCAATGGCCTTGCCGCCAGCGGCATTAATGTCAGCAGCGACCTGGTTGGCTTTGCCTATATATGAGGAAGAATAATAAAAGTTAGGGATATCTTATCCAAGCAACAGCAAACTATGTAGATATACAACGAACGAAAGAATTTCTTACCAGCGTCGATATCAGTGACAGTAACGAGAGCACCTTCGCGGGCGAACATCTCAGCGCAGCTCTTACCGATACCCTGGCTATATAAAAGTGAGCCGCAAAGACAAAATGAGCTTTCCTGCATTCCGATCGTTTTGACATTGAGGTAAATGAGAAAAAAAAAATAAAGCTAATTACCCAGAACCAGTGATAATGGCGACCTCACCAGCCAAAAGACCCGAGGGATAGTTGCCAGACAAGTGGCCCTTAATGTTGTTCAAACGGTCAGCAGCAGACATGGTTTATGTTTAGAATAGAAGAAACTAGGAAGAAGGTTAAAGGAAAGCTGTTTTGCGGGGAAGGTGCTTTTTATATACAAGAAGGCTATGATCGCTCGCCCAAAGCTATTTCCCGTTGTCAGCACAAATATCGGGTCTCACGTCGGAATGCAAATTATGCTTAATGGTGACTTCCCACAGACAATTTGTCCAAGCATTCTTTCAGTAATCATAATGCCACAGAGAGAAAATATTAGTCAATCCAAAGTATCTTTGCCCCGCACTGCAACTGGCCTTCCTTCCACTTATCACACATTGTGAAAATCCGAGAGTTTTCCCGCTTTTTGTAGAACCCAGCCTTGTTCTTTTCAAGTACTTTGCGTCTACACTACTAGTAACAACAAATAATCTTCTTCCATGGAAAGCAGCAGCAGTAGCAGCATTGACAAATCTATCTTGCTTTCAGAGCATAAAGAAATTCGGAAGGCACCTGACCTGGGAGGTTTTACTATTAAGGTTCAAGTATCCGTAAATGGAAAGATGCATGCAACATCGACAGGAGATGATGGCGGCATGTTGACTAAACGGATATGCAACATTAACCTTTACTGTTGTAACTACTCTTGTATTAATAAACAAAGAAGTCCCTCTTATACATCTGCGGCATATACAAATATTGATGAGTAACAAGAAGTTTTCATCTGTATTCTTCAAGGTTCGATCCTTGTTGATTCACAAAAGCAAAAAGCAAATCAAGAAGCTCAGTTTAGGTGACGGGTACTAATTATGTTGAATCAAATAAAAGCCGGCAGGTTACTACTGCTTACTGTGACATTTGAGTACATATCGTAGCCGCTTGTATTCAATTTTTGCTTATTACTTAGAATTGTACCCATTCACTGGCCCATCTTACGTCTTTTATAAGCCAATGATGCACAATACAACCGTGCCACCAGTGCTGTTTTTGTAAGCTAGGTAGGCTTGGTAGTCACCGTATCTCTCATACTTTTGAGTTTTCTATTGTTTGTTGTCAGGAACAGTATGAGGGTGTAATGCTGTGTCACCGGAAAAACGTTTGCATAAATTTTGCGCTTACGTTATAAGTTTCATGTGGCGGATGCGCTTGCCCCTTTATGGAATTGTGTATATTTAAGATATTTCTTACGTGTTAAGTCTCGTTTCAAAAGTCAAAGTTAACAAAAAGCCTTCCAGATGTGAACTCTCTTGTACAGCCAACAGCTCATCATCCTTAAACATATTGCATGTTATAATGAGATTCGATAGTGTCCTCTCTCCTTTGCGTCGTTCAATATTCTACAAGCGCATCAATATTGTCGTACTTAATTTACAAATCAATGGCCCGTGTAGCCTCTTTACCTATAGTACAGTTACTCAGTAAATACGTAGCATACTTAGCAGTATAAGTATGCGTCTATACGCGTCAAAGCACTTATAAAAAAACAGATAACTAATTAAGCTTTATTTTAATCTGTGGAAAGCAAAGAATGATGTGAATGACAGTATTGAACTATAATATAAAGTATGTGTATTACTGAAAGCGTGATAGAGTACTTTCTTCGCTATTTTCCTTAAAGTCTGTTACATAGCTTCAGCCCGAGCATGTCTTCCTAGACTACTTGCTGCATTACGAGCTTCTTCTTTGGTACGGTCCCAGTATGCTCCCACCTTATTAGCTTCTGCTCTGGCATGCGCATCCAAACGACTGGCAGCACCACCAACTCTGTTTACTTCACCTCTAGCATGTTCAACGATATCGTCGGCTGTGAGGCGCGTCTCCTGCTGCTTGGTGCGGTCCCATGAATTCCCAATTCCGTCTCCCCTAGCTCTAGCACGGTCACCAAAATCGCCAGCAGCACCGCGTGCATCCTGCTTGTTGCGTTCCCAAGAATTGCCCAACTTGTTTGCTTCAGTTCTGACGCGTTTATCAATATCTTCAGCCGTATCCCATGCATCCTGCTTGGCGCGGTCCCAAGAATTGCTCAACTTGTTTGCTTCGGCTTTGGCACGTCCTTCTAGGTCGTCCGCCTTATAACGAGCATCCTGTTTGGTTTGCTCCCAGGATTGACCGAGTCTGTCAGCTCCACCTTGAAGCTTAGCGGCGGCATCATCCGCATACTCTTGTGCATTCTGCTTTGTACGTTCCCAAGACGATCCAAGTTGGTTTGCTTTGGCTTCTGCTTCGGAAGAAAGATCGTCCACAGTTTCACGGGCATTTTGCTTTGTCTTCTTCCATGAAGCGTCCCAATGATTGGCTTCAGCTTTCGCCTGTGACGATACATCATCCGCAAGGTTCTGTGCATCTTGCTTGGTACGTTGCCACGATGATCCAATTTCGTCAGCCTTGGCTTTGGCTTGCGTCGAAGCTTCATCCGCAGCTCCTTTGGCATCTTGCTTTGTTTGCTCCCAGCGTGATCCAAGCTCGTTGGCTTTAGCGTTTGCTTGATACGATGCTTCATTTGCAGCGCCTTTAGCATCTTGCTTCGTTTGCTCCCAGCGTGATCCAAGCTCGTTGGCTTTGGCATTAATCTGTGCGGATGCCTCGTCCGCAGCACCTTTAGCATCTTGTTTTGTTTGCTCCCATTGCGAACCAAGTTCATTCGTCGTGGCGCTGACGTTTCGCTTTGCCTGCTGCCATTCATTCGAGGCTTCATCCTTGGTCTTTTCCCACTCGTTAGCTGCTTCTTTCTTAGTCTGTTGCCATTTGTTTTTCAGCTCGTCTTTCTCGTCATTGACGCGCTGCTTGGCCTCTTGATACTTTAAATGGGCTTCAGGGTTCGACCAAGCATGTGCATCAGCAATAATACCTGCGTCAGATTTATAGGCAGTATCACGCAACACGGAATCAGGCGGGCGGTCGCCGCTCTTCATGTGGTGCTCAGCACGGAACTTGTCGGCACTTGCTTCGACATCGTCTAATTTATGGCGTGTATCGACTTTGACGCGATCAACATAATTCTGGCCTGCTTTCAGCTCGCGTTCAGCAGCAGTTTGTGCTTCGCCTAGAGTGTCTTGTGCTGCATGACCCAATTCGGTTGCCGTGCTTCGCAAATGTGCCTTGGCGGCTAGGGCATGGCCGCTCGCATCTTGGTGCGTGCGCCAGTCATGTTGGCTGCCTCTGGCGTTCGCCTGCGTGATTGGGGTCACAGTTGGAGCCGATTTCTCCATAGGAGCTTTTCCGTAGTAAAAGTCGACTGCTATTTATTATTCATCCAACGTCAATAACTTCATGTATAAACTGTTAAGGCTATATAAAAATGCTATACAAACCCTCTTCTTCCTTTGTCTTATGTGTTTGATAATAGGCTAATCCAGCGCCAGCTAGCAAGGCAGCTCCTACAGCGACAACCTTGCCACCACCACTTCCACCGTTAGTGGATGACACAAAGCTACGACGAAGGGGTGGCGGTCGCGACATTGTTGTATTACGGATACGAGATGTACGATAGTTTGGTAGCATAGTGTTCAATGTATTCAAAAAAAGAAGAAACAAAGAAACAGTGGTGTAAATGCAACAAACCCATCGAAGTTCAAAAAATTACTCATGACATCATATTGATGAGCCTGCTTTACATGGGTTTGGCCCACTTATTGTTCTTCTTTGACATTGTAGCATACAGCTTTTGTAGATATCACGAGTAGTATGGGTCGTCAGTATCATATGTGGCATACACTACTTGCCACTTCTAGAAATGTAAACAAAATAAAGCTGTTGAGCAAACAACAAATGCGTATGCATTTGAAAAAGAAAAAAGTTGTGGGTCTATACTTATTATGCAGGCTTCTTGGATTTGAAACAAAATTGTGCATTGAAATTTATATGAGAGTCAGCCAATTACAGCTTAAGCGCCTTTTTTCGTAGTATAATGTACAATGTCCTTTTCTGAAATCTGTCCAATATGTAATTACATGCAGGTATCCATCCATATATATTTATATTTGTCCTTCCTCATTTGTTTCATGAACGTTTCGGTTGCCATGAGATGAATCTTGTTAATCGTGTTTGTGGTAATTCGAAAAACGAATATGCTAACAATGAAAGCATCGAATTAATAGAGGTCATGGGTTGAAGGTGAGAGACTATGGTATTTACCATTCGATGCCATAAGGATATCAACCACAGGTGCAAGGAGTGCTTCATAGTCCACATCTGGATCTGCCAACTGTGGAACACGAGCAGCCCATGCCTTATCAATTATACCCCATTCAGACATATCCGCCTTTGAGAACATGCAGGGAAATGTTTCCGTCAGAGGGCCAAATAAGTCGGGTCGAGTCATTGGATCTTGTATAATATCGTTGACAATGTAATAAATGGGATAACGTTTATCATATGTTCGACGGTACTCGACACATGCATCCAGCAGTTCGCGTCTATCGACGTGTGGACCTGCCACCAGATCCGATAGACGGGATGGTTCGAGAATAGGCATGGCGGCAGATACAGCCTGGTTAATCGGAATATCGCCAAAGATCTCCAACACGACTGCATTCATGAGCTCCTTGCGTGCCACATTAGATAGTAAGGCTTCATCTGCTGAATCGATCCGTGCGTCTAACGCGATAAATTTGGCCAAGTTCAAATGGAGCGAGCTGTAGCGATTCCTGCCACCCAACGCTTCCACCATCTGACTGGCAGTCAGCGTTACTGGTAACAGATTGTTTGGTGTGACAAACAGTCTCTTGTTGAGTGCACGACGGAGAGCCGACTGGCCCTTACCGCTACGTGTGTTGTAGCGTGCGGCTGAGGACAATGCGCCAAATTGGACTAGGGTAGCATCGAGGCTCGCCAGTTGCGACGCTTTCATGAACTTTTTAAGCGGTTTTGTGAGTGGCTCTGGTGGCTGAATCACTTGTTCGCCATGCTCGACACTGCTGCCGTTCGCGGCGAAGCTCATGGGATCTACGACCTCCACGTTGTTGACGTTAAAAATCGCAGACTCCTGCATGCCCCAATTGTGGTCGCGGGTACGTTCAATGATCTGAACACCGAATTCTGCTTCGAGCGATGACAAGTCGAATATCAGAGACCAGGGAATTTCGGTCCATTCATTCATCGTCTTGCAATCCTCCAGTTCAGTGCGCCACTGTTCTGCTGGATCGTGTGTTCTGCATACACGTCGTAAAATAGTTTTGTCTTGCGCTTCGTATCGTCGTGCGAGCTCAATAAACGGTAACCATGGGTATGGATGGCCAAGGCGAAGCATGGGGGCAATTATGATGCGTTTGGTGTCGTAGGCAATGCGAATGGCGTTACGGAATGCTTCATGTTGCTCTGCGAAATCGCTTTGGTTGTATTATTTTATATAGTCATAGTTTTCTCATTAGTTAGTTTTTGAACTGTATGCGTAGAACATAGTCTCTTATTGATTACCCATGTGGAAACCAGGAGAGGTATCGTAAAGGTAAAGTTGGGACCTGCCCTGCTCCTTTTCCGCCGGCTGCTGGAGGTTGTGGTGCTGCACCTCTTTGTGCTTGTTCGTCTCCTACGACAGGTTTTTGTTGTGCATCGAGGTAAGTAGACGGTGTGGGCTGCTGCAGGTAAGGGAAGACTATGAATATGAGGAAGAATAGTATGAATGCTACACCAAGGAAGTAGACGAGGCGGTTGGTCCGCAGCATGATGGGAAAGGAGAGAAAAGAAGGAGAGAACCTTATTTCATGTTGGACAGCTCATTTAGCATCGGCGATGCGCGCACCTGTACATTTTGTCAGGAAATCAAAGATCCGACTTAATGCGCAGTGAAACAAACATTCCAAAAAAAGCAAAAGTAAGCTTGCATTTGCCACTCTGTCATTTGCATGTCGTTAAGTAAACAGCACCCTCGGTACATGTAAAAACAGGATAAACGACACTTGATTAGCCAAGAGTGACACCGGCACACACTCTTAGAAGTTTAATAAGAACACGTCGTCACAGGCAATAATTTGTAGTGTAGAAGCTGCATTGTCTTGCAGTTATGAAAATAAGCTGATCATCGTCAACAATATTCCTTTTTCGTCAGCAATTTATTAGTATTACCAACGGCAGATTGTTCGTTGTTATTCTAAACAGCGTAATTTCTGATAGCATTTTTATATACGTTTAGTCCTGTATTAGCATCTTTAAAACCGTCTGGGGTTGTCAATAGCGGTAGATGTTGATGGTCATTCCTGATAATAAGTGGAGGTACTTGTATATCCTGTACGCCGTTCTGTAATGATGTGATTCGTGACACCAAAAATGTCTTACCGCCTTTCACATAATCAGTAAAGGATACCTTCTTTGGAGCATGACGGTAAAGCATTATACGATTTCATACGATTACATCGTACTGAGGAGCAATTTTCTTTCAATTAGTACTGCTGCTACCATACACTAATAGTCTAAATGGCAGAGATAGCTGTATTATCTAAACGTTCCAATGCATTCGTTGGAGTGAGCTGAAGCAGTCGTATTTCGCCAAACTCATTAATTACAGTGTACAGTACATTGACGCATATGTGGGCTGTTTGTTGATATTAATGCCCATGTTTTTAAAAATTGATACCCATACAAGGTTCTCCATCAGTTGTGGCAATCAGCTTTCAGAAAAAGGGGCGACTGATGTCAATCATGGCTGTGCATACCCCGCGCATGTACTCTTTGGATGGTATATAGCCGGCATATTTCTTTTTGTCTTCTCTCACAATCACCGTCCTTTATTTCATTTTCAAAGATGCAGAAGGGATTGAACCCTTGATGTGGTTATTCAGAGAAATAGAGATTATGCTTAATTATGCTAATGGACGTGTCAGGAACATACCTCGAGCTCTGATGTGCTCACCCTAGTACTAAATAATGATCATATAATCATATACAAAATTTCCAAGATCAATATCGTTAATCATCATTATCCGACTTATCAACCTTAATGTCAACCTTCCCATGTATCCACTTTGTTATTTTCCATAGCCAGAGGTGTATATATACCATAGTCTTAAATATTAAAGGTTTAAAGCGTCAATTAGTTTCTTGAATTTTGTTTCTAATTCCTTCCTCATCATCTGGTCTCCCACCTTGGTTTTTTTTGTTTTGTCCTGTTCTTGCTGAAAGCACCTAACACATTCTTGTCGGGTCTTTCTGTCATGTATTTTCCTAGTCTTATCTCTGCTCTGTCTTTGTTTTGTTTTGTCTTGTCCCTGTCCGCGTCGTGCAGAAAGTGAGAAAAGCAATCTATTGGTTAGATAATATTAATGAACAAAAGGGTGATATGTAAGTACAGTACAAGTTGCAACAAAGAGATGTGTGGCAGTTCCAAAACAAAAAGAATTAAAACAACCTTGCCGTTAAAATGACTTTGTTTTCAGTTTGTCGCGCAAGGCACGCATTTTGCGACAAACCCAGTAGGAACCATATGTCTTCATCAATATTCCGGCAATCTTTTATTTTCTACCTATTAAGAGGACGATGTCTAATGATCCGGCTGGTAGATAAACTTTTGTACTATCAAGACTGATTAAAGATAATCACAGTTTGTGTAGAAGCTGCTATATAAATCATGAACAATTGTATAGCACCGGCGTTAGCTGGCGCGTGGTTGCGCTACTTGTTGATATGCTTATCACCATTGTCTGTTTACATGAGCATTTTCATTAGAGTAGAAGGTTCCCATGCTTTTACATAAACCTAAATATATTGTCTAACCAGTTGCGTAGTGAATATTTGTATGCCATTGATGTTTAACCTAATATTTTAGTATGATGTCTTAGGCAGTGTAACAATTTGGTTAACCACAACAATGTATTATGAACGCGTTTGCGCTCTATAATTTTAAGAAACCGCCTCGCAGCGAAGGTATTTACAGTATGATGACGCATGCACGGCATCCCAAGTGCCTGTATGATATGTGGTTTTTGGGACTTAAGCTGTAATATGTACATTGGATCCGTTAACGTTCACCCCCCTTCACATATTTTCACACAAAAGTCGGAAAATTGGCATTGAAATTAACGGGGGGACACTGTACGTTGATAGCGCGGCGTCAAAATCCAGAAAAAGCTAAAGAATGTAGTTGGAAACGGAGAGAAGTAATCACAGTCTCTTGGCAGCTATACTTTGTCACACCCATTATGCGCCTTGGTCTATTGTATTTCTTCACTTCAATGTTCGAGTCACAATGCGGACACCGCAGTTTACTGATTGGTACTCGATGATACGGAGACCAAAGGAACACAGGCGGGTGATACAATTTACTAGGATCCGCTTCTTGAACTAGTGCACAAGACGGCAACTTTCGAATATCCAAAATGTACCAGAGCCATACTACTTTGGTGGTTCCTGGAGTGCCTAATATTGACCCCTGCCTTTCTTCAGTTACGCATATACCACACTGTTTTCGATACAGTCTGGACTGTTCTCTGTTTTCGCTGCATTGGTGCCGTCAGTCGCAACTGCAACACATCGACCTCCCAGTACTTCGTCAAAGGCGTGGTAAAATCTGTCTCTTCTTCTTTGTCATCATCATAATAATAGCAATTAATGTCATCTATATCATTTGCGAATCATGACTTTCCCGATAGTTGCTGTTACTATTGCTATCACGATCTGGTTCCAATTCTTTACTGCGGTTGTACTCGCCAGTTCGGCAGTACGCTATTTAACACAATCATTTCATCGTTAAATCGTTAAAGAAGTCTTTTGTTTTTTCCTTGTTTTATTATCAAATATTACTGTACCTCTTTTCATTTGCTCTCAACGTTTGCTCGCGTGAAATCGCTAGACGAGTTTGCTGAAACAACATGCTTACATTTTGACTAGGACGATCCATACCACGGACGATGACAGGGTCATTTCAGTCGGCGACAAAGTCCTTGCTTTTGGAGGTCTCCCTCTCTTCTTTTAACTGCTGTTCCTTTTGCCTGACATAGCGACTCACGTATTGAAGCTAGTAGATTAAACGTATCGTTTGAGCAAAGAAAAAAAAAGAGGCTAGCGCATTTTGGTTTTTGTAGGATGTAATTACATAGAATACAGCCTAACCATTCGCTCCTCACAGAATGTAATTAAGAAAATCATGAGTTCCTATTCGCTCAAGCGTCACCCCAAGAACCGCAACAGAGCTCTTTTTCTTGTAGTGTAAGGAAAAGAACGTCGCACGGTACAGCTTTGAAGTACCACACATATTATAGCGCTAAAAAAAATTCCACATCAGTAATCAGTATCGTAACACGTCCCCACCCTCAAGTCTAAGGCAACCTTCGATATCGTTGACAGTCGTATAGGACTTTTGGGTTCATTGTTAACAGTGAACACTTGTGTGCTCTTAGCCCTCCCCTCCCTTTATCTTGCTATTTAAGAAGTATTAAATGTAACTGATAGAACGAGGTACATTAGTAGTGTGCGGTGGTCAGTGTCACACTCCCTCAAATGAAAGGTAACAGGTCGTTTTTCTCCGCCTCGTGTTGCTCTCGAGTCTCCTTTTCTCGGTTACTATTGTCGGAGATCTACTGCTCTAATGAAGTTGTCGTGAAACGGAGAAACATAATCAAGAACATAAGCATGGACCCACTCGTTCAGCCATACACACATGCACAAGTCGGACCATAACCTTTTCTTTCACTCTCTCGCTCATCGAAATCACAAAACGTGTGGTACCCCCAGCTTGACCCATTGGTGTCACAGTTCACGGACTTCTTAGCTTGCTCCGCGTTCGCAGAGAAGAAAACGCTTATATATAATTATCCAGTTTTTCAGTAGCATCTCTTCTTCTCGAGCTTTATCCTTTTCTTCTACCTACCATTCATTTAAAAGAGAAGAACAACAGCCGAAAACCATGAACTTTCAATCCCTAGATCTGTCTTCGTTCTCTTCGATGGAGAGTTTGGCCTCGTTGCAAAAGGAACAGTGGGCACCTGTCGTTAGTATTGCTGCAGCTGCTGGTTTGGCTGTATATGCACTCTCCACTGCCAACAAGAGTAACAGCGCCACTCCCAAGGGTTACAAGGAGATTCCTGTTGCTGAAGGACGATTGCCTTACTTTGGTAAATATTCATAAGACATTAACAACAGACTCTACCTCTTCTATTGCTGGGCGAAAAACACTTTACTTTAATCATTAGGGTCATGTCGCTATATAATAACATGAAAATTTCATCTAGGCCACTTGCTTTCTCTGGGAGATGTACCTGCCCTTAAAATCACTGAAATGCAACAGAGACATGGTAAAGCAGTTGTGCGGTTGTTACATTCTCTATGAGCAAGCAATGAATAAGATATAGCGAGTCCTTATCTTACTAAATCCAATGATTGTAGGACCTATTATGAGAATTTATATGGGTGTTCAACCTTGGGTGATGATTAGCGACCCACTTATAGCTCATGAGGTAAGTAATATAGCTGCGAGTGAGAAAAAATTTGATACTATGATACTTCCGTGATGCAGTGGCACTGACTGTTGTTGTATGTCCGAATCATAAGATTTTCATGACCAAGGGCAGTATCACATCGGGACGACCTTTCCAGCTTTACACACATAACTATTACTCAATAAACCAGAGGTGTGTACATGGGAGAAAGTAGCTATGAAAGCACGGTAGCTGTCAGTAACACGGTGTCAATGTTTATGACATTTGTTGTGCTCATATTTCTTCTGCATGTGAAATTTTTCAGAGGTGTTGCTTTTCCCAATCCCGGCAAGCGATGGAAGAAGACCCGAACGGCTGGTAAGCTTTTTTTAATATAATGCTCTTCATAGTATAAGGTGAGCAATAAATGTATGTCAGCTGAACCAATTATATGTGTCTTTTCGTTATAATAGCGCTCGATATTTTGGCTCCCAAGAATGTCGACAAGTTCTCTCCCATTCTTCATCACGAAGCCGACTTTATTGTCAAGCACCTTTTGAGCGCCACTATTGCCAACGGTCATGTTGAAGTCATCAAGCCATTCCAAGCTGCCGCCATGAATGTGGTGCTGACAACATCTCTTGGAAAGCGTGCTACATCTTTACAAGACCCGCTTTTCCAGGATATCATCGGCATTGTCGACCAAGGCATGAAGTGGGCTGGTGCTGCCGAAGATATGAGCACATTCTTGCCCATCCTCACTTTCTTGGACGTGATTCACCGCAAGGAGCGTCGAATGAAGGATTTCATTGAGAAACGTCGCAATCCCTTGTTCAGACGTTTGATAAAGGAATCTTTGGAAGGCGATGCTCACTGCTTGGTCAAGTCTTTGTACGAGTGCAAGGAAGAGTTCGATCTCGACGAAGATGCCATTCTTGTTACTATTAGTAAGTAAAACTACAGTGTACATTTGTAGCTACCCTGTTAAAAAATTAGTCACTCATGTATACACCAATAATCAATATCAGATGACATCATTGCTGCTGGTGCCGATACTATCGCAGTCTCCTTATCGTGGGCAATGGTTATCTTGTGCCATCACCCTGACGTACAGCAAAAGCTTCGTGATGAAGTAGATGCCTTTATCAAGGTCCACAACCGCCTTCCCAACTTTGACGAGCGCGATTCACTTCCATATCTCATCTCTGTCCAGAAGGAATGTTTACGCTTCCGCCCCACCACTCCCTTTGGCCTCTTGCATGAAGCTACCGAAGATCGTAAGTTTACAACCATCTCATTATTAGCGAAGTCTTTCGCATGTCTTTTATACTCATATTGGTGTACTTTTAGTTGAGTGCCGTGGCTACTTTATTCCACAGGGTACTGTTCTTGCTTCGAATATGTATGCCATGCATTGGGATCCTGAAGTTTACCCTGAACCCGAAAAGTTCATTGCCGACCGTTTCATGAACAACACCAAGACCATGTACGCCTCTGCTAATTCGCGTATCGAAAACCGCGACCACTACAACTTTGGATGGGGCCGCCGAATTTGCCCTGGTATTCATTTGGTACGTTAAAAGATTACGCTATTACTGATGATTAGGAGCTTGCTTGTCTTTGTGACAATACCTACTAACTCTAGAATCTTTTGATACTACAACGTAGGCTGAAGTTCAGATGTATAACGTCATGGTCCGTGTAATCGCTAGATCGGTTATTGCTCCTGTTTTGGATTCCAAAGGCAGCCCGGTCCTTCCTGATCTTAATGGTGCTCGCGACGCTGGTCTCGTCCTGCAGCCACCCACTGATGATGTTCGCTTTTTGGAGCGCACTGATGCACTGATTTAGAAATTTAGAGCGTTGCTTCCATTATACAAGACCCTCATTTATCATGATAACTCTGATCTTATTATCTTGCCAAAATACACGACGACAAGCACTGGTACACATTCCTTTTTTCATTCCTTTGCTCAGCATTTTATATAGTTTTTAGCAACTTCAATTATCATTGTATGTCATTTTTCCCTTTTAAATAACTTAATGTTCTGCCATTTGTCATCTGTTTAATAAAGTAATACCTATGTGATACCAGATATTAATTAAAGTAAGCTGAAAAACGGTATTTTTATATATAATCCCATCAGTCTCTGTCTATGGAAAAGTGTAACAGCTTTGTATATTGTCTTTCTTTTATACAACATACAGCTGCTACACATGTAAAGCACTTGTTTCTAAAGAAAAAATTAAAAGAAAGGTGTCTTTTAATTTATCAATATTTGAACCTAAAATAACCAAAGATTCCAACGAGCTGGTTCCACCATCACATAATCTTCATCAGGCCACTTTCTCGCCCAATTCTTGAAAGTATGTACCATCTCTGTATATGATTGTGTCACATAGAGTATTTTAAGTTCCTGCTTCCAAAAGTAGTTAATGGTACAGTAATAGTTTTGTAAAGTTCTTCAAGATTACGAAAACGTTAAACAATAACCAAAGAGCAAAATATAATAATAGCTACTCAGAGCTTGTCTATTGAGTGACGCTTGGCAAGTCATTATAAGTTATAATCTTGAACCGCAAGAATCTTCTTCCTAAATACAACAGCGACACAGCAATTTAAGATAGCATCAACATATAGATTTAAAGACTGTGTATCCAAAAGCCTATTATGCAGCATTTAATTCATGCACAAGATAAAAGGGTCGTCTTAGATATCTAATACTGCTGCTGCATAAGGAAGTTTTATGTCTCAAACTGTGGGAAACATATTACTGTATTGTAATGCCAAATAATACGAGTTCTGACATTGTTGTGACGGAATCATCCGTTGCCAGCTTAATGTATTGTTCACGACCTGTATTTTCCTCGGTAGCAATTATTTAGTATACTACCTCCCTAGTTACGGGAATCTTTTTGACAGTATGGTCTATTCATGCCTCTTATCCACAGAAACATATTATAAAGCTATGATAATCACAAATAATGCTCTTCGAAACAAAACAAAGTGGGCAGGGTAGTTCCACCACTTATAGTTTCCGGCGAAGCTCCGAAGAGAAGACTTTGTAAAAAACATCTCTACCGATATCCCATGTTGTTACTGTACACCACTCAATATGCTTCATTATTCTTCTGCTAGTTTAACTCAAAAGGGGGTTCTTTTCCTTCCATGTAGAGAAGAACAATGCCAATAGTATTAATTAAAAATTACTGTAGAAGGTGACAGTCAAAAGCAGTGGAAATAAACGAAGAAGATCAATATTGAAACATCTCTTCCGTTCATCAAAACCAGTTTTATTCATCATTATAAATTTTGTTATACTTACGGGTCAATTTTCAATGGGAAAACGCCCCCAAAAGAGCTGAATAAGTATATAATAGCTCCTATTGATTATTGGATGTTATGTACGTGCTGTCAATGATATCTAACAGTAATTTTGAAATACGCATATACACCGTCCTCCTCACCATTATATGGTGCCACGGTTTAACATTATCTAGAAAAAAAACGATAGAGATAGATATCAAGTAGAAAATTCTCACAACATATGTTTAATGAACGTGTTTTGCGTAGTGTATAATCGATCCTGTTAAGAAGTGTTGAACTGGATTCTTGATGAAGCATTTTTGAGACTTCATTATATATGCTTTACATCCTCACTCTTGATTTTGATGAAAGTTTCTATCCACAGCATCGGTAGTGAAGTTGCGAGAAAAAAAAGCTTCAAAGTAAATCAGTTAATATTGTGGACTTGTGGCTAATCGACAGGGTGCCAGTAGTATGCTGATAATGAGGTTTATGCTCCTTATCAAAAATTGCCGTGTCGACTTTAATGTTGCCGTACTTTTTAAAGGGAGTGATAAGGTTGACACGCTCAATGTATAAGCTTGTGCTAAGAAGCAATTGTAACTGCTAATATAGCTCGGCGGTATGTTGTTTCCTCGAAGCCGCTCACGGTCGAACCATCAAAACATCTTTTCGGATTGTATATAGCGATTGAGCTATTAAGCTGAAGATATACTCGCCTCCTGTATCGTATAACATTGAAATTTGGAATCAATTTCCAGCTTTTCCGATAGTCAGACTGTGCTTCTTTCAATCCTGTTGATAAAGAGGTCATCGTTGGAATTGTTTCCAAGAGCTTTACTTTATTCATGACGCTGTGCGTGATCACAATCTGATGGCACCTCGGTACCTCGCTTTTGCCCTTGTTGACTATCCAAATGTACTCTTTTTTTTTACTCGACATAACCCGATGCTGTGAAGGGAAAGGGACGAAGGATGCATAAGGTACGACCTGCGTGTTTTAATGAACTGTTAGAGAGCACTACTGGTCAAAACAAAAGCTCTCCAATTTGAGATAAGCTTTCTGGAATTCGGCCCGAATGTTTACCCCTTGCTACAGCACAGAGTAAGAGGAGGGATATAAAATGCATTACTGTGCAGCAAGGGGTAAGGGTGCATGCGGGCTTGGGCGTTTCGGTGTACGAGACAGACACAGCATTCCGGTGACAGCTCCGGTGAAGCCGCCGGTGTTTGTTTACGATGGAGTATAACACTCCGTTTGAATAGCAATGACATAATCATATTATATCCATTCTAAGCAATCCAAGCAACTATGGCGTGCAAGCAAGATGATGCTAGCGCCAGGCAATAACGAGGCCAAACAAGGAACAGGAGAGAAAGAAACGTGTTTTGAGTGTATGTAAAGATATATAGTGGCTATAGGAGAACAGCGGTATGACGCGCAGTTGTGATTAAAGATAAATATATATAATATATATGAAAACGGAAGATGGTGGGATGAACAATAAACGGGAAAACAAGAGTGGGAAGGAAAGCAACTTTTTTTTACTGGTACAAGCGGCGTGGAGGTCGGGATCCTGCCTACTCCCCACTAACCCGCTCACTTATTCTTTTTGTTATCTACAGGATTCCTATAGAATTTGGAGAGAAGGAGTCAGTTATCCCAATCTGGGGTAATACGTGCAATTGCAAAAGAAAATTGCACTTACTCTTCGTCGTCGTCTTCGTCGTCACTGCGGGTATCCTCGGCGTTCTTGCCCTGGATGACCCGAAAAACGATTCGGACGATCATGCTGAACCAGTATATCATGATGACATCCAGCAACAGGAATAGTAACAGGTACAGTTTCTGGGTAAATGGAGTAAAGTATTTACCCTTTTCAGGCTCCCACTTCATATCCATGTACTTGTGAGGATCGGCTATATACACATGTATAGACCACCCTGTCAGTTCCAGCTACGAATTCCCGACTCCTCCAACCCTTTGTCATACCTAGCGTCGCCCATATAATCACCGTAAAGAAGCCATGACGTGTCACGGGCCATGCTATTGCAAACGTAGCGAACGCTATGTCACACAAGGTGGTAAAACCCAAATATTTTAAAAGTTTCGCAAACTAGCAAGTATAGTTAATCAGTAAAACCGTACATACACACACGCACAAAAGTACTATCTCTCACACTCTCCATAATTTGTTTCCCTTTTGTCATTCGCACTCCTCCCACACCCAGCGTTATCACAAACACTTACTGCTAAGAGGATATCAGACACGTCCATACAGCACAAAACCGCATTGCCGATGCGAGTGAAATTGGTATAGTAGCTCGACACCAACAAGGTGATCGTGATAAAATGGTGGAATAACATGGCGTAGTGGTCTTTCCGTCGCTTCTCGATGTGGATGACGTACAGTTGCTGGAACCAAAACGCCAGCTGCATCAGATAGTAGTACTTTGTCAGTCGAGTCAAATAAATATGGGGATAGTCGATCCAGTATTGCGTTGTGTCGAACCAGTACGGACTGTTATACATGATGTACTACAGTCATCCCCAGTGAAAAAAGTAATCCGTTTGTTAGCAAACATTGCAAAAGCCATATGCATCCCCCCCCTCATCCCCACTCCACTCCAGATATGTTTCATAAGCGATTTTGCATACCATGCCAAGGGTCCAAAATAAGCTTGAGTAGGTAACCACAAAACCTTGCTCTGCGAATCGCTGTCGTTTGCCAAAGGGGGCGATACCCACTAAGCGGCCCAGTGGATGATATATGTACTTCATGATACTAGCTCTAAGAAACGTAAACGCCACCACCCAGAAGCCCACAAAGTAGAAATCGTCGACGCCCTTGTCGTACGCGTCATGTCCGACCTTATAGGAAAGCATAAGACTTTTGCTGGCTAACGGCGACTCTAGCAGAAAGTGGCCGAGAACAACCACAGCTGATATAAGTCCAGTTATTTCTAGAAAACCCAACAACGAATCTACGATTAGCCTCCTCTTGACATGCTTAAACGCGCACCTTGCTGTGGTTTTTTTTTCTTTATTCTCTTTTCCGCACTCTCGCCATCCTCCTCTTTTCTTTTCTCTGTCCCAAAATCTTCTGAGTGTGTGGAGTGTGTCAATGGTGCTTGCCTAGTTCGAAATTCAGGACGCGCTCCGAAATGGTCTCCGGCGCGGCGCCAGTCTTTGCAGGTTTCGTGAGCGTAGCCTCTTTCCTCTTGAGGTCAGTCATCGGTAGGAGGTGAAAGAGATGTGGGGGAGACGGGAAGGGAAAAAGAGCAAGGGGTGCTGGGGCGAAGTTTTTGCGCCGAGGCCGCGTTTTCACTCTTGGCTTCTGCGTAATTTTTTAGGTCATTTTTGTTTCTCAGCTGAGGTTTTCTGATTCTAGTTTCTTGATGTCTTGCCCCATTTTTTTAAAACCTAACAACTACAACATGTACAGGGCGATGCAGGTTGCTCCAAACCAACTTGGGAATTACGTGTCTTGAACGCGTATTCTTGCCCAATCGCTCCGTTTTCTATTATCGGGGGAATCTACCACCGTCAGCAAAGCAGCGTCGGGACGTTCAGAGGAATACACTTCTTGTAACGACTCGTTTGACTGATGGTCGGCTCGTTCGAGCACTAGATACTACGACCATGCCAGAGCACCGACACATATCATCACTGCGGGCCCGCTGCGTCTCGGATCAAAGTGCTGTGAGGATCCTCAAAGCTAGACAGGAATCGGTAAATAAAATAGGGACTTGATTTAGAGAATAGATGTTACAGAGAGGTCCAAGAAGTATGCTTCTATTTATATCACTGGTTCTCAGGATATTTTTAATACCCTCATTTATTGAATGTAAAGTCTCATCCTGGGCATTTGCCTCTTTAACCTTCGCAACACTAGCTTCAGGTGCTTTGCAAAGTAGCTTGGACGATGTCAAATTTGCTGTGGCGGATGGTCTTCCCCATGATCTAGCTGATTGTTACACTTGGCATCCAAGAAACTTTTATTTCCAAACATGGCAGGTGTCCCTGATGGAGTGTGAAATCCCAATGGCCGCCTTGTCATTGGATTATTTAATTGCATTGGCAGTAGTCTAAGCCAAATCGTATCTTGGGAAAATAGATAAGTTATCCTCAAAAGCTGATGGCTCTGAAAGGATGTGGCACAAGTGTGTAAACGTAGCAGCGATGATGGTATGTAGTAATAGACACTGTTTTATTTATTTAAAAAATAACGCCCTTGGTGGAGGGGACCTGACTGCCGCTATATTGATGATGATAGGTTAGATATTTATACTTTGGTGGCACTCTATGCTATACTAGCTGCTACTACGTACCCAGTTCTTTCGACAGCCTGCTTGATCGCCACAGCCAGGGACTTGAAGGCCGACTCGGACCTTTTGATAAACAAGCTAAATTTAGTCACTTATTCCGAAACCACTCTTTTCTGCCTTCTTCCCTTAATGACCCCGCCAAGAACGAACAACACTTTACTTGTGATGGTCGTTGGTGCCCTTCAATACATCCACATGAAGGGTAATGCCTGCAGCAAACGCAAACGAAAGCAAAACGTGAGGAATCATTTCGGTTGACAGCGTGCCGATCATTTCGCGCTTCAAATCCAGGTTGATATCAGCGAACGGGCGTCCGGAAATATCGACCACAGATCGTGAAAGTGCCTAATTTTAAAACATTTCTATGAGTCTCCCACATGATCATCCTCGACTTGATCTTTATCTTCTTGTGATATGTCTCCTTGATCCACTGTTCATACCTCGTCAAGAGGGCAGAAAGCCGAACCGAATCGTCTGATGCCCCGTGGCGTACCGAGAGCCTGCTTGAACGCCATACCGAGGGCGATGCCCGTATCTTCAGCTGTGTGATGGTCGTCGATGTGTAGATCACCTTTACACTTGAGAGTCAACGACCAACCACCGTGTTTTGCAAGAGCATGATACATCTTATCCACACATATTAGCAACTAGGAGAAACCGCTGCACTTCTACCTCGTCACCAAGGAGATCGTAGCCTTTTGGCTGTCGCTTACATGATCAAGGAAGCCAATGCCAGTGTCAATGTGGATCTGCTGATCGAGACTGGCATCGAGATTAATGTCCAGCTGAATGTCGGTCTCGTTTGTTTTTCGGTTAACGGTTGCTGTACGTGCTTCTGCCATTGGTATGTTTAGTTTTAGAAATATTAAAAAAGGTTGTATGTAGTGTGTGATATTTTTTTTTTTTGGTCAAGCCAGGTAAACCAATCCGAGATTGTGAGTCATACTCCGATTCTGTTGAAGGCTGCTGTATGTAATATCAATGAAACATGAGTTAATTGGCTTATGCCAAGTTTATATTTTTTCTTTTTGTGCAAAGAGCAGTCCAGAGCAACCATTGACGGTAATCTTCTACTGTATACGACGCTCTTGCATATCTTTCATGCCAGGTATTATGTACATATTGTATTGCGCTCCAAGATAAGGATGCTCCACCAGTAGTCGGTGTTTGTACTACACAGCTTTCTAGGACTATAAAATGATACTGATAAGAGGGAGCCAAACTGAATAGCCTGATATATTTCGTATACGTGTGGAGTATCTACGGGCAGCATATGCTTTTTTTGGGTTCGGTAGTATGTAGAAGTAGAAAAATGGAGAAAAAGAGACGCATTTTGAAGGTGAGAAATAAGGGGAATATGATACATCAAGAGGTACGGAAATGTTCTGTTGGAATGATATGATTAGATGGGTTGGGAGAAGACTGTATTAGTAGACTTCAGTTATCGGGGTAGAAAGTAGTCTCAACAATGATGCCGGTGACGCGGTAGGGGTCAATGTTTGAAGCAGGGCGTCTGTCCTCGAGATAGCCCTTGCCTTCCTTGCCGACGTGGCGAGGAATACGGATGGAAGCGCCACGGTTGGCAACACCGTAGTTGAAGGTACCAATGTGGCCGGTCTCGTGTTGGCCAGTCAAACGCTGGTCATTGTCGTCACCGTACACGGCAATGTGCTCCATATGACGCAAGCTCATCTTCTTGATTGCCTTTTCGATGGCAGCGATACCGCCTTCCTTGCGCATTTCCTCGGTGGAAAAGTCTATGGAGAAACCGTGTTTGTGTTGAGTTTTTCTTATCCCTGTGTACCAATACTAATGACAAACAAACTTACTGGTATGGCAACCGGCGCCGTTCCAGTCACCCTTGACAGGCTTGGGGTGGATGGTCACTGCAATGCCAAAGTCTTCGGCAACACGCTCCAACAAGTAGCGGGCGGCCCACAATTGGTCACCACCATCGATACCTTCGCAGGGACCGACTTGATATTCGAACTGGCCGGGCGCAACCTCAGTGTTTGTGCCCGAGATATTGATGCCAGCGTACAAGCAGGCACGGTAGTGAGCCTCGACGATATCACGACCAAAAATCTTGCCAGCACCAACACCACAATAGTACTTGCCCTGTATACGCCAAACCATTGCGAATTTTCAGTATGTGATGCGTTTGATTCTCCTCCTTTTTATTATATCCTCCTTGAGATCAAAACTAACCTGAGGTTCAGGGAAGCCGAGCTTGGGCCAGCCGTAGGGCTTCTCAGTCTGGGGATCCATGAGCATGTATTCCTGCTCAATACCGAACCAAGGCTTGGCATCAGCGTGAGCCTCCATGATCTTCTTGCAGGCGTGGCGGTAGTTGGTTTTGTGGGGAGTGCCATCAGGGTTGAAGGTCTCGCAGATGGCAAACTTGTTGTCGCCACCACGGAAGGGGTCGGCGTACAATGCAACGGGCTGGATGAGGACATCAGAATCATGGCCCTCGGCTTGGCCAGTAGATGAGCCATCAAAGTTCCATTCGGAGAGATCAGAAGCAGACTTTGGGACCTTGGTCACGGTCTTGGTCTTGCTACGGAGCTGGTTGAAACCATCGATCCAGACATACTCGACCTGGACGGAGCCCTTTTGGTCAAGAGCAAGGTACTTATTGAGGATAGCAGCGTTGGAGACGACAGACATGGTTGTGTGATAAGAGAAGATATGTGCAGTATAAGTGAATAGAAGAAAAAGAAGCTTGTTTCCAAGATGAAAGACTGCACCTTTTATATCGAAAATAGCGCGAGGTCTATTCGGGTCCTGATCGATGTGATTTGATTCCACTAAATGCGGCAATCCCCCGTTTTCCACTTATCTAAGCTTCCACCCAACTCCTATCTTGCTTTTCCACCTAATTGCCCGAAACCAAGGGCGCCCTTGTTTACTCTTTGATGAAACAGCAACAACCCAATCCAACCCAACCCTGCCACAGCACTCCCCACTGTCTAGGATCCCCATACACGCCAAGTCCCGTTATTTTTTGTGATGTCTCTAGGCATACAACAGGGCTGGGGCGTGTTTTGACCTTCACCCTTTCGTTTTTATCAAGCTATTTCCTATATGCAGCTTTGCAAATGGGAATAAATAAAACTATAGTATATACCCGGAATCGGACTTTCCAAAAAGGAAGTTCTTATCTTTTAAGCACATGTTGCTCCGATAACGCACCCAAAAAGCAAATCTTATCAAACCCGCTTGACCCCACAGGTCACCCCCAGACTCTGGCTGCTTCGCTCTCTTTATTTGTGTGTGCACTAGCATCATGGTTGCAAGCTAGACCGGCTAATGACGATAGCAATATGCAGTCGTGAGGGCCTGTGTGGTGCAGAGCCAAAAGATTATCGTTATCTCTTTCTCAAAGTGTCCCCATTCATAGGTCCCACCCATCTTATCAATAAAGAGTATAAACAACAGCAAAAGTGTCTCTCTTTCACTCCCTTAGCAGTGCGCTGTCCGATGTATCGGTCTGCACCCATCCTTATGAGGAAGGAGTGTAAGATACAAGTTAGCAATCCTTGATAAACATTTTTCCCTCCTTTCCTATCCCTTCCTTGGATTTTTTTCATGCAGTTCGTCCCATCATGCACGATTTCCACGCAAGTCGCCCACTCTTCCTTTAAAAGCAACAGACTGCTGTCAGGTGATAGGTATATTTGACTGCACGTCTGAGCTGAGAGATGATGATGATGATGTATTGGCGCTCATCTGATCAGAGCTAGTACAATTTCTCTTATCTTTTTTCCAAGGTTCACACGTAGCACCATTTGTCTTGATGGAAAAAGCCGTACGTATACTGTCATACATGTAAGCTGATAAGAGAGAAATACTTGTCATGGTCATACATGAGTTTTACTCCTCATTCTCCTATTTTGTCGATGATCGCCATCATACAGAGAGGTGATCAAACAGATTATAGTGGATACATGATGTACATAATTATAGATGCAGCACGAAACAGACAGGTTTTCCTTCCTAAATTGATAAAGCTACCAAGTAAAACAAAGCATCTCGAGCTCGTTTAGCAATTATATTGATCCCTGTGTTCACAGGCCGAAATTTGTTATCTTACCCTAAATGTTGAAAAGTGTTATCTGACTGTTTTGTATTCATGCATATGGAAGCATAGCGAGGCATACGGCATTTTCAGTTGCATATCAAAGTTAAAGCTTCTAATGGTAGCAATAATGTTAATATATCGTCTTTGATGCAAACATTCAAAATATAGAGAAGAAATATGAAAGATCTAGACTATCCATCAGGATCTGGTCAGTGCCCCAGCCCCAATTTGCTTTTATTTTGTTTCAACAATGTGATGCAAACAATTATACTTTATTAGATGTACATCCTTAAAATATTGACAAGGCTGCCCGTTGTTGATGGTATAAATAACGACAAAAATAATAACAATAACAACGCCGCATGTATAACGCAACGACGAAGGCTGTTTTTCAAGTCTTCCACCAGGAAGCGGTATCTCTCAATGTATATATCCCCTCAGAGAAAGAAACGACCTTGCTAGGGACAGGTGGCACGGGAACCCTGACTGATGTGCAATGAATCCGGTTCTATGTAGCACGTAATTGCAACAATTGACGTATATCTACGCACGCACATCCAGATACCAGGTCACCAGAAAGAACAAAAAAAGATTTCCAAGTCGGTTCTGTTAACTATAATGCGGCCCGCTTTCCCACAGTCCTCCGGCGTATCGTCAAAGATCCATCCTCACTACTGATGTTATACTCCTCATGCCCATCGTCCTCGTTCTTCACACCATGAGGCGTTGGATACAGGAATGCATTCGCAATACTTATTGGCATATCGTGTAATTCTGGCATCCAATCATCTGGTCGTTCTTCCTCGTGCTGGCAGCTGTCAATTCGCATGACGTTGGCGTGTTCATCTGATTTATTGATGTTCGTCATTTAAATCCAATGATGCACGTAAATCTAGTTTCACTTTGGCATACGTACCTGTGAGACAATGATACGAATCAAACGGTGCGGTGTTCATGAGATTGATGCTCATAAAGGAAAAGAATATAAACCATACGAGGGTCATCAGCCATACAGGTATGGCCAGTGCCCAGTATCTAAGTAGAAACGTGGATCAGATGACGGTGTATCTTAAAAAACAAAATCTACTTGCACATGTACCTTTTGGGATAATAGGTAATTCCAAGACTGTGTAGGATTTCATCGGGTACATACGCCCAGATCAAATAGATGCCTGTGTAATTGTGGTCAATCTGAGTTTACCCGTAATGTTTGCATAACGTTCTCACTTTTCTTCCTTTATATATTTACCTAGTGCAACAAACGAAGCAAGATACATGACAAAACCATAGTACTCGTAAATAGGTGTCTTGGTAGTAATAGCTACTGGTGGCGCTCGTTCAATTGGATGAGATACGGCTGGGATCCTGCTACAATAATTAGTTGGTTAAATAAGATCACATCATAAAGAGAAAGGTCGGGATGCGATGTTGACTTACTCGGAATAAGACCGTGGCCGATGACCCTTACGGAACTTTGTAGAATCGTCACTCGCTGTCGCTGCTGGGTCGCTTGATTCTCCGGTTGCAGATATGGTTTTCGATATATCCACCGGCTTAGGTGGTGTACTTGTTTTACGTTTGGTCCCGTATTTTGTACTAAGAAAACTGCTGAACGAATTCCGTCTCTGGACAGGACTAAATTATAAGATAAAACGATATACATATAAGCACCAAGGACACGTTGACATTTGTGAGGTGTAAATACGACTACTTGCGCGCTCCTCCTCTCTTCAATATTGGGCGATGGTGTTATTGCAGGTCGAGATTGTTGACTTGATCCACGTTGCATGCGTATACCAGGACGTTTGGATAAACTTGCTGTAGCGAGAAGTGCATAGTTGACGAGTGCAGGAAGAGATGGCGTTGAGCGCGATGTTAGCAGTGATGGTCGCGTGTCATCGCCTTCTGATGCAAAATGTTCATTGTGCTCGTGTTCTTGTTCCTGAAACCTTGTTTTCTTAGGTTGATCAAAACCATCGCTCATGGCTGCTTTAAATTGAAAAGAATTGAACCAACAACTATTTGTAAACTTCAGCGGAACTCGAGCACAGCTCTTGCCATAAATGGCACTCCTTCACTGAAAAGTGTAATGTTAGATAAATTGAACTGTAGAGCATAGCAATGGGGTCAGAAACACTGAACATGCGTAAATTAATTAATCTAGTATTTTTTATTCATAAAAGTTATGACATTGACTTTAGGGACATTTGATAATATTAGGGTGTGTCAGAATTCAGGTTTATGAGAATATAATAACGTCTTTGTGGCCATAAACATACTTTTGCGCCACCATATAGAGGAAGTGAGCTAGAGCCAATAAGGAAACAATGCCATGACCGATACCAAGCAAAAGAAAGGGTGCACCTTTCATCCATACGTCAAAGAGAACGCCACCAACTTTAGAGACGATGATGATACCGATACAGCCACATAAAGAGTAGATGCCTGCCACGCCTCCACGGTATTCTGGTTTGACGGTTTTCCGAGAGATCATACTCATACCCGCGGTGATCATACCTACATATACACGGGACCGTAAAATTAGTTATCAAGGCTTTTACAAATATATCAAAACTACTATTACTGCTATGTGTACCTACCATATTGGCCCATTGCTAGCAAAATAATAAAAGCCAGACTCGTATTGGCAGTAGGATCGATCGAGAATGCAAACGGAATACAGCCAGCAACACCAATACAACCAGCGACAATGAGAGACCACTCCTTCGAATACTGACTACCGATACCAAAAAATGGGGCGATGACCAAGGCTACTGACTGAGCGATACCGGTCATGGTATGCGTGGTCGATGAGGCGTAAGGGCAATAAAGCCCAACTTGACACTTGCCAGTGTCGATATAGTACTGCTGTATCCACAAGGAGATAAAATTGGATATAATAACCTCGTCAGCGCGTGCGAAAAAGCTGGATGCATAGCCAATTGCAATACGTGGGTCTTTTGCTGCGAGAACACCATGTCGCAAGTCATTGTACGCTGTGCTCCATCGTGTTGTCTTGTTGCTGCTGTTATGGTGGATGGTAGCATCAGTTACAGTTGGAGTAGCAGGGGCGTTTTTGGGTGTAATGAACCAAAAGATAAATCCAAGGGCAATGGTGACGGCTCCAATAACGGCGTAGCCATAGATAATAAGTCGAGGATCATTGGGAGAACCGACCAGATGGGACATTCGTGTCGGCACCGTAAAAAGTACAAATGCGGCGAAGATAGCGCCTAAACCCGAGCACGTTCCGATCAACCCAGACACCATTCCGCTACGTTCTCCATGTACAATATCGAGCATAAATGCTGCCATCATGCACGTCGTGCCTGCTGTTCCAATGGAGTAGATAAATTTTAAGAGCAAAAGAGTTGGATAAACGTTGGGTGCGTATGGGTAGGCAATTACGATGACTCCCATAATGACGATCGAAGCCGAGTTGATCGTTCGTTTTTCAAAGTGATCGGATAAAATTCCCCAGCATACAACAGCCACCATAGATACGAATTCGGAATACATGGATAACGAGCCAGTAATATCGCCTGAGTCGTCGTCGACCTTGAGTAAAGTTGCAAGTGTCCACGATTGTGCAGCCGCAAAGTACACAATAACGGCTAGTGAGGTGAATACGGAAAAGAGATAAAAGAAGAATTGGATAGGGTGGACGTGCGATTGCATTGGAACAATCCATAGAAATTTACGTGGCTTTGCCTCTTGCTGCTGTTGACCATCTATAGCTACACTGCTGCTGTCGCGATCTGCCATGGCCATGTCATCGGGATAGTAGTAGGGCTCTCCCGCTACAGTAGCTTGCTCCTTGGTGGTATAAAGATCGCTGTCATGGTCCTGTATCGTCTTTTCCGAAAGCGCCATCTTTGTTGAACTGGACAGCTACTTGCAATGAAACTCTGTTGTGGTCTGTATGTCTGGGTCGAGGAGGGTAATAAGAAGGTTACTGAGAGTAATCTGTCATTTATTGACACAAAAAGAATAAGGAGCGCGGTGAAGGCCGGAGAAAAAAGTGCTTGACGATATTACTTTACAGTACCACGCCTTCTTGAGATTCGATCTGATCTGATAACTCTCATCTCTCCACAACCACCATGCACTTTTTTGGATTTATTATTCCGGAATATTGCGCCCGTTTCTATAATCATCGCTCGCTAAAGCTGCGAAAGTACAGTTGGTAGTAGACGTATTAATAGACTGAGTAAGTAGAATCGGTATCGCTACTAACAAGATGAAGTAGCATAGATATACAAATATTACAAATTGTATGTTTCATTCAAGGTACGATATATATTGAAAATGCCCAAGTCTATAATTTCTAAGCTGTATGTATCATGCATAATAGGAAAAAAGGTTGCATCTTGTATCTTGTGTAACTTTTACTAACCGTAATGACCGCTTATGGTATTTTAGAACCAGAAACGCGCGCTCTTTCGCTCTTATAAGCAACTAAAATGGAAACAGAAGTATACCAGGGTGGTGTACATGCACGATAATCGATATGTACTTTTTTGTGCTCCATTGACCCGAAAAAATGTTGTCTTTTCTTATCACCACTTAGTAACATCCAAAGAAACTCCAGTACAAACAGATAATACACGTCTGTACCTCTTGCATAAAGAGCTAGGGTGTTTGCCACGCTCACATACTACATTTGAAATACGAACAAATTTCAATTGCACGAATGTAGCTAAGGCAATGAAACACGTAACGGCTAACTGGGTTTGTGTAAACGTCGAAGAGGCAGTTTTTGTACTTCCATGCCCGACGCGTTGTTTGTTACCATTGTACCTCTTTTTTGCGGGCATTGACTGCTCGTTATCAGATCTGAATTTGACTTTATTGAGGAGAAGCATGTGAGAGCCGTGCGAAAATACCAAATATTAATTGAAAAGCAGAAGTCAATTTTATACGCAGCAAGTAGCCCTTTCGGCGGTAATTTTCCTTCTTCAGCATAATTTGGCTTTACTACCTCCACCCACCTATAATGCGATAATTAAAGCAATGATCATGAAGTTCATTTCATAATCGCGCAGCAAAAGGTCACTTTTAATGATTTTCAAAAATTAACAATGGATATTGGACATTACAATCAGACATTATATTTTTTAACCAAACTTCGCTTATTTTCGAATGTTTAAAATCACCAATTATGGACCCATGGTGTCTCCGCAAAAGGAGAAAAAAGTTTGTACCACTTTTCGGTAATACGACTCAAAGCGACAGATCTGATAAACTTGATCCCGGATACCAGGGATGGATCCCATCACCGCGGGATCGGAGAACAAGGGAGCTTTCTAATATATAATGGAACAAAGAATATGTCGCTACCATCCATTCGTATACAAACAAACAAACAAAGCTAGCAAATATGCAATTAATCACATCATCTGTCGTCATTGTCCTTGGTTACTTCGCAGCATCCGCTGCCGCTGCTGACTGCAATCCATCCTATAACGTTACGGCGGGCCCAGAATGCATTAGCAACTGCAGACAGGTAAGCGAATTATTGCTACTCTTTTAAAAGCAATCATAATGAATTAGAGTTGCATTATTATTCGTTACTAATAACAAGTTCGCACTATTACTTTTTATGTTACAGAAAGCTGGCAGTGCCATGTGGTCTGACTACACCACCGATCCTACTTCTCCCAATTATATTGAATCACTGTCCTACGAGTGTGTGAAGGGAACGCCAACCTATACCACGTTCATGACCCAATCCGGCATTTGTATGATGAGCTGTAGTTCCGATGATCAAGCAGACTATGGAAACCGTGAACATACTGAAGCATGCGCCTGGTACACGGAACACAGCAGTGATACCTGCGCTGGTGCCAGTGGAAGTGGCTCCACTGCTTCAGCCTCCGGTAGCGATGCTTCAGCCTCCGGCAGCGACTCATCAGAAGAAACGACGGACGAATCTGCTGCAAACAGTGTTAAAATGGGTAGCTTGATGGTTTCCGTCGCTGCTGCAGGTGTTGCCGCCTTGTTACTTTAGATAGATTTATACATACTTAGCATAGCTGTTAATAATCCATGTACTCTCTATATTTTTAAATTATGCTTGCCCCATTATAAAAAGATGATAAACACTAGATAAACAAATGTATCGCGACGTGTATAATAATCACACTAACAATAGTCACGACTACTACCCTAATAAAAACCAAGATATTTCTGATATTGTATTGAGAGTGTAATTTCTACCCTATTCGTTCTGTTGCTGTGGGCTTCTTGCTGAAGGTGGTAAATTCGTAATGACCTGTTAAAACATCTTCTAAATTGGTTCCGGTACTATGTACTACAAGCAAAATAGCATTGCTCGTTTTAGCGAGTTTTGCAAGCAATACGAGTATATCTATCAATCCAAGCACGTCACAGACAAAGAATGCAGCAAGGCAAATTTGATCATTCCTAGCTGGTATGCTTTATTGGCAACAACATGTGCTCCTGTCTCCATGTGTAGTCAGCTGCATAACATTTCCAAAACCGATATACGTAACAAGGTAGATTTATCAAAGATAATACAAAAGTAAAAGGAGGTAGTGATTTTTCTGGTTAGGAGCGAAGAAAGCTCTTTGTCTCCTATATTTGCTGTTGCCTGCGATATCAATATATGTACCCGACTTCCTCGTTCTGTTCGTTCCAATCATAAGACAATATTGTGCATATGTATCTTGAAAAAAACTTTGATTTTTGCAAAAGCTATATAACTTGACATGATGACCATTTTTTTGTAAAGAAATATAGCACCACGCACTGTCAACCAAATGATTATGACGATCTTGTATTTATGCTACTATGCTGTTTTCCTAAAATGTCTTAAGTCTATTCACGATAAATGAAAATGCATGGACTTGATACGCGTTTTTAATATCTCAGAACAAAAATTAATGACCTAAGATACATGATCAACTGAAAGTAGTTTTTCTTGAACAAAAGTAAACATACATGGATTGTGCATGCCATCATACTTGTTATGCGTACTATCTTTATTCCACGTGTCCATCAAGAAATACATGTTTTAAAGATGACTGCTAAAACAGCAAGTTAGGTAACAGCATTTTGATAAGTAAATAGCAAATGGGGATGCTGGAGAAAAATTAAAGAGAGTTAAAATCTGAAGATGCGTGCATCTGCAGCAGACTATACCTAATGGGTGCTCAACTCAAAATGGCAAAATTATAGGGTTTGCCACGGTATCTTCACTCCCCTTTGGTACTCCAAACAATCTGTGAGTCTATATATTGCGGACATATAAAAGCGACACGACGTGCAACAACATTAACAACATTTGTATCATTTGTCAAATACCACTCCTTTCTCGCCAAAATACGCGTAAGCTATAGCCATAAGCCCTTTGCATATAAATTTTATACATTCGCGTGCTATCGTTATTGGTGTTCTCACAGGCTTGTTTATTAGCACCATTCGTTTTTATCCGCCTTGTCTACTGTTATTCCTTTGAAAATGAGCGATAATGCTAGCATCCACAACAATCCCTCCTCATCAATACAACAATGGGAATTCGAACTTAGACGGATTTTGGAATACGCCTATTGCCACAACACATCCCATGCCGAGCAATGGACGATGCTACCCAATACATTTATTGAGCAGTTTACTTGTTTAATTACAGATGTCTCTCCCTCACATCCTAACGGCCAACATTGCTCATCGGCATCATCGATTACTACCAGCGACGCGGCATCGATAACGTCATTGCTATTGTCGCTCTCGGATAACACTTATTGCCAAAACAACTACATTATGAGCAGCAGCTGCCCGTCATATCTTGAAGCTTTCGATTCATCTCCGAGAAGAGCATCCGCCTCGAACCATTCCTTGCACAGAACCACTCATTCAACACACCCGTTACCAATAGCAAACTCCACAACACGCCGAACATTGCTCCATCGGCCGTCATATAGCTCCTCTAAAGCCAATGATACCAAGCACGCAAACGAAAACACAACATGTTCTATATGCAATTGGACGTTCACGAGGCCACAAGATCTCAGACGGCATTTGCAGACAACAAAAGAACACGCGCAATATCGAACGTATTTCTGCGAACTGTGTGGACGATCATTTTCGCGCGCAGATGCTGTCTCCAGGCACAAAAAAAAAGTCAAAGCATGTAGCAGTGCTTAGATCTCCTCAAAGATGTATTCCCACAGATCATGTATAGGCGCATACACTCTCTTATTTCATGTATTATTCTTGTAAGGCAATCGGCGCATAAATTATATTCATCATGATGTGATATGAGCTTTTAAATAAAACCAAACTTATTTACATCCTGGCTTTCAGAGGCAGTGTCCAGTGTTCGATTTTATCGTGGAAGAGTTGCTTAACGGACATTTATATAACGACGATGAGCACGTACTACGATAAAGGAAACAATTGTAGTGACTGGCTATATAATGAGAAGCACAAAAAGAAAGACGCCAAATATTAAGAAGTTTAAAAGTCAATTTTAATGCGTGCACCCTTTCTCACATCCCGTGGCACACGGTCATTGGCTATACATACTACATCCGTCATATTTTCCTGTTTATCAAACAAACGAAGGTTCTAATTGTATTCTGCAAGAAGGCGCCCTTATATACCTTAAGTATGCATCATATGCAAAACAAGTTACGCTGTGTGACAAAGAAAAAGGCGTTTATTGATGGTATGTTCTTATCATTAACGGCTCTCGGCTCTCGGACTAGAGAGAAACCTGGCATTTGTTTATGGTAATGTTGGCTGCTGTTATTTGTACTGCAAAATACTCTGACCAGTGTGATTGATGTAGATCGTATACAATAGCTCGCCATGCATGCTTCTTATTTCCTGCTCTGGTATAGCTATAACTTCAATTTTTTGTTCTGAATAAGCAAACACTTGGTTTGTTCTTCTTGATTCATTGATATAGTAAGGCTGTTCACAGAACACTGGAAACTATTTTCTACTTTCATTAGGGCGCTTTATGATGCTTTGTCCTCTGTTCAACGTTTGCTATTCGTTGCTGGGTGATCAGATGAAGATGATGACGTTTATCTAGAAAGCTTGTAACTGTTTATTGTAATAGCGCTTTACTATAAAACTGCCACTGTTGGTTCCATGAACTAAGCATGTCATGTGATTTCCCATATTCACTTTCGACAGTTACTCAACAGAAATATAGCTATGTGAATGCGTGAAGGGAGCTGACAAAAGCAATTAATCATCTGACTGCGAACAAACATTGAAAGCTGTGCTCTTTCGAGTCTTCAGACTTAGCGTTTATCATCCTGTTTCACAATAATGTAGCCAGACTGCATTTGTTACTTATACACCTTTATTTTGCCTGTATTCTATCACTACTTGTTGGTATTAATTTATAAATTAATTGAATGCTGCGAAGAAAATGGTTTGAAGGGGTTGAGTGTAACTTATTTGATGTGAAGTTTTATCTGAAGAAAATAGTATTCATCTTCCGATCTTCGCCGCTGAACTGCGAGAGTGAGTTAAATGCCACAGGGTCCTGCCAACAATAATAGAGTCCAGTCAAGATATGGTAAGAAGATCTAATTTTAGATGCTCCTGCCTTATAATAACCCTGATCCATTGATGTGCATTTTCATGCAGGAAGGCGATGCGCTGCCGTGATTGTTAGCGATCAAAAACTCTAATCGCTCTTTTGCTCCCTAAAATAACCAGTGCACCTACTACTTATTCGACAAATGGGCTTTGGAAGAACATACTGCTCATTTGTTTTCTTGAAAGCGGCAAGACACCTAAATCGAAAAAGACATCATACAAACACGTCATTATGATAATCTTCTTAATGCCCCCTCCTCCACTAATAGCTATAAAACTTATTGTTCCGAGCGAAGAAAAGGATACGCGAGCAGTGATCGTGGTCACCATAATGTCGGGTGCTTGCAGTCGAGAGGGCTGCTCATATTTCCAAAAATAACACCACCGATTCAGGGTTTATTTCTTCAGGTACTCCACAATATTATGTAACACCGCAGCAAAACGCTACGCTGATCAATCAAGGGTCGGCGGACATGCATAGGCTTCCTCAGCATCGGGTTTTTAGTTCATAGTACAGTAAACTCCTACGATCCCCTTCGTATTACAAGCCTTAAACGACATGAGAGAAGAAGCACAGCGTTTAAATAAACGAGATTAAATCTTTGGCAACTTTTGATTGTATTGCGTTTGTAGCCTGTAACAGCCCTAGCTACTAAAACAGTTTACTCGAACGCCAGAACAACAGAACATCAATCTAGCAAAGATGTATTATACTGTACCCGCCTTCCATGAGATGGTAACTGCTAGACTCCGTATATGTAGCCCGTCAATCACATAACCATGCTTAATAGCAAAATTTCACCGAAAGTGCCACCGAGGTGGCAACAACTATTCCAACCATAGATTGTGGTACAATGCATAGAAATGAGTAACGTTTATAACGGTGTTGCTGTCCAGAGCTTACCTGGAATTGCTGAATGTCTCGTGTGAGCACGCTGGTACCCAAATTTGCCATTTTATCATCTGATGTTTAATTAAACAGCATAATATTAGCAAAGGCACTTCTACTTACACACGTACACTATGTATTCCTTTTATGCACATTTTGCATCGTTGTGTTGCTAACTGCTGGGTTCGTTCTTCTCGTATTTCTCCTTACTTTGGATCGATCGCTCTCTTCCGAAGAAACCCCACATAGAAGCTAGTTCACACTTAAAAGAGAATGCATATTAGAGAAAAGGGTAATGCTTACTTATTACCTAGAGAATGTGTTTGAACATCGAGAACAGACAATAAGGGAGATACTCCCGGTCCTCGTCCTCTCTTGCTGTCAAAAGGTTCCCACGTGTATTTGTTGACTTAAACGACAATGTACGTATCTTGATCCAAAATTTCTGGCAGCTGTTCTGTTATACTAAGGGGTGAAGAACATGACTATCTTGCTTTTAACATCATAATAAGATAATGTTATATATGAGAAAAATGATTTGGAGTTTGTATCATGGTGATGTGCGGCAGACTTCTTCTTGCAGACTGATGCTTTATTAAATGAAGACATTTTTGTGGAATAATGCTAAGATTTTAAAACATATTTAGAGGGAAAAAGTAGCGTACATAAAGGGACAAAAGAATCAGGCATAAAGGTACAGTAGCATAGCAATTTGGTTTGAGCGTGAGAGCTTATTGTACTCGTATATTTTTTATGTCTTCCGCTGTCGTAGCTCAAAGTAAGTACAGTATATGTATCTTGTATCTAGCAGTGCTGACTTGATGTGTTGGAAAAATGTAGGATATAGAATGTGTCTAATACAGAACCATAGCATTGTCGTCAGTGATATCGGTTTGTGGTATGACCATTCCTGCATCCCGGAGTATCCTGAATAGTCGACCGAGGCAGCTCTTGTTGGCTTGATGTTTTTTTTGAATATCGGGTCGCGTAAACATCTTGCCACAAATGGGGCATTCGCAGTTGGCAATGTCCTTGTTTCTGTGGGCTTTGCTAGAACGGATGTGGCGCTTTAGATCTCGGCGGCGTGTGAAACTCTTGTTGCAGATGTTGCAATGTCGATCATCCTTGGGTAAAACGGGTTCAAGTTTACTTAAGCACATTGGCATGATTATTATATGAGCTTGTTGTTATTCAAATGATTGTAAATATGGGCTGTAAAGATTTATATATATACGAGAATGTAACCCTAATAGATTTGAAGAGAATTCTTTTATAGTGAGGTATCTTGTATTCATGCTTTTATATTTATTTACCACAGGTGCCACCCAAGTTGCCCATCAACTGTTGTTTCCTAAATAAGTCAATGAGCCACACATTACCATGCAAGCTCGCCAGGGGGAATTAAAAGTAATTATACCAGCACGCATAGTGCGAAGACATCTACACATCTTCATATGTATCGTGGCGGCGAGGCACAGTCGTTCACCTCCCAAATTACAGACGCTACCAAATTAGTTGCAAAAAACGCTTGGCTAAATTCACTGACGATGTCAGTAACGCTACTAATAACAATGCAGCAGGACGAGAATGTTGCCGCTAATCATAGTCATTCAGGTCAAAGTTTCGCTCCACCACCAACTGTATAGTTTTACTTCTTACAGTGCCGACAAATGCATCAGTATTGTTAGCCACGAGCTAACTGAAGATGACCTCCCCAGCTTGGAGCTTTTCAAATATCTCCCAGCAATAATTTTCTCGGTGTATGCATAATATGTAGCGGAATATGCAACACAGTTCGTAAAGTGCCATTTGTCGCTCAACTCTCACGGTAATTTCTATGGGGCTTCCTCGTTTCATCACTTACAATTTTATAAGTTCTGGCCGCAATAACTATGGGGTTTCAATCAATTCACTAGCAGATGCCACTTATTTGTGACTTAGCATATCGCCGAACATGATATAGACAAAATTATACATGTTCGTGTATTGACATTATGAAGGCAGTAAGGATGATCTTGATCTAGATGCACTGCTGCCCCTGCAGCTAAAGAATGGCTGGTTTATTTGGTCACACAATACCGTGTACATAGAAAAACTAACAGACCACCACTGTGGCTATTGTAATACAGTAGAATCAATATCCTTTTTTTACCAAGTGCATTGGTTGTTAGTTGTAATAATCTAAATTTAAGAACTACTAGGTTCACTTTTGCCTTTGAAGAACGACATCCGATATCTGGGATTTCCAATGAAGTATATGCAGTTCTCTCTCTCTTTTTGTTTCCAGTGCTGGGAGTGACGTTGTAAAGAATAAAAATGTCTCATTATTTTTAATACGGGTATTGATTAAAAGGAAGTTGCAGAAGTAAGGAAATGCACGTTTTCAGTGAAGACATTCGCTAGGCACCAAAATTCTAGCATTGTCATTGGCTGTGTATGTCCACAGAAATCCAGCTTGCCTCAGTTTAGGAAGCAGCGTACCATATCGAAAAGGTCCGCACACTACTTGCAGGCTCCCTCTCTCTTGTTGCTAAAGCGAATCGCAATGGTAACGTGCATCAGCCCAACCCATACCGATACTACGATACATCACCAATTGATTGCTTCTCGATGACGACGAACGGATGGATCGGATGGATGATTAGATGGAACGATGGATTCAACCGAAATAACAACCGTTCAACTCGCCGGGGAGCAATCCATTTGGGGACATTATTAGTTGCAGTACAATTTTATTAACGATTTTAATTCTTTCAATTATTGCTACATGTAAACAGCCTAAGCAAATCAAAGACATTAAGGAATTCCTTGAAATTGCTCGCCGCAAGGATGCCAAGTGTAAGCATTACTTTTACTTATTGTGAGGAATCTGCCTTTCGAAGGATTAAACTGACGGTGGTATACACTTAAATTAGCGGCCTGCATCAAGAAGAACGCCGACTCTGTCAAGTTCAAGGTTCGCTGCTCCCGCTACCTCTACACCCTTGTCGTCAACGACAAGCAAAAGGCTGGCAAGCTTAAGCAGTCGCTTCCCCCCAGTACGTATATCAATTTTAAATTTATGCGAAATAAGCACGGCGGGTTACTCATGAATTTTCTCCTTAATTTTTATAGCTCTTTCTGTGAACGAGGTCAAATAAACTAGCCTGTGTATCTAGTAGAAACTTTGTTTTTTCAACGAAAGTAAAAGAAAGAAAGGCATTGCTGATTATTTAATACCATTGGAGTGCATGTGTAAATGTGCGTATATATTTGAAAATGGTAAAGAGGAGAGTGAACCGATGTCATTAGGGCTGTACGCGCTTATGGTTCCAAAGCTTACTTATCGATCTTCGACCTATAATAAAGGATTTAAAGTAAACTGCACTCATGGGAAACACGTGTCAAGGCGAATGATGCAACGTCTTCACGACAGCAGTTCGAGTGTGGGATGATAACTATAGGTACAACAAAATGATATCAACTGTGATCGGTATATCCCGTAAATGCTACTGTAGCGGTTATTGCGCGGCATAATTTATAGCGGATTGACGAAAGAAATCGACGAACTTGCTGCGATGTTTGGACAGAAACCTATATATAAGAAGTAATTTGGTTTTTTACATCCAATTCATGCATTTTTGTCGTTCAGCTCTCATCCATCTGTTCGGATAAGACTGACAGCAAACATTTATTCATACGATGTGTGAGTCTACTTAATTTCTGTATCGCATCCAAGCTTTGCATATGCAGCAATGCATCCAAAAAGAATCAGCACATGTCGTCGATTGTCACAGTTCAACGTCTTTCTCGACATTCAAACAAAGACTTATCTGCTACTATTATCTAGATGAGGGCTCGGATCAGCGAAAATTTTTGAGCAAACTAACTACGAAGAGACGGGAGAAGATATAGACTAAAATCTTTTGATGTGAACCCTGCCTCCTAAGGGACATCCTTGCTCGCGTCAGATCTGGAAAGGTTTGTGGCTCTAAAGCGGGAGAGGTATAACTGGCTCTTCCCAACACTTGTTATTGCGTACGACTCGGACTTCAAACTCACTTTGTCCCATCTGTATAACTTTGCCTAAATCTTAAGTCTTGAAGGAACCAGTAGTACGAAAATTACATACACATCCTTTCTATTGATGCCACGTAACTCTTTCATTCGGCCATAGGAGGCAAGGAAAAAAGCAGCAAGAGGCAGCAGCTTTCATTAGCAGCAACTTACCCTTTTTTTTCTCTCGGGCAACCTTAATAATGCACTGTTTCTATCTGCGTAGTGCGGTGGGAGGTGATCATCTGAGCATCACAGTAGGATGCAACAAATAATACTGTGTTTCCAGCAAACAAAGTACCTTTGAAAGCATTCACCTCCTTTATATCTGATGTCACGTCATGCTGTCTTGACGGAAAGAAAAAAAGAGAGCGAACCCTGGCTTTCAAGGCTTTTTTCTAACGATCGACTCGTCTGTGATAAGGACCGCACAACTGCTTTAGCGGGGTTACTAAATTGCTTACTTTAACCTTACTTTCTTGCAACCCGGAAAAACAGCTGCTTTTCCTTTCCTACTGAACCTTGTTAAATAATCCACAAAATGAGCCGAGACGATGAATACGATTATCTTTTCAAAGGTACTAGATTGAGGGTCAGAAACAAGGAAGTGTTAAGTGGAAGAAAAAGGAAAACTCATAGCGTTAATATAGTTGTTCTAATTGGTGACTCCGGTGTTGGAAAGTATGTTATCACCACTGCCATTACGACCAGTACACCTAATGCCACCACTACCTCCCTTGTTTTCCCTTCTGGCCCATTTTGCTCATCAGTAATACTGACGCTTGCTAATTCTTTTAAAAAGGACCAATCTTCTCGGACGATTCACGCGAAATGAGTTCAACCTCGAATCCAAGAGTACCATTGGTGTCGAATTTGCTACTCGTAGTATTCAAGTTGATAACAAAGTGATTAAGGCACAGATTTGGGATACTGGTAAGTGGAGGGTCACTTCTGGCCGAGACTCTTGTCTTTTGCTTTTTATTTTTTTGAGCGACGCGGGCTGTGTCGGTTACACAAAATGGTATTGATTCGTTTATAATGAAGCCGGTCAGGAACGGTATCGTGCGATCACCAGCGCGTAAGTAAAATTAGGAGGAAAAGAGCGGTTTATTTAGAAAGACAACAAGTGGATCTGCACGGTGTAACGCATATGTGTGCGCAATATAAATAGATACTATCGCGGCGCAGTGGGGGCGTTGTTGGTGTATGATATCTCAAAGCACTCGACCTACGAAAGCGTCGGACGTTGGCTGAAAGAACTTCGGGACCATGCTGATTCAAATATCGTGATTATGCTGGTCGGCAACAAGAGCGATTTGCGCCACTTGCGAGCTGTACCCACTGATGAAGCCAAGCAGTTTGCAGGTGAGCATGAAATACTTTTATGTCGTTAGCAAAACGGAAATAGCGCGGGTACTAAAACTGCTTCTAGCTGAGAATGGTTTATCGTTTATTGAGACTTCGGCATTGGACGCAACCAACGTTGAGTTATCGTTCCAAAGAATTTTGACAGGTAGAGTAGGAGTGATAAGCAGCAACAGGCAGCGGGATACCGGAAAAGGGAAACAGAAGATAGCAGCAACGGACTAACGCGCAGTTCTCGTTTAGAAATCTACCGGATTGTATCCAACAAAGCACTGGAATCGTCGAACAATGCCATCAAGCCTACAGGCGGTCAAACTATTCTGGTATCACAGACACCCGATGAGCAGAAACAGGGTGGATGCTGCTAAAAAAAGGAAACGAGTGAAGAGCAAAAAGAAACAAGAGAGGCCAGTTTTTAATTGGATAAGCTCGTCCAGTTTGTGGCCCGAGATGGTTGTGAATATTCCATTGATGGGGACCTGTAAAAAGAAATGGGCGTTTATAATACATTTACAAAGTAGTGTACAGTGTGCCGTGTCAGTTGGCTATAAAGCAAAACTTAAATAACTCATTAAAAACCTAAAGATGTGCTATTTCTTTTGCTGTTGTTGATGACAATGATGATGATAATGATGCTGGGTCCTTTGTGGTCAGGGTACACTCTGCGAGGAGCGTTGAGTCTTAGCATTATGTTTTAGCACTTTACGAGTATGTATACTTTTGAGTTTTCTGCGGGCAGGAGGAGCAATATATTTCATTCTTTTTTTCTTTCTTTCTTGCGTTTAACAAAAAACGCATGCTCATCGTATGACTCGCGACAAACAAGAGTGGTATCATGACAAAGAGTGATACAGAGTCTCACTGATAAAAGGAGAGAAAAGACAAAAAGGAAAAACTTTGATTGTTTACACATTCACACAGCCATCAGCAGCCAGAGAAGGGTGAGGGAAGATCCATGTGACACCTGCCAGGTCGTACACACGCAAAAAGATTGAGGACCACCGCGGATTCGATGCCACGTTGGTTCCGCACAGAGCGATCTAAATAGAGGCCCATTCGGTGACCTCCCGACTCACCTCACAGTTACAGGCCGTTGTTGCCTAGAGACCGGGTGTTGCCTGGTTACTAACTTATCAACTTATTAAGTGGATATATATAGTAGAATGTTCAAAAATACTTTGATCAGCAAGAAAACGAACAATCCTGATGATTGACCCTGTTGTTTTTGTTGCTACTTCACTCACCCTCTCCCTGCTTTGTTCAATAATTGGGTACTCCAAATACTGTAATGAGGTTGGTGTACTGGCTTACCAAATATGGCTGTTCCTGTGGTATTTGCCTTTCAGAGGAGAGTAACCGTACCACGCGAATGACAGGCTCGGGCTTATCCGCCTTTCATTATAAAAGGAATCGGTCTTATTTATCCCCCCCCCTCTTGCACATCATTCCTTCACTGCTTTTTTCTTTTTTTTTCCAGTTCATCATCATCCATCATTACGAGCATCCACTACTAGCATCTTCATCTCTTTCTTCTTCTTCTCCTCCTTCTCCTTCTCCTGTCATTTCTGCCAACACCAGCACCACCTCTTCCACTACTCGCTAATAACATCACCATTATCTACAACAATGCATCAACGGCATTTTCGCGAGATCGCTTTTCAGTGGCTTCACTCGATCGCCAACGCTTTCGACTCGCAACAACAACAACAACAACAGCAGCAGCAGCAGCAACAACAACAGACCTCAAACCAACCCGCATTAACTCCCAACGAGAAGTACTGCACTGCTCAGGCAATCACCGATTCTGCTAACGCTAGCTTGACCCAGTTTGAAAAAACCTACGTCTCGTTTCCAGAGTTTATCAGCAACGACGAAGTAAGCAGCTGGAGCCACCATCGTCATCACCATCACCATCATGACAGTCTACGACCACCGACAACTACAGCATGGCCACAAGCATCATCACGGTCTGCACCTTCCTCGATGGCCTGCTAAAAAACTTTTCAATATATTTTATACACTTCAATCACCTCTTTATTTCCCTTTCTTCCTTCCTCTCTATCGCGCATTTAAAGTACTATAATCATCCCCGACAAGCATCCTCTTCTTTGTATACCACCACATCTAACAAGACCAATTCTCTTTGTAATTTTCCTCTTTCATATTATCTTTTTTACCCTGTTATTCTAAACCTTGTATACCCCCAATCTTTCCTCTATTATGGTCGCACAAACCGTTTCTTCCATCATATAGTATATTCCTTACTGATGAAATTCCATAAAAAGCAGAGCATATGTGTCGCCGTCAAAAATAAATCCGGGGCACACGTGTTTTCATACCTTTACAATCTTTGAAAAAGTGGCGATCCATTTCATAGTGGCGAATTGTCTCATCATAGAAAACATGCTTTTCTGTTTATTGTGGGTGCTTATAAGACGAATTATCAGTTGATTATATTGTTTGTTACTCGCAGGATTAGCCATTAGAGAGCGTGGTGTGCTTTATTTGTTATAAAATTTTGCTTGCAGTTGCCTGCTGCACAACATTGGGGCTTACTGCTGACCCACAGAAAACCAATCGTAATACAAGAATCATCCGTGGCACTTCTGTCAGCCCTTTTTTTTCATTTTCCTCCGGGGGAAGCACCTTGTGAAAAACTTATTTGTCCGCTAGTGCATGCGCACATGTGTATTAGTGTGTGAGACATATAGCAAGCAGCCAAACACACATGGGCATGTTCGTTGATGCTTACTATCAAGTTCTAGACTTGGCATTTGGTGCGAGTGTACGCACTATGCATTAACCAGAGGTTAACCATCCCTGCCTTTTTACAGCGAAAAAAATGTGCCGTTCGTATCACAGACAAAAGGACGTGGGGTACCCTTCAAATTTAGGTTCATGACGCACGGCCAATGAGGTGGCTTGCCATATGAATTGGCTTTTTATTGTATTCACATTTAATTATGATTGATTATTATTGATGCTTAGTGATCGATTCATGATGATGGTGACGGCAGTAATAATTGATGGGACACAGTGATTATTATGTTATTACAATAGTCGGCGGTATATTAGGTGATGAACGTTCTCTATTACGATAAAAATAGTTTATCAGGATATATCGTTTAGTTTTTTACTGAGCAAATAAGGCTGTTGCTGCCTGGTTGATGATCAAATCAGTCTCGTGATATAGATGACATTAGCAACGGTTTCACCCACCTGTTGGTTAGACATTCAGAAGACAACAAGAAATTATATCCTCTCTCCCTACTTCTCCCCAATTATAGGTCCACAGCCCCCACCTCCGAGCATGATTATACCTTCCCCAAAATCCATTTTTTTACATGAGTGTGAGCTTTGTACATCCATAGCCACATTCAAAATCCCTTGCTTCTGCAGTTTTCCGTGACGGTATCGATAAGCAAAAGATACGAAACGGAGCATCTTCGTGTCGTTCTTGTAAAAACAGACACAGAGTAGATTCCTTTGCTGCACTTTTTATCGAACAAGCAGACTTAATATAGCATTATTACAGCTTGACTTCCTTGTTTAAGTTTAGCCGTAAGGTGCTCTTGGATGTTAATATATATGTCTGATGGGTGAATGCACCCCCGATTTTCTATCCATGCTTATATGCTATGCTGCGAAACAGTTTCCCAAGCCTCACTTACAGATACCTTAATGGAAACTTATAACTGAACTTAAAGCATGTTTAAGAGTACTGTACAGATCCGCGATTGCGCAATTTCTACGATAGAAAGCGCCAATACATTGAAGACGCATTAAACGAAAGGAATCAGCATAACAACAGATTAGTCAGAAGAGAAGCTTTAATCAATTTACGAGATGTCCTAAAATAGCCACCAACGAATCACAATATATTTATCGATAACGGTGGGTGATGTAGGCATAATTGAGAGCTTGATAAAAACCTTGGTGGACAACACACTACAGATTACGGGTACCCGTACCGCTCCTATATCCTTACAAAAAATCTAAAACTTGTTCTCCGGCACGACAACACTTCCTGACGTTGTTTTGTCCGAAGACATTGTCAGTTATTTTATTAAAAATTAGAAAATAGGTGCCACGAGGCTTGATGCGTCTAAATTTGGGGTACATTACACAGGTGCAAAGGGTATCAAATCCATCTCTTTCTAATAGTATAAAGCTTCTTACATAACCGTTAAAATATAAGTGTAGCGTCAAATTGTATATCAATAAAGCTTATACTACAGAAATATGATAGCTATTTGATAGTGATGTGATTAAGCCGCGAGGCTTTTTGAGGCAACAAGGTTTGCTATATTAGATTACTAACAAACAGAGAAAAGTGGACACCTTTCGATAACTTTCGATATCTTTCGATATCTTTCGGACGCCTAGAATCGCCTTGTAAGGCCTTGTAAGGCTCAAACAGGTTTAATGGAAAAATGAGATATGCGCGATGATATAGTGAGCTGAATAATCGAAAGGAAACTTCATATCATACAGTCTGTGAAGCAAAGTAGAGACCTTTTTGCTAATTTCCGTTCACTTTACACAACAAGTATGCGAGAAACAGTATTACTAGTACTTTTGGGTGGTTGAATCTATGGCTCTACGTGTAGTGTAATAGAGAGCACATACGCGTTTGTAAGCCAAGGTATGCAAAAAACATTCAACATGCGAAGCCTTTTTATTAAGCCCCATACATGCACAAGATACCTGATGTAGTGGCCGCACCTATGAGTGTGACACAATGCATACACACAGTATAAAATGTCTAGTGTCTGGTTGATAAAGAACAAAATAGCAGTAGTTGTATATAATCATTTAACAACATATATGAACGGATTTAATGGAGGTGGAGGGCGATAAAATATAGTGCGGTAATAAGTATTAATCTTGTCGTTAAAAGATTTAGTGGTATACAGTAACCTATTTCTCGGTTGGTTACTAATTAGATCCAGCACTGCTGTTACTAGCTGTTGGTGGTGCAAACTATAAGTAAGATACATAATATATTGGTTATTGTTTAGTACGAATTTGTCGCTGGTAAATTCTATCACATCGTCTGCGATGTTGATTTTAAAGGAAAAGGCAATGAATCTATTTAATTATCACTTACGTAGTTGCTTGGGATTATGCCAATCGCGCCATTGCTTTTGCGGGCCTGCCACCAGTTTCCTTTTCTATCTACGACTTCCAGTATTTCTCCTTTCTCAAAGCTCAGCTCGTTTGGATCCTCCTGGTTTGCTTTATCTATGTATCAGCCAAAGAAATAATTAGGCAAACCAATCGCGTCGCAGTGTTAACCAATCGGCAGCAGCAGCTAAAAAAGACTTACACGCATGGAGTGCTTCGACTTTTTCAATGTATTCAACTGCCGGTGGCAAATACTCGGAATGGGTCGGCTGTTGTGGTGAAGATTGTTGCTGTGGCTGTTGCTGGAGTGGTGTGGTGGTTGTAGCAGGAGAGTACGCCGTGTTATCTGTTGGAGTAACTGTAACCGGGGCTGCTGTAGGGTATGGTGGCATCACAATGCGTTTATCCATAACTGCTGTTGTGTCGTCCAGATGTTTTTCGGTTGTCAAGTAGACTGGCTGTTCAATAGATGCTTGTTGTTGCTGATGATAGCTTGCTTGTTGATGTTGCGGCTGTTCATCGTCTACAATTCGGCCAAAGGCTCCTAGATAACTGTTTGGATCGCTACCAAACACGATCACCCATAGGTACTGTAATTGAGAGCAGCAAAAGAAGAGGGAATAAATTAGTCAATATCGTTATATTGATGTAAGTGAATTTATTTGTTACGGGTCAAACTCAATCAATCAATCAATCTTTACCTGGACAAAAACAAGAATTATATATCCAGCTGCGTAAGCGTTTGCTGGATCTTTTGGAACTGATGGTTTGGTGTACTGAATCACATAATCGGCCTGTATGGTGAGCAGTGGAATGCTAGCAGCGATGAACGTGAGGAACTATGTATTGATATAGATGCGGACATAATGAAAGACGAACAGCCATCAGCATCTGACTTGCAAAATCAATGAATGCATACTTGTCGATTAATATCGTATGCAAGATGTAATTGATGCTATTACCGTTAATCTATACTGAGCCATTGTGTTGGACATGAACAGCAACAAGCTAAAAGCGACGATGAAAGCTTGATAGACCACGACCCACCATGCGCCGTACAGTGTTTGCAATGAAACTGCACCAGCGAATGCTATGATCCACCCGCTCTAAAACAAGATCCTCAATAGCTTTAGCAATCACCGCTCTGAATCCGACGTTTTCTTGGCCTATTCACGCACTTACAATTGCGAGAATGCTGGTGGAAAGAATAAATCGATTTTGAATAAGTCGGTGAACGGCGAACGCCATAACGATTGGAAAGAGTTATTTGTTGATGGTTGGTATTATGCGTCAAAGATTAAAAAGAATGAAAAATTGCGTTGATAAAGAACGAAAGGACTTGAATGAATGAGTGAATGAAAAATATGGAACAACGAGTGGGAAGGGGTGGGGCCCAACAAGAGCTACAGAGAAAAAAGAGACAAAAAGGTGAGAAAGAGGAAGAATTGCATTCTCGAAGAAAAATTAGTGTCAAGACGACCTGTTTGGTTCTATAAGTCACACAAAAGAAAGAGCAAAAAACGCTATTGTGGTTCTCCTTATTAACTAGAACTAAACCCTAACCCCCATAAAAAGAACACACCCCCTTAGAGCGCGATCTTTAAACCATATGTCCGTGGAACCAGCTATACTCGAACAACTGTTCGGTCAGTTGATTGTCCAAGGCGTCGAAACCGGGCATCTTGGCGCTATTTATAAAACACTCGACGGTCAATCGCTTTTGACGACGCAGCATGTACACGACACGATCAAATCCTGGATGACGAATCACGGTACGGCGGATCATTTTTTTAATCTCTGCTCTTTGTTTCTCCCTATTGTTCTTAAAATGGAAGCGTGGGCAGGGAGCAGACTTAAACGCCCTTTCACCAATTGTGAAAAAACACTTGTTTTATAGGGAGGACGACAGCTTCGGACATTGCACGCGAGTTGAATGTTGATCAGTCTGGCATCCTCGACGTGTGGTCTGTGCTAGCGCCGCAGGAAAACTGGGTAATGGCAGACGACGTGCTTATGACGCGGTAAACATAACGAAAAATATCCTTGTAATGATACAAAAGGGTTAATAGAGAGAAAAACGAGGGCAACATCAACTAATTATGCAATAATCAAATAGTGCATACGTTGATACTATTCCAGATGAGCTGCGTTTACAAATAGATCAAACAGGTGGCTACTTATCCATAATCACGTTGGCTCAACATCTACGCCTACCTTATGGATTCTTATCTAAGGTATGCTATATCACATGTGTACTGCTATAAGTGAAAGATTGTATACATGTCTTTATCGAATGACTGACTGGTGGTTACGATACCTCTCTCAACAATTAACAATTAAAGCAACTGGATTCGAACATTTCAGACAAAGATTATGTGAAGCTCGCCCAGATCCCCGATTTGGTTTTGACTCTAGACTACTTTGCACAGGCCAGAAATTGCATCCTTAAGCCACTCAAAGAAGCTACAGAGTGAGTAAGGAGTTGTTGGTGGTGTTGATGTGTGCGTGTGCGCACAGTTGAGAAAAGTATGATGAAAGAATGTAGAGTGTGTGAGATGAAAACTAAACTACTTTGCTAAATAATTACTTATAACAAGGCCCCTGTCGATGTTTAAGCTGCAACGCTCCAGTATGTTAGAATCCCAGGAGACTCTGTTTTATGGTTGGTTGTTTCATCTTCCAAAAGATTGTATTTCTTTGCCATCATTTTCTCTCTTTGTGATCTCATCCTAGCATGACGATATATTTATTGCTTGCCTTAGCTCTGTTGGAGAATACTATCCGCGATAATGAACTGGAAGGCACATTTCGTGGGAGGCGCGATAAAGCTGTGTATGTGCCGCATTCCTACAGGGACCGCCAAATTACGTTGATTACCTCCTTATTTGAAGCAAGTGGCTATATTGGTAACCAAAAACGAATCTTTCTTTCCTTGCGCAAAAAATTGTTTCATCAAACATGAAGAGGAAGAAAAAGGGCTAATGCAGCAAAAAAGAATATGAAACCGTTGAGCAGCATTATGGCTACACCAATCCAAAAGATTTACTGTTGCGTTATGATAGCAACATTCAGCTACTCGACTCATGTGCAGTTACTCCATCTATGCTGAAAAAACTGCAAAACAAGATTGAGAATATATCGAGCGGATATACCGATATATCGGTTAGTATCAATACTTTATGCCTTTCATCCCCTTCTTTAATATAGCAAGTGGATTAGCGATAGGAAACGGGAGATTTAAGTAAAATTAAGATTTAAATGATATTTGCTTGCTATGCTCTTCTTTTCCTTAGGAACACGTGCCGTTTGTTTTTACTGCTGGTGATACTGCGTCACTTTTGGATGTCATCATTGCTCGTGTAGCAAAGAAACAGCGCCCAATAGTACTTGGATCACGATTTGTTACTACCACAGAGTATCTAAAGTCTACGGTTACTGCAGCACAATCCTATCTTGATCGCCGTGCACTACAAGAAATTCAGAATGAAAAGAAACAGCATAGTAGCAAGGGCAAAAAGAAGTTAAATGATGAAAAATCAATGGCAAAGCTGACTGACGAGGAGGTTTGTTATTAGTCTAGCTACGATGGAACAGTATATGTCGAACTATAACGCTTATAGAGCGACGATATTTTTGAACAGATTTACTATTATCTCGTGGAGGAGCAAAATCTTATTAGGGATTTTGCAGGCTGTACTGTTCCCATGGTGAAAAAGTCTATGCAACAAGCATTTTCCAAGGCTCTTCAGACGGTATATGTTGCACCGTCTTTGTTATCAAATGATGGGTTAGCGGCTCCTATTCGACGTGAAAGAGACATCCTTCGTGAGCTTCGACGGAAAATATATTATACCAGAGAATCGGTTTTGTTATTTGATGGTAAACAAGACATTAGGTGCGGGCGTTATGGTAGAAGAAAGTTACTGATTACAGGGTGATCCGTATTTAGATGAATCTGCTAAGAAAAGCATGGAGAAATATGTGGTCCGTCAATTGGGTTTACAATTCCTATTTCACCTGATGATATTAAACTATCTCGAAAATGGCGAAGATCCAGGGGACCTAGCTAATGCTACTGCAGAAGATGTCATGAAGGAGAAAATAGCCGTATTTTTAAAAGAGCAGCAGAATGATCACTACGGCATTGCTGGACTAACCACAACTGTGCTCAATGGAAAGGTGATAATATTACTTGTCATGGTTATGCATGTTAAAATGTACATGTTTTTCTAGTGGTAATTCACTAACTGGATTCTTGCTATATAGAAAGCAGATGAATTAATTTCGTTCCTGAAGGCGCCACCAGACTTCCTTGCAGCTGATACGCTGGACGAGAATGCCCAAAAGTATGCATTATATGATCATCCAACGATTGTAGATTACACCGCCCTATCGAGACTAATCTTCTTGGATTTACTAAAATTAGGGAATCATACAATGGCGTCACTGAGGCATTGATTGACCAATTGGAGAATACGCCGGTTTCCTTAGCATCTGCACCTTCTGTTCTTCATCTGACAAGCATCCTTTGTTTTCAGTCTCTGTACCACCTGCCACTTTATGTATCTGGCAAACATGTGCCCCATATCATCAAGCAGATTGCGTCTCGGATGGATCCTGGTGAAGGACGGATGTTAGAAAGTGCTCAAAACATGATTATGTCAAGTAGGAAAGATCCGTCACTGTTTGACCCTGAACTACTGGACAATGTGCATAATCTTGCTGTTAAAAATAAAGTAAAATAGAGTGTATATGTACTACTGCCATGGCAACGTGCTGCATGTGTGCTTTTGCTTTTTGTCGGGAACTCAACAGGTTGTGCAACCAACACGTTTCTTTTCTCTCTCTTTCTCTTTGTGTGTGCTGTTCCGCTTGCTTCATTTTATTAACTCTGTTCATCACGATCACCGATGGACCCTTACAGTCAATATCCTCCAACGAGAAACCATGGGTACCTGAATGGCAACGATTTAAATGACAATTTTTCCGAAATTGAAGGTTTGGGTCGTCTCCCTTTGTACTTGAACTTGTTCTACGCCGTGATGTTCTTTCACCATGATGCTTATTGAAAGAGTTCAATGACAGCTGTGCTGCAGGAAATCCATAATGGGTGGGACTTTATGCTCGACGACAATGTAAGCAAGAAACGCGAATATCGTATTCCTTCGGAAAAACCTATGCTCATCGTGCCCTTATTTTACTTTTCCGTTTCTGATAACTAAATATAGTTCGATCCTGTAACTCTGGCCCTAGCACTTATGGATGACAGCTCGGTTGGAAAAGAAAAGGATTACAAGACGTTCCGTAGAATGCTGAGGAACTTAGACACCGCGCTTGAAGCAATTGTGGATGGTATGTGCAGCTACTGCTTGAACGACAAATGGTTTTGGTAAAGAAGGGGTGGAAAGAGAGGAAGCATCTGCTGCTTGTGGACTGACATGAAATTCGTAGATTACTATAAGGGGTTTAATAATTCAATTGGCACATTCGGTGGCGTGTTACAACACATAAACGGTATTGCTTTTCTTCTAATATTGACGGGACACTTTCTTTGATCTTTATAGACTGTGGATGATTGTACTGATTATAAAGGTATTGGATGCATAAATTAGATTCACAGGATCGTGTGGCACAAATGAAGAACAGTCTACGCAAATGTAAAGGAGAGTTGCTCGAAAAACGCACCGATTTATTGAACATGTGGCATAAAAGCGAACAGCATAAGGAGATGCTAAACCTCCTGGAAACCATGTAAGCAATCAAAATATGACTTGTATTCTCGGTTCGATTTGGCTAATGAGGTTGTATTTTATGCAAATTCCAGCGAAGAGATACGGTCGACGCCCGAAAAAGTAGAGCGGATGATGAATAGCAAGCATGTCCTCGGAGCTGCAGATCTACTGATGCGATCGACCCGTACTATTAACAGCAAAGAAATGAAACAGATTGGAGCTTTGGATGACTTGCGACGAACATTGAATGGTCAAAAAAACGTACGTGTGTGATCCATGCTGAATGTAAAACGACTTTTTTTGCTGGTAGAGAGAGAAAACACGATGGGCTAATAAGTGTTTACAATAGACACTTTACGATCTTTTAATCGAAGAGCTCCATAACCACCTTTATCTCAAGAGCTCGTTTTGCGACAATCGATGGGCTGCTTATGTACCAGAACAGCAATCATGTAAGTTGTTGTCAACATGTCACAGCGATAATACAATGGCAGTCTTTTGGTATGCTTATCTTTCTTTTTCAAGTACCCAAGTCGGATCTCAAGCCAAGAAGGTAAGTGATAACGTCAGCTATGATGATCATGAAAGTATGCTCATGCTTATATCAACCTTTGTGTGTACATATTTATAGTTTTACTAGCTTGTCTCAGCAAGATGCTGATGCAGGTAAAATGTTGCCTATTTCTGGTGAAATAATGATTCCTGAACCCTGATATTTAACCATATACTTTTATAGCGAATGGCAAAGCAGAAGATATGTTTGCGGTCGATGAGAATGCTATTGTAAGCTTACTGGGCTCGAGAGATATGCTGTGGATCAGAGATACTGATATATTGACGACTATAGCTGGTTGAAGATACCGAGAAAAATCCAGAAACGGATTCTTATTATTACATGGAAATCATTATGGAATCGTTGGCAATATTAGGGGATATCCCACCAGCTATGGAGGTACGATAATGATATCACAGTTAATCTTGTGGTTGCTCACCAATAGGTGATAAAATAGACCGTCAAAGAACGATTACCATTGGAAATTCATCGACTTGTGGACAAAACGATCAATGACGTGGAAGAAAGGTATGAGCATCGGACCCTTTAACAGTTTTAAAACACAATCAGGTCGATAGAGTAGCATAACCACAACCATGCGTTACATGTAAATTTAGACGTACTGCTGCCAACAACAAAGAAAAACCGGACAGAAAACCTGGAGACGCTTCAGATATATATTGCCTCGATAGAGCTAACAATGAGGCACGCAATGAAATTCTCAAAGATTTGCTGTGGACTTTGTATTCCAAGCTAGAAGCAGTGCTTCGTGGATTCAGGTTCACAGAAACATGTGCTCGACGGATTAAGAAGGTACGTATTGGACGTGAATATCTGGAATGCTTTCGTCTTACCTAGCCATTTCCTATGGTGACTTTTATAGAGATTAATTGCAGCTCGAGAATTCGATGGTAAGAGCTTGCTACTTCTTCAATAAGTTGTTTCGCATGAAGAAAAAGGCAAAGTCTAATTGTATCATTTTCGTATAGGCACCCAAGATACCTTCCGCATATACCATTTCCATGAAATATGGAGACCTGTGCAAGCAGAGGTGAGTTAGCATTTAGGTATTTCTTACAGTAAATAATGCTACTAATAACTGTTTATTACCTACAGATCCGTACTCTTCTTCAAGATTACTTGTCCATTCAGGATCGCACCTTACAAAAGAAAACGATAGACATCAACATGTTTACGTTCTCTCGTGACAAATCGCAATCTCTCTTTTCGTTTACGGAAAGTCCTCAAGACAAAGAGCTCGATCAAGCGTACTCAAAGGTTCAAACCAACCTGTATGCTTCCTTGAAAAAGCAGGTGTCTGGATCCAATAAAGGTTTTGCAAAGCAAGATTCGCTGCTTCACTCGAGCATCATTGACAAATACGCGAGCGATATGGCATACAGAGGTCACAAGTTGCTGATCAAGCCTGATGCTTATAACGTCAGTGTATTGCTTCAGCCTACAATGGCTTTCCTAGTACGACTTCGAGAAGTGTTCCCGAGCTAGTAAGTCATAATGTGAATCATTCCATAATGTAGTGTATCCAATCGATTATTAATATGTTTTATAACAAAAGCGATGAAAAGAATGCTGAAGGCTTTGGAAGCTTTTTGGATGACTTTGCCATCAATGTGTTCTTGCCTCAAATCGAAGAAAAAGTCATGCAATTGATTAGTCACGCTACTGTAGGCATGGATGCCTTTCAAGACGACCGCAACTACAAAAATTTGTCCAAGTATCCAATTGTCAAGGTAATAAAGGACTATTAGGAGCGTGTCAATTGGTCTAACTAGTGCTTTGTATCCCACAGAGTGCTGTTGCATTGATTAGTTTAATCCAAAGCTTGTGCCGCACCATGCATTCCATGCCTTTCCACACCGAAGAATACATTCGCATGGTTGAGGTTGTTTTACTCAAATACTATGAAAAATGCTACCAGCGCTTCTATTGTACGTTACTTGCAGCTCCATTGATAATACAATGTAAAAGTCTTAATGGTTACAATATATTTAGCTACCGTTGCCCGAGGTGGATCATCCGATAATGGAGAAAAGAAGGAGGATACACCAGAGATGGATATCAGTACTAGCGGCGACTGGGCTCAAGATGAGAGTTTAATTGCATTATTGGCGCAAAATCCTTATTTTAATGATGACACGGTGAAGACACATGTTATAGAACCAAAGATTAACGAAAAGCAGCTGTTTTGGGTTTACTGACGTTCAAGAATTAATTTATGCCATATGTAGCGCGCTGACTTTGAGTTTGTCAAGGCTCTTAACCAAGCGGTACGTTGTTGGTTACTATGCTACTAGTCTCTCGTACTTTTATCGCTTTGGTCGCTTACATAGGATATGATACACACATTACAGGAAATAACTATGGAGTTCAAGCTTAAAGAAGAACGCACTTTCGACACTGAAGAACTTATTTTCGAATCTAAACGCCTGGTTGCGCTTGGTCGATTATATCACAGTTTGGTATTGATAAATTATTGCTAATTACCCGATGCCTTACAACTTTATATCACTTCATATCAGCAGGATCGCATTTTTAACATGTGTATTACATCCATATAGAAATGGTTTGTCCGCGAGATTTGGGAGCTGCGTATGCCCAATCAACAGCTGAAGCTCCCATCCTTACCTTCCGGAAGCTTTGGCAAAGACAACTTTGAAAATGAGTGTGGTTTAACAGAGGTAAACGGTTATTTACTGTGTCAATTAGGTTTGCAAAATAAATAGCTTTTAACTCGATCAAATTTCAACTATTAGAGCGCAAGTTCACGCCGGTGGTCTTTGGCTGGCCATAACAAAGGCTCAATGCAAGATGATTATGGGCCAGTGCTATTACCTCTCAAAGATGAAGCTGCTCGGTACTATATTCTCTCAAAGAAATGGACTAAAACGTTTGTATTTTAACAAAATGGTTCTTTAGACGCTTCGACACACTTTTGACAACCTACCAGCAATTAGCAGAAACATGTCTTTTCACCCTGAGATTGGAGAACCGATGTCATGTTATCTATTATCTTGAAATGGCAATGCAAGAGGTAATATATACCTTCAAGGAGAAACAGAAACAAAAGGAACAAGTTGATTCTTACGCGAGAGATATGTACATACATTTAGGGCAATTACTATCTAGAAGACGAGACATACGAACCTGATCCGTATATTATTACGCTTAATCAAGACTTGGTCGAACTGGATGATTGCATAACCGCATCGCTGCCACCCAAAGACGAGCTGTAAGTCAAATTATAATCTCGATACATAAAGGTCAAAGCCAACTAATAGTTTGAAACTATATAGATTTGCTTTTGATGGTCTACCAGCATTGATTGTCCATATTTTGATCAGTGAAGCAAGCCATATCAAACGGATGAATGTGAATGGTGTGCAAAAGATGATGCGCAACGTTTTAGCTCTTCAGCAGAATCTAGCAAACTTTGTGCCACCCTCTCAGAACTCTGTGATGGAGCGTGCAAGAGAATATTATCAGTTATTTAATTTGAGCAGCGAGGTAGGGTAGAGGAAGATAGGGCTGTACATGTTGCTTGAAAGATAAAAGGTAGTGGCTAATAAGACGTGTTATACAGGGCCTGATACGCAGCATCAGTGAAAATGGACCAAAATTTACATTCGACGAATATCGCATTATCCTTGGTCTTATCCATGATATCAAGAAAGGAAACGAGGATGACACAGAGTCAGCTGAGGAAGAAGATGCATCAAATGACGACTATAGCGCATGGTTGCTAAAGTTGGACGATGTCATGGCAAAATACGAAATCTAAAACAGTCAATGAAGCAAAATACAATTATTTAAGGGTTTCTGTCAGTGTGTCACTGCGGTTCTTTTATATGTCATGCGGTGTATGTGTATAGATTATAGCGTGCGTTGTTGCTGTCATTGTGATTACAATTTTACAATGGAGGGAACAAAAGTAGAAGTGGAATGTGCGGCTGGTAAGGGGGTATTAGTACTGTAATTGAATTTATCTTCTATACGTTCTTAGTGGCGGATATCTAGTTTGCGAAGATTATCATCCAAGCTGTCATCACTGTCGTCTTCATCCTCACTGAGATCTTCCAAGTTCTTCCAATGGGTTAAAAGCGTCATTGCCGTGACAACAGACTTGAATGATTTGCGGCTATCGAAACCTCTGCGTACGTTGTCTACAAGGTTGGTGGATCTGCGAGGACCAGCTTCTTCTTGATCGTCCTTGATCCATGGGTGTTCTAGAGCTTCCTCGGCAGTGATTCGCTTAGCCGGATCAAAAGTCAATAGGCGGTCGATCAAGTCCTTTGCTATAAAAACACACACATATATAAATAGACACGTCAGAGGGTAAATTGATCCATTCGTAAACTGTTTTTTTTTCTTTGGCTTCCTTTGTCATACGTATTCAATCATTACCTGAGTCAGATATTTCACACCAGTATTCTTCGTCAAAGTCATATTTGCCAGACATGATGGATTCGAACAAGGACGCCTGATCTAATCACACACACAAAAAGAATTCTTTGCTAAGTCACTAAAAACCTTGGAGTACTAATTGTTCTTTTGGTCTTACCTTCGCCCCAAAATGGCGTGTATCCACTCAACAAAGTAAACTTGAAATAACAAAACAAATGAAGGGAAAAAAAAGTTAGTAGCTGTTCATTCCAAGTGCAGTAGCTCGATAAAGCTTCTCATCCCTCTGTGGTTTTAGTTTCGATCCTTACAGTAATAACGCCCACACTCCATAAATCAACGGGTTTTCCGTGTCCAGTTTGCAGAAGGACTTCTGGTGCCACGTAGCCAGGCGTGCCGCAGGCTGTCATGAGAATATCATCGTGATTTTTCAAAATTTTGGAAAGACCAAAATCCGTGATCATCAACTTGGCGCTTTCATCATCAGCGGTATCGAATAAGAGCTAATAAAGGGGGTTAAGAGACATGAGCCTTGGCGTACTGAAGTGGAGAGGTTTTCTCTCTGGGGGGATCAACAGGGTGTATACAAATGCAAAGCCTATAATTACATTTTCTGGTTTGATATCTCGGTGGACAATCTAAGAGCAGGGGACAAACAAAAGATTGATTTGAGTACGAATACAACCAATCTGTAACAAACTCCTCACTTCTTCATCAGTCCTCCCCGTAAGACATATTCCCAACCGTCCCCTCCTTTTTCTTTTTTGCTAGCAGCAAGAAGCTTACATCGTTGTCATGCAAATACGCTAAACCCTCAAGCATCTGTCGAACCAAGTTAGAAGCGTCTTTCTCTGTGTACGAGCCCTTCTGGAGCAGCTGCTGGAAGAGCTCGCCACCGCTTGCAAGGTCCGTAATAATGTACACCGCGTCCTTTGACTCATAGAGTGCATGCATGGAAACAATGTGCGGATGACGTACTGACTTGAGAATATCTATTCCAGCAAAGCAATATATCAGCTTTTCAGTATGCTTCCCCTTCCATCGTACAAGTTCTGTTCCTCGTATTCGTTCTTACCAAGCTCACTCGTCAGCATGTGCTCCTTGCCTATCAATACGTATAAGAGCCAAAAATAACCGCTCAATAACCGATTATCCGAGTTTCGTTTCTCCGAGTGTATGCACGCACTCTCGCTAGTGTGTCAAACTTTTAGTATACCTGCAATAACCTTTTTCAAGATAATCTTGAGTGCAAATGGCTTCTCGTCCGACTTGCGAATGCATTCCTTAACAACAGCAAAGGAGCCCACACCGAGCGTTTTCTTGGTGACAGTGTAGACGCGTTCAAGATCTTCAGGATAAGCTTGCTCGACATTCTTTTCGTGGGTCTTTTTGAAAAGCGTCATAAGACGCTTCATGAGCGGCGTTCGTTTCATGGCTGGATTGGAGAAAGGGAATGAAAAGAAGTCTGGAGTAGAGGGGGTAGCCAAGAAGAAGAGGAAAAGAAGAAAGATCAAAGAAACAGGTTGCCTCGGAACCTCGGCTTACTCGCTACTTTTGTAAGAGGCTGCCAAGGGTCACGTGTAACGTCAGCTCTGCGGGTTTAAATGTGCTTTGTTTCATGCAGTCTTCCATTTGTCGCGATGGTTTCAGGAACCACTCTTATTGCTGCATGGTGCCACTTTTACACACTAAAGATGCGTAGGTCTACCTCATTTCTTTCAGCTTCAAGGTAGCGGTAACGCCGCATTAAGCACGCGTACTAGCTCGATCATTACACACATCCTATTTAAACGTGCGATGTTAGCAAATGGTCTGGACCTTCTCTTTTAAGAAGGTTATAAACACAAGGATATTCGGGCCCTGCTTCTCCGGTTCCGCTCATATTGTATCTGCAGCCATGTTTGTCAAGCATTGCTCAGCCGGTTAGCGAAATTCTCTTTACTCAATACCCTCCAATGGACAACCATGACCGACAAACTTTAGTCAACCAACGACATAAATCGCCACGTTGGCGAATCGTTCGCTTCATTAAGCAGCAGATGACTTGGGGTTTCAAGTCTCGGAGCATTTCTTCGTCCTCCGTGGTCGTGCGATTGAAAAGAATGACTGCAAGAAAGCACCCCAAGCAGGAGCAGCAGGAGCAGCAACAAGGCAATACCCAGATGTCTCTTTTGTCTCTAACGATACCCTTTACGCTAAATATCAATGGTGGCGCTTTGACAACGACAACTTTAAAAACCTACCAAATCAACGCCACACTTGTATGCGCTTTTGCATTCGTGCCACTGCTCTTCTTTGCCTTCTACCAATGCGGCAGAGTGATCGGATTATTAGAAGTTGTATTCTTTGGTGTAGACGATATCTTACGTACTACTTTTTCCTCTTTAACACGAATCTTTACCCGTACTTTTTTCTCATAACAAGTCCCTGTCTGATATGGAAAGGGTTTAAACCGATATCGACCTTTCATTGAAGCTCGCTTTATCAACATGTTGACTTGACTGGAAAACTTGTAAAGTGCTAGGTCGCCTTTTGTTCTACAGCTCCTCCATTGAGTTTCCATATATCTTGGGTTTCGTATTTTAATGCAGCAATGTACGAACTCCTGCGTCCCACCTCCTGCGATCCAAGTAAGCGCTACGATGTCTCACAGGCGACTTGATAGGTAGAATGACATAGATTGAGTGCCTCTTTTGCCGGTAGAGATTACCTTCACCATGTGGAACCTCCTTTGCTGGAAAACGGGTACTGCACTACTATTGTATATTTGATACCTGACGCTTTGCTTTGCGTGCTTTACCAAGTGACGATCCTTGGACTGTCTCTATCTGCAGCTCAACATCCATACTCGCATTTACAACGGCACGTTGCATACACGCACGACACTTTTGAGATTAGACACTCGCAGGTCAAAAGTATTCATCACTCCCGAATTTGGCAATAAAAATATAAACAGCGTCTTTTGCATTAACGCGTGTTCTAACACCTTTTTCTTCTTTAGAATGTTAATAAATCGCATCGAGAATAGCCGGCATCAGGGCCGCAGCGCCGAACAACAACTGAAAGACTGATTGTAGGATGGAGGGATGGCGATCGGAGAGGAGGTCACAGGCACCCTAGTTGGTAGCCTGTCAGCTTGGTGTGTGGCTGTTATTACTATATAGCCAAAAGAGATCATACCAAATACAACTGTACCAAGCAAGCAAGTAATCACAAGTGGTCATTTGGAAGCTGCCGCTTTACGATATCGAATGTCTTGCTGTCGACATACCCTCTCTCACTGAGCGATAAACACTCCAAAATTGCGAATATCACTGACTTGTTAACTGACGAGCGTAATGTTGGCCACTGTATGCAGCAAACAATACAGCAGGACGCAAAGAAATTCACAATCATGCAGGCTTCGCTGATGGGACCGATAACAGTGTTAGAGGCAGTTACAGCAGCGCCAGCAAGGTGAGTAGCACTTTTGCTCTCCTTAACGATACCTCTTACGCTAAAAACAATGGTGATGCTTTGACAACGACAAACTAAAAGCCCACCAAACTAACACCGCTCTTTCATGCGCTGTTTTGCATTAGGATACCACTGCTCTTCTTTGCGTTCCCGTACCGATTCGGTAGGGCAATTGGCTTACTAAACATTGTATTTTCTCGGTGTAGACGATATCTCACGTACTTCTTTTTTCTCTTCAACGCAAATCTTTACCCATACTTTTTTCTCATGACAAGTATTTATTTTTCGGGTTCGAAAGAGGTTCATAACCGATGTCAGCCTTAGCGTGGGGATAGTGCTGAGTAAGAGAAAATCAATCTCTACTTTTTTAACGCTCGGCTTTGTCAACGTGTTGGTTTCTTTTTCCCAGCAATTTCCTCTTTTACTTGTTAATTACTTTCATACATGACCAAGCTGCTTGTTGCAAACCGAGGCGAAATCGCCATCCGTGCACTGACCGCTGCCGCCGAGTTGGGCTTGCAGACTGTGGCAGTGTATTCCGATGAACATGATAAGAGCCACTGCGGCTTTGCAGACCAAGTTGTCAAATTAAAGAGTCCTGGCGCTTTCTTGGATCCACAGCAGATCATTGATGCCGCAAAAAGGTGCATTTTTCTAAAACAAGGTTACTTTTTGGACATGGTATCCTAGCTGTTGCCATTGACCCATTTTACTGACAACCGCCCCTCCCCCCACTTAATTATACAGTGCACAGGCCAACGCTGTTCACCCAGGTTACGGGTTCTTGTCCGAGTCGGTGGAACTTGCCGAACAATGCAAACAAGCCAATATCCTCTTTGTAGGCCCTTCGTCCTCCTGTATTGCTGCTGTAGGCGATAAGGTGTCTGCCCGCCAAGTGGCCAAGCAAGCCAATGTGCCTGTCATTCCTGGCACTGAGGAATCCATTTCCGATCCAGCTCAAGTCCATGCCTTTGCTCAAGAGTACGGTTACCCAGTCATGCTAAAGGCACGCGATGGCGGCGGTGGCCGTGGTATTCGCATGGTGCATTCACAGCAAGAGGTGGCCGACGCACTGCAACGATGCATTTCCGAATCGCCTTCGAAACAAGTATTTGTGGAAAAGGCCATTATAGGCGCCAAGCATATTGAAGTCCAAATCTTGGGCGATCGACATGGCAACCTGATTCACTTACTCGAACGCGATTGCTCGGCTCAGCGTCGGTATCAAAAAATCATTGAAGTCGCACCATGTCCTTCGCTTTCGAATGAATTGCGCGCACAGATCCACAGCTCCGCTGCTCGTCTCGGCAAGCATATTCGCTATGATTCAGTTGGCACCGTTGAGTTTCTTGTCCAGGCCGACCAAAACGCATTCTATTTCCTCGAAGTCAACCCACGTATCCAGGTTGAGCATACCATCACTGAGCAAATCACAAACGTTGACCTGGTCCAGAGTCAGATCCGCGTTGCATTGGGCGAAAGGTTGGATCAACTTGGATTGTCTCAGGCCAGTATTCCTTTGAATCCTTCATTAGTGGCTATCCAAGCGCGTGTGGTTGCAGAAAATCCACGAAATAACAACATGTTGTCGGTTGGCAAGGTCACCGGTGCCCACTTTCCTCAGGGCCACGGCATCCGTGTTGATACGTGGGTCACTCCAGGCTGTGTAGTTCTTCCGGTAAAACAAATGGTATATCACTTCACACTCGTATGTACGCATTAACTTTCATTGCATTTGTTTTAGACCTTCGACTCGCTACTAGCCAAGGTCATCGTCACGGGACAATCCTTTCCCGACGCTGTATCCAAAGTGAAACTCGCTTTACAACGCACTGACATTACTGGCGTCGAAACGAACCTCGACTTTTTATCAGCACTCGTGTCAAGTAACGAAATGGCTAACAATGTGATGAAGGCAATCCACATCAAAACACTTGAAGAACAAATGGACGTTTTGCTCGACGCTAGCACTGTATTCACCCGCGAACGTCAATCGCGCAAGTCCGCTGCCAACGCCGCTGATGGAAAGGACAGCAAGCTGGTGGCCGTTGCACCAACTTCTGTGACATTCCGTCCAGGCGACGCATTCAATATCGAAGTAGGCGATGCAAAAGACAAGGCAGGAACGTTGCAAGCACATACGCTTCAGATAGATTCCATCTCTACCAACAATTTCCCCGAAGAGTTTGTTGCTGAGGTACAAACATCACTTACTAGCCAACCTATTGCTATATCCGTTGGGCGTAAATCTGCACTCGGCTCCAAGCTGCGAAGAAAGGCGTCACCACGAAATGCAGCAGAAATTGCCACACCTATCACTGGCATGGTCGTTGAAGTCAACGTCGAGGAAGGAGATCAGGTGGAAGTGGGACAACAAGTGTTTGTCATGAGTGCCATGAAGATGGAAACGGTGGTCAAGGCAACACTAGCCGGTCGTGTGCAGGGAATCTATGCCAAAGCAAACGATCTTGTAGAAGCTGGCGATCTTGTCTTGGAAACTTCCGAGACAAAGGAGAGCAAGCTGTAAAGAAGAAAAAACAACAAGAAAGATAGAGATTACACGCTCGTATAATATATCCAGGATAAATACATATAACATCGAAATACGATCTGATATAGATGATAATGGTTCACAGAACATTTCTTGGCACTGACATTGCTATGAGGTTTATAACGAAACAAGTGCATCAAAAAGCACTAGAAAAGAATGGGGAAAGAAGGAATGGAGAGCAAAATTTGATGAGGCCAGGAATACATTTCACTTGCATTACTTGGCTGAACTGATGGTGTTCGGGGCAAGAGTCGATAACGCCTCAATGTTTTCACTGCACCGAGTGGTATTTGGTGCATTGAGTTCCGGAAACCCTGGACAAGAAATCATCCTTTGGCCAAAGAAGAGCAGGCGAATCATTATAGTGAATATCTTGATCTTGGCGCTTCTCAGTAGGATGACCAATCCGAAAACCAGTAAGCGAGAAGAACTTTGCGATTAGTTGGACTAGGGTTGCTGCTTGAACATGAAGGGGGTGATTAGGCTGTGCTGAGATACCGCAGTAGGTTCCAGTTGATGGGGTTTGGCTTTTTATACTACTCCGTTATCCATTCTACCTTTGGGCTCTGTCAACAATACACGTGCACAGTCGTGACTACCATAGCAAGCAGATGGATACCGCTGTGACACTATGTTGGTCTTTGCTAGCTGCTTTTTCTATATTTCTGCATGACCCATATAACATTATTTTTGTCGAGAGACTTCTTTAGACTAGCATGCCTGATATGCATAATAGATATCTTTTTAAACCGTCTCTATTCCTAATACTACAGTTGACGGGACACATTCATGCCTGAAGCAAAGCAAAGGGCGAATAGCTTTGATTTGTCAAAGTAGCACAAACTTTCCGAATATGGAACATAAGTCCGATTGTTAAAAAAAATCTTTTTTCGGTTTCGCCTGTTTGCTTGACACACACTTCGACTCCCCAACTCACACCTATAACATAACACAGCCATGGGTCGCAAACCGTTTATCGATCGAAAGGAAGCGAAACATTACCATGTTGTTCACCGTTCACAGAGAGATCCTCTCATTAACGACACCGAGGCTTCGGATCGAGTTTTGAAGGAAGTCATTCCGTCTAACCTTGCAAAGGTAACAAAACGATTTCACCCATGAGAATAGAGTAACAGTAAGACAGGCAATGTTGCTAATAATGCACGAATGTATATTGACTCCAGCATAAAACACAAGCTGAAATTGACAATGTCAAAAAAAAGCCAGAGAAAATGGACCAAGACGAAATTGACAGGTACAGTTAGAAGTTTATCTGAAGAAGAAATAAGCAAATGATATTTATCCATATCCAACACACAACCTAGACGTGTTGGTCAGGCAGCCATGCAGGGCATTTATTTTGAAGATACAGCCGATTACGATTATACACAGCATTTAAGAGCGATCGGATCAACCACGGAAGCAGTGTTTCTGGAAGCACCAAAGAAAGAAGAAAAGCCCAAAAAGTCCTCCTCAGCATTGGAATTTAAAGACGACGGCGACGACGACAAAGATCGCAAACTTGTAGAGCTTCCAGCTGGCGTATTGCCATCTGATATTGAAATGAATGTTGGTGTGATGAATCAAACCACGGGTCTGGAAGGAGGATTGCAACCGGATATGGATCCACGTCTCCGTGAAATCATGGAAGCTTTGGAAGATGAAGAATACGTCGAAGATGGTCTCAACGAGGATTTCTTTGACGAATTGGATGCTGAAGGTGCTCCATACGTGCACGAAGAAGACGAAGAAGAAGATTACGAAGAGGAACTGGAGGACGGCAATTACAATTGGGAAGCTGCATTCAGAAAGTGAGTTCGAACATGGTGTATATTCGATATGACTTGGTATAAGGATGGAATTGAAGTTAATCTATTGGAATTGATAGTTTCCAACGTGGCAAACAACGACGTGGATCCGATTCAGATTTTAGCGATGACGACGATGTATTAGAACGACAGACAAAAAATACCGGCTTCTCAGTATCATCGTCTGTTATGCATCGTAATGCACAGCTTTCATTGCTAGACGATCGTTTCGATAAGGTAATTTGAAAAGACGATTTGGAGTGGAGCAACGGACAAACCGCTAAGACGAATTGCTTCGTTTACGTTAACTTGCGGTCAAATATATGAACAGATTGAAGAAGAATACCTGCGAGAGGAAGACGAGGATGAGTACTACGAACAAGAAGGACAAGCACTCGAAGAACGAGCAGATTTCGAAAGCATTCTGGATGATTTTCTGGACAAGTATGAGATTGTCGGCAAGAAGATGCAGCCCAAGCTTGATGGCGAAACTGGAGGGGCAAAGCTGGATACCATTCGTGAAGCTTTACTAGCAACGAAGCTGTCGGATAACGAGGATGATGACGATAACGAGAGCGTAGCAACAGTCACTACACGAACACAGCAGCGCAGTAGCAAGGACAAGAAGGAGTCAGAGTTTGTCGATCTTTTTGAGCGACCGACCCAACGGAGGGACACCTGGGATTGCCAGTCGATGCTGTCAACATATACCAATCTAGAAAACCATCCGCAGATGATTGCAGACCGAGGTCCACGGAAGAAGATTACAATCAACCCCAAGACGGGTATGCCCGTCCTGGTTGAAGCACCTAGAAAGAAGAAGGTGCAGGAGGAAGGGGAGCAAGAGAGCGATAGCGAAGATGAAGAAGACGACGAAGATGAGGACGAAGAGGAGCGCATCAATAAGGGAGTACGGCGATCAAAGGCAGAAAGCAAGGAAGAGAAGAAAGCCAGAAAGGCAGCTGTCAAAGAAGCCAAAAAGGTAAAATTGAGGAACAGCGGAGCACTCTCCGGGGCGTGGTCAGAAGTCATTGCAATCGGCTGACAGAATAAAAATTCCGTATTTAGAATCGAAGAGAGACGAAGAAATCGACAAAACAGGCATTCAAGGACGAAGAGGGCCGGCAGCGAAGGACGATGCAGCAACAACGCAAAAGCAAAGGTGTCACACACATTGCATAGACACTTACCCGACCGCTTCTACATGTGTGTGTGTATGCCAAAAGCTACACCATCAGCATAATTCATTAATAATCAATCATCCTTGTAATAATAAAATGTCTTCCATCATGTCACTTACAGAAAGGCACGGGCGCCCTCTTTGGAGCTGAGCTTTGTTTTTGCGCGGAGAGAAGATGTGATGGTTTTCATTTCATAAGCAGTTAAATCGGCGCACCTGCCGGTTCCCGTTATTCGCCATTCGGCGTCCGAAAGTGCGTAATTGAGATTGGCCCTTCAACTTTGGTGTTATACAGATTTCTAAAACAGGGGTCTTCTTCCCAACACCCAAAAGAAATTCCAATTAGCAGGGATGATGCTCGATGATGAACAAGAGGTCTCGTTCTCTCGGATCAGAGGTGACGAAAAGGGAAAGAAGCTGCACAGCAGCGGCAGTGGTAGCAGCACCTCTGCTCACATGCAGACACGCGTGGTGGTGTGCGTTCGTTCGGTTAAACTACGCGGGCCGATGGGAAAGGATGGTTGCACCAAAAAATTGTTTCGGTAAAACAATTGCTTGAACGAAAAAGATATATAACCAAACCCCTTCCACTCCCGACCCGATTAGAAAAAGGTTTTCTTCCTCTTTTCCCTCTTACGATGGCCGCAACGCATAACACCACCACCAGCAATACCTCCACCTCCACCTCCATCTCCATCATTGACCAATTACGGGTGCTGTTGCCACGGAAATGGTCGCTACGCACCCTCAGCTACGGTGCCATGGCATTCCTGCTGACACTCGACTTCTTTATCATACGCTCGCCCTCTCTGCTCGTACGGTTGGCATTAGCAGTACTGCTCATCTCCTCGACAATGATACCCTACATCCGCCGCTTTACTGTCCCAGCAATGCCTATTTTCACCTGGCTCATCACCTTTTACGCTAACCAATTCATCTCTACCGACTATCGCCCGGGTCATATCTTTGTCAACATCCTGCCCAGTCTTGAGCGCATTCTCTATGGTGCTAACCTGTCCGAGATCATATCAAAGCATCAACACCCCATCCTGGACGTACTTGCCTGGCTTCCTTACGGCGTCATTCATTTCTCTTTGCCCTTCATCTTTGCGCTGGCATTGTTCGTATTCGGTCCTCCCAAGTCACTGCAGGTGTTTGGCAAAGCATTTGGATGGATGAACGTATGCGGTGTTCTCACTCAGCTGATGTTTCCGAATGCATCGCCATGTAAGCATTAATTGGAATGGGTGGTGTTTAGAATGGTCCATGTATAACTGATATCATTGTTGTGCCGTACAGGGTACGAGGTGAGCTATGGTTCAGCACCTGCTGACTACACGATTCCTGGTGAAGCCGGTGGTCTTGCCCGAATTGACAAGATTCTTCACCTCAATCTCTATGGTTCGTCGTTCGGCGCATCGCCTTTGGTGTTTGGTGCCTTTCCTTCGCTTCATTCAGGCTCTGCGACGATCGAGATGGCATTTTTGGTGTATCTGTGCCCACGAGCGTGGCCAATCGCTATCGCGTACACCATGTGGATGTGGTGGTCCACCATGTACTTGACACATCACTATCTCGTTGACTTGGTGGGTGGTTCGATCTATGCATTCTGCACTTTCTTCATCGCACGGCGTTATCTTCCTGTCGTTCGATCGGATTGCCGTACGCGTCTCGATTACTTGGGTATTCGTGAGATCAGCCTCCGTAGCTTCATCCAGAGTATCGAATTCCACGCCAACTACGGTCATCTTGCCAACAAATATGAGGCAGAAGAAGACGCTGACTATGAAAAGCTTATGCATGAAACTGTTGATATGGATGGTATGCCACAAGATGTACTCGTCTTGATGGAGCCTGAGGAGAAGATGGCACTGCGTCTACGTCGCCTTGATGCCAGCATGGATGAAGAGGAGAATGTGGGTTTGTCGTACTCGGGGTCATCATCACCTGCAGAACCTGCGTCTCCTACTACGCCCCATACACCCTTGACGTTTCCTCAGTTCCCGCTTCATTCAAAATCTTAATTACCCTTTGCATTACTTACTATCACCGTATTACTACCATTACTACTACTGCTTACTATACTACTACTACTACTACTACTACTACATGTCCCCACATCTCATTTTACTTACTACATACTTAATCCATTAATTTCCCTTAATCATTCTACGCAATGCTTTGTTTATTTGTATATTTAGCCGTTCCCCTTTCCTCCTGTCATCCTTTCTATTTGTTTTCACATTGCATGGTTTTGGAAGTTTGCTTTCACATTGTACTACCTCTATCATCTTCTACAGCTTCTTTATCACCAATATCTTGTTTTTACATATTCGTTTTGCTTTCCTACTATTTACAATTCTTTACTCTTATTATAATACATGAACCTCGTTTAAACAACAGTATAGCATGTTTTTTATTTTGACTTTTGTCATCTGAGCTGTTCAATGGTTTAACCTGAATATTTTACCGGAGTAGAGTGATACCGTAGTACAGAAAAACGTTTCAATCTCAGGGCGATGATGTTGTGCTGCATCCAACTGAGTAAACCGCGACCGCCTGATGTCTGACACGCCCACACGCCCTTACTTTTTTTTTCCAATCGTCACGAGCAACCCGGGTCATCGCAGTTTGTTTTCTACCCAAGGTACTCTTATTGGCCATTTTTTGTTTGGTCAACGACAACACAAAGTGTCTAGCTGTAGCTGACGGCAACACCTAGTAAAAATCACAAAGTTCACATGTTTAAACTTTTCGTTTTCTTGAGCAAACAGGACCACATGACCTTCCAAAGGCGACAAGAAATGTATCCGTATAGGTCAACAAGAACTAATGCAGGACGCCCTGCTTTTGCGCCCTGCCGCGGTCAGCTCTATATGTAACGGTGATTGTATGTACTGTTTAGTACATCATCCGATCTCACGTAGTACATGATATATGTTACGCCAGACGAGATCAGTATGGTAATTATATTGCGTGTGTGATATGTTGAGATGATGCAACTCGACATGCATTTTTATTTTGGATAAGCATTATCCTGGCGCAAGTTCTTTAAAATCTTTATTTTTATTTACTGTCGAAATTCATGACCAACAACCGTTTCTATCCGAGAACCTTCAAGAACAAAACAAAGAAGTAAGATGGTGAGAAAACACCCTATCGGGCACTTATTCCTTGTACTCGCAAAAAGAAAATGTATTCCTCAATTGACGGAGAAGGTGCCGAGCTGAAAATCAAAGACAACGAATAAATTGGATATAGAGATTCCATGCGGGTACGTGACAGAAAAATATGTAAGAGATGTCCTGCGTTATGAATGCTTTTTATATTGACTGTGACCCGATGACAGGAACACTTTGTATTGTACGCGGCGCTTAGTGATATTTGTGGTAAGTTTTAAGTGATCGAAGTCAGTCAGGCGAGCTCAGCGTCTGAATATGTAATAACCAGCTATCGCATAAATTATGCATTGCAAAAATGTATTCCGCGTGTTGCCTGGCTGATCCACCTAATAGGTAGCAGTTTTTTTTATGTCTTCACTTGGTAATCAGACCAGTGATAATACAAATGCCCGTCTCATGATGCGTCCCATATTGATGAACGCTACAAGTGGCCCAATATGCTCGAACTTATTATATATCCCCCCCCTCTCTCTCTCTCTCTCTTCCCTTTCCTCCCATCTTGTCGTCCATGAAATGACAGCATATTCAACAACCGTATATGATCCCGGAGACAATAACCTATAGAAGCATTTCAAATCCACAAGCTAAAAGAAAATATATTACGATGCGGCCACGTCTATATAACCGCTAAAAGTACAAAAAAGCCATATACAACCCTTTCAGTATTATTTTTTTATATAAGATTTCTCTGGTTATCATCAAGCAGACAGAAGACGACAACGTCGGCGACTACAAAGCAAATCACCTGCTTCGACTGGTGCCAGGACCATAATTCTTCTTTCCCCAGTCAAAAGGAATATACTTGTATTTGATCATATGCTTGATTTGTCGCCGCATCGTGATTGCAAATAGAATGCAAAAGTAGATCAAGAGGATGGGCCAGAACACAGGAATATCAAATACGCTGAAAAAGCTGCAGAAAATGGCAATCACCGTAGCTCTCGTTGCAGAGTACCTGAAAGAAATATGGAGATAAGCAATGGATTCAGAATTTCCACTTCATCCTTCCCACCCCCCCCCAAAATGAAAACGTGCGTGCGGTAGTCTGTATATGACTTACCAAAACTTGAATTCTGGCAATCTTCGAATGAAAGGCTTGAACTCTTCATCTGCCTTTGTTGGTAAAGAAGGGCCTTCTTCCATCTCAGTTTCCTGCGTATCCAACTCCAACGACGGGTCGAATTTGGGCGTCAAAAATGCCAGGAACAAGTTAAGCAAGTAGATACCTATACATTATATGGATTTCCCACACAACAAAAGAAAAGCGCATTCCAGTATTAGTTTCTCTTTCTGTTTTTCATATCCCCTTCCCTCTCATAGTTTGTGGATTAGTCTTGTAATGACGAAGCTCATACCCAAAGCATAGCTAACAAGGAAAACGTAAAATTCAGTGTGAGACTGCCACGTGTTCCAACCAACAAAAACGATCATAAAAGTGAAAGAAGCTACTACTTACGTGATAATGTACCATCCTTGTACGATCAAAATGCGAAGCATAAAAAGTAACAACGCTACACCAAAACCAATCCAGCGATAATGTACAAACGGTGTGGTATCATCTAGTATTCGTTGCCAGCGCTATTATAGGAAGAAACCATCAAGGTGTAATTAGACCATGCTGTTTCTTTCAACTATCCTTTTAAACATAGTTTCGATTTTTATATCGTCTTGACCTCAGAAAACCGATACTTACTCTTTCTAAAGCTGCCTTTTGGGCAAGAAATGCGTTTGCGGATTCCTCTGCATTTATATCTTCCATAATGAGGTTTGGTTTGTGTAAAAGGGTACGTGAGAAGGGACAAAGAGCGGATTTTAAACCATAAGTAGAACTTTAGTCTCGCTTGAAATGTAATGTCAGCTCTCTCTGCTTGGCATTCCAGTATCTTCTTTTAATAGTGACACATTGATTGGTTATCGATAGTACTTGCGCGCAAAGAAGATCGGTCGATGGCATCATTAAGAACCTCCTCAATGCTCGATTAGAGTTTCGTCGATAAGAGTTTCCATGGTAGCTTATAGTTTATCATCAGTAACCATGAAGACAACAATGAAACTTTGTATAAATAAATCCAGGATGTTGTTGTGCTTATTGATGTAAAGGCGCATTTTAATATTAGATGGAATATCTTTCGAACTCTAATCGTTCTTTAGAGCTTGAAAATGTTACGAAACAGTGGCATTTTACCCGTAGTATTGTTCTGCTTCGTACATCTGAGTTGTTTTAGCGCTAACTTAAGCTCTACAAGTCCCGGTACAGGTCAGCGTCAGTCAACTGAAACCATTTGAGGCCTTGAGTTCCTGAATTGTTACATTTCTCTCTTTAAATCTTGAATTTTGCGATCCAAGTTATGACGCTTCCAAAAAAATGATGCACAACTGATCATCAAAAACAAATACTGGATACAGAGAAGTATCATCTATGTACTCCATATCCAAAAGAGATCAAAACTGTTGAGTAGGCAAATTTACAAAAAAAATGGAGAGGGATTATACTACGATATAACCAGAGAGTTGGGATGATCGCCTAATTTTAGACAGATAACACATAATAAACATACTCTTTCTCTACCTCTCATCAAAACCATAGCAATTTCCGTCATCCTCGTTTTTAATTATTGAACCACATATTAACAGGTGAACGTCAAGTTTACATCGATTGGATGAGAAGAGCTAAGCTGAGGTCGCTGTGAATACTTGTCGCGCAAAATGTCGCGGACACTGTTTAAAAGCTCTTGATACGATTGATGTGGGTTTTCTCGCAACGTTGCTATAATAGTAATATTAGTAATCCAGCAGAAAACGACGTTTATTAGTAAATAACGAGGCAGTATCATGTTTGATAACTTACTGGTAAATGCATACGACATAGCACCGGTTGCTTTACCTGGACGACATGCTTTGTCAGTTGTTGTGATATTATCAAGCGGCATCCATCAACAGCAATAATCTATCCGACTCCATCCCCCTCTATCTCTCCCATTCGTTTTACCTGCTTCACTGGCATCTGCAGAGGTTTGGTCATCCTTACAGCCAGAGAACATGATAACGTCAGCAGCCGAGCTGTTGTTTTCTCTGTTCTCTTCTTCCGTGTCGCGGGAGCTTATGATCTGCTTGCCAAGCGACATCAACGATGAAAGTGCACCATCTCTATCACCCATAGCGTATGCCAATCCAGCTTCCAACAATCCAGAGCCTGCATCTTTAAACACATTCTGTTCCTTGATTGTTCCCTTGGTCGAATAGGTGTATGGTAAATCTAATGCTGTGCCTGAGTGACAACTGTCATAGATTGCAGTTAATCTGCATCCCTCGGGCAAAGGTTTGACCATCAAGTCATGCATATCCTATGTCCAGTAAGATAATACATTGCTTTAATTTTTTTCCTTGATCTTATACGACCAACAACTATATCATCCTTTCCCGCTGAACAGAATATCTAAAAGAGTGAGACAGCCACTTACATCGTCAATGATTTGTCCGGAAGTGCCTTCGTATTGATCGTGGTCAAGAGGATATATTGTTTCATCGTAACCATCGTTCTCGTCGCCTGACTCGTCTTTAACCTAGTTGTTCATTTCAAAATACCTTATAAGCATTGTTCCTTTTCTCCTCTCCTATCCCCGTTCCTTTTACAACTTAATCCGCCTTACATAACCACCGTGACCACTGAAGTGGAAAAAGAACCTATTGCACCGAAAGTCGTTATTTTATCTGATTTTAAAAAGTTGGAAAAGGCGGAGTGGGAGATACTTACGAATCGTTTTCTTGTGCATCGTTCACTAGCCACTGCATAGCTGCAATGATATTGGCACGAGTAGGGAGCATCTTTGGATCTTGCTGGTCATCGGTAAGGACTACCATATCCTCCTACAAAAACACATTGTTTATATTAATCTTATAGTTCTTCTATTTACTAATTTTAGCTTCTCAAACTCACCGGTTTAAATCCATATAGTGTGGTCAAGAAATCCTTAATGTTATGGACATCGTTGATACCTAATTGGTGTGTTTGCTTAATATAGAAGTATTATCATGCGAGTCTTATTCTTTTTTGCTATACTTACAACCTGAAAAAAATCGAGAGGATAATTAAAGAGGTATTAGACAAGTGTTGTCAGTAAACGCTGCTGTTCCTCATAAGGCACGTTCTTTTATGACTTACCGCTAAGCTCGGCCTCTGTTCCGAAATAATTAATACCAATCAGCAGCGCCCGCTTGCGTCCATGGCCTTATATTCCCAGATCATACGAAAAAAAAACTCCATGAGTGCTTCCTCCGGCTTATTGATACATGCAACAAACGCACAGCAATATTCATGAAAAAGATGAAACTTACAGTCAGACAACTTATAATGGGCAGGTGCGGCATTAGGCTTCACTTTTAAAAAGAACTGGCTATTGTCGTGCTGCTCGGTAAAGGTATTTTCATCCTCATCATCGTCCTGTGCTCTTGCCATGCCTCCGCCGTAATGTTCTAATATGTAATGTGTGTAACCAAAACTGGGCCGGGTCGCGCCAAGCCCTTTACACTCCACACACGCACTCTCTCTCCTTTTTCGAATATTTACTTACCTGATGGATACGAAGACTGGGGTACGGGTGGTGGGTATTCCTGAGGCTGTCCATAGCCATCTGGTGCGCCGTAACCATAGCCACCGTCAGCGGGAGGAGGGGGTGGTGGGTATCCGCCATAGCCACCATCAGGTTCCCCATACTGTTGTGTATATGCAAAATGTAATTTGTGTTCCTGCGTCAGCTCTATGACGTGTAGCTTATTTTTTTTTTGTATCTATTTGCATGTTGTTCAAAAGTAGGACAATGTACCCCATGGCCGCCGTATTGCGGTGGAGGATAGCCAGGAGGTGGGCCATCTGCCGGTGGTGGAGGAGGGTATCCAGATTGGTGATAATATCCGTCGGACATGCTGATAAAAATAAGAAATAAACGGAAGGAGGAAAAACGGATACCATGCATCGTGGCATCCGAGGCCTTTAAAATGCATTTTCCCAAGTCACAGAACGTAGAACAGTAAGAGCTTAAATGATCGCCTGCAGCTTCTTGTACTACCATCTGCCACGCATCTTGCGTCATGCACAAAGCATCTTTTCCGGTTACTTCGTCAATTTCCCTTTGAAACATGCAAACTTTCTTTTTTATTGATCAGACACTAATGCAACCAGTTTCATATGGTGTGTACTGCAGCAAAACTAATGTTTTTCAGTTGCTGTTGGATTTTTTTCATATAAATGCCTGATAGCAATTCCTTTTCCATTAGCCGTAGATGTTTTCGTTGAAAATAGCATCGTTGTCGCTGTCCGTACCAAAGACATCAGCAGAATCAAAAAGCAATTCAGCAGTACTGTCGGCACAGCAAGTGGCCATGCCCCCAAACATCTTTTCGTCAAACAGGGGCGTCGTGCCGCAGTGAGCACAGAATCCATCCCTGCGCATCTGAAGCAAGTCCGTGTCAATATCCTACATAATGATCCAAGAATAGCTAAGAAAAACCACTTCTTTGCAAGTACTATGCGTGTACTATTATTATCCAAACCGCTTACATCATCCAAAGTGTCGTCGATCATGCTTCGCTCGATCACAATGTCATTGGACCCATTCATCGTGGAAGACGCATCAGAGTGAGAAGCGCGATAGCGACCACACAGCGAGCCATTTTCAGTAGAACGTTCAAACTGGAATGGTGCGTCGTTCGATAAGCGCAAAGGACCAAGAATACTTGCCAATTGATCGACTTTGTCGGACGACAGGGCTGTAAGCTTGTCTGGAAAATCCACTTTAAACTGCACCATAAGATCACCATTCTGCTTGCCCGTGGCGGCAAGGAACCGCATGCCTTCACCAGGAATTCGCTTAATCGTGCCTGGTTGGATGATTCTGCTAGCTGGATGCGATACCTTGATCTTGCGGCCGTCCAAATGCTCAAACAGCACACGGTCAAAACCCAGTAATGCCTCTGTCAAGGAGATGGATACACGAGCCATGATGGTCGAACCGCCTATCCAAGACAACTGAGGATGATGACGCAGGTGCACCAAGACAATCAAGTCGCTCAAGACGGTTCGCTCGCCAAGCGTTTCATGGCCTCGCTTAGGAATGCGCAACTTGCCATGGATAGGACCGCCCATAGGTATTTTGGCCTGGACAGTCGCTTGAGCTTCGACGTATCTGTCGCCTTGACACTTGTCACACTTTATGAATTCACCAGCGCGACCTGATCCCGAGCATAGTCTGCAGCATACATCAACAACACTGTAGGTGTAGCCACGCTTCTTTTTCTTTCGACGAGTAGTGTTGACTTTGCCTCTGCCTTGACAGTTGCTGCATTGCACTTGGGTCGGCTTTTTGCCACGTCTGCTAAGCATTGTATGTTTATGTAAGCAAGCAAAGTATGGAATCCCTTTTTAGGTGTTTTATAAGTAAGGTCGATCGACAAAGAGAATGAGAGAGCAATACTGTACCCGTGACATTGCTGACATATGACCATGCGTACATATTTAATGGTCAGTTCCCGTCCAAGATAAATTTCTTCAAGCGAAACAGTTTGGTGTACATATAGATTCAAGCCAATGTCAGCATCCCTGCACGATTCTAAATCCGTCATACAAAAACGAAGATTGATGTGAGATTACTATGCCCAGCAGTGAACAATCACGACCGAAGTGATAACAAGAAACCAGCAAGATATTAGAAAAAGCTGTTCTATAACGAGGACCATACTACATACTCTCAAAACGACGTCTCTCTGATTGACGGCTGACAGACTCAGCAATTATTTCAGCAAAGGCATCAACGTAGTTTGTCACCTGAGCGCGATACATGTGGTCATCATCAATGTCGAGGAACTGCGCACGGCGTTCAGGATCGACCAAGATGTGATAAGCACTTGAGATTTCAATAAACTTGACTTTATGTCAGCGCTCGCATATTGGCAGTAGTTTTCCATATTATTTATATACACACCATGGCCTGTCCGTTGGGGTTTTTGTCTGGATGATATCTTCGAGCCTATGTAATTAGAATAGCTTATGTACTGGTAAGCTTCACTGTGATGCTCAATTAAGCAAGAAAGCAGAACAACAAAGATTGTGAGAACAGAATAATCGTACCAGCTTCAAGTATGCCTGTCAGAACATAGAATAAAGAATTAATGCTCGTAATAATGTCCCTTTCGACAGTATAACCTATATGCACAAGAAAGTAACAGGCGTATCATTTTGCTGTGATTGTACTCACATTTCGAACTTCAAGCGCTGTGGTGCCAGTATATAAACCAAGGGTACTGTAAAGCTTGGTTAGCTTGAGATTGTTGGAGCTCATGCTGACCATTTGCTGTAACTTGAAGAAGTGGAAAGTGAAAGAGAGAGCAAGTAATCATTTTTTCATTGCCCATCCTATCGCCATCAGGTTTTGATTTTTCTGTCCAGATCTGGAAGGTACATAATGCGGTTTCACTTCTCTCACTGATTGATTACTGTATATACAGCTGTCACGCCATTCATTCATGGGTGCTGTACACACACATGATTGAGAACAGCAAGCTCTTAAGCTTTTGTGATTAAGTACATAGTAGTTAGTAACTGCTACTACTAATCGACAAAGTCCTTGTCTTGCGAAAACCAAGATGCCATGCATTTGATGTATTTATCAGACAAAAATATCCCAAAAAGCACAGTTAATGCAAAAGAAAAGAAGCCATGGCTCTTTAATTGCTTCGGCATGAAGGGCATCATACATATGCTTATATATTTGCCTCCCGTCATCATTACGTAGTGACAACTCAACCGTACGTGGACAGTAGGTTTATTGATAATTTTTCTAGATACAAGGTGATGCTACAGATTTGATTATATTGTACAGAAAGTAGATTAGATAATCCTATGCTTCATGGTGATCATTCCTATACATACTATACAACTTCTCCAGGAACAAAAACTCCCGCAATGTAATTGACAGAAAGAAGGCCCTTTACTCTCGTTTTGATTTTTATGCACCGACCACCATGTCAGTTGAAGTGGAATCCGAAGAGTAAGCTTAAATCAACAATCCCTTCCCTCTCTTGGAACACAAGCGCAACATTCTTCTCTCTTGTCATTTCTTCTGCGCTGATCTGTCTTCATTGCCATAATGGCTAACGCGATCTTGCTGCATCATATAGTGTGATTAGACTTATTCTCCAGTTCTTGAAGGAAAACAATTTACAACATTCACTCGAGACTTTACAAGAAGAAACGTCGGTTTCAATCAATACTATTGAGAATCGGGAAACGTTCATTCAAGACATTACGGAAGGAAAATGGGATACCGTGCTCAAAGATATCATTCATTTAAACATTGCGCCTCGCAAGTTGATCGATCTATATGAACAGGTGTGTGTATTTCAAGTGTGGCGCGTGTAAATTAACGAGATAATGGTATAAGGCAAAGAAGACACGGCTAAAAACATCATGATAGGTCGTAATTGAACTATGCGAACTACGCGAACTTGGAGGTGCAAGGACTTTATTGCGACAAACTGAACCGATGCATATCATGAAACAACGACAACCGGAACGGTATTTGCGGTTGGAGCACTTACTATCACGGTCTTATTTCGATGCAAAGGAAATTTATTCGGATGGATTAACCAAGGAAAAGCGTCGACAGATTATTGCACAAGGTTTGTTCTTTTCTTGCTTAAAAGTGTTAATGATTCCAGATGATGCTCTATGTGTGTATATTAACATGGCTGTGTTGTTCTTTAGCTTTGTCTACCGAGGTTACTGTAGTCCCACCTTCGCGTTTAAAAACCTTACTAGGCGAATGTGCAACATGGCAACAGCACCAAGGCATATTACCCACAGATGCGAAAATCGACTTCTTCCGAGACGCAGCAGCAACGCAGAAGGCGGAAAATGACAGCCCTGCTTTCAATTTGTATAGTACTATCAAGGTACAATTCAACTGCTTTTTCGTTTTCTTCCTACTAATCGTCTATCGCGAGCATTATGAGTATGACTTTGTGTAACTTTATGTTGACTTTTTAATAACTTTAGTTTCCTGGATCAAAAACATACGCTGAATGTGCAGCATTCTCTCCAAATGGTCAATATCTGGTCACTGGATCAGTGGATGGCTTCATTGAAATCTGGAATCACGTGACCGGAAAGCTACGAAAAGATTTGAAATATCAGGCTGATGTAGGCTCCACTCTCTCAATACGAATTCACCACTAATCTACCAGCAATCTAGTATAGAAAGATAGAAAACATACTAAAGTACCTCATGTCAAAATCTTGCATTGTAGGAAAACTTAATGGCGATGGATAATTCAGTGATCTGCTTGGCATTTAGCAGGAATAGCGAGTTGCTTGTCTCTGGATCCACGGATGGTAAAATTGCAGTAAGTAATACATGAACAGGTGGAAACATTTGTATATCAACGAAAAGACATCGAGAGGCTGATTCTTCAAGGATCACCCATATTAGGTCTGGAAAGTGCAATCCGGTATCTGTCAACGACGGTTTTCACCTGCACATAGTCAAGGTGTGACATCGGTTTCCTTCAACAAGGATGGCAGCCAGTTATTAAGTTCGAGCTACGACCAAACCGTCAAGATCCACGATCTACGGTCTGGAAAAATGCAGAAAGAATTTCGAGGTCATAAATCATTTGTCAATGGTGCGCTTTATTCAAATGACTATTCCAAAGTTTTGAGCGGTTCAAGCGATGGATCTATCAAGGTAATGAAAAACTTTCCAATAGTTCTATGAGGTTTTTCGTTTTTTGGTCAAACTAACATAAAATGTCATTGTTTGATGGGTGTATATACGACCCAGATCTGGGATACCACTGATGCGTCATGCTTAGCCACGTTTCATCCAGCATTATCAAACCCAACAGCAGCCATCCAAAGCATGGTGACTGTGCCAAAAGCTGCAGACCAGTTTGCTGTATGCAGCAAAAGCAATGTCATGCATATAGTATCAGCACAAGGGAAAGCCCTTCAATCATTCATGTCATCCGGAAAATCAGATTATGTCTCTGTGGCCATGTCACCTCAAGGCCAGCTGATCTATGGCGTATCCGAAGACTCGACAGTGTCGTGCTTTGAGACAGGATCCGGAAAGCAAATCAAGATGGAGAAAATTGGTAATAACGAAGTAATCGGCATCGTCAGTCACCCATTTACAAACATATTGGCTGTGTACGATGATGGTGGTCATATTTTTTTGCATAAAGCAGCAGCAGCTGAAAAAGAATAAACGTTTAATAACGGTTTTCTAACAATGGGCTTATTACAGCATCAATAGAAGATCAACTGCATATACGTTATATAGATAGAAGCAAAGTTCAATTTATGAAGGGTAGAAGATAGCTGGTAGCTCCATCATATGCAATTGCATATGAGTATACCACTAGTTACAATGTCCTTAGTGAGAGCCCATATATAAATGGGCCGGTCGTGTTTGTTGTAGGTCGGCCATTGTAGCTTTATTTTATAGGGGGTTTTGCGCAGGACATATATATCTCCGCCTCCCTTTTCTTTGTGCATTTCGTCATGGTCCAACGTACGTAAAAATGAATCGCGTCTGTTCATGAGGAATTTCGACATAAACATTGAATATTACGAATAGCAAACAATCGAGTGTACCCTATCGTATGGATTTCTCGAGAGAAGTACGAGGGACTCAAGAATCAATTGAAGTAGGTAGTAGCTGAGTCAGGCTTCTGCATACATTTATACACAACACGCGCGGCGCTTCGTTGCTAATTTCAGGTCTCGTCTATCAATAGTAAGCTTGCCGATTCTACCAACACAGACATCACTTTCGAAGTAGAAGAACAAGTGAGTAGAAAAAACGAGAGAAAGAGACAGAGAGAGGGAGAGAAGGATTGTTAAAGCTATACTGATCAGTTCACGATTTGGAAACTTCAATACATAGTTTTTTGAAGTAAAAGGACGTTCGACAAAAAGCACAGAAACAGTGTAAGTTTGAGTACTTGACATGTCACGCTATTTCGTATCTCAGAACATCTGTTGTGCAGTAAAAGCTGATTATTTCATGTGGGTTATATACAGCACGAATCTTATTGTCGAAAAATTGATATCGCACTTGGTAAGAAAGATAAAGCGGTAGTGAGTGTCTCTAAGAAGATTTTCCTTTTGTTGACACGCAACGTCTTCTTCTTTCTACTTTAGTATCGCGATATTGACCTGCTACATGATACTCAGCCAAATCTGGCAGATTATTTGGCCACATCCTCCACGATCTCTCGATCATTCTCTACTGATCAAAAGCGTCCAGCATCTCCAGCACCCAATCAAGATGACGACGATGACGACGATGATGGCGACGACAGCTATAGTGACGATTCAGAATATAGTTATTCTGATGACTCGTTGGACTATATGAGCTCGAAAAAGAACAAGACCAAGACTAAAAAGGCAAAAGAGGTCCAGAATAAAGCGATGCAGAAAAAAAAAGATGATAAACACGATACTTTTACATTTGCTCGAAACGTCAAGGACCCGTTGGATATTCTCTTCGGCCCACCTTTCGAAGCTATGGCGGCAGCTGATTATCTCTATGTCGTTGGCCAGTATACCGAAACTGAATGTAGTCTTGATAAGCAACGAGTAAGTGCTTTATGATAAGATATCAAAGACATTGATCTAAAGGAATATCCTAGAGTTGCACATGTAATCAGCGGTGTTGATGGCTTTTATTATTATGCATAGACCATCCAAATTTTTGGCTATGAAGATGCTAATGTACAATCCGCAATCGAAATGTTCAGATTTTTACAAACACTCTACGTATGTGGTATTTTATACATTGCTGGACTTTACTTTTGTAAATGCACTAACTCTCTCTATCTATACGTTCTCGTTCAGAAACGTATCCGACGACCAACCATTGTTGTACCATGTTTGCATTACCGCTCAGAAGCAGAGTATCAACTTTATTTTTGTGATCTACATCAATATGCGGACGAATCCTACGTAGCACTACCCAGAAACTTTCGAGGCCCTGCTTACATCCTGATACCTTCGTTCAAGGATCCCAAATCCGGTCGTTTCATGCGCCCACGAAGCCTTCAGGATTCATCACAAATTTTAAACTCTCCTGGCAAGCAGCAAAAGCCCTCGGAAAACTCGCCGTCAATCTATGACCAACTCGATGAACGCTTCGGTCGCGTTCAAATGTCATCACCTGTCATGTCACCATCAACTTCGTGGTCATCAGGCCAACTTACTGGACGTACAAACGCACCGCAAGGTCAAAATGTGTTGTGGGGCGAACAAAAGTATACTGTCAGCCCAAGCAATTCTTCAGGAAGAGGTCGTGGTCGTGGCCGCGGTGGCAATTCACCGGCTACCACACCAGCAGAACGTCCGAGATGGGGTGCACCGCCGCCTGGTTCCGTCACAAACGAAGATTTTCCTTCTCTTGGTGGTGGATCGCCTGGCCGTGGCGGAGGGCAGTCGCAGCAACAACGTGGCAGGGGATGGAACACAAACAACACTAATGGACGTGGCCGGCGAGTGATGCGTTTAACACCTCAGAAATCCTCAAGAGGCGGCAGCCCAAGTCCTCCAAAGAGCATGTTAGCTATGGCGAAAGAATACAACATGCACAATATTAGAGAGGGTCTAACAGAAGGGTAGGCGACAAAGATTAATTTGCTAGCTAGTGGTAGTAGCAGTAGTAACAGTAAAGGTGGTGAGAGTTTGTGAACATGGGCATCTAATCAATCAATTCATATGGATATATATAGTCTGGAAACTGCCCGGCAATTCCGCGGAGAAGTGACGTTAGTGGCAAAGTAAGTAGCAATATAGAAATGTACCATATGTTTACAACTTGACGCATCTTGCTCATAATACCTGACACCATCATCAAAACATAGACTTGGCAAAGTTCTATGGAGGGATATACCAGACAGCTTTGAAAAGTCCAAAATTTGGCCATACACCGAGATCAAGGATGTTTGTATGAAGGAGCACAAGATTCGGCCATGCTTCAATAATGTGTAAGTTCTGCATTTTAGCTAATGAAGTGGGTGTGGGGGGAGGAGTATCCAATATAACAATAGGACCTTGGCTTATATGTTTGGACTTAATAGCTCCATTACCAACCAGGATCTTGCTGCGAAAGTCTGGAGAGCAGTCGAACAACAGTGTGGTCAAGCACGACATTCAAGCTTCTTTGAAATCCATGTTAAAAGTCGTGCAAAGATGAACGAATCCTACAAACCGGCCGTCCTGTATACAGAAAGTTCCACAGGAAATTTCTTTAAAGTACATCTTCAACAGCATGTTCTGACTGAAGTCGATTGGGTTTCATTGGACGAGTAAGTACCAAGAGAGAGAGAGAGAGAGAGAGCTTGGATAGCTCAAGATTTCTAATTAGCACATTTTTATGATCATTCAGGAAATTTGACTTCCAGATGGCTTTGACAGTGAAAGAGGTTGGCAGAAAGGAAGTATCACCCTTCAAGCCTTTCATTCGACGAATTGCTCTTCGGTAAAGTGATATCCATATCATGTTCAAGTATCAACGGCATTAACCAACTCCTACACTTTTTGTTAGACCATCAGCAAATGGAAAGACCAACGACCTATCGTATCAAGACATTGGAAACGGCGGACTGCTCCAAGTTCAAAATGTCATCCATAAGCAAGTAGCAAAGTTTCGTGCAGCACCCAACGTTATTGTCCAGATGACGCGATCCGAGCTTCTCGACAAGGAACTCGAGTCCGCAGGCTCGGACGCGAAATACGTTGCGAGAATAGGATCGGGATCAGTCAGTTTCGACATTGAAGTAAGTTGCAAAGTAAAAGAGGGGGTGGTGGGAGTTGAGAGATTGGAGGGCTTATTGTTGTCTGTTTGTTTGTTGTCCATTATTTATTTGTAAATAATCGACTTTTCATATAACCCTCCTACTACTATTCAACAGTTCATCTATACTCCTTACGAGGAAATCTTCAAGGAGAACATTAACAAACCGATCTTCAAGGACGCAAACTGGACGGTAGACGATGTCTTTGGAAAAAACAATCAAACGTTTGGAAAGTTCATTGTGACGATTCTGCAAACCATGAACGTTGTTGACAGGGCATTAGAGAGAGAATAAAAAGGACGAACAAGCACAATGATGAGAAAAAGAGAAAAGATTGGATAGTATAGTATAGTATTCCATGAGAATCTTGTAATGTTGGCCTCTTTCTATCAGTGTTACCCAAAGATATATAACGACGGTTGTTGCACCGCCACCGGACCGAGGCAGAATACTCACGCTTCCCTCTCTGACAGGATTCTGGGTGCTGGACAGAGTCATGAGTCCACAACAACGAAAGTGTTACATAATGTGTGTATGAGACAACTGACTAGATGTTAAGTTTATTATTTTTGGATGCACAGGAAAAAAAAACAATGATAGTAAGCGGGGTATGTGGGGATGGAGTACTGCTAGGTAATAAGTGGAGGTCTGTGTATGTTTGTTTGGAGGGTGGGAAGTAGAGGGCGATGGTAGTAGTATAAGTGGGAGAGTTTTTGTTTTTAAGCACAAATGAACAATGGAGCGAGACGGAAAAACAACAGAAAAGCTACCAAGCAGTGTAGCCACCATCGACCACTATTTCTGTTCCAGTACAGAACGTAGAGGCATCTGAGGCAAGGAACACGATCACGCCTTTGAGTTCGTGAGGCGTTCCCAGTCGACCAGCGGGTGTCTGTGTCTCCCACGTCTGCCGCATCTTGACGCCTTCTTCGCCTTGCTGTGCCAAAATCGTGCGGTTCATTTCAGTGTCAAAGTAGCCAGGAGAGATAGCAGTGACACGGATGTTGTGGGGAGCCCATTCGCAAGCAAGCGACTTTGTCAGCTGCAGTACAGCAGCCTTGGTAGCATTGTACGGGGCATGTGGTTGTGGTCGGTTGGTGATATGGGCTGACATGGATGCGACAGTGATGATTGAGCCGGGACGGCCTGTCTGCATCATGTATTTGGCTGCTGCTTGTGCGCAGAAGAAGGTGCCACTGACATTCACGTCAAAGATCTTGCGAAAATCCTTGGCTGTGTACTCGACGGCAGGACATGTCTTGTTGATACCGGCGGCTGTGAGCAAAATATCGATGCCACCATGGTGCTCTGCGATCTGGTTAAAGACCATGGCCACGTCTTCCTCATTGGTCACGTCGCAGCCCCAACTGCTACCCTTGACCTTGCAATCAGACTCAATTTTGGCGATTGCTTCGGCGCCTGTCTCTGCCAACAGGTCGATGCACGCAACGTCAGCGCCGGATTCAGCAAGTGCACGCATCATTTCATAGCCAAGGCCTCGAGCACCTCCAGTTACTGTAGATAATCACGTATTAGTATGTATACAAATAGCGTGTTTGCGGAGCAAGCCCAGTAGGGACAGCAGACGTACCAATGGCAACTTTGCCTTGCAGCGACAGCAGCGAACGGACATCAGGTGAAGCAGAAGTCATTTGGGAATTAGTATGTATTATGGGTTACTTGTAATTGAGAGAGTATTGCGTGAGGAGGGGAAAGAAGAGAAAGCTGGATGGATAGCAAGGATGAAGAAGGAAACAACCCTTGATTTAAATAGCCAATCCACAACAGCAGGTGGTCACGCTTGGGTAAAAAAAAAATGCATCAAATGTTTTTAGCTTTTCAGGAAGTTCCGAAGAAGGCAACAAAGAAGTTCGGAAAAACATCTCATTGGCGAGGCGAAGAAACCACATAATGCACAGTTTTTTCTTCTTCTTTTTTTTTTTGATTTACAAAAATATATATAAAAAATAAAAATGTTGTATCTAGATGTCGTCGCCATCGTCGTCGCCTTCCTGGTGGCGGCGCATCCGCTGTTGCTTTTGCTGCTGTTTGCCATCGCTGTCGCTACGTGCTCTGCCGTGATGCGCTGCTATGGAAAGAATGAGCAACATGTTAGATGGTTTAGGAATACACAAAATGCTGGTCAGCTTGAGATAATTTGGGTCAATACCCCCACACTACGCTGCCATTGGTTTCTGCTTGTCACGTAAAACCGCTAACATCCCCCATTAAACGGATAAGATTCATGACATATCCGTGATTTTTGAACTCCCCGCTCCCCTTCCATTTCCCTCGCACTTGTCTCGATGTCCCCGCATGGAGCGCTGCTACTTGGTTGGCTGGCTACTTACGCTTGATGATCGCCTGAAGCTTCGGCACATGCTTCTGACAGAAGAGATGGCCGTCGTGGGACTGGAAATTGGTTATCGACAGCCGACATCCCTTTTCTGAGCACTGGAGAACACAAAGCATACATAATAGTAAAGCAAGCCGTAAATGCAGAATTTAGAATAAGACAATGCACACGAGGAACATGCGTGGTGGGATAGAATGTCCACTATGCCCAATGATGAGGGAAACTGCTATGCTATGCTACCTTGAAACATGTCTTGTGATATCGTCTGCCGTTGGCTTCGACCTTTTCGGTGACATAAACCGTTTTTGAGCAGATAGTGCAGTCGCTGGTCATTGTGGAGTGGCAAACTGGAACAAGTGAAGAAGAGAGGGTTTGTGAAGTGGTAGTGGTAATAATGATGCTGTCGCTGCTGCTGTTGTTGTTGTTGCTTCCCTTTAACTCTTTTAAAAGAGGAGTTGTCCGGAGAAGGCGGGGCTTTATATATATGATGTTTCTGGACAACTCCTTGTGGAAAAGCTGGACTAACAAACAGCAGCACCACACAGTCAGAAGAGAGCCCCTAACAATGCATATGTGATATTTAGCTTGGAACTCCTTCTTGGGAAAGCTCCCTTGAGGCGGCGAGAAGTTGTGTGTGTGTGTGTGTGTGTGTGAACAAGCGAGCGAGCGAGCGAGCGAGCGAACGAACGAGTTAGCCGCATGTGTATGTTGCTGTTGTGTGCGTATGTTTGTTATACGATTTGATTAGGACGCTTGACGGGGCTTTGCCAAGAAGATATCCACGAATTCATTTTGAGATTGCTTGAGAAAAAGAATTTACATTCCCCCCAGCCCTCCCTCTCTCCTACATCCCCCGTTTTCCCATATTATCCTTCCTCCTTGCTCATATGCTATAAAAGTATTATGTCTCACGTTTTCCTTTGTCGTATCTCCAATATGTGATTGATTATTTATTTGAATTGCTTGTGGTGATAATCCAATTATCGACATTATGTAACTCGTGCTTTTCTTTTCCTTTTTTTTGCAATTTTTTTTCCGAGAAAGAAGAACATTTCCCAGCTGATGTCGCTCGAGAGTTTCACCGTGATGTAATGTCTTCATACAGTGTATGCTATTGGATAACCGACCAAAGAAATCCCATGAATGTCTGTTGTGTAGTTTACTTGCTTTATACGAGTGATGATGACTGTTTATTTGTGTATGAGAATGTAAGTGTATATGTTTGTGTATGTGTGTGCGTGTGTATCTTGCGCATGCGTTATGGAAAAAGAAGCAATGTAAGAAAAGAAAGGAGGAGTCATTTTGCTTGCAAATGGAAACAGAAAAAATATATACGAACGGAGTGATTAAGGGTTGCTAGAAGAGGAGAAAGGGGAATAGAGGAGGTGGGGGGGGGATCATCACATCAACACCTACTACTGCTACTGCTACTGCTACTACTACTAATTAGCATGTGTGGCAAATGGTATCTTCATCTTCAATATACTCCCGCTTATCAGCAGGTAATTCAAGAGGATTGTACATTAGATAGGCAACAAAGACCAGGTATATTGCGCTTAGCAGCACCATCCACCAAGGCCATCCCATATCATCGAGAAACATGCCAAACAGGTAGACGTTGAAACCAATAACGATCCACGAAATGCTCCACGCAACCAGCCGTCCAACCAGTTTTGTCTTGAAATCATCCGTCATTATTATCGCCGATGATGTCAGTTTTAGGATGGGAACCATGACGATCGGCAGACATAAGCTACATTGTTCGAATCAATTCCCGTTTAGCATGTATCGGGGAACATGGTATATGGTGTAATTAGGTCGGTGAGGAGGCGTCTATTTACCTCTGTAACACGTTCAAAATTTCTCCCATCGTATCGAAGCGTTCTACCGCGAGAACCGCCACAATCATGCTTGGCACCAATGCAATGACACGCGTGATCGCCACTCGGTGCCATTGTTTCTTAAAAATAGCTCCGAAAAAGCCTTCCACAACGTATTGTCCTGCAAGCGTGCCTGTCATTGTGGAACTCTGTCCTGCTGCGAGCAGACCTGCAGCCCACAGATATTTCGCATAATATCCCAACGTATTGCTAAGCACTTGCGATGCGTCATAAAGTCCAGGCAGGTCGGTCACCACACGATCGGGCTGGTAAAACACTTGGGCAAAGACGACAACAATGGCCATGTTGATGAAAAACGAAGTCAACAAGGCAATGGCCGATTCTAGAGCAAAGTAGAAATTGGCCTCCTTGAGCTTGTTTTTGGATGGTTTGTCACCGAGGTTGCGTGACATGACCAGAGCACTAATTACTAGATTTGAGTCTTTCTTTCCTTTTTTTCTTCTTCATTATTTTCTGTTTGTTTGCTTTTGTTTCTCTTTCTCCCACACCCTCAAACCAGGGTGCAGAAGAAAGAGAGCGAGAGAGAGAGAAAAAGGTGTGTGGGGTTAAACAAAATTAATTCTAGTTGTTTACCTGTGTAGGTATAAGTTGTGAGGCATGATCACGCAACCGATGGTCCCCACAGCTTGTACAACGGCCTGTTCGGGGATCTCTGGTATCACCATGCCTTCCACGATAGCACTGATCCGAGGATGCGACATGAACATTTCAACCCAAAAGCAGCCAATCATAACACCAATAAGCACCATCAAAAACACCTCGATTTTACGAACGCCATACTGCTGCAAAAACATAAACACAAACGTGTCGGTTGCCGTAATCAAAACTCCAAGCCATAATGAAAAGCCAAAAATGATCTTGAGTGCAATCGCTGTGCCAATAATCTCCTGGATATCCGATCCAATTATGGCTAGTTGCGAAAACGACCAAATCGCAATGGACAAAGGCCGGCTATATGTTTGTCTAATAAGCTGCGCGAGATGCTTGCCTGCGACTACACCTAATCTTGCGGACAAGATCTGAATAGCAAGACCTATTTTGTTTATCATCACCATTAGTGATTATAGTGATAGATAAGATTATCATGATTAGTAATGCTAGTCAAGCAATCATGATTGGTAACCTGGTTTTTGCAAGAGGATATGCGCTGTGTGTGTGCGTGCGTGCATGCATGTAAATGTGTGTCGACAGCCGAGTTTTATTTCATACATTACCTGCAGCATGTGCCCAAAATAGCAGCCACAGTAACTTGTAACCTGCAATTGCTCCACTTTGCAGATCGCTTTCGAGATTCCCTGGATCTAAATAAGCGATGCTCCTTTTTCCCCGTTCATATCATTTAGTACAAGTGCACACAAGATACATAGTCCCATTACATCCCAGGAGCAAGTTTACGTACATCAGCCATCCTAATAGAAGCATATCATGCAGATGTTTTAGTTCCCACCTTCACTTTCATCTTCAATTTACTTTGTACCACTGTCAAATCTTTAGAAAAAGGACAAGGCCAAGAAACTCACCAGGCCCAGTATAATGGAGTAGTTTGGACCACGAAAAAGAACCATTGTCGGATGCAGGACCAGTGTCGATCTGGCCTTTTACATCAATCTCAACATCCCAATTACTCTTCGTGTTGTTGACATCACACGAAGCATAGGCAGCTGTTGTTGTCGAGTTCTTAATGAGTGGTGTTGCCGATGAGCTTGAGGATGATGACGACGACGACGACGAAGCCGACGACGGTGACATTGTTGTTGGTGAAAAATGGGAAATAAGAAGAAAATGGTATTTTCCATTTAATCAAACGGAATGCACCGGAATTTGCTAGCCGGATACCCCGCAAGGACACGGACGTTCGCATGTGACGACTCCACATTAACCACTTGACGCCCAATTTTTGCATTGATCATCAGCTTCGTATATCACTCTTTTCTCTCTATCTACCACACACACGCATACACACACTTTCTCTTATCTTTGTACTTGTTTCTACAGGAGCATATATAGAAGACCAAATACAAATGCAACTCTTCTGCTGCCCCGATTTCTTTTGATCTCATGGCACAATAACCCATCTATTTTCTCTTTTCTTACCACCAATAAGCAGACATACACCTTTGCCATGCCAACAGAATCTTGGTAATCATGACAACAGACACGGCTTAAACCCTGGAAGCTCTCAATGCATAAGTGGGGTTGCTAAGCAAAAGAAAGAAAAACCCGACACAATGCTGTTTTCTAACTTGACTTTCTTTTTATATTCTCAAAATCGTTATTACGGTATATCAGCATTAGTAACGAGGTTTACAAGATTTGTAGTTGTACAATATATATAAGTATGAAATAAGAGCCATAAATTATTATAGATGGATCAAACCCTTAAGCACTCAAAATCACTTCGCGCACCAGGCGTCTTCGTTCAAGGTTCCATTCGTCCGTCTTGGCACCAAGTTGGATGATTTGTTCTGCCTTGTCATCCATATGTTCCAAAAGTTTAGCATCACACCATTTTATCAAGTCGTCCAAGCTGTGTCGGACATCCCAGAGGTATTTTTGCATGGGGGAGTAGTAAGCTCCAGTGTTATCTGCCTCCTTTCGGTACCTATTAACGTGTATAATAAGTTGGACATTCTTTTATGCCGCAAACTCGAAGTAAATAGACTTACTCGACAGGAGAGGGAATGCCTGGAAGCTCAGGGTATAATTCGCGTGCAGACTTTAACGCATCGAAGGCTGCTTGTGGGAAATACACTTGGCCTTCGCTCAAGGTCTTGTTGTCGTTCGATTGACGGAGTTCAACAATGGCCTCGAGTAAGGCCATATCGCATTCCTTGAGTAACTTGATCACTTGTTCAATCTTTTCGTCATCTTCAGAGATCTAAAAGAACCCCCATGAAAATATTCCATATGTATTGTACATCTTTTAGTCTCACTGATGAACCTACCCACATACACGTTCGTACGCACACACCCACATACCTTTTCAATTGTGGCCTTGGTAGCATCAACTTGCGATTTCAGCTCCTTCTCAGTTGGAAAGTCCCCATCTTGCAAAACCTAAACACAAATGTTTGTTACAACATATCCACTTTTCCAGATGTGGGATTCCAGGGAGTAAACAAATAGGCGAATCGAAACACATACACTGTCCAGCAGCTCTGTCAATTCTTCACGATACTTTAGCAAAGACCGGTTGTCAACCGCAAGTTTTTCATGCTATGAGCAATAAAAGAAAAATTAGACCCATAACAAGTAAAGCCACGAAGCCTTTTCAATGTGTTGGTTGTTTTGAACTTACGGGTTCCTCAATCTCACGAATTCGGTCATTTGCGGCGTCAAGCTGCTTTTGAGCTTCTTCAACAAGAACTTCGGCTTTCTTGATCCCCTGTTCACATCGGTCCTTTTCCGACGCAACTTCACACTGTGCTTGCCAGAAATGTTCGTTAGAAAATCAAAGCAAAAAACATCAGTGTCCTCCCAAATCACAACCTATTACTTACGGTAACCCAGTACATGAACCAGTTCAAAGTCCAAGTTTCCAAACTCTTTCTGTCGTTTGTCCACATTTCCCTAATAACCCCCCGGGCCCGAGAAACGAAAGGTAAGTTATCTTTCTCGAATTTTCGAATAAGCTCCAATATAAACAACATACAGTTTAGCCTTTGCTTCGGTAAACTCCTTGTCCTCTGGCTCTTTGAGGATCTTCATTTTGCGAATCGTGACACGGCCTTCTTCATAAGGCTTCTCCACATGAGCTACGCCAGCAACAGCATGGGACAAATCGTCGATCGATGAGATGTGTTGTTCAGCAAGGGATCTCGACATGATTATTATCAAATATATTAAGCAAAAGCAAGGGGTTTTGTTGTAGATAAAAAAGGGACGAAGAGAATAAAAGGGAAGAAAGGAAAGACGTGAAGTCCGAAGTTTTCTTCTTTTCCAATGAGCGCTTCTGCCTATTCCCCGGTTGGATGTGGTTTAGGGTTAATACCAGCACCCCACACCATCATCATCAGCATATAATAAAAGCCAGATACGGGAAATTAGATTGGGTGGGATCGATTCTTAAGGTTTTCCATGGGAACTTTTTGAGAGACAAAAAATCTCCGAGAGCGATTAAAGTTCGCATGGGCTCTTGTTAGGTAATCCGTTCATTGTGTAACTTCTTTAACCTACTGAGCTGCTACATACTATGTTACTGGTACTTGGAGGAGATCACTGATTCAGGTGGGATAACGCCATGTTCGTTGATGTACTTGAACGCAGGTCCCTCTTGTGAATCGACCATCAGCATAAAGTTATCGAACCTTTGGTTTTAAAAAAAAAATTGAATGCCAGCTCTTCTTTTGACCTGTTGTTCCTCCGTCCCTTTTGCTTAACTTACACTTGATCTGCCTTGTCTGATTTGAATATCTCAGAGTAGATCCATTCTTGCTTGAACATTTTCATTTCATTCTGTTGCGCAATAAATAAGCGCGAGCTAGTTATAAATGATAGTCGAAAGAAAGGCGGGAAGTGAATGGAGGAAAGCCCTACCTGAAACTGATCAAAGCAGATCGGCTCACGATCAGAGCGGTTTTCGATTCGTTGATTATAATGCTGGAACAACGGTCGATCAAGCAACAATCCTAGTGCTGGTGCCTTGGGAATATTGATCTTCTTTTCCTCGAATGATCTATCAATAATTGTCAGTGGCGAGCTGCTACGAGCAGCCAGCATTGCCATGGCTACAGATATCGAGAGTTTGTTAATACGTAGGTTAACAATAGCACGTACACAGCAAAAGTGGTCTCTCGTAATTATGCCCACGTACACAGCATCTTTCTGATTTGGTGCAACATGAATGACTGGCCTCGTAATTTGACACTCAGCCATTCGGTTCCTTGGTAATACGTTGGCTGCTCGCTGACTTGAATCTTCATCATGTGTCGATGTGCGCTTGGATCGGCATATGCGCGCGCGATGGTATAGTTATGGAAATTGTGTGTGCCTTCAAACATGCTCATGGCCTGCTTGAACTTTTCCAGTCGCTCTGCATCTATTCGATAGCTGCTGCTTTTGAGAGCGAATTCCTCGGGTGAGTTTGGCTCAATGTAGCCGGCAGCATCTGTGTCGCCGTCGGATGGTGAGGCTATCCTGATATCGGTTGGGTATTCGCGTACAGGCTTGATTACCTTTGGACAATGACGAAGACTCAAAGGTGGTCGTGGCATCAATGTGTACGTGGGTAGCCAGTATTCGTATTCTCGCGCATTGCACGAGTTCTTGGCATGAAATGAGCCCATGACGTGAGTGTAACCTATTTCATTCTTCCTCTTAGCTTTCTTCTTCGTGTTTATGTAGATGCAATGCATATCATGTCTAGGTCTTGTATGTACCCCAAACGCGTATTTGTTCGGGTAAGTTGGCATTGATTTTTTTAACAATGAGCGGATCCTCGACAATCATTTTCAGAGATACTACGTTTCCTGCGGCATGTACGCCTTTATCCGTCCGTGCTGCCCTGTTCAATTGGATCTGATCCGTTTGGGAGGGGTGTGGAAAAAAAAAAGACATTCGTGGATAGAGTTTCACCAATATGTCAATGCCACATCATCATCCCTCATCCATTGCCCTTGAAATTTACCTTTTTCGGATCAGTTGAATTGAGGCTGGAAACGGCTCCCGCTTTACACAATGCTTCAAATAAGGTTTGCTCAATAGAGGAGGCTGTCGGGTTCCTATTTTCAACGATTCACTTAAGCCCTGTGTTTTTTTTTCTCTCGCTTTTCACTTTTGCCTGAACGCAATAATGCCGAGAATAATATTTTTTTTGTTACCATTGCATTCCCTGGTATCCAGTGCCATTGAATCCCAAATAGAGGGCAACTTTTTTCTTTGGTAGTCTACGTTCCTGAGTAGCTGTTGGAAAAGGAATATGGTTTCCTTCGCCTTCCGCCTTTCGACTGTGAGCGTCAAAGTGTTCTCGTCGTTCGCGGCTGGTCTTTATACGTTTCGAACGACGCAATGCAGGTGCAGTATCAGTTGTGGCGTCGGAGCTACTCCATCGTCGAGCAATGCATAGAACGTAATTGTTACGCAGAGATTTCAGCATGGAGAAGTAGTAGTAAAAAGAGTTGAAAAGAAAGGTTGTCTGAGTGGCTTTGCTGGCATCCATTTCCACCGAAAGAAGGGTAATATCATGGCCGATGGTATTCTGCCTTCATAGTGATCTATCGGTTGATAAGTTCCTGCTTAATGACCGGAAAAGCAGCTGCCGATGCTATGATGATGATAAGCATGCTTTATCCGTGACAACAAAATTGGGCTTTTTGTGCCAAAACGACTCATCGATGAGTCATTTCTCGAATTTCAGCTCTCGTAAGACGTTTAGCCCAGGAACAAGTAGATATAGCAATGAGCGCAGAGCATTGCATTCATTGATGGGTCAATTATCCTCAACCGAAGAGAATGGCAAAGTAGATATCATCGTCATGATACAACTTTACAAAAGTTCCCGTGAGTTAACAAGTTGATATGGCACGCACCGCTTTTTGTACAAGAAGACCGATCATTGCTGTCAAGCGGAATGGAACCTTCACCCCCTGAATCCGGATTATGATTGGCTCTGTAAGTTACCCAGCATCTATATCGGAGATGTGCTTGCCCTTATACGAGCCAGATTTTCGAAACATGCATCAAGACGAAGAGTTTGTCATCGCTTGAATTCCTCTTTTTTTCCTTTCGTTCTGTTCATATTTTAACTAAAGTCAGTGATCAATGCACTGCACGCCCTTGTCTGAGCTTCGCCAAAATCCAAGCGACCTGCCATGGGTTGTACAGAAATATGGAGGAACTAGTGTCGGCAAGTTTCTGCAAGTCATTGCCTCTGATATTGTTCCGTGAGTTTCTCCCCCTCTGTCTGTTTGTCTTTCCCCTGTTCCCTTCTAGTTTTTTGTTAATGTGCGTTTCTAATTGTGAACATGAAATATCTTGTAGATCTTATTTGGAAACGAATCGAGTAACCATTGTATGCTCTGCACGAAGTGGCGAAACGAAAGAGAAAGGAACAACGAACCAGTAAGTATAAACCTGTCAAAAGACACAAGTGGGCAAATGGAAAGAGAGCGAGGGAAAGACCATAGTTTGTGTTTATAAGAGCTACTAACCGCATCGATCTGATAACTTTTAGACTCTTACGTGCAGCTGAAGAAGCTTTGACAACCGGATCGAATAAGCACTTGGAAATCGTAAAGGAAATCACGGCCGATCATTTGAAAGCAGCTCGATCAGTTATCAAAAACCCAACGATTCTCGAGAAACTGGAAGCACAAATCGAGAAGGATTGTTTGAAACTTCGCTCATTCCTGCAAGCTGCTGAGGTAAAAGAAAAAAAGGCGATTGAGTATGGACACTAGAAAGTTCGAAAAATGGGTCTGAGGGGGGGATAACTCATATCTCTGAGACTTGCGTTAATAGATAATCGACGAAATATCACCCAGATCAAGAGATATCATTGCTGGTATTGGCGAATTGCTGTCATGTAGCATTGTTACGGCGATTTTGCAGGATAATGGAATTGATAGTCAGCTTGTCGTGTTAAACAATATCATTGATCGTGAATTCACTACCCTGGATCAGGAGTTTTACGATTACTTATCCCAGCAATTGGGTGATGTTGTTCGCCAGTGTGGCGATAAGATTCCAGTGCTGACTGGTAAGCCGCGGGAATACGTGGTAGAAGGATGTTAGATATACGGGCTGACAAAAATAATTGTTTAGGTTTCTTTGGCAATGTCCCCGGCAGTTTGCTTACCACGATTGGACGTGGCTATACCGATTTATGTGCTGCATTAGTGTCTGTTGGATTAGACGCTCAGGAATTGCAAATTTGGAAAGAAGTGGATGGTGTATTTACTGCGGACCCACGCAAGGTGTCGGATGCACGACTACTACCGAACATTACGCCCGAAGAAGCAGCAGAGTTGACGTATTATGGCTCTGAAGTGATTCATCCCTTTACGATGGAACAAGTCATCCGAGCCGAAATTCCTATCCGCATTAAAAACGTAGAAAATCCTGCAGGATCAGGTACTATCATCTTCCCTGAAGATCAGAAGTTGGTGTTGGAGGGAGCAGTTTCAACAGCAGCAACAGCAAACGATAGTCGTCAAAAGCTTCCCACTGCCGTCACTATCAAGGACAATATCTGTGTGCTAAACGTCCATTCGAATCGGAAGAATGTGAGCCATGGCTTTTTGGCCAAGATTTTCGCTACCTTGGATGAGTATGGTGTGGTTGTTGACCTTATCTCGACGTCCGAGGTTCACGTGTCAATGGCCTTGGGATCCGACATGGTCCAAGCGAATCTAGATAAGGCAATTGTCGATTTGGAGCAGCTGGGAACGGTAAGCATATCTAAATGAGGTGGTTACTTACATTTGGTGAGAACACCATGTTATTGAGCCCGGCTATTGTCTTTCTTCTAGGTGGATGTTTTGCGTGATATGGCTATTCTTTCACTTGTTGGCAAGCAGATGAAGAATACGGTTGGTACAGCGGGAAAAATGTTTACTGCCCTAGCATCTGCAGGTGTCAATATTGAAATCATATCCCAGGGCGCATCAGAAATCAATATATCCTGTGTAGTTGACAAGGCGAACGCTCTATCAGCTATGAAGGCTATTCACAAAGGACTCTTATCCGCCGAAGCGCTCCAAGAAGCCGTCTTATAGAACAAGCCAAAAGTGTCGTTCATCTATTGTTTCCTTTTTTTTTCTCTCTCCCCTCCCCTTCTGTCACTCTTATTTCACAACTTGTTTCCTTGTTATTTTGCTTTTACATTTATCCCTTTGAATTGTTTGTTATTATTTTTTCTTGTGTTTTTAAAAAGTAGTTGTTGCTTCCCCCGCCCTTTCTTCTGTGTGTAAAGTTCAACCTATTCTTTCGTAGTTCAACCTCTGTTTCATATTTGATGGATCATACCCGACCCTAAATACAATAAATCCCAACACCCCTAAAGTTAGCATATATACATACGTGACAAATGCGCTTCATTTTTGTTCAGTGTGAAATATGTGTAATACCATCAAGACCGCTGTAATAGAACCAGTTTTGAATGGGCAGTTCCTTGGCAGAAAGAACCTTGATCATTTCTTGTGCAAGGACACCACCGACGATTGCAGCAACCGGTGCCATTTCAGTGTCAAGTAAAGATACAACATCCCTAAGTTTGTTTGACGTCGTCATTAGTTGGTCTTTCTCTTTCGGCACTTTGAATCTGCGATGCAGTATACTTACTTTATCAGCTCATCCTGCAGTAAATTGGAATCCTTTACACCCATAGCCTCCAGATATTTATCCTTTTGTGCAAGTATTTGTGGGATATCCTTTTCTGTTGGAGAACGTCCATGGTCTTGTTCGAATTTGAATAACACTAAGCATAGTAATATTCAAACAATCAATACGTAATTTTGTATTTTTTAGTCGAATTAGCGTGCCAAATGAGAACATCCCCTTCTCTTTCTCTGCACTTACCATGGATCACAAAACTAAGTGGAGACAACCGCTTGACTTTTTTGCCCTTGGCAGACCAATCACTCCGCAAAGATTGCTCAAAGCTGGCATATTCTTCAACACACGTCGTTCGTTGCACCTTGGGTTCCTCGCCTGATTTCTTACCCCGTGATTCGCTTTTTCGCTCTCTATTTTTTTTTCAATTAGACAAGCGAATTGAGCCATCGATACATTGGATACACACTTGGCCACAACCTATCCTTTGCACTTACTCAATATATGTATGCTTTACCAAGTCGCAAAAGATGTAACCGAACCAGCCGAATGCATCTGCAGTATAGAATGGTTTGCCGACCTTACGTCTCAAAGTGTTTACGCGTTCCTAAACAAAAAGGATAGTTTTTAATTTTTCTTCCAAATTTATAAGCTTTCTTTCCAAACATCTACCAAAATGCCAATTTCTTTGTGGAATAGACACACAATGTCAAAGTTGTTAAAGAAGTCGTCAGGCTTGTTCACGATATCATCTTGGTCCACCACCACGTTAACGCGAGGATTTAGTTGTTGGATAGCCGGTGCAGACGCTTCAGCTCGCTATATAAGGTTATCGTTAATGAATTATCTGAGTGCCTCTCTTTTCTTCTTCATCCTTTATAGCATCCACTTTTTGAAGCTATCCGTACGTTTTTCCCGATATCTTTTGCGCTCAAGAAGAACTGCGCGCCGAGATCCTCTTCTTTAATCGTATCGTGATCAAGAAGCGTGATCGAGCCTACACCAGCAAGAGCAATGTTTTTGCACACCTCGTCACTCAAAGCACGCATTCCAGCAATAAGGACACGGGCGTTTCGAATTCTGTTTTTGTAATCCCTCAGTTGTTAAAGTTTTTTTTTTCTCTTTTTGGTTACTACAAACGAAAATTCGTGTTCTGTTGGTGGGTTTGCTGACCTTTGTTGAGCATCGAGACCCCATAAACGGATCTGACGATCGTATATTTCTGCTTCATCTGTAGGTATTGTTTTGCTGTCAGAAGTTAACTTTCATGTGTGTAGCTATGCAACAGCGACAAAGAGATTACTGACCTTGAGTTATGCCGCTCGTGGTGGTTGACATGGTGGTTGGTATGTGGCAAGTTCTTCTTTATATATGAAGAGAACTATCGCGCCACAGTTACGCGCCAGAACCCATCGGACTTTTACGCGAATTCGCCAGGCGCGGAGCAAGAGGGAGGCGGACGGAGAGAGAGCAAAAGAGCTTCAATGCTAGTGACTCTCCTTGAACTATCTAGCTCAGTAGTACTCATTGCTGCGCGTGGTACTGCTACTGCTTGTACCGTTGCGCTCGGCCCAGCGTGCACAGCTCTATATCGCTTCATTCTTTGTTATAGAATAAAAGAACAGAGAGCGGTGGAGACGACATCGGAAAGAGCGACGCTAGAAGGTACAGGTCCAAAACAGAAGAACTCGCTTTTTTCCTTGTACGTACATATTGGATAACTCTTATCGTTTTCCCGAAAGAACGGGCAAAGTGATATCATATGCCCGGTGAAGTCTGTTCCATTCACTTTTGCATGGTACATATATGGAAAATATCAGCACACCGCTTTGCAGAGCCGCGCTTCGACTTGGTTTTTCTTGGACCGCCCGGGTTCCACCATCTTTGTATCCTCCTAAATTGTACAATTTCACATATGTCTGTGGCACAGGCGGGTCTGTGTAACGAAGCTCCCATCAACAAGTACAGTTTGATCATGTCGCTCGTTGCGCCACGGAGGAGAGAGAAAAAAAGCTTGGCTCGCCCACGTAGTAGTACTTGGCTATGTGTGCGCTTGTCCAGACCCTGCAATTGGATGGTTGGTGGCTTTTTCTTTTCTACTATTCTCCAAGGTACATAGAACATGATGTATAACAACAAAAATGGCCAGGTCCAGCCCTTTTTTCCATCTTTTTTCTTTGTGGGCCTCTGCTATACACCTCGTCGCTTTGATGGGGCCAGCCCCCGGGGATGGAGGGGGGTTTGGTCTGCCTAGCATATACATCAGGAAGTGCGCATGCGTAACTCGTACATAAACGAGAAGAAAATGTAAAGTGGGTTCTTCTTCTTGCCAGGTAGAAGAATAATGATAGCCTTTCTCGCTGTTGTTGAACAGGATTAAAAATCTCCCAATTTATACATATTTTACTTTTTCTCTCAATTTCTCTTGCTTGCACGCTGTACGCTGCGATACATGCTTTCCAGTGCTTCCATGGTGCTCCTATCTCACCAACCGCAGATAACACAAAGAAAAAAAATAATGCTTTCATTACGATGAGTTGATGAAAACGTTGCGTTGCTATTCTAAGCGCGTGCGCTTGTCCTTTCTCAAACTTTCTATTTTCGGCAATATAACTAATTCTGTGTAACATGAAGAATTACACAAACTGTATGGTCGGATTTGCTATTATTGATGGCTGGACGGTAAAACAGTATCGATCAAATCTAATATGCTGACCTGTTCTTCTTCGTTCTGGATAGAATGTTGATCAGAGTGAGCACTTATTCACGTGCTGCATACGTATTTCTCTGGTGATACTTGTATGATTTCGTGAGTCTAAAGCTAGGCCCCACGGGGAAGGGAGAACAGACAAAGAAGAGGAGGAGCAAGCAGGAACACAAGCCAACAAGTTATCGAACGTAAAAGGCGAAAATCCGCCTAAAAGGGCGGTTTTTAAATTCAAAAGGCGATTAGCACTATGTGAGCCAGAAAAAGAATACGATAAAGCTAGGATATATACGGACGGGGACGGGGGACGGGGACGGCCGTCATCCACCCGGTGGTTCTAAGCAATGGCAGCTGCGGGATGTTTAGCTGGTATGGAGCTAGCAGCCGCAATGAGAGTAAAGACTAGTAGTAGAAAGGCTCGCTCATAGCTTCGTTTTTGGTGTTGCGAAAAATAGTAACCGCAAGCAATTTACTTGTCCTGCATTCATTTCTATGGTTACCCAATCGTGTCGGCCCCTGTAATGTTCCCTTCTTGGTCATTTTTAAACTCCCACTCCGAGGTCAAGCTTTTCCTTTTTGCAACACACACATCTCTTCTCGACTTCTCTCTCGTCCCACCCCCCTAGCGCTCCTTTTCTTTCTCTTCCTACTTTCTTCCTCTCTATAGATTTTTCTCTCTCTCTCTCTCCACGCACGGCGATAGAAAAAGGAAAAAAAGAAAACTGGAAAAGTAAGGTAGAAACAAAAACAACAGACATAAACAAAGAGGTTGAGAAAGACCTAGCAGCCATCTACTGCTAACCAGTAGCAATAAAAATAATCCCGTTACTGATGGCCCACCTCTTGCTATCCTCCATTTATAGCTTGCATCTACTGCTTTAATCTGCAACCCAACAGCACCTACGCACCCCATCGACAATCCTTTTTACGAGAAACAACAACACCAACCACAAAAACCCTTTCAAACGATGCGTTCCACCTTCTTCTGCCTTGCTGCCCTTGCTCAGCTTGCTCTCAGCTCGCTTGCTGATGCCGAACCCTACAAAATCCCTCTTTACCGTCGCTCCAGCAACGGCGTCGTCACTGCTGCTGCTGAACAGCTCGACAATGGCGTTCTCGCCGGCAAAGTCTATATCGGCAACCCTCCTCAAGAGTTTACCATGGCTTTTGATACCACCACCGGCTTCTCGTGGGTCCGTGGCTCGCGATGCAAGAGCGAAAACTGTCTCGACCGCTGTACTTACTATGCTCGTCGCTCAGAGACTGCAGTTTCCACTGGCGAAAAGTTTGCCGTCGATTACGGAGATGCATGCGTCGACACCAAACTCTACGTTGATACTGTCGAATTCTCTGGTCTTTCGGTAGAGATGCCCTTTGGCGGTGCCTACCGTATGAGCGGTTTCGATGATTTCTTTGATGGCTACCTTGGTCTTGGACGCTCTGTCGACTTCAACATGACCGGAAAGCTCCATGCTACATCTGGAAGCTTGATGCGTCGTGCTGATCTGCCTTCATCTGCTTTTGTCCAGAACGCTTATCAACAGGACACTGGTGTGGAAAGTGCTCAGTTTGGTATGGTCACTATGAGTACCAACAGCGGCGGCTTCAGCCAGTCGGGCTCTTCTACAACTGATTCTTCGACTACTACCACCACCACCACCACCACCACTACCACACCCGATAACGCAAACACCAATACCAACACAAACACCGGTTCCACGACCAACTCGACCGTTCCTGCCGCTTCCAGCTCTGCTGTGGCTCCCGCAGCTTCTGGTAGCACCAGCACTACGACTACACCTACCACCCCCGATCCCAACACCAGCACTGGCAATGGCCAAACCAACACTGACACTGGCCCAGTCACTTCTGGCGGCTTTGGCTTCTTCAAGCGTACCTACGAGGAGCCTGCTGGTTATTTGGTTCTCGGTAAGTATCTCTTAGAATTACAACGCGTTCGTCATCAAGCATCTTTAAAACTCATAATTTTTTCTTCCAGGTGGTGTCGACAAGAGCCTTCTCGAAGGCGAGATGGAATATATTCCTTTGGCCGATACTGAAGACGGCTCTGCCAAGAATTGGGACGTCTGCATCAAGGATGCCAACTTTAACAATGCCTTGAACATCAAGCAGAAGCCCAATGCTATTGCTGCCATTAGCACATCGTCTTCATTCATTCAGATGCCTGCCGATCAAGGTAAAATTCAATCATCCTCTTTAAGCTAAACCTCTCTTCTCTCTTCTCTCTTCTCTATACTTCTGTTCACATGTCTACAAAAATCACCCTTCCGCAACGCGCGGGCAGTCGGGGGTGGTGTGTGGAGGCGTGACAAAGAGGGATTAGGAGGTGGGGTTTCTTTAGCACACAATTATTAGCACCTACTAAAGATACCTTTTGATTTTGATAAAATATAAATAGCTGATATTTTCCAGGAGGTCTTTGGCTTGAAGTACTATCAGACGACCAAGACCTATGGTATCAAGTGCTCCGAAGCCAAGAACTTGCCCCCATTGAAGTTGACCATTGAAGACCATATTGTCGAATTACCCGCCGAATACTGGATTCGCGAGGTCGATGCCGATCGTGATTGCTGTGCTACTCGTATCCGCCGCGGTGAATCAGAGCGCGACTGGATTCTCGGCACCCCCTTCACCAATGCCTTCTACACCTCGTTCGACCCCGATGCTGAAGCCATTGGCTTGGGCATCAAGAAGGGCAACCAGGACAAGAACCTTCGCATCTACCGGAAAACTCACCACGGCAACTAGTTTGTAACATTTCGTCCTCTTCTTTTTTCCTCTTTTTCTCGTGTTCTCGCTGAATATATTCTAATGTCTACGACCGCATCGTTCCTTCCCCTCTTCTCTCTCTCCCTCCCCCTTTTTCTTCTTTTATTATTTTGTTCATCTAAACAAAAGAGAAACAAGAAACAACATCCATCAATAAAATATCCCAAAAGAAAAGAAAAAACCAGCCACTGTTCACTACGTCTTTAACCTCTATCAACATCCTCCTCTATCTACCATCCTTTTTTCTTATGTAACAACATTTTCTTTTCTGTGCTGTGTTTTTATTATCACTTCAATAAAATAAGATATCATCATCTACGGATCATGGACACACGAGATATGCACGCATGTATGGTGTACACGTGGAACAGCACAAATGTTCCCGACTGTGGACACAGTGATTATACTTTGAGTGACAGCTGCGTGCATAACGGGTAAATATACGTACTGTAATGTCGCAACAATAAAGCTGACAATGATGATCGGATCTCTGTCTTTCTTATTATCGCAATGTTACAGTAATTATTTTTCTATTAGCGGTGTATCACAGATAAATGGTTATCTCCCCGCCCCTCTCTCTCACTTGAAAAAGTGATCCGTGCTTGTACAAGATTCAGGGGTAAAAAGAAAAGCAAAGCCACGTTTGGTTCTACTGCTGCTGCTGTCCTTATTTCTTCCTATTCTTCCATACTTGAATGAAACACATACATGGCATTACATATACAGGGTACACTGGGAGGATGGAGAGCAAGAAAAATTTGGCTCTTTTTACTCGGGACTAGATAATAGAAAGAGTGAGGAGTACTGGTACATTACATACACATACATTAAAATATCATATCTGTCAGGATCGGCAATTGCATCGGCAGCAGCAGTGGTGATAAGTGCTGTGGTAAATCACTCGGCATTAGTGCTGTATTTGCTTATAAATCGAGCTGGAAACAATTGAACTTCCGTGAATATCGTAACCCCCCCCCCCATAGCCATAGTAATGACAATAGTGGTGTAGACAGCGCCACTACTGCTACTACATAATATTAAAGCGCATAATTGCCACTTATTATGTCAAGTGGCGGTGAAGAAAGCAAGATGTCTTGGATAAATGTAGCACTTTCCTTGTCCTTTCTCTTACTATCCAATTATAGAAGTCATTCCGAATGTATGATGCAAGTGCCATTCATTTCTATCAATATAGCGGTGCTGAATGCCGAGAATTCTTGTCCTGCACATAATGAGCCCAGTTATCAATGTGTCTAAAATACTGCAGTGCATCATGCAGGTGCTCGTTAGACTACTAACCCAGAGCAATTCCTAGCTTTTTTAAAATTTTTGCAGATAATATTATTGTGGCAAAAGTTTGGAAGGGTGCCTTGTGGTACCTGCTTACCATGATTGAAAATTAGTGACTCTGACTGGTTTTAGTATTGTGATCAATCATATTACTATCATCCATTTTATGGCTTGCGCCTCAGAGCTGAAGCAGCAAATGAAAGAGAATGGGACTCGTTCGGATAATTCTGTTCCTTTTGCTTGTGTTGATCATAAATTCCAATTATTCCCATGGATGTTTGATGAATACCAGGAGGCGGATCCTTTTTATCACCATTTAAGGAAGTATCATAAAATATTCAATAAATGTTACTGCTGCTCCTGTACTTACACTCTAGTTCCCTATTAGACGAAGAAGGTCTCTTTGTAGTCCTTTACTTAACACTGCCGATAAACCCTAATGCATACAGTAAATGATCTTTACAGCACATTAACTCACAAAAATGAAGATATCAATGTCCTTTTGTATACAACTGTTCGACTCTATGGAATCGACTACGTGTAGGTACATATATTTGTCATCGTAAAGCAGCAGTTGGATTTTTGTTTCTGCGCTTGTTTCTTAGTGCTAGATAAAGTATGGTTTTATATTATGCAAGTTCGTATACAATGATGATTTTGTTTTGGCAAGAACAGTGTGTAAATAGCGGCAGTAGTAGAAATTTGTATAGATAAATATGCAATAGTACCGATTCAAGCAAAGGTCAAAAACATGGTTAATCCTGCTACATGCTGCTGTTGTTGGCATATTGACGGCGGCAAATGAAGGAAAGCAATTTTTCATAATAGTTTTACTAGTCAAAGGTTAAACATCACAGCATCTATTATACAAAGGGTGTGATTAATGTCCCACATCGCCGCGTAATGCAAGTCGCTCCGGACTCAAACCGATCAGAAGAAAACAACATAATGGTGTCTTTCTTCGGTTCCTCCAAGCAGCTTGGCAATCTGCTTAAAAACCCATATTTTGTTAGTTTCATTGTATATACTTCTGTCTTTTTCATATTTACTTTCCTATTTCTTCGTTTTTGCTAACTGAAATAATCTGATGGGCGATTCGCCACAGTATACATTCAGCAGCGCCGCTGATGGTCTGTACCTCAACAACACCGAGCAACAACAACGACAGCATAACAACGATAGCTCAGATACCATGGCACCGAGTAGTAGCAATAGTAGTAGAAATTTCAGCAGTTACATTGATGATTTTATAAACGATGTATGGTTTCGACAAACTCCACAGCGACCTCTACATCCACGTTCATCATTGTCCAGCCAACGCACTGTATCATGTGCCACGTTACCATCTACCATAGCGCCATCGCCGCAGCCAAAAAGTGATGAAGAATGGGTAGTAGCATCATCAGAACAAGATCTAGGGCCAGCACTAGCATCGACGTATACTCCAAAAACATACCCAATGGGGTGGGTTGCCCTATTCTTTCTGGTTCTCCTGCGATGTGCCGTTGCCATCTTTCAAAACACGTTTAGCCCCATCCCGAACGTGGTTGCAAACTATCTTAATGTCAGCTTGACCGGCATTAACTGGCTCTATAATGTCGTCAGTATAGTTTATATTGTAGTAAGCTTCGGTACAGGATGGTTATATGAAGTACTTGGGCCAAAGAAAACGGTACGCTATATATTATTAAATATCAATGGAACCCTAGAAAGTATTCAAATGGGATGCTTTTTTGTTAGTAAACTGGATAACCGTTTTTAACTCTTGTTGTTTTGTCATGCGTCCATGTATAATTTAGCTCATTGGCGCTGGTATAGCCACTGCTGCTGGCTGCTGGATTCGATGGGTTGCTATAAGAGTTGATCCACCTTCATATGCTGTAATGATGGTTGGTCAGATAATTGCATCTATCGGAAACCCCTTGACGTTAAATGTTATGACCAAGGTACTTTATTAAAAGTTTAAAGAGTGACGATAACACCAGGGTTTCGTACCACATCTAATTTCTCACCTTCTCTATTTAAGTTTGCTGCCGTTTGGTTTACTGAAGACAAGCGTGCAACTGCAGGAATGTTTGTCGGTATGTATCCTTTTATAAGAGTAATATTAGATGTACACATATTCATCGGAGCCTGACAATTTTATGATGACGACTTGTAGCTTCTAACTATGGCGGCATCATTGCCATGTTCCTAATGCCTGCCGTTGCAACCGGGGAGGACAGAATCGAGTTTACTGTAAGTCTATATTAAGGTTTCAAAAGCAAGAGTGTATAAGCAAAGTATCGATAATTGATAGTATCAACATATACAAAGGCTTTTTTTATAACAATCTATTAATCTGTTATACATATATGATCAGGTGATTATGGTAGCTGTAATCTGCACTATAGCTCTGATTCCTCAGTTCTTTATTCCAGCGAAGCCATCCACTCCTCCATCCATTATTGAAATTAGACAGCAATCATCATCGTCAATGTCATCTGACGCACGATTATCTGTCTGGAAAAGCACTCGAATACTTTCAAAGAATGTCCATTTCTGGATTCTGTGCGGCATCCACGGGTTAAACGTCGGCTTAAGTATCGCGTGGGGTGGATTAACCAACCAAGCTTTAAGCCCTTATGGTTATTCTGACCAAGAATCTGGAAATATTGTTGCCGTTGGTATCTGCGCAGGAACTTTGGGCTGCTGTAAGTTTCTTTTTACTTTTACTTTGTAATCTATGATACTATGTAACATGAAAGAGAGAGACATAAATATCGATCTATAAACATACGATCTAACCGTAATCTCTGAAAATCGTTTTGGTGGTGTTAAAAAATCCTAATAGTAACGGCTGGTCCGTTATTAGATGCAACTAAACGGCACAATCTTTTCTTAAAACTGATGGCTCCATTTATGTGCAGTACTTATGTCGCATTCGTCTTTATAAGTATGTAGAATCCCAATATTTTGGATGTGTTACATCGGTTACAAACACCTTCATATTTAACTAATATATGATGATGTAGTTGGAAGCAATTCACTTGCCTCTATTCTCTATGTGAACGCCTTAAATCAGTTTTTCTTGGCATTTATGATCCCCGTAGTTATTGAACTTGGAGTTGAAGGTAAATACTTATCAGCCATGTACTTAACCATTGCTACACCACCGCAGGCTTCTTGCTTACACACAACCTACCTTTTTTTTTTGTACTTTAGCCACGTTTCCCGTACCCGAATCCATATCCACATCCATTCTTTGGCAGATTGGCCAGCTGATTGGTTTCATTCTGGTGTTAATCATGGACAACTTCCGAGATCCAAATGGAAATCCACCTAATAACATGTTCAAGGCCTTGATATTCCAAGCGGCTATTTCGGCAGTATGTGTTGCTTTATGTGCCATCTATTGTGGTCCCATGAAACGTACAGAAGCATATCGACAAGCTGCTTCAGAAGCAGAAAAACTGAAGCAAGTAGAGCAGCAGCAACAAAAGCTCTCATCTTTACCGTCAGCAAAGCAGCAAGATGATGATGTATCATCTGACCAACCCGACGAATAATATTATAGCAACCCTTGAAAATTCAGCAGAAACGATTCAAGTGATCGATAATGACACCTATATGATAGCCAAGCAGATGATCTCAAGGAGCAGTAGAAATAACATAGACAGGCACTGATATCATTGTCATCGTGTTCTTCAATTTCTCACCTCTTCCCACTTGTATAATAAAACTCGTACGTTCTCTTTAAAACTTCTCACAACTAAACCAGCATTTACACATACTGTAATAAAAGTGTTCTATCAATCCCCAGACAAAGTTTACTTATCATCTACTGTATCTAAAGTGTGAAACATAGCTTTCTGTACAGACCACTGCCATGGATCACAGAAGATTATCTTTTTCTAGATAGTTTTAATGGAAGCTTTCACAACTATGCCAGGAAAAGAAACAGTATTTTTAGAATATTATGATATGACGATGTCTTAATGAAGCGATATTTATTTTGTCCTCGACAACATAATCTCGCTGTGCTAGACAATGTTTTCAGCTGCAGATGGTTGCGTAGCAATGATTTTCTCCATCCTTTTCACTCTGATGTAATCAGCGACCGAGCGGATGATGATGAACCATCCGAATATCATTAAAAGATAGGCGACAATATCTGCTTGGTCACCATCAAGTTCTTCACCCCCTGATCCTCCTTCTCCGTCCTCGTTTTGGCCCCCTGTTTAAATAGGATAATCGATCAATTAGCAATATTGTTTTTGTCATGTTTTGTTGTCGACAACAGTAGTAAACACTAATCAGTTGCTGCCCATCTTCAACTAATAAAAGCACTTACGACTCCCGATGTAAAAGCCAAACTGTACGAATGTGATGCCTAAGCCTGCCCGAGAACCATTCTAATTATGGTAAAATATTAGTCTTTAAGCTGCCCTCCAAGGATCACCGACCTTTTGCGTCTGTAGTTTACCTTTCCAGCATGAGTAGTGTGAAACAAATACGTTAGCATAAACCCAATGAACTGAAAGCTTGCCGAAACTACATTTCGAAAATAGGATTGATTTTAGTTTCACGTTGTTTTCCCATTTGATTAAAGGATATTGCTCTTGCATCGCAATATCGCCTATAAATCAAAACAACTTACTTATCAAGCTCCATCCAAAATGCAACATGTTTCCCGCTGGTAAACCTTCAATTAGAATAAAATCGCCTATGCTTGTCGGTGCAACAACAGCAGTATGCCAGTACGGAGGTGTGGTGTCTGCTGCGGCTTCTTCGTATGCCTATTAGTGTTAATTAAAAAACACACATATATATATTATGATTAGCTGATCTGAAAGAGTTTGTACGTGTCCCTTTCTCGTCGTCTTCAACAAGTCGAGTGTGAGCGTGGGTGCTTACGGGAGGTGTTTCATCGGTTTTGTCCCTTTCAGACTCTGGTTTTGCCGACATGTTAGCAAAGACGCCGTCGTTGGCCACAGGTAACGTTGCAGGTGCAATAGAGGAAGAAGTAGAGGAAAACGAAGTAGTTGAGGTGGGTATAGGCAAGTGGTCCCGCGATGAAGAATTTAGCAACCGTTGAGATTCTGAGTCAGGTTCATCGAATGATTCTTCTAAATCTGCTTGTTGCTGGTCATGTATTAACGATGGCGCTCGAGAAGAATAAGATGGTGGTGATGCTGGTATATATGTGGTGTTATCGTTGTTATGATAATTACTGTTTATTGCTGTTGCCGGACGATAGTCTCTGCTGTTGTTATTGGAATGAACGGTTGAAAGTGCTTCAGATTCAGAAAGACGTAATGGATCCTCAACGTCGTTATCATTGTTGTCGTTAGTCGGTAGCTGTTTTAATGCCAAAGCATGTTAATCAAGTTATGCAATGCTATTGCTGTGATATGAAGTCTGGGCTCACCCGTCGATACTGCATGTTTTTAATAATGAAGAAAAAGGCTGGATTTCAATGCCAATGCGTTTTCGAAATTGAAACGGCACTTGCTTCTTGACAAACATTGTTGGAATCGCCGCTTCCAGCATTTTTAATTGTTTAACAAATAGACACAGAAACCAATAGTTGCCATCAGTATACTATATATCTTTTTCTAAACTGCACATAGCGTCCCGCTGATATACACATTCTGCATTTATTTTACTTGAATTCAATATCATCATCGTCACTGAACAACTGAGCGTACTGAGGTGCATTTGTAGTGTATGACCAGTTGCAAAGAAGTCGGAAAACAGCAATACATCACAAAAATAACTATCGCGCATAGCCCACATTCTATTAATGCAGTAATGTCTGATATTTAATGACAATTTATAAATGTTAGTAAGAAAATGCAGCAATTGAGGTATGACACAGTTTTTTTACTAGCTGTGTCATAGTATAGAATATATATATATATAGCGATTAAAGTGATGGGTGCAATCCGAGAATCAAAAAGAAGTACACCAAGAAGCGCACAGAAGCAATTTCTCAGCAGAATGGGGGCAAGTAATAATGAATGCGGAGAGGGGTCTATTAATTTATACCAGTGATCTTGGGGTGGTGACTCCCTTCAGTTTGTCGGTCAACTCTTCTCGTCCAAGGCTGATGCCGTTCTTCCGTTATTGATCCAGCGTCCGAGGCTTCCCTTCTGCTGCTTTCTTCTAAGACACATTTCTCTTCTCCTCTTTTGATTGTAGAATATGTAAACAAGTTTTGATCATTATCTTTCTTTGTTTTACTTCCAAGATCTTGGCAAATAATTAATACCTGTTACCACACTTACCACAAAAGCATTGTAGTCGCGCCTGAATGCTCGTCATCACCGAATCATTGCTTATGCACGCAAGACTTAGGTACGAACTGGCTCGCGGCTTACCTGGCTTATGAAAACCCCCCACCACTCCTTAATATTTATATTTAAGATAGAGTATTATGCAAGAAAAAGAGTCCCCTGTCAACAAGCTGCTTAACAGCGACTCCGTTCTTCATGTTTTGCGCATGAACGAATGTATACTTAAATAGGCCGTAAGCTGTAATAAAGTGGTTCGCCGGCCTTTTTTATTAGAAGGCGGTAACGAAATTTTTGGCCATCATGATAGGAAGCGACGGCGTAGTTGTAAAGCTCATGATGAGCAGCGATAGAGGTATAAACACCCTTATGCCATTCAAGCCAAAAATATACAAGCGAGACTCTATCTGCTGCATTGGCTACGTGTTTGTGTCATATAAGAGTGTGCTAAAATGGTATTATCTATCATGCTTTTGTTTCTTTCCATATGGCTTGATACTGTATTCTTTCGCTGCTACTGATATTGTTACTTAAAAAACTCTTATTTATGCGTTAATAAAAACGTATTCCTATTCGATGAAAATCGTCTTAGTATAAAAACTGAACTTTTATCAGTATGATACAGCTATATCTATTAATCAACACACGCGTACACCTACATATACATCTCATGAGTATCTCCCACCACCTTTTTCTTTCTATTGATAAGAAACTCATCATGAGCTTTATTAGTTTCATCTATAAGCATGTAATATTCTACAAATCGCGGTAAAAAAAGCTCGGTATAATAAGACCGTGGTAGTAAATATGGATAATTTTTCTAAATACACTAGGATAGAAAAATGCAGCTGAAATCCCAACTCAATGCTTACTCAATGCTTACTTTATGCTTACTTAATGCTTACCAATTGCTCAGTAATCTCCGTAAACTACCAAGCTGAGCATGTAATTGCTAAGGGGATGGAAAAAGAACGAAATATATGTTTCTGACATCAAAAACCAAACATAGAACCAGCGAAACCATAAAGATTCTCTTATTTTTTCTGGATTTTTTTCCTGATAAGGATCAATATTATTGCTATGTTTCAACTTGCATAAATGTAATAGCACGTTTACTTATAGCGCCATTAATTATACACTCACACTCGTACTACTATGTAAACCATCTCAAGCTTCGAGAGTCAACTGACGATGACCCAAATTGTCAGTCACCATGCTTCTCGAAATTGTTGGCTTCACCTTACTGACGGGTGACTCTATTTTCGCTGTTGGCGACTCAGAAATGTTGATGGTATCATTGTTCTCAAAAGTCCCGGAGGTTCTGCGCTCAACCAGCTTTCTCCCATTGACGCCCTTCCTCTTAAGAGCTATGCCGACCATGTTGACGATTACTGGCCCGGCGCACAATGACTACATACTATTATGAATGGTGCAAAAAACATGCAACATGGACTTGGTGTGCACGGCATCTGACCCTGGGAACAATTGCCACTAACCATTGGCTCCAAGTTTCTCAGTGTAACAGGAAATTCATGTCTGCGAGTACCCAAAGGTGAATGCACTGATTTTATACTGAAAATGTCCAACTTTGGCACAACTGAGCCCAATGTCATGTACATTTCCGAAGTCATGGTCTTTTGGATGAACTGGTTTTGATAAGCTCATGTATCCGTTTCTATCATCTTGGTGCATCAGTAGCACCGTTGCTCAAAGAAGATCTTCAAACTACTATAGGCAGAAAAGATGCTGATAACTTGTACCTCGGTGCGAATGCCCCGGTGCCAATCTATTTTGATTCGTGAGAGCATTTCGCAGAGAATAGCAGCGAGCTGCACAAGATCTTTGAGGAAGAAAGCATTATGGACAAGGTCTGCTGGCTCACTCCTGGTCAGCCTAAACGAGTCATATAAAAAACGTATTTATTGGTTTAGACATATACTCTATACTGTAGCTTATAGCTTAGGCAAATATGTATGATAAATGTCAATAAAAGGTATTATTATAGTGCTATCATATATAACATTTTTTACAGTATCTGCATATTTTTACGACCAAAATACAGTCGAAATTCTAGATCACTTCGCCAATTTGTATAGTAAGACGAAATGTGATCTATCCTAACTACATATGTGTCAAGAGAAGAATAAAAAATGAAAAGCATTGTGTAATATTATTATCTGTAGCTGCATGTGTACATACAAATAATTGAGAGGTCAGCAGGCGTTTGGTTTCTTATCAAATCAATAAAAAAAGGTCTATTACATACTGTCGAGCATGCCACAGAATAATAAGTACTACTATGCAATATACAATTCAAAAGTGCTTGTTCAACTGGATTGATGATGAACCACCGCTAGATTGCCGCAGAGAGCCTGGGTCAATTATACGTCGGCACAAGCTGGATTAAGCCGGTCTCCTAAATCGTTGAAGCGTTCTTCAAATGATAATTATCTTCTGGATTTTTCCTCTTCCTCGTTACCTTGAATTCTCATTCCTATTCTCCCGTCTTCAACTCCACAAAAGTCGCCGTTCTCAGACGTATTTTGAAGTCGAACCAGCGACTGTCAGAATCAAATACGATCGATAACAGTTTACGTTTTCTTGTATTGTTCGTTATTAAGGTTGCGACGAAACATGCGCTTAAAAGATAGAAAACCCGTTCCAAAAAGAGAAACTTGCCGCTGTAAAGCCTGGATCCAACAAAGAGTCTAGGGAAAAGATAAGAAAACGGAAGACTTCAATCTGGCTATAAACCCTTAATCTATAAAGTACATTTCCGACGTCGACTGGACGAGTGTTTTTAACAATTAGAACTAACACTGCGCGGATATCCTGTCGCGCATAACCATCCACGTCATTCATTTTGCCATATTCTCGTTTTTATTATACATGTACAATATGAAAATGATTAAAATGATTACTATACCTACATATGTTTCTCGTGATATTTCTGCGCGATGACAACCTTATGTGCTTTGTGCCCATCGATAACGTTGCACGAAACTACCTTGAGCTCTGTTCTATCATCAGCAAACGCGACATATATAACTATAATTAAAGTTTTGCTCTGCATCTTCCAAACACTAACACATCTCAACCTGGTTAGCATATTCATTTGCTTCGGGTCTTGTATCATCTCTTTTTCTCTCTTTTTCTACAGTTCACTGCTCTGTACGTGTGTCCTGAGTGGCCTATTGGCTCATACAAAAAATAAAGAAAACTGAAAGGGGAAAAGTGGGAGAGGTTTCCTTATAGAATCTTTTGAATCTTTTGAAGGAACAACCTCGATAGTGACTCACAAAATGCCAAGATTCGTTTGATGCGATGTGCTCTATAATGATTATTGTTGGATCAAGTCTATCCAGCAGATATCAGAAAAAGATATCGCTGGTAGAGAAAAAATGGTATATACCAACCCGAGATATGGTTGTAAACGCAAAGATAATAGATTGCACGTTTAAACTCTCCCACTGATACGCTTTTTTCTTTGTTTAAAAAGAATATATGATAATAACAAGTTTTGCAATGAAGGCACAAGAGGCCTTCGGAATATCACGGAAGAGAACATGCGCAATATTGTCGGACGCTTGGGTTGGCTAGTGATGCTGTTCCCAAAGGCCATCCCAAGGTTAGTGTGCATGTTCACAGTGCCTTAGGCATTACTATAGAAGCAGCGAGACCAAACATCATCTTCCAATTTGTGTTTATTTCCTTAGTTCTTTCAGCTAGTATAGGCTCATTGCGGATGTGTAATTATGCCGTAGCTGAGCGTGACTCGAAAATATTTTACAAGTGGTGAATTCACGCGTTTAATACCTCTTTTCTTCTTTCCTGCTTTAGTTGCTGGTTGTTCGCTTCTTCCTCTCTTTATTTTCTTTCTTTGTTGACGGAATCGCGTCAGATGCAGGCTTCCCAGAGACCAGAAGGAGGAGGGAGCCAAAATGCTTCCTCAGCGACCCTCGTTGCCCATCAGCGGGCTCTGATTCCGTCTACAAGTATCGAATTCCCAACACAACGTCTCTATGCATTATCGATCTTTGTTGTATTACAAACTGTCAAGCTTACGGATCTACTCCAAGTTAATTTCGCGGCTTCTTACCCCGAAGAATACGCTGGTATCTTTATACGGTGGTGGATCCTCGATGCGTTATACATGGCGGTTCTTTGGATCGTACAGATCCCTTGGTTACAGTTCAGTTCTTTAAAAACTATGCTGATCATCGCCGGTTTCTTCTTTCTTGATCTGTTTCTTTTTGTCTTTCAACCAGTAAGATATATATGCATTTGGTGTCACTGTTCTCTGCGAAAAACTAAACAGATCGTAATCTTGAAATCTTTTAGGTTGCATTCTTTGGTTTCCTCCTCAAAGTCATCTTGGGTTTGTACCTGTTTTGCTATTGATGAGGTACACGAAGACACGTTGTCATTAACAGCTATTTTTTTTCTCTTTTTATCCTAGGCGAATCCCAAAGCCAGCAAATGGGCGTGTCAAAAGGAAAAATGGTCGATGTCAAGGATATTCTTCAGAACTCCTCGCATATCTTGGGTCGCCATACTGTGCATATCTTGCCCTATGGGTAAGACTTTATCAATTAATTTAAACCAAGTGAATGATTACATTTAGGTTTATTAACAACTAATGTATATCATGACAACGGTATCATATTAGCACTGCGAAATTAAATCCAGATGGCGAGTCCTACTGCATACCGGAACGCGATATCGGCACAGAAAACATCTATATACCAGTCGTACTGAACAACACCACTCCTAGCACGATCTCTCTTTCTCGGTATGATTTTGACTCAAAAACCAGCACCGTATTCGAACTTTCTGGACGGGACATCCATCGCGCAAATGAGATTGGACACGGAAAGCAAGGACTCGAATACTACGTTATCAAAGTACGAGAACCGGGCGCTTACAAGCTGGACGAAATTGTCAGCAAAGATGGATTGCATGTTCAATTCTACAATAGACTGGCCTATGTCTTTGTATGTCCTACAGCACGATTTACGCCAGTCAGCACGGCCGATTACTGCAGTGGTGACAAGGAAACACTCGAACTTCAGGTTTCTGGTGTGGCACCGCTTAAAGTGGAGTACAATCGGCATGTCAACAAGCGCCTATCATCGCTCAAATTGGATCGCATCCAACCGGAGAACTTTGAATCGCCCTTGACGCGCATGAAAGATGGATTATCCGAAGTTGATCAAGCATTCTTCACATCGGCGTTCCATCAGGACAATTTTAATTGGGCAGCTACGGAACATTTGACAATGAATTTGGATCTGTCGTTCAAGGAGTCAGGTGAACACGTCTACTATATTAATCGAGTTATTGATGGTGTTGGCAACGTCGTGGAAATCAATGATCCAGTAAAGAATAAGTTCATCGTGCACGGACATCCAAAGGTGCAGTTCCAATGTTCTGCCACAGATCCTGTCAACCTCTTGATCGGCGAAGATTCTACCAACCTGCCTCTCAGTCTAGAAGGCTCGAGCCCATGGAAATTGGAGTATGAGTACACTTCGGAAGTCGACGAGGGCACGACGAAGCTAAAGACAACACAGATAAGCGACAGCAAATCATCTTTGAAGGCTCACGCTCCTGGCGAATACAAGCTCCTTCGTGTATCGGACAAATTCTGTCGTGGTGACGTCCTGCTCCCATCTACTTGCCAAGTTGTTCAGCCTCCTCCTCCGCTAATCCGCGTTGATGCAACTCCGGTTCCGTCAGAGTGTGCTGATGATAGCGAGGTTGGCATGCGTTTTGCCGTCGAATTTGAAGGTAATGACAGCTGGCACGGGAATAGTATTTTAAAAGTTTCTGAGAGAGATAAGGTATTCATTGTTCTAATAATTAACCCAACTGTTTTGTTTTGGTTTGTAGGTGCACCTCCTTATACTTTTGAATATCAGGTTGTCAAAAACAACGGAAAGCGAAAGACTGTGGTGGAGAAAAAGAGAGAGCGTGTCGACCGATCTCGCTTCCTCTTTAGTTACCTTCCTACCTCTAGCGGGTAAGCTTACATATCGAAATAGATGTATAGTAATTTTCGCCTTTTAAACACATTAATTTACCTATTAATCATTATCCGTCAGTGGATACACGTACGAATTTCTATCGCTGGATGACCGCAACTACAAGAACCGTGAAACAAATGTTCAGTCCATCAAGCAGATCGTACATCCTCAACCAGACGCCAAGTTCACTGGCAACATGAAGGCCTTGCAATCGATTCGCACTTGTATCGGCGACGACGTTGAGCTGGATGTGGCACTTAGTGGAAGTGGTCCTTTCTTGCTAACCTGGACTTTTGCAAAGCAAATGTATTCGGATGTTGTTGAAGGGAACCAGTACACTATTAAGGTCCCCCGTTTGGAAAGCGCTGGTCATCACGTTGTTTCACTGGTCAAGGTAAACGCATTTGCTATTATATCATTAAGTTTAACACTATGTGGATGAAGAAAGAGAAAGAAAATTTATGATGCTAACAATAAATAACGGTAAATAGATTCGTGATGCAAACGAGTGCGAGAAGGAATTGGAGGCTCGAGACGTGATTATTGATGTACGACGCGATAGACCTACTGTGTTCTTTTACACAGAAGATGACAGCAACGCTACCGTTTTTGTTGCAGAAGGAGAGACCGCCAAACTACCATTGCGTCTTACTGGTGAAGAACCCTGGAAGATCACCTATCGCAACGTTGAATCTGATGGCAAGGGTGTTCGAAGCCTGTCGCTTCGTGATCCTAATGCTCAAGTGGAGGTCAAGAAAGTGGGAACATACGAGTTACTCAGTGTCGAGGATTCTATTTGTAAAGGTGATGCTCTGCCTCCAACATACACCGTCCGCTGGATTGATAAGCCGAAACTGTCGTTTGTGGAGGATCAGGTCACACAAAGAGCTGATGGCGTCTTTGAACGACAAGCTGTCTGTGAAGGTGTTAACGATGCTATTGATATCCAGTTCACCGGTATGTGACATAATTGTGCTTCTTTTAAAAATTGTGACAAGTCTATTTTGCTTACATGATCATGTTTTATGTCTTTATTTAGGGCATGGACCTTATTACTGCGCATATGATCAATATTTTACCCCAACTGGCCAACGCAGCTCCAACTTCCTCGGATCTGACGAGATCCGTTCGGGTCTTACCAAGAACTGGATCGGTTTACGAACGCAAGAAAGCGGCAAATACAAGTACAGCTTCAATAAGATCGCAGATCAGCGCTACACCAATCCATTTAAGCTTTCACCGCCTTTGGTTCTGGAACAAAATGTTCATCCTATTCCATCCGTCAAGTTCCCTACCAAGTCCCGATACGCACGCACTGTATGCGTTGGCGACACGTTTGACTCGGATGACATTGGCGCAATTTGGTTGGAACTAAAGGGCCAGGCACCATTCTCTGTTCGTCTCGGTCTTAAGCATCAATCTGAAAAGTATGGCAAAACGATCCAGTTCAACGATATCAACGCAAACAAATTCAAGCTGGAGCTTACCGACGAAGTGACGACCCCTGGACACTACGAGTTGCATCTTTTGAATGTAAGAGATGGAAATGGATGCAGTGCAGAAGCCAGCGGCCCCGAATCTGTGTTGTCGATCGAAGCACAAGATATTGCTACTATCGTGCCCGCTGAGTCATGTGCTGAGCATTGTGTTGGTGATACTCTCGAGTATAGCTTATCTGGCGTTGGACCATTCACTATATGTAAGTTGTAGTGATAGTGATTTAGATGGAGGTATACTCATGTTCTGGAGCAAATTGTCTTAATATGTGCGTCGATTTTGATATAGCATACCAATTCAACGGTCGTAACGAAAAGGTCAAATCGCAGACTTCAAGACTCACCATGATCGCAGATAAGCCTGGTAACCTTACGATTGTTTCCGTGGGCGATCAGCGAAACAAGTGCCGCTCTTTCCCCAAGGATATGACCAAGTCCATCCACGAGATCCCATCATCACTTGTCAGTGGCGGCAGGGAGATTATTGAAAACATCCGCGAAGGTAAAGAAACAGTCCCCTTGGCATCATCATTATCAGTGATTTGCTACATCACTCGTCGGTACTCATAATATCCAATTTATCTATAATGTACAGGGGATATGGTTCAAGCCAATGTAGATTTGGTTGGTGTTCCGCCATTTGATTTTGAATGGCAACGAAGTGAAGCAATCTGGGATAGCAACAAGAAACGATTCTTCAAAGGAAACGTACTTGAAAGCCATACAGTACATAATGTTGAGGGACATCGCTACAGCATTAATACATCAACAGAAGGAATCATTGAGGTAACGTTGACGCTGATAATTTTTCCCCTTTCTATATTTGGGAAACGGAAGAAGTAACAGCACTATGGTAACTGACTCTTTGTGTTTCATCCTTCTTTGTCACTAGGTAACAAGAATCAAGGATCGATTCTGCCATTATCCTCGCCCTCAATCTCAATTGTAAAAGCTTATCAATGAATCACGAACGTTCCAATGTAAATAATAAAACAGTTGGCCCTGCCAGAAAAATATATACAATTTACACATTAAAGTATAAAAAAATCATATACAACTTTTTCTTTAAAACTTTCTTCCATGATTCGGTGGCATACCAGGCAAAAGTGGCATGGATGCGTAAGGGCGTGGTCTGAAATCTTCAGGCGATGGTACAGGAGGAGCTTCGCGCTGTTGATGTCGCTCGGTGTGCTGTTGCGATGTTGCTGTACGCAAGTATGCAGTCAAAGGTCTATGAAGGATACTGTTGCTAGTTTGCGGGACTTGATGGTGGTGTGAAGCATCTGCCGTGGTATTATTCCTATTGCCGCCCTGATTGAATAAAAGAGGCATAGATCCGGTTGAGGTTGGTAAAGGTCGATGAGACGAAACAGATGTTGTTTCTGTGCGTTGGGCATCATTAGATAGTATGTTGCTCATCTTTTTTTGGATAGATAACACACATACAGAGAGAGAAAGATATCAGCTTAGTAATGTATCTTATGAGTACTACATGAAGCAATAAAACAGAATCTAAGTACTACCTTTTGAAACGTCCTGGAGGGAAACGGGTAAGCTGAACGATCCGAGGAATGATTGCTGTTATTGTTGTTATTCAAGACCACTGCGAATCCTGTGGGAGTGTCCTTTGGCGTAGCGAGCTTTCCATTAAAAGGCTTGTGGTTCAATCATTTTATCAATCATTAGCAATGGCTCCCTTTTTCGAGCTGAAGCAATTATGTGAATACAGCAAAAAAAGTTGAAATAGATTTACCTGATGGTTACTCAAATCAGTGTAGATCATGTAGCTGATATACGCATGGAGAGCGTTTCGTTTTATCTTTGGATGTTGCTTTGGGTCATCATAATTTTCGAGATCAGTCATGGGCTGACTTTGGTAAGATCTCATTATTAGATGATGCTGTTTCGCTAGGTTCTCAGTAGCCTTTTTTTTGTGGATGATTTTCATGAATATGTCAGTATCATGTGTAACCACTTTCTGCGCTATATAAGATCTGCTACCTGCGAATATGTTGTCCTTTCGAGGGAATTAAATGGTGGAAATAGAGTTTTTTGCTTGCTGGTACTTTTTATAGAAGAATTAGACAAGTAATCAGCCCTAAAGAACGGTAAAACTTACACGCTATTGATTTTTGGACCATATCGTTCTGAGGCACGTGTATGCATTTCATCTCGGCGATACTCTGATATACTCATCATTGGGTCATAGCTAATAGCCTGAATTGTTTTATCATAGTAGCTCTGGTGAAAAATTGTATACGAAATTATCTTTCTTTTTGACTGCTTGTAATGTGTACCTCTTGATGGCTCGATGTCGATGAAATATTACGTTGGTCCGATTTTGTATCTGAGATACCGAGATATAAAGGTTAATTTCGCTTAATGATGAATGGCTCGAATAATAAGTAAGCATCTATTGAGGAAATTTCCTCTGTTTGTTATTGCTTACCAAGCAAGCTTTGAATTGACATAGGGCGTCTACTTTCATCCTATCGTATTATTGCATTGATAATATATATGCAAGCACATGCAATGAAGAGTGAGAACACGTTAGTAGAATTTGAGAGTGAAAGAAAGGAAGTTTCTCTTTCTGTGGCTTTACCAAAGAAGGCCTTCTGGCTTCTTGAGAACGACAGTGGGGCGAATAGCTGGCTAAAGAAATCAAAATTGATCCTGCTTCAGCCTCGTCGCGGTCAATATCCATGCGTCGCTGTTGTTTTTGCTCGCCGCTGCCGTGTTCCTGCTCGGACCCGAAAACTCCACTGTGCTGGTTTGGCGGTGAATGATCGTGATCGCTCAGGGCCCAACTGCGGCTACCGTTGCTATTGCCCACTTTGGCAAGATCTAACGGGATTCGTGACATTGGTTTAAGAAGATCCCGGATTGAGTGCTACTTTTGTGTAGGAAACGAGAAGAAAAGAAACTTTTCTTTTTAAGTTGAGTAGAAAAAGGAAATGGAAAAGAGAGAAAACAGTGAAAGAACAGGGCAGTAAGAGCAAACAAGACAGCGAGAATAAGAAAAGCGAAGACTAGGAAGAGAGAAAAAACACACACCCTCCATACGCTGCCACCATCACAATCACACAAATACTGTTGGGCTGCATGCCAAGTGACACAAAAGCCATCGACAAACCCAATGTGTCTCATGAGCTAAAAACAGGCCCAAAACATCCCTTTTCGCGGGCAACTATTCTGCTCGCTTAAACATTGTCCTCCTCGAATTCCAATTTCTCCTTAATCTCAGCGACAAGAAAAGCTTTGCAACTCGCTTAACACGTATATAATAGCGCTTTTATACGTAGTATACATCACGCTAGCGCATCTATGCGATAGTTTGTTACACCGAGCTACAACGGAGAAGGGGTCATCTGTATCGAGCAATATCCTTTTCCTTTCTGTTATTCGAATGTCGCCTGACCCGTACATTTGCCCCACCCCACCCTTACTGCCGATCCCGCATATCTGGTTTATATTAGTGGTTGTAGTAGTAATATAGCATATGATGGGGGTGGGGTGTTGGGTTGGGCTGGGGGAGAAGGTGCAAGGTGATATAGAGTAATAAGATCAGTGATGATAATTATAGCAGTATTTCTTGCGATCATGATACGCTGCATGACCATGCTCAACATAGTGCTTATATTCATTATCTCGATCAGCAGTCATAGTATCAAAGCTCTTTTGTTTTCGCAAGTTCAAGGACTCCATGTGGCAAGGAGCAAAAAGAAGAAACATATCTCAACAAAGAACAGACTTGAAGGCTAATTATAGTCTAAATAGAAGAAGCATGTTCTCCTTTTACGTGTCTTTTCTGTAAACTGACTTTTTACAAAGGTTGCTTCTATAATCATTTGCCTATATTCGATATGAAGAAGTGCTGCGCTCGTGCTCTATAAATTTAATACTGAGCACACGACAAACCAATGGTAAATTAGCAAAGGATCAAACTAAATCAGTATGTGCAACATATTAGATAACTAACAATGAACCCAATGTTTCGGCGCACTGGATGTTGTAGTAGAGCTGATCCGATTGAGATATGACTTTTGATCCCTACGAAACATTGTTTCTTCACACCTCTTCTGCTGGTCAAATCATGGCATTCGATCTCACCGGTAGCGTTACAAGCTGTATATAGTAACCAGCAAAATAGATAAAGCTGCAAAAAACTTCAATTCGCGGGTCTTTTTTGCTTTCCATTCTGCAAGCATCCAGCATACAGCAGCTTTCGACGTACTCGTCCACCTATTAAAATTCCATATTTTACTGCATTTTACTCATCCGATTATCAGCAGTAGAGGTTTCTTTCCTAAGGGGAAATCTCCTACCCTTTAGTTTGATTTATACAATGTATTATATAGTACCCAGTAGACCCTCAAAAGCTTTGAACCTGTATCCTGCTCCACCACGTTCGAGATGATAAATACATTACAGAGTATTGGCACCGTCAAGTCTACATAATGTTTGTCGTACAATACAGTGCAATTCCTGGATTGATTTCTCACACATGTTTTCTCACCTTATCCTGCTTTGCGTACGTAGTACATCGTGCTGTACATAGCTATTACTATTGCTGCTGCTGCTACAGTAGCATACACAGTAACAGCTAATAATTGCTTCTACAAATTTTATCGTACGTGTGTACGTTTTACACGCACGCATACGCATACGCTGTATATATTATAGATATAACAGAATATTAGGTTTCGGGAAAGGAGAGAAGGTTGCGTCCTGCATGTACTGCCTCCTGGAACCCGAAATTATTTATTACCAAAAAGAACAAGTCTGCAAGCTCTGTATGTATACAGTAAGTATGTAGTAACATTGTACGTAGTTCAGTGGCACAATCCTTTCCTCCTTTGCTCCTCATTAGGGTCAATTCCGAAATTAATCGATGTCGATCTCCCCTTTGTCTTTGTCCTTTTTTTTTTGAAATCTTCTAGCGAACATGCCAAGTAGGTGTACGCGGGGTAACAGCCTTTGGGATCGACAGTTCTTGATTCTCAAAACTAACCAGTAAAGCATCATTTGCACGGATAGCATACTAAGTGTTACGACTACAGAGAAAACAAATAGATACTGTATTTATATATTTTATTTATATGTTCAATGTAATGTTGCTGATGTGAAATATGTATACATATATGATCTTCCCGCGTTGTAAAAGAAGACAAAAACTATGCGATAGCGAAAGATAGAGTGTGATATAAAAAAAATAGAAGAACAATTTACAGATCGATTCACTACTCCTTCCGTCCCATTTCTTTTTAACCACTGAAGGCTGTTGTTGGGTGGAACCAGAATGCCATGGCGATAATGGTATAGGATGCCTGGATAAGTTAGAAAGGGGAGTTAGGAATAATTGTTAGAATCAAAATCCTATAGTGTCTGCTTGCCAGAAATCGGCCTTTGAGGCTTTCAAAACAAGTTAACTTACCAAAAGCAAAGTGCCTTCAAGCCAGTTGGAGTGGCCATCTTGAATTAAATAATTAACAATCAATACACTGGAGAACAAAACAACGGTTTCAAAATCTTCAAAGAAGAGGCTCATGGGTTGACCAAAAATCCAGCCGGCAATGACAAGAACAGGAGTGACAAACAAGCCGATTTGAAGGGAGGATGAGATGGCAATGTTGATACTCAAGTTCATCTTGTTCTTCATGGCGAATGTGACTGAGCTGACGTGCTCGGCAGCACTATTATAGTATGTTATGTAATTGATTAGACCATCGATTAGTAAGGACTTCAACACAGAGAGAGAGAGAGTATATTCCACTTGTACTCACTTTCCAATGATGGGAAGAAGGATGACACCGACAAAGGTTTCGTTCACTTCCCATGACTCTACTACACCTTCAATACTATTGTAAACATGTAAGTGACGGTGGCTAAAACGTTTTCTCGAGAGTTTGTACTTACGCTCCGACAAGGAAATCGGCGTGGATGGAAACGAGGCCAGCAACGGCGAACAGTCTGAAACAAGAAAAGAATACACTGTGTTACTACCGAGACTACTCACCAGCGCACTCTCACATATAGCTCTTTTCTATCCCTAGTCCCATCACATGTGTGAAGCCACCAACTTACGAAAGAAAGGAGAATGTCATGGTGGTTGTAGGCTCTTCCTCATCATCATCTTCACTTCCATCACCGGCATCGTACTAAAGCAGCAGCAAAACAAACAAAACAAACAGGCGTTTAGCATATCACACACTTACAGCACATACAGCAGACAACAGCACATCTCAGCTATCTCTTATCCGTAAAACCTTACCAATTCGCGATGTGTCTTGAGCTGTGATATGTATAACAAAAAGTATAAAATATCAGCACGTGAGTCGGGGGACCTTCCTTAAACAGCAAATCGAACCTTACCTGGAATAGCAGGGAAAGCCCATAGACAACTAACAGCACCAACGCCGTGCCGTGACTCAAGTTCAAGATTCCAATTTCAGCCTCTTCGGCTGTATCAGCAGTTGCACTAAATGCCGCAGGTACGAGAAGCGAAAGCGTTGTAAGTGCAAGCAATGAGGATGATGTTTGAGCAGCTAATGACGATTTGAGCCAAGCAATGTGAAATCAATGTGCGTTAGCTTATTATTTTTTCCTTCTTTTGTTTGTGAAGATGATAATGGTGATGATGGTGGCATTAAAGAGCAGTTTCCATCATGCATGATGTATGTTATGTGGCGGTTGGGCGGAAGAAAAGCTCACCTGTCATGCTAAACTGCTGTTCGACGCGGCCCACGCCTCCGAGCAAGAAACAAAAGCCGAGAACCTAGTAATGTAACCATTACAGATGATAGCCCGGTTAGCCAAATGCATTCAAACCCCACAAAGAGCCTATATTGGGGCTGGGAGAAAGCGAGCTAAACAATGTTACCAGTAAAATATTCGATAAGATGGAGCCCATGACGGAAGCTAAAAATAAAGAAGAGAGGCGGGAACGTGTCAGCGTGCCACAATTTCTGCATGTCGAATAAAGTAACACGAACCTTGAACCACGCGAATCAAGCCATCTTTGAGTGCAATGACGCCCAAAATGAGTTCAACCACGTTTCCGAACGTGGCATTCAGTAATGCACCGACTGTAGGTCCGGACATGAGTGCCAACTCCTCGGTGGCTAGTATGAGAAGTATGTGTGTTACTGATTTTTGTGGAGCTCGGCGCGCGACCTGCTAGGAGTTCAGCAATAATAAAAGAGAAAATAGTTACCAAAGCCGAGCAGTTTTGCCAAGGGCATAATTGCAATAAAGTTGAGCGTAAAGACGACGGTAGCAGGAGCACCAGAAAATGAAAAGAAAAGCGCGATCGGAATGAATACACAGACAATGTTGAATTTAGACGAGGTGACAAACGCTTTAAAGGAAGAAGACATCGTAGGCTTCTCTTGAGACGTGTGCCCTGAAGCATTGCCTAGAAGCGGTGCGCTTTCGTTGTTCATGGTGTACAGTGGAAGAAAAAAGAGAAATGGAAGAAAGCGAAAGAGAGTGTGTTATAAAGAAATGGAAAGTTGCGCGACAAGTGTTTACATATTATACCCAAAGATAGCTGTGGATAGAACTTTCGGCTAAGAAAGGCTGTCTCGTGTTCCAGTATGTAATGAAGGGAAGTGGGGGAGAAAGAAACGGCGTGGCGAGAGTATATTAGTAGTAGTTTGTAGTAGTAAGAGTAGTAGGAGTAATAGTAGTAATAGTAATAGTAGCAGTAATAATAATTATAGTGTTAGTAATAGTAGCAGCAATAGTAATAGTTAGTGTTTAGTACTAAGTGCAACAACACAAGGTTTGGTTTTAGCTGGTGGCACACTATGCTACTTCCCGATTGATAATATATGCTCGTTCTTCCTCTTGGCTTTCTATTTACCAAAAACTTGGTATACTACTAGCCTATCTCCCCCCCCCAAATCCAACCGCACGCCCCCGATCATCGTCGCTGCGATTATTGTCTTATCATCGTCGTGGTAAGTCGTGCGTCTCAAAAGACTAGAGTCTAATTTGAAGCCTGGTGGATAACAAGATATGTGCTTTCCGACGACAATAGAACACTAATTTCTCTCCAATGGCAGCTTCTACGGTGGAACTTTCTTTATGCAGAGAGATGAAGAAAAAGATAAACGGAAGCGCGGGCTGTTTATCAAGTCAAACACAGTAGGGGGAATAGGAGCGGATGTTATAGTATCAATAGAAAGATGGTTTCGGGTCTTGTTTCATAATAAATAATATACGTACATGCGCAGGATAAATAGAAGTCTATGCCGCAAACACAGTGTCACATGGACCCCTTCCCAATTCCATTCGGATAATAAAGAAAGAAGGATATGGTACCAGGGATATGGCATCATTTGATCTTGGGGATCTGATGTCTAATAGCACCCGCGGCGCCTAGGAAGACGTACTACGTTAGCACATCCGTATACATTATTCTTTCTGGGCAAATGGGGAACATCACGTGCCCAGTGCTACCTATTCTCTTGTCTTATGCCTTGGCATTTATGATCATTGGGGAGCTACGCCATAGTATTTAGTTGAACTTCCCACTTTTGTGGCTATATCTCATAGCTCACGTTTTGTGTATTGCCTTTTCCAAAAACAAAGAAAAAGTAGGGGATTGCGTGACAAACATCGCCGCAACCAGTTACGCCCCACTCTATTTACACTCCCGATCGCAAGCGAGATAAACAAAAGCCTGATTTTGAAGAATGTTCTTGATACACAACGACCTTGGCTAGGCGTATGCTGCTGTATTCCCGCTGAATGACTTCCGCACCGATTTGCTTGCTGCAGATGCTAGGTATTGTTTTGGAAAGAAGAAATGGTTTTCAACTCACTATCGTATATAATTATCATGGAAATATGCACATTACAGCTATGTACTTTCTGTTACTGCGTCAACAGATAAAATAAATATTAATCAGCATTCCTTAGAACTATCTCCCATTACAGTATGGTGTGTATATGACGATGTCGATCTCTTTGTGCGCGTTCCGAAATGAAAATTAGGAAGAAAGATAAAACTTGAAAACAACAATAACTAATTATATTTTCCTTGTATCGAAAGTTGGGAATGATGCAAAAACAGTTAGTTCAATATGAGAAGTTGGAACAACAAGCAAGCCGATGCAGAAGATGATCACGCTGATCATGATATAGTAGCTTATAACAGTGTGTGCACTACTGTTAGTAATTCTTTTTCAACAACTTTCAATCGAGCTGAGCTACATTACACGAGCTATTTTTTTAACTCATCAGCCTGATCTTGAAAGGGGTCTTTTTATGCATGCGAACACAAAACGTGGCTAGAATACTAAATAAGCATTTGCTACGTCTGTTCTCATTCTTGGCTTCTTTGCATGTAGTATAACCTCAAGCCTTCTCTTTTCCAGATTTTCCAGAACCATGGGGTCGCTTGACCTTTTCATTCTCTTGTACTATTGCAATAAATGGTTTCGCCACTGTCAGCAGTTTATTAACATAGCCTCAAACTCGAAGAATAGCTAATAAAGCATAATACATCTTCAGCAGCTTGAACAATAAGCTTCTATCACACCACTTTGCTGCTGCTATTACATTGTCACTGTAAATAGAAATTGTATGCTTGCACTTGAACAACAACTAAATTAAATCAGTTCAATTATTCTGCAGACCTTCTCCTGCCGTTTTTATATACATGGGTAATCTGGTAAAGGTGTACCCAAATCGCATTCAAGCACCCCCATCATATATAACGCAATGCAGCTAAAAAGCTGGCTCTTATCGATATCAGAAGGAGCAGACTGTAATATAACAAAGTAAAGCAAATGGAGGTGAAAAGTCAACAGTTAGTTGATCACGTCAAATCATCGGACCAAAAAATCACGCAATTTTTAAGTCTGTGCACTGTAAAGCCTTTTTTTTGACACAACAAAATGGACAACAACGAACTCATTCGATCGGACGACCCACATCACCCTGCCAATCTCATTCCTGAACTTTGCAGACTCTTCTATAAACTCGGTTGGGTTACTGGCACCGGTGGTGGTATTAGCATTCGCAATGGGTATGTTGTGTGAAACTTCATTGTAGTCACTTACGAATTGCGCAAGTACTAGTTTCTTTTTTGCTGTTGCTGGTCAAGAACATTAAAAACAAATGAATTTTGTTATTTTGTAGAGAACAAGTGTATATCGCTCCCTCGGGCGTGCAAAAAGAACGCATGGAGCCCCACCATTTGTTCGTCATGACGTTGGCTGATCGCACACTCCTCCGCAAGCCTTTGGTCCTGAAGCCTTCAGCATGCACACCTCTATTTTATAACGCGTATACCATGCGAGAAGCTGGTGCCTGTATCCACACCCACTCGCAGAATGCTGTCATGGCTACGTTGCTTTATCACGGAGAAACGTTTGAAATCTCACATCAAGAAATGATCAAGGGCATCCGTCGAGGCACCACCAAGACCAACCTTCGATACTTTGACAAGTTGGTTGTTCCCATTGTTGAAAATACACCTGAAGAGGAGGATTTGACCGAACGCATGGCAAAGGTAAGATGAGTTGGGAGTCAGGAAAAGGATGTTTTTATAGTTACGTTGGCTGGATCCCAAAGGTCTTTTCTTACATTTTCTTTTGCTGAACAATAGGCCATGGAAGCTTATCCAGAAACCAACGCTGTTCTTGTTCGTCGACATGGCGTCTATGTGTGGGGAGGTAATGAAGTCAAGCTACCGGACATAACATAAACTCTTCTTGCTACTGCTGAATACTGTATTTGAGACTAATACACTTTGGTACGGACTGTTTCTAGAAAGCTGGGAAAAGGCAAAGACCATGTCCGAGTGCTACGATTATCTCTTTGAGATCGCCGTCAAAATGAAACAGATCGGTATTGATCCAGCTGTAAAACCTGCTAGCGAGCCCGACTACGAGTAAAGTTACCAATCTCTCTCTCTCCTTTCTCTGTACATTACACTACACCTTCTTCTATTGTTTTCCAGCATGCAAAGCAAAACTTATAAACTGTATAATAAACGCACCGGGATATGTTTGATTCTATATGCAAAAGGATATCATATTTCAAAATTGGCCCCACATATCAAAACACTTGGGGCATCTGATCAATAGAACCACACAACTTTGAGCTAAATGTCAAGCATGTTTGAGCTATTCGTCTGCGAAATGGCGACGCCACAAAATTAAATCAAGAACCCTTAGGACAATATATACACATAGACATGATATATACTCAAGACAGACAGCCTCTTGTTGCTATAGAAGATTCTTTTAAAGCCAAAGCTTATATTCGATTGACCCACAACACAGCGTTACTGCATTTAGTTTTGAATGTGTATAACTATTGGTCGTGTCAATGGCAACAAACGATGCAATGACGAAGGTATGATATTAGATTGTCAAGTAAAAATGGATGGCGAGACATCAAACATTATCTGAGCGAAAAAAGACAACGTGAGATAATCTTTAAACCAATGTTTCGTACTCACAGGAAAAAGTGGATACAGATGATCGAAACCTAATCCGATTTTTAAGGTCCAAGTAGGCAATTTTCAAAGTATAACGGATCCCCATTAATTTCATACCATTCTTCGTTCAATTAAAATATATCGCTACTATCATTGCACGCTGTCAGCTTGAAAGTGCCCAAGACTAGGAACAGTTGATACACAAGCTATCACATACAACATCGTTTTATCAAATAATATATATTCTTCTAAGTGCCCAGGAGAGTAATAAACGGAGCCCATAATGCTGAGAATAAGGGAGGTAATGTGTTGGTGGGTGTTTACATATTGACAAAATAATAAATTACTTAAGCTCTTGCTGCCATGTTACCCGATAGTGATAGCAGCGAATTTCATCACAAACAGCATGGTGGATCATCATCACAACTTGGCAGCCTTTAAATAGTCAAGATTGTCACGGCGGTGAAGAATGGTTTTCATAATTTCCTAGAAAAAAGAACGACATGTCGGTCAGCGTACTAAAGAAACAACGACAAGTCCTTTTCTTTTAAAAAAAAAATATGGAGTTCTTTGAACGTACGCCGAGCTTTTCTCTTCCTTCGTCGCTGTTAAGAGGATTAGTCTGAACTGCCTCCCAAAGGGCGCCATAAGGATTGCCGTTCTTTTGGCCGAGAGCAGTATTAAGATCATCATCGGTGAAATTGAAAGCGTCAGTGAGACCAATTGCTTCATCAGCGATTGAGTTCAAAGCGTTGCGGTACGATTCCTGGACGATATTGACATCATTAACATTGAGAGCTTGGGTAGTCAAGAACGTAGCCAAGCCAGTGCCAGTGATGATCGAGAAGAAGAACTAAACAAGAAAACAAAAGATATAGAGTTATTAAGGCTTGGTATTTATCATACACCACCACTGATTGATGTATAGACTCTATCGTTTACCAAGTCGGACAGCTTCTTGATAACGGGTGCCAAGGCAGCGCGCTGAGGAGACTTTGCAAACTCTTGGACAGTATCAACAAACTGCTTGAGCAAAAGATATTCAGCATGGGCAAAGCAGATATCCCAGCACTCCATGTTCAAATCTTCCCAAGGGCGGCCGGCTTCTTGGATCTGACGGCCGAGATTTGCAACCAAACGAGCAGAGCGCAAGCCAAAGAGAGTGAGCTGAACATCTGGGTTGAGAAGGGAAGCAGCGTCCACAGTCACAGTGGGGTTGGACTTGAGCAGTTCCATGTAGCTAGCAGACTTTAAGAAGAGGGGCTTTCCTGTGACGATATTGGAAAGCTGCTTCAAGAGGGCACGACCCACTTGTTGACAAAGCACAAAGTTATCTCCTTCGTATGTGTTGGCGGGAACAAAGTTGGCGAAATGTTCGGAAACACCGCTGAAAATCGAATAGCCATGGCCACCCATAGCCTTTCTGCTCTCCTCAAGACCTTCGGATGATCGACGGGCACTCCACACCTTGAATGCACAGCTGCTTACGTGCATCTCAGGAAGTAAAGTAGCGTCTTCGCGTGCAAGCTGCTGGGTCATGACATTGAACGTTTTGCTGAGGCCCATACCGGACAAGATCAAAGCATAAGAAGTTGCAATCAAGGGATATAATCGGTGACGGACTGAGGAATAGCTGATGACTTGGGCTTCAAGGCCGTCTTTACCGGCATTGAACTGACGGCGGGCAGTACAGTAGCGAACGGCAATGGTGGACGCCTTTGCAAGGCGCCAACCTGCATCCGAAAGAATACCCACACGCAATTTCACCATACTACCATAGGACAGTTTTGAGTGCACAGGTGCAGTGTACTCTCCAGCCTTTGATACTTTGGCGAACTTCATAAGCATATTGTCGCGGGGAATGCGCACATGAGCAAACATTGCATCTAAAAAAAGAAAGATTTAGTCATCTTATATGTTTATATCCAGGGGATCAGTACGTACAGCCGTTATCCGTGGTGCTGAAACCACCGTATGCCTTTGGACCAATATCACCGACGGAGACGCCCTTAACTGGTTTATAGTCGACTAATAGAATAATCGATCTGCTCAGTCATTGATAACAGTATGTGCAGTGAAGCATATTGCACAGTATTATCGCGGTCAACTTACTGGGCGAACGAACAGGAACGATGAAAATATGGGGACCATAGTTTTTGCCCTTAATGATCAATTGTGCCTATCATGATAACCCATAATTTGAATAAACCCGATCAGTTAAAGCTGCATCTCCTTTCTTTCATTTTATTAACTTACCTGCAGAACTGAATGGGTACTAGCAACGCCCAAACCTCCGATCCACCATTTGGCAGCCTAATGTCGATAAAAATCCAAAAACTTAGAAAGTGTCGTTGACCAACTCATGTATATACAAGTACCGTGATGTCAGGGCTGTTGATAATGAATTCGTCAGTGGCCTCGTCAAAGGTGGCGGTGGTTTGCAAGCCCACAACATTGGATCCATGGCTATGGGACGAGCGGTTAACTTTACTATGGTATTTGCTCGTAACACCCGGGTGAGTTATTAATTTCTAATTCTGGTACCTCAGTTCGGTTTGAGCATAGCAGCCAATAATAGCATGTCGCTTAGCAGCCTCCATCCACTTCTTTGTTTGTTCCGCTGTACCCTGCGATTCAATAACGGGCCAAAAAGCTAATGAAAGAAATCATTAGGTATGAAAACTTGATATTCAGTTTGACAGCTATTTAAATGGCGTAATTTGATAAAAACCTCCGTAATTCAAAGCAAGCTGAGTGTGGGGTAACGTATGTGATTGCATAATTGATTAACCATTTGTCTTCGCGCAACAAACCAACTTTGAAAGTATAGAAAAAACACTGTTTTCTTACAGGAGTCGACAGCCCAGAATAGTAAAATAGTTCAAAGAACTCCTCGCCCGACAATTTCTGCTCTTCTGCGATTTCAATGAGTCGTCTAGCAGCGTGAATAGATGTATAGAGTTGCTAATTAAGAACAAAATGTTAGAGAACGGACAGTCTTTACTTCCATTGAGAACTACACGTTTGTCTTTTGTTGGTGTAGGGGAAAAGTGTCGTAAAGAAAAGCCTTACCTCTTGGCGACTTTGGAATGGAGCCTTCTTCTTGGATAATTCAGACTCATTAGCAATAAGTGCTCTGTAGCGATCGATCTTCTTGAGCTTCTCTGGGCCGCCGTACAAGTAGTTCGTCAACGGCTCGACCGGGAAGCTTGCCTTTTGTCTGGCTGCCTCAATGTCGATCGTAGATTGCTGAAGTTGTTTGCTGGTTGCTGCCATGTTGGGGTGATGCTGCTAGGCAAAAGAAAAATTGTCAAGAAAAAAGTAAACGGGACAAAGAGGTACACGAAGCACTTTATGTCAGTGCAAGCCCTTTAACATGTCATTTGGTATGAGTAAGCTCACACGCCCGTGCGAAAAGCAAAAACTTCTCGTACCATTTTGCGCCCCCACCCCTCCTTCGTTATGTCTGCGAGAAATATTGGAAAAATACCGTTGAGGGCGCAAGAAGACCAAGTAATAGCCAAGTTTGTCCTCACGGTGCTTGGGTAATATGCTTTCTCACAGCACCTTACCTTTCCTCCCCCATCCCCCTTGTGCGGTGTGTTCCTGCATTATGCAACCCTCCGAAACTTTAGCCGACGACTTAAAAAAACAAATGCCCCGCCAATTCCCGCACACACTAAATAGCAACCACCCACATGGTGGACTGGGGCGATTGGATCTTCACAAGGAAATCAGAGAAGACAGCCAGCAGCCTGCAGCCTGCTCTTATATATGTCCACACACTTTTGGTACAGTACAATGCGTGCTTTTTATTTCTTTTAATGATACCATAATTAATGCTTTAACAGAACGAAACCAGTCATTCATCATGGCGGGGTCATGCCCTTGTGAGCTGCCGCCCACTGGTAATAGTACAGCAATGCGATTGTGGGCTGGCCGACGACACAAAAGGTGATCCTAGATAGTTAGATAGTTCCAATTTAGTTCTCTTGCTTTGCTCGTTTTCACCCACATTACACATTACACAGGATTCCTGCAAAAACCTTCTTCCTTCCGCTTACCAGAAAATTGTGTTGCCCAGAGCGCTATCCTTTCCACGCCACTTTTCCAAAGCCCTCGTGAGTGCGATAAGTGGAATCTGTCCAAACATTCCCCAGAAAGCAAACCCTGTAATCGCATGGGTGGGGATACCCACCATCACCTCGTGGAGGACCGCCGATGCAAGGAACACCAGTAATTGACAAATAGCTGGTGACATGCCCCGTTGGACGCTAGGGATGTATACATGACGCTTAAAGAAAAGATACACAGGACGATTCCATAAACGCCAGTATGTTGCCAGATTGCCCGAGTTCCACCAGGCAAGATAAAACGTTCTGTCGCCGAAGCGGAGCACTTCGCTAAGGGCGTTCAGAAACGCGTGAAACAATGCGTAAAACATAAGGAGCCAGATCACCACAGCTGTCGTGGATAGCTTTAAAACGCGTTCGACAATCACCACATAGTTTTTGTCCTCGAGCGCTTGGAGCGAGTTGGCCAGAGTCGGCTTGGCGTACTGCTCCATCAACACGTACATCATGACAAGACACACCACCAATTCGCCAACACGCTTCAAGAAAAACGTCGTTCGGAACCTTAATGACCGAGGATAGGCGGGCTGGTAGCAGAGGGTGGGCGCGAAGAAGAAGTACATGAGGTTGCCAAGGTGGATGTTGTTGGGATACCGTGCATTTTCGTCATGGTAATCGTCCGTTTGACCACTGACATAGAGTTGCCGTAACTCCCGGTTGACAAGGACGTATGAGATAAGCTTGAGGAATGTGATAAGTGATATGATGACCACCGCAGATCCCACTATAGAACGATTGTCAGTTATTCCTCTTCTCTCTCTCTCTCTCTCTTTGATTTGTCCCTCGTAGAAAGGAGAACGTACCCAATGGATGGTAAATCTTGGTGTAAACAATGTATGAAGGGTATGAGATGAGAAAAGTCAGGTGGGTAACATGAGCTGCTGATGCCACACGTTCCAGGATTGCCACCTTGTTCCGGAAATCAGGCTTCGCGTTCCGAGCCTTCGCAGCCAGCTTGGCCATTCCAGTTTCGACACCCAGCGTTATCGCCAGACATAAGGGCACGCTCAGCCATGAAAGAAGAAACAGACCATAGTCCTGGTACGGAATGTAGCTGTGCGGTAGGCGAATGAGAAGACCATACTTCATCCAGTTTTCAATGATCAGTCGAATGTTGCTTGCTCCAAGAACAAGCACTATATATGTACATTTTTAGTTAATATAAAGTTCACAAAGCAAGTAAGATAAATCACGGATCGCGATTCTGACCAGTTCTTACTTCCAAGTCGGATAAAACCACTGTAATTCTCGGGTGGTGCTTCCTTGGAGAGTACTGAGGCTTTGGTAAGAGTGTGAATGGGTATCGTATGTTTGAAGCCTTGGTAGCTAAGCTTTTTCTTTTTGTCTTCTTGCTTTTCTTCAGCAACCGTAGAGATTCTTCGGCTTGTAATGTGGAAGTCGCTGCGCTGCCGAATATCCGACTGATCGTCTTCACTATCCGTAACGACCTTGACAGGTCTACGGTTTAGCGTGGTCATCTCACCGAGAACAAAAAAAATAAAAAGAGGAAGATAGGAAGTGGAAGGAAAGAGGACAATGGTCGCTGTTGGGTTACCCAAAAAGAAAAATGCGCGTGCCGTGAGCGCATGCGTTTCATATAGAAACAGCGCAGATTTGTCACACACCAAAAACGTCTTTTTTACTTTTCACTCACTCGCTTTGTTATACTACTAATTTTCATATGCTTCGCCGTTCTATTGTCCGTACTTACACTTCCTTCAACCGGCCCGGCCCAATGCCGCTGGGCAACAAAAAGCAGCAAGAGGAGATGCTCGACCTGATCCGAAAAAAGCAGGAAACCGATATGCAATCGGAAGGCGCCCTTCATGACGATGCCGTCCCACAGGTTGCTCCTGAATTCGAAGGCCATGTCAATCCCAAAACTGGAGAAGTCAATGGACCCAAGCAGGAGCCTCTGCGACACGGTGACTGGAGCTTTGGCAGCCGAGTGACTGACTTCTAGAGCTAATAAGCAACTGCGAACTTTGTCTTGTACATACTATACTTCTCTCCCTCCCCCCTCCTTTCTCTCTTTTTCTATTTAGAAACAAATTGTAGACACCCGACTTGGAGAAAAAAAACATTTGTGATACTTCTTTTGCAATAAAAGCATATTACTGCTCGTGTTTACTAGTCTTCATATGCACATACCGCAAATTATCATAGTACAGGCATGATCAACTTATGTTGATCCGTAATTTCGGCAAGTGAAGTGCAGGGGCCGCCTGTTTTTACCTTTTGCACATGCCATTTTGTAAATAGATCTCTAGATTCAGCTGTCAGAGAACATCGATATATCATGTTTACCAACTACACCCTGTCCTTTGTCAGCTGATTTGCGAACTGTACGGTCACTGATGCCATAGTATCAAGTAGGGTCGGACGTAGATGCGTTTTCAACAAGTTGAATACATTACAAGTGGACCTGCTATTGGAAGGCCAAGTACTGTAGTTGCGCGCACAGAGTGCCGTCATTATACTAGGTTTTACCCCGGGACGAGAGAACAGTAAATACGAAAATTTACTTGTAAGCTATGGAACCAATTCAATGAGACTAGGATGCTGTTATGACGATGAACAGTGTGGCAGTCGACGGAGTTTTACCGGTTAGCTCTGCACCGCCGAACCCTTTTCCCTTTATTCCTTCTTCAGCACACTTAACTTCGGAAAGCATGGAAGCAAGTAGCAGACAATCATTGCATGCCGATCAGGCAACCTACAGAGATTTAGTTATATTTGAAGAACGATTGCGGGGAAACATGACTCGCTTACAACGACGGAAACGAAAATACGAAGGTAATACAACAGCAAGCAACCAGTGATTTAGCTTAGTGCATTGTTATAATCCTCTTGTCAAGCTCATTCGCTTTCCTTTTTTTTATGTTGGGCTTGCTGGCGGATAGCACTGCTAGCAGGGATTATAGTGCTACTTGTGTACTTTTTCTATGTCGTTTTTCTTGTTCCCAGCAAGGTAGAGTATTATTGGACTACGACGAAGACGAGCAAGCTAGAGTTGACTACTGCCATTAATTTGTCGGCAAATGATGATTTCAATTTTCTTACTTACTAACTGCCCCTTGGCCCCAACTTTTGTGTACTCGATGCATAAATTATTTAGGATTTCGTTGTACACTTGCTAAATACTACGGCACTATTAGTGGCAGCAGGAAGCTTAGTGTTCATTTATCGATCAGGAATCTATTCTGAAAAGATTGTATTTGCTGGAGAGTATGTGTCTTGAGAAATAGGGGAGGTGTTTATAGATGTATATGCGGTACTGATCGGAAAAGCAACTGTGTAGATTTATCCCACATTGTAATCGTACACTGCGTTCCTTCAACTTACAATTCAACAGGCGTGGCGAGTCTGGAGTGCTAAGCTTCTATCGCAGAATACCCATCGAGATTCAACAAGGTTTTGAGGCTTATCGGAGGCAGTACTATGCCAGAAAACGAGCTCGACAAGCGAAACAAAAAGTCACCTGAAGGAACAAAATGGCCAAAGCAAACCCATTCAAAGAAAAGGGAGAGTAAGCATTATCAGTAGGAGAAGATAACCCTGTTTCCAGAGATCGCCTTATATTCCCTTTCATATACATATACTCGAAGGTTAGTAAGAAGGGTAAAATTCTAAAGATTAACTAGTTGTGAAGGGAGCTTGAAAGCTTGTCTGATTCGATCTCTAACTACGATGGTTTTGTTTTCCTTCTCAATAGAGAGAAGACTTCACATACCCCTTATTATGTACATATACCACTGTCAACCCAGCGATCAATATTTCATAGTCCCAACTTCATGTCTTGCGTTTAGACAAAAATGCTAGCTGGGAGGAGCAAAAAAGAAGGGTTAACTGGTAACGATGACGGGAAGCATGCTCTATGGGGTGTATTCTGAATGGTTCTGTTAGACATGCAAAGCGTAAAGCAATGAGCGTGTTCACTAGATAATCGACCAAGTTTGTTCCCCTTTGACCCCAGAACAAAGCAAAAAAGTTGTACTGAAAATACTTCATTGTTTATTCGATGAACATGCAATTACAGATAAATATTTTGCGTTTATATTACTGTATTGGCGATTACATAACAGTGCTTGCTAGAAAAAAGCCATCAAATTCACCCTCATTTTTTTTTTGCCTGTGTGATTTTCTAATCACAATGTTATCTTCATCATTATAGCTGTCTCCTCCTTTAATCCTCGGGCATCGACCTTTTGCGAGTGTAGCATCTAAAGTTACCGCAGTGTACTACGCGTTCGCTAAGCAGGCTTTCAGTTATAACGCCTGCAGAGCCGCTGGTGGAGGAAGTGACGATGCTCATGTTGGGGCCATCTTCATGTCCCGAGTTCAGCGTAATAGATAGTTTTTGTAATGCTTCACTGCCTTTTAAAAAAAACTCTAGCATGGCCTTCAGTTGATCGCTGCTTTGAAAAACAGCTGGAGATAGACCCACTTAATGACGCCCGAAGTCGCAATGTATGCTGCGAGCTACTTGGTTAAAAATTTGCCTCCAGTAGCATTAGAGTTGAAATGGATGAAGGAATAAGAGAACTTCACCAGATTAACAGCGCGATCAAAGATAAGTGCTCACCAACTTGCCAGACAAATTATGTTGCCATCATTGCTGCCACCGCGGTCGTCGTTTATCTCTTTAGGTATATCAGTGCGGGTGAAATAATCGCCGTAATGTTGGCCTATCAATAGACTTTGCATGCACCTTAGTGATGCCAACGCGTCAAAGATTCGGGGATCTCAGAGATAGATGCCTTCAAGACCAACGTTATGGAGAGAAGGACAAGCTGTAATGAGCCTTGCAATCGTCTCAGATCGTACGCTATGTCAACCGAAGAAGTGTAGTAGAAGAGTCGATAGCGGGCCAGCACCAAGGGGTGCGAATAGATCGAGCGGTCGGTGCCCTCCATTGCCACTTTAAGTGAATTTAGCTTGAAATCTTCCAACGAGTTATGAGATCCATTGCTCGACGATCCATTTTGTCAAGCACTGTGTAACTCAATTTTCTTGATGTCACGAGGAGGCGGCTGTCCTTGAGTGTGATGCATAGTTGCAAATAATCCGAACCATATATGCCACTTACTCTTATATGAGAGATTGTTTGGAGGTTTAGACAAAGTTCAGCAGTTGCTTGTAGTAACTTATACACCGGTGTACTTGTCGTTGTTAAGTGAGACTGATATCAAGCGTGGAGATTGTCTGAGCAATGGTAAAAGTTGAGTGCCCTCGTCGATCCCCTGTGCTTAAATGAGCGTTGTCAGATGGAGATCTATCTGATGGTAGCGCTGATAAAATATCAGGCATGCTTTTTTACAACTTTGCATAGATGCGCTGTGAGATGGATTGAAGGTTTAGACATATACGTAGAGGCGATAAAATGGTTGGTAAAGGAACTTCGCAGTGCAAGGTTAAAGAGTGCCTAAATTCAACCTTTTCATTTAACGTATATGTGTCAAAGTGAACTTGTTGCGTTTTATAATCCTCTCCAGCAGCGTCGAGTTTGCGCCAGCAAACTCTATAGCTATTAAGCTTTGAAATGTAAATATTAGGAGGCGTACATTTAGCTCAAAGACGGCTTAATCACATTCATATGTATCATGTATATGATTCTATGTCAGTGCTGCGGTAGAATTTGGAATCTATACTTATCTGGAGTATAAGTCCGAGACTCATCGAATAAGCGCCCTTACATTTTTTTTCCAACAATAGCAACAATGCCACACCTGTGAGGCACTCTATTTTAATATACACTAGAAATGTTTATCGAGATATAATAAACGTTAGAGTATGTATCATCCGACAAATAACATGTACAAGTTCTTTTCTTGGAATGTTTCTGTGTTTAATTGTGGCTGAGGGTTCCGAGCAATCGGTACTTAGCCGATATTGGGTTCGCATTATCCCAGTCAATTTTCATTAATTTATTTATGTATCTGCATCATCTAGACGAAAAAGTTGTTATTGAATACATCGAGTATAAAAATGGTGTACGTCTTACCGACTGACTCAAGATACACTTTCATAACGTACTTGTCGATTCTTGGTTACCAGTCAAATGAGGATGTATAGGCATAGATACATATTCTTCTTAGGGTGGCGTCTTGTTGGCAACCGTAATATCATATAAGCATAGTTTATGTTATAATCGTCGTGTAACGAGTTTCAAAGTGCTACTCTCATGAATAAGTCATGCTTTCTTGTCTTCCACGTTTTATGATTCTTTTGCAAATCACAAGATTTGCTCATATTTGAACTTTGACCATGCATGTGGCTAGCGTATATCATAGAATGTAAAAGATATACAAAGGACATGACATGTGCGAGTAAATGCTATAGAGAAAAGAAGTCTGGACCCGTATATCCGTTGCTGTTGTTGTTTGCCCAGTCTGTATAGATGCCAAATTAATTACACAGTCTGCAAGACCCAAGACGATGTAACACCAACCAACAGCAAGTGCGACGCACTGATACAGTTACTCATAGAATGTCATTTACACCTGTTTTTGGAAATCTTGGAGCTTATTAAAGATTGTGGGTATAATCATGATGATACGATGTGTTGTGGCGGTTGTTCCATATCGGAAAAGCTTTTTTTGACTCTTGGCAAAAAAGCTGTCATCAATGGTAGTATAAATCGTTCTGTGATACCGGGAGGAAGGCTTTGCAACGTAGCAAAAAAAATGAACGGTCTAACCAGAGATATCGATACGTTGTAACTTGCTTTGAGATGTGGTTTGTCATCTCAAAAGATCCGATCCTCTTCTCTTGACTACCTATGGACGGGAGGAAAGGAGAAAGCTTGACCATGCCACGTATGCAGCAGAAATGCACCACACCAATAACAACAATGTAAAATCTTGGATAGACCCTACTGGATCCGTCTGTCCAATCGTGTCTGTCTCATGATACGTTTGTTTGCTTTGCATGTCGGCTTAGATCGACTTGTCTTGGCGTACACCACTCATTCTATTTGCAAGGATATCGGCCCTACTAGCATTCTCTTAATATGCTCAGTCATCGCTCGAACATCACAGAAAGAAAACCAGCGAGAAACTTGTTAGACTGGTATTCTCTTATTCCCCACCCCCTTAAAAAGGGTTCGGTTAAAAGGTTTTAGTGAACGAATAGATGCCTTTTTTGGCGTGAAAATTTCAGAATGACTTTTCTGGTCTACCGCAAGATTGGGAGAAAGAGAGAGAAGTGGGAGGAAAGTAGGTGGTTTGCATATTTAGTTCATGTGTGACAACCTGGGCACCCATTAAGTCCTTGCTGTAGCACATGACTGTTTAAAGTTTTGAATGCACGCTCAGCCGGATTGAGCGCGTTGGTGCAAACCTTTTTTGTCCCTTTGCTTGGTATAAAAGCTCGACAGATGGAATTTTCCATCTGTTTCCGCATTTTTGTATTCTTCTTTTTTTTGGTTCAACGCGATGCATTTCATTTTCGAAGCTTTTCATAGACGGGTAAATTGCACAGTAGGGCCCACACGCACGTTGGCTCCATCATGACACGAAAAAACTGTGTCCCAAATGATGCTCTCCCACCAAAATCATCGCATATACCGCTCAGTATCAACGACGCTTATTAATCTATCTTGTAGCCTTTAGAGACAACCACATTTGCCTATGTCCGTGTAATATCTGCCTTGATATTTGCAATTCTGTTTGCTGTATATTGCGGCTACTTGATAAATCAGGTATTTATCTACTCTTGCAAGTCATGCTGCTGCTGCTGCTGATCGCAGTGATGAGCGGTGTTTGTTCTCTTTATTTAATTTTCTTCCTCCGTAGATTACATATGACAAACCTTTACTACGAATATCTCGGGAAGATATGGCAGAAAGCTACCCTATTCCACAAATCGAAATGTGCGTACAAAACAGCACAATGACAGTCCACAGAATCGATCTTATGTTCATGAATTGGACAAGCTGGACCATTCCCGACCCTTACCGCTACATAATGATCGGAGAGCCCGGAGGCGATCCATCCAGATGCTATCTCTTTCAATCAAACAGCGCATTTAAATACGGTGTCGTCGAAGACTACGATCCTATGACAACCGATATCAGACGCATCGACATATATTGGAAGATTGATGCCCTCGAAAATGTTACAGCTGTTTCGCTTTCAGTCCCTTCGATCACAATGGAGTTGTACAACCCCGGCTTCAGCCGATGGGATCCACCAGATCCTGAAAATATGGTACCGCAGCAGGTAAAGAAAGAAGAACATGCTGACGATCGAAACAATAAAGGGGGCTGGATTTTTAAACTGATCATACCATACATTTTGCAACCTTGTAGAAACAAGTATCTAGAGACATGGTCCTTGGCAATGCACGATCTTCTACCTCTGTAAATACGACGACGACTGTATTTTTTACACCCACTCTCTACCGCGCCATCCGCCCCAAGGACTCGCTGTCATTAATAGGTTTCGTAAGTTTGCCTATTGCTTCATCTACATGTCGTAAGCATTGAGCAACAATAGCTTGTTCTAAATTTGCAAAAACAGGCTCCTACTTATGTAGATATTCCTACATTGGAAACCAGTCAGTTAGATTGGGACTTACAGCGTAACGATGAAAATCTCACAAGAGGCGTAAGGAGTATTATTTTCCATCATGCATGTGTAACAAACATGATTTAATACCCCAATTGGAATCATCTCTTAGGAATATGATGGCCTCTTCAACCTCCAAATGGCCAAGGCAAGCTTAGCAGTGCAGGTACTATCCTCGTAGCTTAATCTGTCCTTCTCCTTTTATCACACGATCATTCTCAGAGCAATAATACCAATGATCATTCATAGACAGAACAGCGGCAGCATACCCTTTTATCAGCGCTTGCTCTTGCGGGTGGTTGCAGCACTTTGCTGACGATACTTTACATTCTCTTGTTCGGTATGACCCGGATCGCTCCGTTCGGTGTGGTCCATCAGCTCCCAATGGTCACGATCCGCGGAGTGGAGAAAATCAAGGAGCACCGAAGGAATAGCCGGGTGGACAACAACCACAACAACGACAACAATGAAAATAACACTAGCAAACTCTATAATTTTCAACGGTATTTCCGACGCTCGCAACCAAGCCAACTTCTCTTGGACGACATTGCCGCACCCGCAAAATCAGACAGCGCTAGTAACATTAAAGACTCGCCTGTTGTTCAGCATAATGCCATCCTTCTGATGCCTGCTCCGGCAGCCATGGCACAACAGCAACAACAACAGCAAGCTGACGAAGAAAGTTCACGTTTCCACGGTCCATGGGATCGAGACTATCGCTCTGACCAGCTCTCAAACACCAGCAATCCCAGCCTACATTCCTCTGCGCCGCAGGATCGCGTTGAGGGTCTCACTATGCTAGTGGAACAGCTTCAACGTGAACAGCGTGATACAGCGGCAAAGGCGGCGCAGCTTGAGAATCGATTGTTCGAACTTCAGGAGGTCTTACGGGCGTATTATATCAACATGGACTATTTGGACCACCAACGTAATATGCGGCGGCGCGGTCGACGACGAAGTGCGCTTTATTGCAACAATCAGAGACGGTCTACTAGCACAGAAGGGGGCTGGCTTTTTGACGATGACGATGATTTGTCGACGCATAAAAATGAACCACAATAAAAAAAAAAGAACAAAAAGAAATCAACAAACAAGATGGAAAATACTGAAGAATATGACAATGCTGAGCTAATTGAAAGAAAAAATGAACAAGAACTTAAAGAAAAGAAGAACCCCATCGTTCGGCTGCTGGTCGATATACGGGAGTCATTCCTGAGCATACGGCGGTCGATTGTTCCTCTGCGGACCTGACAACCGACGTTGCGTAACTTTGAGAGTTTGCATTGTAGTGTGCAAGTGTCATACTGAGAGGAGGCGTCGTTGATCTTGGTGGCAGTTGTGATTGGTTTGGCATAAAGTATGATTCTGTGAACACTGGTTGTTGTAGTCCACCCGTCTGAATTGGCTGTGTTGCTGGATTATTTTGGCGTTTGGCTGTGTTGCTGTCGTTGTTGATAATGGCGTCGGCGGCAGTTTTCTAACAACAACAATTAAGAACAACAATAAGAAAAAGGCATCCGCATGGTATATCAAAAGGGCATCAGTCCAGAAGGGATGCTTACCAGGTCTGTCACTTCGTCGTTTTTTCGTTTCTTGCTTGCTGAAAAGCAGTCAATGGCCGATGGTGTCATAATGGGACTTCAGAAAAAAAAAACGTTGAGAGGGGAAAATTACAAGAAAAAGAGATGATTAAGCCAACGAGACCGAAACGCTAGAGAGCCGTTTATATAGCCATTATTCCCGATTTAGAAATCACAAAAAACGCCGCAAAACTTTTTTTTTTTTGCTTGTTTTTTTTTAAACATTCTAATTTGTTTCGATTTCTAAGCATGCCAAAGCTGACAGTAAAGCAGAATAAAAAGCAGGCTCAGAATGCACCTGATGCTCGAGCATTTGGTCCATTGTTCAACAAAGATCTTGGTCAGCACATTCTGAAGAATCCTTTAGTAGCGCAAGGCATTGTCGACAAGGTACGATTCAACTTCGTGCACTCTATAAACTATTGTAGTGCTTTGACAGCTTATATGCAATTCGAAATGTGTATTGTGCTCTTTGTACTCAATGTATCTCTGTCAAACACACAACAGGCAAACTTAGTCGGCTCAGATACAGTTTTGGAAGTTGGTCCTGGTACTGGTAACTTGACAGTGCGGATATTGGCTCAAGCAAAGAAGGTTGTGGCTGTGGAAATGGATCCTCGACTTGCTGCAGAACTACAAAAGCGTGTGCATGGAACGTAAGTCACTTGGTTAAGGTGATCCTTGAGTGAAAAAAAATGACAAGTTGCTTATGAGGCAAGCTGCATTGTATTAGAGATGATCAGCGGAGGCTCCACATTATGATTGGCGATTTCATGAAAGTCGAACTGCCCTATTTCGACGTTTGCATCAGTAACACACCCTATCAAATATCGTCACCACTTGTCTTTAAGCTGCTTGAACACCGACCCATGTTCAGGTAAGATTGTTTGGAATGCATATGTTTTGTCAAGAAGCTATTGGAGCATTAAACATATGGTAATAGATGCGCAATTCTCATGTTCCAGCGTGAATTTGCTCTTCGACTCATTGCAAAGCCGGGAGACGAACTCTACTGTCGATTGTCAGTCAACGTACAACTATACGCCAAAGTCGATCACGTTATGAAAGTAGGAAAGAACAACTTCCGACCACCGCCCCAAGTTGAATCGTCCGTTGTACGTCTCGAACCCAAGAATCCACCACCACCAGTAGATCCCAAAGAGTTTGATGGTTTGTTGCGCATTGTTTTCACTCGTAAGCACAAAATTATGTCGGCAAATTTCAAGCAGACGGGTATCTTGCAAATGCTGGAGCAGAATTACAGAACATACTGTTCCTCAAACGATCTGGTAAGTGGGATAAGAATAAAGCAAAAAACAAACGTTTTTTTGTAGGCTGACGCCAATTTTGCTTCAAACTAGATGATGGAAGATGGTTTCGATATCAAATCCACAATCTTGGGTATTTTGGAGTCAGTAGGCATGGCCGACAGACGTGCCGCAAAATGCGATCTGGATGACTTTTTAAAGTAAGCACTTTTTTTGTTTGTAGAAAATCAACAATTGTGCTGGGTATCTCTGACCTAGCTGTTTTCTTTTCTAGATTATTACTTGCATTCAACCATGCAAACATTCACTTTTCTTAGAATTGCTCTTCATGTACTTTGTAACTGTACCTTTAGTTCATCATACATATCTTTTCGCTTTTTTTTCTTTATGCTCACGCCAACTGAAACAACCACCATTGACACTTACGCATACTGCATATTTACATTACATCATATAAAGAATTAGCACATGGTTTCTTGTGAACGTAATAGTTGGGAGCTTTTAAATCTCAAAGCGAGGAGCGACAGGTCTCTCAACGAGTGTTGTTGGGCAAAATGGTCAGGTGAACGTACGATGTGACACCAAATTTGTCAATGTTTGGTTGCTACTACTCAATTACTCTTGTTACACTTATTGAGTATTACGGTACAACTCCATTATCAAAGCGACCGCAGGGAAATGAACTTGGTGAGCTTATAGTCGAATGTACAAGGGTAGAGATGAAGGGTCATAATTTGCAAATTAGTATCGATGAGAACTATAGAAAGTTTCCTATTGCGTAATTCTTGTATATATGCATGTTTTCTTACGATACACAATTGATAAATCACACAGCTAAACGTGATATCCACATGCTGACACGAATTAACAGCGTATGTATCAGAGGTGGGGGGAAGTGATCCGTACTCCACGCTTTTCGCGTACGCATAAACACTAATGCAAAATAATTGGAAACGGGCGTAAACGATCATCATTTTGTTGTTTGGTTAGAGAAAATCATGGAGGAATAGAAGTAAGGGGGATTAGAATCGGGATGAACCCCACCAACTTGTGTACAAGTGTCAGGTTTAACGATGATGTGCTGTAGCAGAGCATTGTTGTTGGATGACAACAATAATAGTAAGATACTAATGTAATGCTTTGTAGGGCTGCGCGACAGCAAAGCCCCAATGATGTACGTAAGCAAAAAGCCGTATATTTTACTTTATACAAGGTCTGTTGTGTACAATATATATTGATATCATCATTTTTACTGTTATGAGAGAGAGGGAGAGAGATGGAGAGATGTGTGGACTTATCAGATGACTTGTGGAACACCAGGTGGTTTACGCACCATACCACGTTTCAACTCTCTTTCTACTGGGATACGCTGACAGAAACGAACCACCAAAATCCATGTGTAAGTGGGACCCGAATGGCATACATCCTTCTAGAGCAGCTTCAGAGACGAGGTTGGTGAATGTATCAGATGTGTTTGCATCGTTTTCCAGCAGGTTGGTAGTTATACGGCGAATTTGATCCCAAATAGCCGATAGCACAGCTGCTGACGCTATTGTGCCGGGGATGGCCGGGTGATGACTTGGGATGCTAACAAATATGGATGTTTCGTATACGGGTTAGAGACTCCTGTTGTCTCTTCCACGAACCCACCCCCAATCTATCCCCAGCCATTATGCTATGATAAGCTCTATAAACCAGTCTGTCCTCTTAACCCCATCCACTCCATCCCCCGCCCCCTTATCGTCTTCCTCGCTAACCCCAAAAGCGGCAACTACGACAGCGCTAGTAGCAACAAAGTACCTATCAAGATTACGCCGTCGTCTTCTAGTGAATTTAACATCGTTGCTGAGACTAGTGTTATGACTTGCAGATGTATCGCTTTGACTCTGTATATCGTTTATGGGAAATGCTGGTACTGTCGGTCGGAAAGATGGCAGGGAGTATTCGTCGCTCTTTTGGTCTTCCTCGCCTTCCTCCTTTTGTTGCTGTAGTTGCTCTTTATGTTGTTGTTGTTGTGCTATTGTCTGTTGTTGGTCTGGATGTGTATTAAGAGCAAATGACGGTATTGTTATCCCGCCGTGAGGAAGTAATATATTTGGCATACTAGCTGATTCCGGTGCAAAGTCATTAGGTTGTGCACGCCAAGCCAACTGTTGCTGCTGTTGCTGCTGCTGTCCACTGTTCGAACCTCTTCGATTGTCCAGCATACGATGCACAACTCGAGCAAATGCAGACGGTGAGTCTGCTTCATCTTGTGAACGATTGGTGCCGTCAGAAAAGTATCCAGGCTCGTCTAGGAAAGTGCCCGTTCCGTCATGAGCAGGTAGTGTCGTAAACTCATCAACATTACGCACTGATGACGTGAGAGTGTCAATGTCAGAAAAAGACTCGGTATCAGACTGGCGTACTGAAGAGGAGGTATCAGAAGGGTCAAGAGCAGACGACGCTGAATCACGGCGTGGAACAGTTGACGAGCGTCGAGAAGGTGCAGCGGAGCTAATGACGTGCCAGTCGTTGTCAGAGTCGGACGAAGCTGGTGGTTGCTGTTGCTGAGTTGTAGGAGGAGCAGCAGCAGCAGTAGTAGTAATAGTAGCAGCTCTGGGCGAGAGAATGAGACTGGTAGGCGCTACAAAAGCTTGGCTGCTATAATCGTCGCTGATAAGGTCGTCAGTGCCCAGAGAAGGGCTGCGTCGGTACCGGTGCTGAGGTCGTCTATGTTGTTGAGCGAACGCCATACTCGATAAAAAATGATAATCAGAAAAGAAGCAATGAAATGCAACTCAGCTCTTGCAACGCATGAACAAGGGAAAAATGTCATTCCCAAAATTCAAAAGCCGTGACTGGCTGGGTCCCCTATTCCGTCTCACACGCAGAATTGTATACCCACTATTTTTATATACTGGTCCCCCCAAACCCAACCATTATGTTATTTGTACATGTATTACCAGCACGTATAACTTGCATGTACTCGAGATAAATAAGCTAGGATTCCCCTCTATCACCAAGTGTGTGCCGTGTGTGCTACGACTACAACTAATACTTTTTTGTTTGTTTTTATGCACACACGATGAACCTTTTGTGTAGCATCGGCTTATTACTTATATGTACATTATTCGTTGATCAGGTCATCAGCGGGATACTCTGGATTACGATCCTCATGTAGCACATCACTACCATAAGAAGCATCCAACAGAAAGAAAAGGGTCGATGACGACAATAATTTTTTTTTCAGAGTTCGACATTTCAGCGTTGCTTCATTGTTCTCTGCGTATATCAAGATAGTGATATTCTCACAGCAACTTTGACTAGACATCTTGAGCATAAAACTGTAGCTTTGCGAACCCATGACCCATATAAGAAGCAAGCTGCCTGTTTATTATTTGCATGCTGTAGCACCACTTTTTCAATATCCGCGGCATTTTGGGCTTCATCACTGAAAAATTCCGCGTGGATTTTGTTCCTACATATCCTAGAGCGAGGTCGTGCTGGAACGCCATCCAGTTTCAGCATCAAAAGAAATAGTTCGTTGGTGTGCTACAGAAAGAATGCTTCAAGTTTTATAAAGTTACACAAAGATGGGTGTGCCTCTATGTCTGCAGCAGGAGACCGGCTTTACTGATCGTAAACACCAGGTATAATAGAGATGTGTTCGGCCAGTGACGATGTTGCTGGTATGTAAATGATTTACACAGTGATTCAAATATCATGGGCGTGAAGCGGCGTAAAGTTATAGGCCGATCACTCACAAGTTGCTGTCACGGCAACTGCAGATCGGCTTATTCCGAGCTTACCAAAAACAGATGACTTAAATCAACATATAGCGTACCAAGTTCCTCTTACTAAAAATAATAAAGTAGTAGTCTAGCAGCACTTTTTAACACCATAATAGCAAAACTTTCAGAGAAAAAATGCTCCGGGAAGTTGTGTGGTAGCTGGCATTAGAACGTATCGATGGATCGATGTTTACAACAAATATACAGGTTTCAGTAGAAGGAAGCTGTAGGGATAGCTAATCTATATCGTAAATTATGTCTTTAAATGATACGGCTTCTGTCACAAAGCAAACAGATTGACAGAAACCAGAAAATCCACTACGGCATACCTATATACTAATTATAAATTTGAGTCAAAATCAAAAGCGGTATGATATCTCAAAAGTACATAATAGCTTGTTGTCAAGGTATCCCTACAAAGTGTAGTGCTGATAGTCATGATGACAGCCAGCGGCCCAAAACCACAGAAAAGTCTCCATAAAAACGTTTCTAGAAAAAGCGTATACCGCCTCCTTTTAAAAGAAGAGAAAGCGAGGGTTATGATGTTCCAATAATTCCAAAGTTTTACTTCCGCAATGGCGCAATATATCGTAAGTTTCGGGAATCAAAGTTACAAAACTTAAATAATCATCCGGTGACAGGTTGCGAACTACGATCGATGACATGAACCCAGGAAAGCATCCAAGTATGTAGTATAAGTTATTGACCCAAAAAAACCCGTATATCCCTAAAGAATACGTAGCCCTGAAGACGCTTCAAGCTATTGGGGCGGTTGATATATGGATGAGAATGAGACTTACTCAAGATGCAACTCATACTACGTACCGCTTGATAAAGCCTATGCAGCAAAATATTGCAAACAGGACCCAAGGGAGTTTCCCCTTTTAGTTTTGTTTTTACATCATTGACAGTTTGTGTTTACGAGTTGGAGGCCGGATCCCCGGAAAGAACGCATGACCGTGGGCATAGTCTCATAAGCCATGGTAAATTGGGAGCATAATTTCGATCGCAAATGTATAAATATTCCAAATGTTTCTTTTTCCTTGTCGAGAGTTCAGATGGAAATCAACAGTAACTGATAATCTAAAAAAAATAGTCATTCCGCTTTCCGGGTGGCGGCGGAGGTGTCAGTTTGTAGTGGTAAACTTTCTTGCAATTTTCGTCTGCGATGATTGGTGTCTGTGACCGTACCTGATCTGATGTAAAAGCTTAAGTAGGACCACACCCTCCCGCACCTCTCTCCTCCACATCCAGCCCCGGTAACACGAACACTCTTTCTCTGCCTCTCTTCTTCTTCTTCTTCTTCTTTTTCTTCCTCCTCCTCCTCTTGTTTCTCGGTCTATCCACGTCCTTTATCTTTATCAATGTCGCGAGCCGGATATCAACCACCAGCACCTAACTCCAAAATCATCATTGTCGGAGCAGGCGCCTTTGGTCTCTCCACCGCTTATGCTCTGTCCCTGAAAAACAAATACGACATTTGGGTCTTTGAAAGACAGTGCATTCCTAGTCCTGACGCTGCTTCTTGCGGTAACGTATTATCTTTATTATCAAGGAAATAAGTTTCGCACTTTAGGGCTGATTCTAAAAATATTATCTACCTGGAACAATTCTCTATGGAAATGTTATCAGATATCAACAAAATCATGCGCATGGATTATGGCAAGGAACTTATGTATATGCACATGTACATGGAATCGCTTCCTATGTGGGAGCAATGGAACAAGGAGCGTGCTGCCAAAGGTCGTAGCCCGGTCTTTCACAATGTTGGTAATCTAATGTTCTCGCAGAACGGCAAGCTTTCTCAATACGAAGTGGATAGTTTGAAGAGCATCCGTGAAGCAGGTTACGGCCATTTGATCGAAGAATTCCGTACGCCTGAAGCAATCGCTGAACGATACCCCCAATTTAAAGAAGCTACTAAGAACGGATTCAACATTGCTTATCTCAACAAGGCAGGAGGTGAGTTATATAATAACCCCAAAAGAATTCATCTCTATTCCTCGTATATGTATAAATAAGAACTAAAACATGGGTGAATTTGGATACCAGGATGGTGCGATTCGAGTGAAGCCTGTACGCACATTCACGAAAAGTGCGTGGAGAACGGTGTCCATTTCGTGGCTGGCCCGGAGCAGGGCAGTTTTGTGAAATTCCAGCACGACGAGAAAATCTCGACCAAAATCACAGGAATCGAGACAAAGGACGGCAAGTTGCACACTGCGGATTTAGTGATTATGGCCACCGGCTCATGGACTCCTGGACTCGTGGATTCGGACAAGAGACTTGTTGCTACCGGCCAAACTGTAATCCAGTTCAAGATCCCGGAGCCGATGAGAAAAATGTTCGAATGTCAGCCGACGTGGTGCGCTGATCTTTCAGTTACCGGATTCTACGGATTTGCAGTCAATCATGAAGGCAAGATGAAGATTGGTTATCACTCGAGCGGCTTTGTGAATCTACGCGATGACAAAGTTTCAGTGCCCCGTACGCAGGTTACACATCCTACCGATAGTATTCCTGCACCATCCATTTCACAGTTTCGAAAATTCCTATCGAAATTCCTCCCGGTTACCACGCCTTTGGATATCTCTTGCGCTCGTGTTTGCTGGTAAAAAGCTTTTAGATTATGGAGGATACGGACGGGAGGAGCGAATGGATGTGCGTGTGCTGTGTGCAAGCGTGAGAGAGTGAAAATTCCGAGAGAAATGAAATTACAGTTTAGACTAACAGATTTCCGATGTTGTATGACTATGCTTCCTTTTTAGGTATTGCGACTCGGTCGACGGACACTACCTGATAGCACCCCATCCCGAGTACGATAACCTTATTATCGCATCTGGTGATTCTGGCCACGGCATGAAGTAAGTTTTGAGTGAGAGGAGAGTGGAGAGTGGAGAGTAGAATTCTAGCAGTAATAGGAAATCTGTCGTGTGAAATTACGAAGTTCTTATAGTGGAATTTTTAGATTTATCCCGAATTTGGGTTTTAAGATTTGCCATGTTATTGAATGCGTGGATTCCGAGTATAGCCGAGCATGGGCATGGCGTGATATGCCAAAGGATGCCACTTACGATGGGTTGCGCGCTGATAGCGGGCCCAAGGTGCATCTGGATTTGAACGTAGAAGACGAGTATACACGCATGGCAAAGGACGCGGATCTCAAAGCAATCAAGTCAAGCCTGTAAACAAGTTTTTGTATTCGATTCCAGCTCGTTTTTTTTATTGTATGCTATTATTGCCATCATGTTATACACACAACTTGTAAATTTATTTGGTAAGGACGCTACGGAAGAAGTTGGCAGTCAACTGGATGGCCTCAGTGGCTCTCTTTCTGTTGAGTTCGTCAGACCAGTTGCCACGAGCAGCAGCGAAGCCGTGGTGCATGTCTTTATGAATACAATGAAGATTTAGAATTTATATTCCTTGTCTATCACACACACGCATAGCACACACACGCGCGCGCGTACCCAGTATTCATTAAGTATAAGAAAAAAAACCTTACCATCAAAGCGTTGGTGGGCACACTTATCACCGAAGGGCTTCTTGGCTAAGACGTTCATGTATTCGGTCTTTTAAAATTAAAAAAACAGTAAGTTTCGCGGTGAGCGGGGAAGAATATAAAGGGAATAAAAAAGTACTCGAACGCTTACCATATCGGGCTCGTCCTTGCTGGGCAAAGCGAGGACGGGGGCACCAGCCTTTTCAGCGTCCTTTACATCAACGAACGAAGGGTGAATAAGCGAGGCGCCACCAAAGAACGAATCGACAGCCGTGATTTGGACCGAGATCTATACCGAAAAGTTGTGTAAAAAGTTCTACCTATTTTTTTGTGCTCCTTTCCTAAAACGAAAGATCCAATACCTTGGCACCCCAGCAGAAGCCAACCAAACCACCCTCGACAACACCTTGTTCCTGGAGCCACTGGCGGACAACCTCAACCTGAGGTTGGATCTATTGAAAGTATCTTGAGCATCTCGACTGTTTGCTTCGTATATTGTCGTGTGTGATTATCCGACTTTATATATATATATCAGAACTCACCACTTCCATGCTGCCAACCTTGCCAATCCAGGCCATCACACGGTCGACATCACCCATGTCCTCCGGCACGAGTGGCTTGCCGCGGAAGAAGTCGGGCATGACAACCTTGTAGCCACAGTTCTTGGCAAGCACGTCGCAGAATTGTTTAGTGTTGTTGCTATCGTCGCGCACATGGAAAAATAAAAAGTCAATAAGGTTCGCCGATGAGGTTCTTTTCATATGCGTTATCCTTACTAGATAGATCATAGCAGTACTTACTGAAAACCAAAGACATCATAGATAACGAGAAGAGCCTTCTTTGCGTCCTGTTTCCGGCAGTGTTTTCGTTTTCGTCAGAAAAATGCTAAATAACGCGACTACAAGATTTACTATTTCATTTACCTTGGGACCAACAACGTAGGTGGGCAACTGAATGTCACCAACGTTTTCAACAGTACCAACGGGCTGGTAGTCGCTGTCGACAGGGGGGATAGTGCAGCAAGCTTTGAGGGACGACATATTTTTATGATAAATGCAAGGAAAAGCAGCTGGTGAAATCGTGGAAATTTGACCTAAACTAAAAGTTTATTTCTTTCAAGTTCAGCTTTGTGTGAAGGTTTTTATTAATCCCTCGCTCCCATGCGAACCGCCTGACACTTTTCGTTTTCTTTCCTACACAGAATATTTGTCATCCTCGTAGACCACATCTTTATAATGCCTCATAAGACCCATACCTTTTGGGGATTTATCCTAGTAGAAAGTGTAACTACTGTTAAGATGAAATACTACTTTCATCCGATCAAAAGATGAACATATCGGCTTCGCTGTTTCCGTTAACTGGGGTTTTCTTTTATCGAGCTCCGATGGAATATCCGCAAATTAGTTTCCCCGGATGGTTTGCATGGACGCAAGGCTTGCAGCGTCACCTAACGATAGAGAAAGCGCCTACGTATTTCCAGCTACTTCGCATTGAATCATCCAACGCAATGTTTAGACTGGTGAACCAGTTGTGTTTCTCTTTAGCTTTCAAAAAACTTTTTCTTACCGATAATCTTGCATTCAGTGTAGAAGTCGAAGGCAAGATTTCGCTACAGCCTGATTAATACGTTTTTATTTTTTTCGTTGTTATCCTTTTACCTGCAATGAAATAGAACAGCAGCCCCATATGTGGTCTCACTCGCTACGATCATTGCTTTTACATCAATCTTTTTTCCAAAGAAAAGACTATTAGCTTTAATACCGAAGAATGATACTGACTGATAATGCTGCATTGGGCTCACAACCGGGAAGACCAAAACGTTGCGTTGCACTTTGAACTAACTGTCAACAATTCAAAGAAGATAAGCATGAAAACATATCAAAATAACTCCGCCACAAAGAAAAGGGCAGAGAGGAAAGATCAACTTTTTTTGTGACATTTGATCGCAGTGAAATGAAAGCAGACAACAAGTTTTGTTGCAAGTGTAAAACAGCACAGGCTACTATTCTCATTCGACATGCCTTTTATTGCCAGTGAGTGCTGTTATATACTACTTTTTTAAAAAGGTTCATTTCAACAAAAACTCTCAAGATCTAAACCCGATTCCTACTCTCTTCTCTCAACCTAGACAATGTTTTCTATATGCCATAGTAGGCAAATATCGATCGATCCTCGGTAAATCCCGAAGCGTTGCTCGTGTCAAGGGAAAGGTATTGCTCGCATGTTCTGGTGGCCCTGGATCCATGTAAGCAACATTGAGGAGATCCATTAAAAAAATGAGCAAGCGATCGTTGACCCTTAATTTTTTATTATATTAGCGCCTTGTTGAACATGACAAAGGAATTTATGCACGCTGAACCACACGAAAAGAAAAAGATCCAGGTGCTGGACTCTGCATTGATTTGTCATATTGACGAATCGGCCTTGTTTGAGGAACAGGTAATTAGAAATAATGATATTGTTGAGATCAAGAGTGTGCTGTGTATGCGAGATCTTACTAAACGGGCGTTTTGTGGGGAAAACATAGAGCGAGAGCTCCCACAAATTAGCGGATATGGCGACAAAAGAGTTCCCAAAAATGGCCTTTATGTCACGTCCAATGCAAGACGTATTCTCTGATGACTTTGCGAAAAACGCGGATTTCAAGAAAGTTTTCAAAGCTATTGCTGGATCTAGCGATTACGGTGAGTATCAAAAGAGGATCCATTCGTTCCGTTATTGTAGAAAAACATAGACTTATCATATGTATTGTATCATATCAGACTATCTTGTACAGATCAATGATCAAGAAGCAATGCCTAGCTCAGATGCGGAACGAGCAGTTAAGCTTAGAGAGCTATTCGATGGCATTACCAAGAACACAGCAAAGGAGGATCTCTACTGGCATATGAAAATGACGATGCTAGTGACGCTGGCAAAGAAAGAAGGGTATGTTTTTTCTTTTAGAGTTAAAAAAACCAGGATGAAATGTTTCTCAGATAGCTGATGATGGAAGCTTTTTTACAGATGCTCATACATATTTATGGCGGATTCATCTACACAACAAGCAATCAAGATGATCTCAATGACCAGCAAGGGCCGTGGTTACAGTATTCCATTTGATATTGGTGTGGAGAATGACATGACCTTCCCCGACCTAGCCATTCTCCGGCCTATGAAGGACATGCTTTCAAAAGAGATTGGATTATACAACCGGTTTATGGGATTAGAGGAATATGTTATTCCTCCAACAGATTTCAACACTGGAAAGCCTGCAAAGAGCTCTATCGAACGATTAACTGAGGGTACGTTGTCTTTAGGTTAAAATTGGTACATATAAACGCCTCATATGGGAGTGATAGTTTAATTTTTATTCTACAATTTAGAATTTATTACCACCTTGGATCGCGATTTCCCATCGACCGTTAGCACTATATCCAGAACCGCATCAAAGCTGACGCCATTGAATGATATGGATATGAGTAAAAAGTGTGCCATTTGTAGCATGTAAGTTTAACGAACGGGAAGAATCATAATGGGGGCATATGTAAAGATGGTTGTTAATTTTTTCTAATATCTATGATTCTCCAAAATAGGCCTTATCAAGCTGGCATTGAAGACTGGCGACGAAGGATTACAGTGACCAATGTTGAAGGGACGTCTGAATTAACTGCATCAAGCCAAGAAGAAAAGAAAAAAGAATTGGATGCATCAACAGTTGATATGAATCAGTACCTGTGTTATAGTTGTCAAGTTGATATGAAGGATTACAAGCAGGATACTGTTTCGTCGTTACCACCTTACAGTGTCCAGGCTATTTTAGATGCTCATTTGATCGACGAAGAGGAGGAATAAAAACGGCTATTGTTTTTGTACATGAATAAATGGGCTTGACGACGCAGTATAATATGAGAAATAAGTTATATTACGTTCTTATAAGCCTTCGCTGACATATTGACATGGTTAAATGAAAGTTTCTACAAAAAGGAGAAAGGGATCAAACAGCAACTACAATGACAGAATGTTAATGAATACATACGTTCAAAAAGCCAAAAAAAAAAGGCAAAGAATGCGGGGCAAGCGCGAAGAAAAGCAGGAAGAAAAGCCAACGTCTTGATGAGTCGTGCAGTATGCTACTTTTATAACCTTTTTGATCATATCAATCACATGATTTCACTAGTGTCGTCAACAGTGTTATGAACATTCCTCGACCTCTACTAAGTGATCACCCTCAACCTCGATGATCACTTATTATATCCTCAAGTAACAATATCATCCATCATCATCGTCCGAATCATCAACCCTAATACCAATCTTTCCGTTTATTCGCATTATTAAATTCTATAGTAAAAGATATATAAACCCCATAGTCTTTGAATAATGAAACGTCAGTCAGATATCTTGTTTCCTTCCTGTATCTTGTTCCTCGTCTCTTCTCTCATCATCTGGTCTCCTACCTTCGGGTCTCATTCTTGTCTTGTCTTGTTCTTGCTGAAAGCACCTAGCACATTCTCCTCCGGTCTCTTTGTTCTTGTCTTGTCTTGTTCCTGTCCGCACCTTACAAGCAGCTTGTTTCATCAATGACCACTGGTAAATAGAGAATGGACTCCTTTTTATCGCACACAAACGGATCCCTTTATCTTTAACGCTGCTTCTTTTGACAGAGCATACTACTACTTAGTGTACCATCCAAACATTTTATCGGTGATCAAACAAAACGTAAGTGATATATCATGTATCAGTTATGCGCTTTGTATAAAAAATGGTATTACATAAAAGTCATGTCCTTGCACCTGTAACCCTTTGTAACCCCTGCAATTGTTGTCGTAGATATTATGGATTTTGGTTCTTTCAACTAGCGACATTACTATGGCATGTGATGGTGATACGACGCGATCATTACTCGATCAAGTTAAAATTACAGCAATGTCATGCACCAGTATTTTGAAGTGTTGCACTTAAATGCTTATTCAGAGGTGTCATTGGCTGCTTTAAGGATTGCTATACAGCCTTCTGATTGGCCAAAATGTAAGCCCAGGTGCCTCATGCTGCACTCCGATCCACCAGAACTTTTTGTTGCATTTCATCATCTAGTGACGCGTATAGCAAGAATATTCGATAACGCTACTTACTACAACTTCAATTGACTACTATCACCATGGACGATCAAGCGATTCTCGACTTTTGTGCTGTTACAAATGCTTCAACAGAAACCGCTCAAAAATATCTTCAAGTACGATGTGCGATCCTCGAACGCCTTTTACTATAATATTTTGAAGAGAGCGTGACAAACACACAAAGCCAAGAGAAAGAAAAAGAACCTGAAGTTTCTATTATATGTGCATGTGTAGGTGGCGGATGGCAATGTTGAAACTGCAGTGACGTTATTTCTTGAAAGCGGCGGTCAAGAAGACATGCAAACGGAATCACGAGGCGATTCGTCGAGTTCATCACCCCATATGGGCAATGCTGCTGTGTCAGACGAAGATCTTGCTCGACAGCTGGAACGTGAAGAACGGGAACTACGCCAGCGTCAAGAACATCAGATCCGAGCACCGATCGCACCTAGACGTGATATTCTTGCTGGAAGCAGACATCTTTTCGATGCAGGCTCGTCGTCATTATGGGGTTCAGGCGAAGGTATGTATAATGGAGAAATACACAGTGTATGTTTATTGTGGAGACCAGATTACTCAATATGTGCATGATAATGACCCATTGATGTCTCTTTTTTTGTGTCTCTGATTTACATAGCTGCCCCTGCTCGACGCTCTGTATTCAATCAAGGGGATTCGTCAAGCGGTAGTCCTGGCCCAGATTTCATTAGAAACTTGGGTATGTTGTTTCTATACAGAAAATGAAAACAAAGAAGGGAGAAGGAAAAGGAGCTGAGGGGAGAGTGTAAAAGAAAGGGGATGATCGAAGAGAGAAAAAACGCAGAAATTCCAACAAGTGGCTGTAATGTGGGATGCCTTGTTTGCTATATTCAACGTCAATATGCTTATGGTAATGAACAATGTAGATCGGAATATTGCACCAGGGCAGGGATCAGGCGGTGAAAATGGATTTGGCGCTGTCAGCAGTGCAAAGGCAAAGCGGTTAGCCGATCTGTTTCGACCGCCATTCGATCTGATGTACTCGGGTGGATTTGAAGAAGTACGTCGTTTCTTGTTGCCCTTGTGTTTTTTTAAATGGATGGGATGATGACAAGGCCCTTTTGTGCTTACTTATCTGGCGTCTGTGTACGGAATACGTAGGCACGCACTACTGCACGGGAACAGAATAAGTGGATGATGGTAAACGTGCAAGACGCCACGGAATTTACATGCCAAATCTTAAACCGAGATCTCTGGAGTGATTCGACTATAAAGGATATTGTGCGAGAATCCTTTGTGTTTTTACAGGTAGCTGCTGCTATTGATTGGGGTTTCAAGGGCTAGAAGGCAAGAAAGTGATGGGGTCTATGATGGCTGATGTGCGATATCACAGTATGAACGCGAAAACCCCGAGGGCAAACGATACTTGACGTATTACCCCATCAAGAAATACCCACACATTGCAGTGATAGATGCTCGTACAGGTACGTTAATAGATTTGTTGGCTATTGGACCGTATGGCGGATGCACATCTTAACCTTTACTACTTAGGTGAACGCGTCAAAGTGTGGGAATCAGTCCCAACGCCGAGTGATCTCATCATGGAAGGTTCGTATGCATACACTATACACAGCTTTGGCCGTAAGAAGAGAAAGCTCACGTCTTTTTGGGGTGATGAAACGATGTGTATAATAGTCACGGAATTCTTGGAACAACAAGGGGGCTCGGATAACGCGCCATCATCGGCAACGAAGAAGAAGGCAAAAATGTCTTCCAAGGTGAGGATAGAAAGAAAAGGAACAGCTTGATCAAAACAGCAAGGGGCAGTACTTATTTGTTTTTCCTTTGTCCCTGTTCTATGTGTGGTGGTACATAGAGCGTTTCAGACATGAGTGAGGAAGAACAACTCAATGCTGCCATTGCGGCATCGCTGCACGGCAAGCCTACCGACTCGACTGAAGAACAAAAAGAACCAGCAGCATCGTCATCACTATCATCATCACCATCATCACCACAGCAGCAGATACAAGGGAAAGAAGAAGGCAAAATGGAGGATGTACAAGAACAGGAAGGTGGTGCCGAAGATGAGGCAGAAGAGCAAACGTTATCGGTGCTGGATTCTATACAGCCCAATAAGCGTGATGAGCCGACGGACATTGCAAATTCGACGCGTATACAGTTGCGGATGGCGGACGGCAAACGGGTCATTCGGCGGTTCTTGAAGACGGATCCAGTCCGGTACTTGTTTGAGTTCGTCAAGGCAGAAGTACCTGAAACACAGGAACGACCATTCGAGGTAAAGCACTAAAAAGAAAAACAACCATGCGCTGGACCACGAGCGTGGCGTAAACTCTAATGAGCCTTCTTCTCTCACACGCACACTTTCTTTCTTGCTCTGTTTGTAGCTGGTCTTCAACCGTAAACAATTGATCGAATCACTTGACCAGCCGATCCAGGAGGCCGGCCTGGTAAATGCCGCTGTAAACTTTGTGTTCACTTGAAAAGAAAAAGCTCGGAAACAGAGAGAGAGAAAGAGCCGAAAAACAAACAACAAAAGAGTTGGCGCAAACCATAATAAATTGCCGTTTTGCAAATGTTTTTCTTTGCTGTTTTGGGGGTGGGTTGGGCGTGGTAGGAGTGAGTGAGTGTGCAGAGCATTCTTGTATAAAACGAGGCTTTCATCTGCACTACTGCCTTTCTTTTTCTTCTTTGTCCACCTCTGGTCCTTGTCTGGTGTAAGTAACCTTTTCTTTCCCTTCATTCTTTCAATACCCCATTGCCCCCAATCACGTATGCACATTTTCCTTTGCTAACATGGTGTATGCATTCTGTTTCTAATTCTGTATTGTGTTTGTGCAGCCCTTGGCCCTGTGGTTGTGGCCGTGGTCGTCGCCGTGGTCGCCGGGTGCGTCGTCGCCGTGGGGTCGCCCGCCGGGCGCGTCGTCGCGTTCTACTCTTGGGTCTCTGTCCTGGCGGGCGACCTTGTCACCTACTATACCGTAGCCGAAAATCGACTCTGCCTCCTCCAGAGGTGGGGTCGATACTTTTCACATTATTCTTTATGGCCGTCCTGGTCGGCCCTGTCTGGCTGTTCGCTTTTCATTTCAACCTGTCGTTCTTTCCCTCATTGTACTCAATAAAAACGCGACCTCTTTTCTTATTTTTTTTGTCAACACAATAATTTCATTCTTTCTTTTATGTTACTGGCTATCTTATGTGCTATTTACGTAGTTTATCGTGTGTTTGTGTATCATAACGATACGTTGGAAGTGAGTGTGAGTGAAGTAAATATACAATATTCGCCTTGTTAGCTGGTTGTAGTATAGCAGGAACGTGGTTAACTTTGCCATCAAAACCTGAAACATAAACTGTTACTTGTTATGCGGTGTCATAGCGATGTATTCCTCGAGCTTCACATACTACTGTACCGCACAAGCTTACATCAGAAGACAGAGCAGGTTTTTCACCGCGATACGTGGTAGTGCAGGAAGGGGCTATGCTAATGTCGGTCGTTACCAAGCAATAAAGTGTGTGAACACCATCTATCAAATATGTGGGGATAAGATTTTCGAGAAGCCCAAAGAATACCACCATAGCACGATACCTTCATGCATTTAGGGGGGACACTTATTCTCCATTGATATTCAATCCCTTTCGTGACTTTTCACACAAGGTTCTATGGAGAAGATTGTTTAATACTAAGGGGAAAGCGATTTTACTGGCAGAAACGCGCTCGGTACCTCCCATGGTCCAACTATAAAAAAGCCATGGGAGGTGCATGCGCCTGCTACACAACAAAGTTGCTTGCACACAAGCTTCAGCAGCAGATGCGCTTGGTACTATCAGCATCAAAGCTCCATGATTCATATAGCGCTTAATTGGCATCCTCCTTGGCCAGGTAAAAAGACGTATAGCGATCCTCGACCTACGATACCACGTTCAAGCGGTCCTTATATATGCGAGAGTGATTAAAGGTCCATTCATTCAACACATCCCGCTCCACCCCTACAACACTGGCGATTGTTCGCTCGTGAATATAATTCTTCTTGTATACTGGGTAGTACTGCTGATAAGAGCGAGTGGATAAGAAGATATTTTGCACTACTATAGGAAAACGCGCAATGGAACATAGATCTGGTCAATCACCAACTCAAAAAGAAAAGCTCTAACACTGTGTGTTACGATAGATGTTTCTTGATACGATGAAGATATATATTTTGCTTCCAGTAATTTAAATTTTATCCTTGACCACCGCCATCATGAATATCTAGCACTCGCGGCAATATTTATGCTGCGCACCCGAGAAACAACGACGCTTTTATTGACCCAGCATATTGTTGCCTTCATCATGGCATAGCTGCAGCGCCATATATTTGGGCGAAAAAAAAACGGTAGATGTATTAGAATAGTGAATCTTGAATTGAGACAAATAAAGCTTCTTTCACTAAGCGTGAATTACGTTTTGATATCAGAAATAAAGCTTTGTATGACTCGAAATGTAGAGGATGGATAGTTGCCGACTTGAACAAATACTATCGAGAGAAGAGAGTATTATACTATTGACAATATCTTTGGTATAACTGTTTATTATTTGTAATAAACGTAGCTCTATCTGCTGATCAGGAAGTCCAAGGCCACGACGGAGAAAACGAAGACGAAGAAGAACGTAGAAAGAGAAGATAATGATTTACGGATGGATATGGAAGTTTCAACTTTTCTTATGGATCGTTTGAACATGTCCGATTGGAAAAAAAGCACATTATACAACCTTTTTGAAGCAGAAAATAGAAAAAAAAAGATGTTCGCATATCGAGATGGAAAAAAAGAAACGGACTATGATATGTCAGGAAAAAGGCTGTGGTAATCATCTGAAAAGAGTAAAAATTCATTGACTGGTCGAGTGTGTTGGGAGTTTCATTTATGTAATAAGTAAAAGATGGCTCTGTTTTAAGATTTCTTTCCTACGGTTTTCACAAAACAGAGACAAAGCTATGTATGTAAACGCCAAGAGAATTCGTTACAGTGAATAATAAATGGTGGATATAAAAAGTTTATTAGCATACAATGGTTATATAAAGGCTGAACTGAAAGGTCCGAGTTGGAGACGGATGGGTGGTTATGGAGCAAAAAAAAAGCACTTATTAGCGCTGCTCCACGAAAACTTTCATGCCACTGTGCATGACCAGCGTTACAGTGGGAGTATACGTGACTTCCTGATCAGGAACAAGGCTGAATTTGTAGCGCTTAAGCAGCATGACAATAGCTACCAAACTCTCAAGCGTGGCAAGATTTTGGCTGTAACAAGTATTAATATAAACGTTAGATATACATAGAACCTTCGGCTTCCACAACAAGAAAAAATTATAGATATATACCCGAGACATATTCTCGGTCCGGCGTGAAAAGCAGGCCATTTGCCTTGAGATTCACGACGCACTTCGCCTTCGGGAGTGAGCCAGCGTTCAGGTTTGAACTCTTTAGCATCGGGACCCCAGACTTTGATGGATCTTCCTTGAGCATAAGGGCTCCAGCCTATGTAATCGCCAGCTCGAATGTGTGTACCATCTGGAAGAACATCATCCTTTAAGGCGTATTTGATATTACTCGGGACAGATGGATGCAAACGCAAAACTTCGTAGAGCCTTTTATATACAGAAAGAAAGAAGATATTTAAGTTACGAGTTCTCGGATCTTGACTAAAAAATCATGTATGCATATAGATGAATATATCAACGTACACAGCATGGGCATAACTCATTCCCTTTATAGTTTCATACAGAGCAGCAGGATCGTTCTCAATCTCGTCGGTGACATGTGACGTGATTTCTTCAAGCAATTTGTTTTCAATGCGAGGATGCAACATCAAATTGTAGAATGTCCAAGAGAGTGCCACAGCAGTAGTGTCTCTGCCTATAATAGTAATAATCGTAGTAGTAGTTGTTGTGAATGTTTGTTAATGAACCTTTTACTTCTCTCTTCTGCGAATGTCCCTTAACAGCTAATGAGAAACATCTATCATGTTAAACGACTTGGCACATTTGTCACATACCTGCAACAATAAAGTTGAGAATAACATCACGCAAGCTCTTCTCATTTAGGGCTTCACCAGTCTCGTCTCGAGTGTTCATAAATCGTGATAGCAGGTCCTTGAATTCTTGGCCCTCGGCCATTTCCTTTTTTCGTGTGGCAATGACCTCGTAGGCAAAATTGTCGACAACCTTGACATGATCCTTGATGCTGGTTTGCCATGGGGTCAAGATCGGTTTGATCGACTCGGATAGTCTCCAGGCAGGGAACACCATACGCCAAGAGGAGTTAAATTGGATTGCATCGAAAGATTCAGCAAAAGGAACCTTGTCCTCCTGCTGCAATCCATTAATTTTGACACCAAATCCCAACCTAGATAAATTTGTTACATGAGCTTCTTGGTATCATCATCATAGTTTGGTGTAACGTAGCGCCTTTTTGACAAGTAAAAAGAATCAGTGCCCAAAACTTTAACGTACAATACGAATGAATCCAGCGTAAACTTGAACATGAGGTCATGGAAATCGATTGGTTCTCCGGTGACAGCTGCAACATCAAGAATCTCCTTGATCATATATCGCAGCTCCTGCACAAAGACAGCGGTGAAATGGTCGCGGAAATTCATGACGTTAAAGATGAGACTAGCGGCTTTTCTTTGGTAGCGCCATTGTTCGCCGTTGGCATTAAAGATACCGTGACCGAATAGATCGTTAAATGCTTCCTGGAACTGGGGACCTTTGGCATAATTTTGAAAGTTGTCTAAATGTAATGCGCAATAGTGTAGAGCATTTTAAGTCATTCAATTGAGTATGAGAACTATCCTGACATCAAATAAATTTGGACATAGGTACTCTTGAGAATATGTTCAACGTTGGAAGGATCGATGGTGCTGATGCGTCTTTTAATACCGAGACTTGACATGGTCCTGTGTTACGTATAACATATGTAACGTTATTTGCCGGGCGCTTGAATTATATAGCGGAGGTTGGAGATCTGGGTTGGAGGGAACAAGTACAAGTGGACGGGAAAAAGTGGAGGCCATCCAGTTTATAGAATGGATATTTAACTCACATTGTCAAGGTATCCAAATCTTCGAACGTTTGTGTAAGGAATTCGTGAACAGTCATACGATTGCCGAGGATAATGGGTAGAGTACCTAGAAGAGGATAACCCTTCTTGTATGGGATGTTGGGTCGATGTTCATCGAAAATGGCTCTGTCATTGTATTTCGCAGAAAGTGCAGCAACTGCTGCAGCGCCCGCAAGCCCAAGTGCTTGCCAAGAAGATAAAGTTTCCGTACTCATAACTCAATCAAAGGTGTTCGCTGGAAAAAGAAGAGGGAGTAATAATAGGAACGAGAGAAAAATTGAATGAATAAAAGGGAAAAGAGAGGGGATTAAATCTAGTGTTCGGAAAAATGCAAGATGGAGAGAGGGGTAAACTGAATTCCAGATATAAGCGTATATCACTTGAAGGGTGACGCTTACTTCCATGAAAGGTCAAAAAATGATTATTGAAGCTAGTGTCATATATATTCCCACACATCTGTCTTTAATACTGATTATTCACCATCATATGTGTGTTGCATAAATCAATAGCATAAGAGAATGACGTACTGCCAAGGTGGAATGATAGGAACCGAATGAAACTTAAGAAGGAGAGACACCTCCAAAAGATTGACATGACTGTATTGTTTGGTTGTAAAAATAGTGCAGAGTAAATTACAGAGTAAATCTCGCGCAAGTACAAAAATACGATCGTGGAAAAAATACAGTGCGTGCGCTTAAATGATAGGTACTACTATTAGTGGTTCTGTACCACATGCCATCGTTGTACAAAGGTGTTCATCCACATTCCCACCGAGAAGATCCAAGCAAGTATAGAATATATGTTGAGGGAAAGTCCTATAGTCTCTTCTGTATTTATCCGTATGAATATACTGGGGCCGCAATAATTTGCTCAGTATCTTTGTTACTGCGGAGGAGGTAATACGACCTGATTTATCGGACAGGTTGAATAATGTGCTATAGTCGACCCCCCTTATATCACATCCGTTAACAAATTTTCAAATCCCCGTTTAATTCACTTTCAATGTATCATCCAGGGTTGAAGCCTCATCGGGTTATAATAAAAAATGCTCTCCCATATGTTCTTTAAAGAAAATAAGCACTGCACATAATTTATTTCAAACGTATTTAGATTAGATTGAATATGGTATTCAAAATACTTAAAAAAAGCTATCTAAAGAGCTTTGTCTAGCAAACAGTTTTTCTTGAAGCTTGTCGCGTAAGTCTCATAATTTAGAAGGGAAACTGGGTATAATCTCTTCATCTCCATCGGAAGCCAAGAAAGATAAAACAGTATCAACATGGTACATTATTTCTGGTCTTCAATGGTACTGCTAGGCAGCAAGCAGTCGCTGTTTCACCGGATGCTTTTTGGTCTTCCATTGTCTCTTCATTTGGTGTATCTTTATCTATTATGTATGTGAAGAAAAGGTCAATTCGGCCAGGTTAATGTATTGGATAACAGGCTATGTGGATTACGTGTTCCATCATCAGAATCAAGTAGAATAGAATATGTGAAAAAAAGTTCAATCCAGCCAGAAAATGTATTAGATACTAGGCTATGTGAATTACATGATCCATAGACAACTTCATGAGCGTTGGTAATCCGTGTAACATCAAAATGTGTCTGGATACATAAATATCCGTACTTGAGAGTTTGTCCTAGCATCCGTTAACTTTCACCATTTCAAGTTTGAACTTATCGGGGGTCGACTGTATCTGGATATGGCCGCATAATATACGAACTCCATTTCAAAAAAAAACAGCCTCCTTTCAATAATTTTCTCGCATAGTCTGCACGTGAAATGGGTCAACGTATAGTGTATTAATTATTACATTGCTGATGGCACACATCACAATATAATTAAAGGGTGCAAACTTTTCCAACTTTCACCCGTACAAGGAGCCTTGAACATCTACCTCCCATGTATGCATGATGATGCATATTGTCTTTCTTTATCGGGATTAGCTCTAGTTAAGCACCAATGTTTGATCCGCAGCTTTTGTATCGATGAAGATTCTTCGAGCTTGTCTGCTTATATAATAGCCATTGAGATGTATGTTGTTACTGTACATATTTATTGGCTGATTTCACAGCTTTACATGCATACTTACTCAAACGCCATAGATCAGATGATGCGTAGATCCAGATGGCACAACAAGAGACAATACACCGTATTAACTAACAATAACTACACACTGCTTCCCTAGTAAAACATAATAAGTAATATCTTTACATCTTCGGTTCTACGATCTTGTGTCTCCGCAGCAATGATGGTATTCAGACACAACGAATCTTTCACGTGTTTTAGCTGCAGTATACCCATCAACGAGTCCTCAAACAGCCTGAGCAAAAAAGGATATCTCGCAAGATGTCAACGTGACAATGCCACTTCCAGATATAAATTATTATTGTATAGAGAACTAGGTCTCCAGTATCATCGCTAACTGTTTTAGCAGATGGATCCAGATATGCTGACTACGAAGTAATGTCATCGAGGGCTGCGACGAGTTGGTGGAGACGATCGACGACTTCGACGTGGACATGCGATCTATTGGAGATAACGAAAGGGGCGAAGCGATGGATTATATGATTCGCCACCTGCAACGGAGTTTTAGATAGAACCAGATGATATCGGGTACAGCACATCAGGCTTGTCATCGGCTTCATCGGCTAGCGCGTTGCACGATCAGAAACGTGAATTGCTGCCGTGTGACATATATTTCAGTAACGAAGACGACGAACTGCCACCAAACATCCAGGCTTCTCTAGACAGCTTTGCTAAAGCCTAAAAGCGAGGGCTAGCAGGGGACAATTTCGACAGGATTATCAAGATAATTAGTAATTATATCGACCCTACCCAAGCGCAAAACGAGCAAGTACGTCCACTCCTAATTCATCACTGGTAGAAAGCCAGTACGATGCGCCGCTTTCTAGTGCAGCCTTATCGTGCTTGTCCGAGCGGTGCAAAATGTTCCTTGTCGACATTCACGAAAGTATGTGATGTATGCAAGAGGGTCCTATATGAGAAAGATACCGAATCTACCACAGGCAAAAAGTCTTTGGCATCCCTTGTGAAGCAACTGACAGTACGAGATCAACTCGCATTACCCGTGTATGACCGGAAACTCTTGAGCTTTACGCCACCGAGCCAAGCGTAAGAGTACATTCGGCCAATGACGGTGATGATGATGGCATGGATGACGAAAGCGCGATGAATAACATATTCGACGGGAGATCCTACCGATCCCTTTTCCCTGGCAAGCCCGATATTGTACACGGCCGGTTTTCGAAATTTTGTTGCTATGGCAATCGTCCACTTCCAAATGCTCATTTTGCAATGTCCTGTGGCACCGAGCAAAAGTATATGCTGCAGTCATGCATCGTTCCTGTGCCTCGTGCTCCTGTGGAGTTGTTCAGTTTTGTGCAACTGACAATAGACGAATTTCGAGAACTGGCGAGCCATGGAATGAAGGCTTGGACACAGGATGGACCTCTTGTCGTAGGATAAATCTCTTTTACTGTGGAGGTAAGTGAAATCTATGATCGAATGAGTCAAATAGATATAAGGCCTGCTTATATTTCGAATTTACTTGACTTTTTTCATCTGTTGGTAGCTATTTGTACACGGGGTTCGTGGATACGATTGGGTGATTTACCAGCAGCTCAGAATCCATGTTTTTCGTTCTGAGCATAAGATAGGAAGAGAGTACGAGCAGCTCCACGGATAACATACCAGCATTTACACCAGGAAGTTTCCTTGACCTACTGCTCTTTCCATTGCAGATGCGCTATGATTTACCAAGGGTCACAAACGCCGTAGTATGTAGGGGATATGAGGGAGGTAATGCTGTGTAACGGTGAGTATAGTTGGAGCAATCGCTTTGTCGTCAACTTGTTTCAATAACCACTTGTGCCACGTCTTCAGCGATTCCTGATATGACTGTATATCAGACTCGGTTATTATTCGTGATTATGCCCTCTGCACAATGTCTGCTAGAGTCAGGCCACACGTACAACGACCAATAACACGTGTGTTCGCAGTGTAATGCATCCCACGGATATGGCAACCAATAAAATGAATGAAGGAAACCAGGTATAACAAGGTGAAATGTATTATCTTTTCTACGGCGAGCTTTTACTGTGATTTTCTCTGCACTACTTTCAAAGCCAAATAATACAGTCATGTCTATCTTTTGAGAGGCATATTTCTTCCTTGATTATTTTTTGGCTCCTATCATTCCACCTTGTCAGTACGCAGTTCTCAAATGCTCTTAGATTATACACCATATATGATGGTGAGTAATCAGTAACAAAGACAGACGTGTGCAAATGTGTACGAAATCTAACCTTTCATCCCTCAAGAAATATAGGCCCCTAAAATATACAACTACAGTTTACCCCCATTTTTACCCTGCAGTTTTGCAGACAGTAGATATATTCTCCTCTTTTTCCCTTTTATTCATTTTTCTTTTTTCCTTTTTCTAAAGAAAACCCTCTGTTGTTTTTACAACGAACACCTTTATTGAAATATGAATACAGACACTTTGTCTTCGTGGCAAGCACTTGGCCTTGCGTGTGCAGCAGCAGCTTCTGCACTTTCTGCGAAATATAATGACAGAGCCATTTTTGATGAACATCGAGCCAACATTCCATACAAGAAGGGATATCCTCTACTAGGTGGTCTACCCTTTCTCCTCGGCAACGTTTTATCTGGTCATGATTTCACTACACAAACATTTGAAGAGTTGGATACCTTGACATGGTGAGTGTATATCCATTCTCATAAAAATGGTACATGACCTTCACTTTCTCTCGTCCATTTGCAGTGGTCCCGTCGCAGCCCTGATCTCAAATGTCTGCATATGATGTCTGTAACACAGGACCATGTCCAGTCTTGGTATTAAAAGAAACATCAGCACCATCGACCCTGCCAACATTGAACATATTCTCAAGGGTATGTATATACAAATTAATCCAATTCCAGGATAGCTCTCACGCTTGAACGATTGACGTATATGCCTTACATTATTGCGCACTATATTTAGACAACCTTCAAGATTATATCAAAGGCCCCAAGTTGCAAGAAGCATTCAGCGATCTAGTTGGTGAACATATCTTTAATGACCACAGCAAGAAATGGCGTTACCAAAGAAAAGCCGCTAATATCATCTTCAACGCCATGAATATTCGGGATCATTTCACCGCTGTCTTCGTGCACGATCTGCGATATATGATCAAGGAGATATTAAACGTTGCAGCTGTCAACCGAGAACCAGTTGATTTCCAAGACCTTATGTACAAGTTTACGCTGGATTCATTTGTACAGTACGTTGATCACGTGATTACTGATTTTTCTACTTGTCAAAAAGGTGCTACGTTACACCCAAATGTGACCAGATATACACATAAAAAAGCTCATGTAACAATTTAACTTAGGTTGGGTTTTGGTGTCGCAGTTAACGGATTGCAGCAGAAGGGCAAGGCTAATTTTGCCGAATCTTTTGATGTGCTACAATCCAATGGCTCTTGGCGGCTGGTGTTCCCTATCTGGAAACTGTCCGAGGCGATCAAACCTATCTTGTTCCCATGGCAAACTAGCATCAAGGATCATGTTAAGGCTATCAACAGTTACGCGTACGAATTTATTGCCAAACGCAAAAAGGAAATGGCCGAGGGCCAGGAGCCCGAGGGTTTTCTGTCACGATTGATGAACGTTCGAGACGAGGCTGGTGAACCCTCAGATGAGAGGAGCTTGCGGGATGCTATTCTCGCCTTTTTTGTTGCAGGTATGTGACAAACTTGCTAAGTCGCTTATTATATATGATTCACTATATATCACATGACATCCGCAGGAGAGGGAGCTAAAAAGATTGATTTACAAACATTCACAACCACTACAGGCAGAGACACCACTGCTGGAGGACTCTCTTGGACGTTCTACAATCTGATGTTGCATCCTCGAATTGAAAACAAGCTCTTTGAGGAAATCAAGTCACATGTCACCGACGAGATTGAGAGCGACCCTGTTGCTCTGTATGAAGCTATTAAAAAAATGAATTATGCGCATGCTGTGTACGTTGATCTATTCATCTGAATTTATATTAGTCAAGATCCAAGTACTCATGGTTTAAATACATTCCTTCTTTATGTACATAAAAAGGTTTTACGAAGTTTTGCGTTTGTATCCACCGCTTCCGGCTAATATAAGATACGCCTTGAAGGATGATATTCTTCCAGATGGTACACATGTTCGTTCTGGCGATTACATAGTCTGGAGCCTTTATGCTCTAGGAAGATCCACCAAAGTCTGGGGCCCCGATGCTAAAGATTTCAGACCGGAACGCTGGCTTACTCCCGAAGGCGAAGTGCGTCGTGAATCTCAAGCGAAATGGCCTGCTTTTCATGCTGGACCAAGATCATGCCCCGGGTGTGTATATTCTCTTTTTCTTTTTCTAATTGGGGTGAAAAGTGAAAGTTCGATGTAGACCTAACGTTTTCTGTCCAGCCAAAAGCTTTCCACGCTCGAGAGCTTGGTAGTTGTCGTCATGCTGCTTAAGCGCTACAAGTTCAGCCTTGTTCCTGATCAGGAAGTCACGTATACTCTCAGCGCAACGCTAGTCATGCACAGTGGCATGAAAGTTTTCGTGGAGCAGCGCTAATAAGTGGTTTTTTGCTCCATAACCACCCATCCGTCTCCAACTCCGTTCTTTCTGTACAGTCTTTAAGCAGTCAATGGATGCTAATAAAGCTTTATATACCGATTATTTCTCACCCACCCGTAACAAGTTCCCTTAGCGTTTACCTACATAACTCTGTTTATGTTCTACGTAGTATAGATTTTCCCTGGTCATATTCCGCGAGATTTTGCTTTGTGATTTCAGTGCATTGTTTTTACAGACAAACGATACTGTCATGATTATGATCTTTTGGAGGCGTCTCTCTTTCGTGAATTTTTCGGCTCCTATCATTCGACCTTGTCACTACGCAGTTCGCTTATGCTTTTAGTTTGTACACACAGATACGACGGTGAATACAGTAATCAGCATTGAAGACAGTCGTGTGGCATTAGCTTCAATACTCATCCTGCAAGAAATATAGGCCCCTAAAATATACAACTACAGTTTACCCCCATTTTTACCCTGCAGTTTTGCAGACAGTAGATATATTCTCCTCTTTTTCCCTTTTATTCATTTTTCTTTTTTCCTTTTTCTAAAGAAAATCCTCTGTTGTTTTTTACAACGAACACCTTTATTAAATCATGAATACAGACACTTTGTCTTCGTGGCAAGCACTTGGCCTTGCGGGTGCAGCAGCAGTTTCTGCACTTTCTGCGAAATACAATGACAGAGCCATTTTTGATGAACATCGAGCCAACATTCCATACAAGAAGGGTTATCCTCTTCTAGGTGGTCTACCCTTTCTCCTCGGCAACCGTTCAACCATCCATGATTTCCTTGCACATACTTTTGAAGAGTTGGATACCTTGACATGGTGAGTTAAAGATCTATTCTAGATTCATCATCTTCACTTTTTCCCGTCCACCTGCACTCGTTCCCTCGCCACCCAAATCTCCAACCTCCACATATGTTATCCGTAACACAGGACCATGTCAAGTCTCGGTGTTGAAAGACACATCGCCACCATCGACCCTGCCAACACTGAACATATTCTCAAGGGTACGTATATGCAAATTAACCCGACACCCGAATAGCTCTCACGCTTGAGCGAATGACTTGAATGTCTTACATCATTGTGTACTATATCTAGACAACTTGCAAAATTATGGCAAAGGTCCCAAGTTTCAAGAAGCATTCAACGATCTATTCGGTCATAATATCTTTGATGCCTACGGCGATCAATGGCTTCACCAAAAAAAGGCTGCTCGTCTCATTTTCAACGCAATGTACATTCGCGACCATTTCACCACTGTCTTCGTGAAAGAGCTGCGCTACATGATCAAGGGGATTTTTGATGTTGCAGCTGTCAACCGAGAACCAGTCAATTTCCATGACCTTATGTTCAAGTTTACGCTGGATTCGTTTGTATTGTACGTTGAAGTCTAGGGCACTGATTCCTTTTGCTTGTCAAAAAGGCGGTACCTTACACCAAATCATGATGATGATGATACCAGATATGCATATTAAGAAGCTCATGTAACAATTTTACTCAGGTTGGGATTTGGTGTCAAAATTAATGGATTGCAGCAGGAGGACAAGGTTCCTTTTGCTGAATCTTTTGATGCGATACTATCGAATTCATTATGGCGGATGGTGTCCCCTGTCTGGAAACTGTCCGAGGCAATTAAACCGATCTTGTTCCCATGGCAAACTAGCATCAAGGATCATGTCAAGGTTGTCGACAACTTTGCTTACGAGGTCATTGCCAAACGTAAAAAGGAAATGGCTGAGGGCCAGGAGTTCACGGATTTGCTATCACGTTTTATGAACATTCGAGACGAGACTGGTGAACCTTTAGATGAGAAGATCTTGCGGGATGCTATTCTCACATTTGTTGTTGCAGGTATGTGACAAATTTGCCAAGTCGCTTGATATAAGTGTATCATAAGAAATTACATGACATCCGCAGGAGAGAGAACTAAAAAGATTGATTTACAAACATTCACAACTACTACAACTACCACTACTATAGGCAGAGACTCTACTTCTGTAGCCCTCTCTTGGACATTTTACAATCTGATGTTGCATCCTCGAATCGAAAACAAGTTGTTTGAGGAAATCAAGTCACATATCACCGACGAGATTGAGAGCGATCCTGCTGCTCTGTATGAAGCTATTAAAAAAATGAATTATGCGCATGCTGTGTACGTTGATCAATTCATCTGGATGTATATTAGTCAAGATCCAAGTACTCATGGTTTAAATACATTTCTTCTTTCTGTACATGAAAAGGTTTTACGAAGTTTTGCGTTTGTATCCATCGCTTCCAGCCAATACCAGATACGCCTTGAAGGATGATATTCTTCCGGATGGTACACATGTTCGTTCTGGCGATTCCATAGTCTGGGGCTTTTATGGTCAAGGAAGATCCACAAAAGTCTGGGGTACCGATGCTAAAGAGTTCAGACCGGAACGCTGGCTTACTCCCGAAGGCGAAGTGCGTCGTGAAACTCAAGCGAAATGGCCTGCTTTTCACGCTGGACCAAGATCATGCCCCGGGTATGTATATTTTATTTTTTAATTATGGTGAAAAGTGAAAGTTTTATGTAGACCTAACGTTTTCTATACAGACAAAAGCTTGCTACTCTCGAGAGTTTGGTGGTTATCGCCATGCTGCTCAGACGCTACAAGTTCAACCTTGTTCCTGATCAGGAAGTCACGTATACTCCCACTGTCACGCTAGTCATGCACAATGGCATGAAAGTTTTCGTGGAGCAGCGCTAATAATCGTTTATTTTTAATCCTTAACCACTTATCTGTCATCACCCCATTTTTCCTAGTCAACCTTTATACAAACATTGGATGCTAATAAAACTTTATATACCCATTAGATTTTTTTCAAGCTCATTAGCGTTCACATAAATAGCTCTGCCTGCGCTCTATGTAGCATATAGATTTTCCCAGTTCATGCTTTTGTACTTACGCGAGATTTTACTCCGTAAATTTTATTGCATTATTTTTACAACCAAACGTTACTGTAATGTCTATCTTTTGAAAAGCATTTCTCTCCCTAAGGATTCTCGTCTCCAATCATTCCGCCTTGTCAGCATGCCATTTAATACTATCAGTATGCGTATCTACGTATGACGGTGATTAATCAGTTATGAAGACTGACATGTGGATGTGCATATGACATCAACTTCAAAAAGCATTTTGCGGGCCTTCTATGCAAGCGGACATCACCCTTCAAGGACTTTTACATGTGAAATATAACCTACTCGTCTTTTCACCCTGCAGTTTTTCAAGCAGTAGATGTTCTCCCTTTTTATTTATAACTTCCTCTCCTTCTTTCCCAACCAACGCCTTTATTGAGTTAAGCATACGGAAAGTTCGTCTTCGTGGCAAGCACTTGGGCTTGCGGGTGCTACAGCAGTTACTGTACTTTCTGCGAAATACAATGGCAGAGATTTTTTTTGATGAACATCAACTCAACATTTCATACAAGAAGTGTTATTCTGTTCTAGGTGATCTATCCGTATGCTTCTCGGCAACCGTTCAACGATCCTTGATTTCCTTACACCTGCATGTAAGATTTGGACACCTTGACACGGTGAGCTAAATATCTATTCTACATACATGCCCCTGACTTTTCTCCGTTCACTTGTACTCGTCTCCTTCCAACCCAAATTTCCAACCTCAGCTATTATATTCGATCTGCCGACAACTAACTTGCATATATTATAGTTTAAATATTTGTTCTATTTATGGAAGGCTGGATTGACCAGTGCCATAAGGCATACGGTTGATTGCTTGCGGTACGGAATTATCGATGCTCGAATGGTAATGTTACAAAGAGGGGTAGTAGGACAATAAGAAAACCATTGAGAAAACGAATAGAAAATTGAATAAAAAAACAGAAGAAATGTTTAAGATAATCGCAGATGAGCGGGAGAGAGCGAGATGATGCACACTAAAAGCAAGGAGGAAATTGTATTATCGGGTGATATACAATAGAAAAACTCCACTCTGATTGGTGGGGTGAATATAAAGGGAGTCGCTGTGAAGATAGTTCAGCATCTGTTTGTAGTGGTTCGTCGTGCAGTGCTCTCCAGACTTTGAGCCATTGATCCTGGGAGAATCTACGTTCCGATTTAGGGAGATTGTTCATAATTTGATCAATAGGGTGAATCTCGTGTGAGGGCGCCAGAGGGTGGCTGATCGTGGCCTTGAGAGATGTCATCTCCTCGCTCAGTAAGCTTGACACCCACAGCGACACTCACGTAGTGGGTAAGAGGGTAACCAGTGCATCCGCCATTTGACCAGTCGATGGCGGTCGCGAGTTGAGGCTGGATGATAATGATTGGGTCGATTATCCGTATGTTTCGAACGCATCAAATAGACGATTTGCTGAGGCGTAATGCGGCGTAATCATCATCGCGTTGTTGTCTAACGGCCTGGTTGACCGAATCATCGGATGACGTGCTGCTAGTTCATAGTCGACGATAAAGTTGGAACAATGGATTAGAAGTAGTTAACTGTCTCCATTGGTTGTCGATCGTTTTCTTTGTATATCGCCAAAAGAAGATTGACTCGACTGATCGTGCTAGTTTGCATATGTTATACGTAACACAGGACCATATCTGATCGGTACAAAAAGAGGTACATACCAACACCATTAAACCTGCTAATATTGACCTTATTCTCAAGGGTATGTATTAATATCCCCATTGATTCAATTCCAGAATATCTCTCACACTTGAACAAAGGACTTATATGCCTTACATTTTTGTGCATTACTTTTAGACAACTTTGAAGATTTATGCCAAAGGTCCCTGATATCAGGTATGCAATTTAAGGAGCTCATGAAGTCATTCCCAAACGTAAAAAGGAAATGACCGAGGGCCTGAAGTTCAAGGATTTGCTATCACGGTTTACGAACACTCGAAACGAGACTGGTGAGCCTTAGATGAGAAGAGCTTGCGAGATGTTGTTCTCAACTTTATTGTTGCAAGTATGTGACAAGTTTGTAAGATGTATCTCATCAGATGTTACGTGATATACGCAGGAGAGGCATTCACAGCGTTAACAACTAAGTACTACGACTACTATGATGATATTGTAGGCAGAGACACTACTGCTGTACTGTAGCAACCTCTTGGACATTCTACAATTTGATATTGCATCCTCGCATTGAAAACAAATTGCTTGAAGAAATCACGTCACATGTCACCGACGAGATTGAGAACGATCCTGCTGCTCTGTATGAAACTATAAAGGGAATGAATTATGCCCATGCTGTGTACGTTGACATATTCATCTATATGCATACATAATTTTTTAGTCAAGATCCGAGAACTCGTAACTTAAATATCTGTATATAAAAGGCTCTACGAAGTTTTGCGTTTGCATTTATCTATCCCAAGTAATATCAAATACGCCTTAAAGGAGGATGTTCTTCCAGATGGTACACACATTCAAGCTGGCGATTACATAGGCTGGAGCCCTTATGCTCAAGGAAGATCCATCAAAGTCTGGGGTCCCGATGCTAAAGAGTTCAGACCGGAACGCTGGCTCACTCCCGAAGGCGAAGTGCGTCTTGAATTTGAAGCGAAATGGCCTGCTTTTCACGCTAGACCAAGAATATGTCTCGGGTATATATCATACATTTTCTTTTCTTTTTGAAGGTTTTATGTATGTGTAACGTTAACTTTTCAGCTAAAATCTCGCCACACTTGAGAGTTTGGTAGCTGTCGTAATGCTGCTTAAAGAGCTACAAGCCCAGCCTTTTCTCTGATCAGCAAGTCGCGAATATTTCCATCATAAGCTAGCCATGCCATATGGCATGCAAGATTTCGTGGAGCAGCGCTAATAAGTAATTTTTCTTGCTCCATTATCATCTAGTCGACTCTAACTCCGCCTTTTTATTCAGCCTTTATGCATACAACCATTTATTATCCACAATAACGGACTCCCGTAGCGTGTGCTTATACTGTATAATTCTGTCTGTATTCTATGTAGTACTTATACATAGAACCAGATCGCATATATCTATGACCCATTTTCGCTAGTATTTCCACATAAACTAAAAACCATAATGACGACCAAGATGCGCGTAATAGAGTTTTGCTTTCCCAAGTTGACTTCAAGATATATATTTGGTGTTTAAATAAAATCATGCTGCTAGTTGAGATTTCTTGTATAACCAATAATTCCGTCGGATCACATCGTATTTGGTGGCAAGATCATCACACATCTAAACACACATATAAAGGGATAATCCATGGTTATTTTTTAGGATATTTTGTTTCTTAAGAATGGAATCTTGCATCTAGTACACGATAATTAGTACCTGTAAAGCTGCAGCATCAATAGATGCAGAGTTGTTCTTTGCATTATGCTCCAGCACATCAATGAATGTAGAGTACAAATGTGGAGAATGAATCTCCTTTGCCTGCAGTTCTTTAAGAAATGGTTCGATCTGGTTAAGCGGTTCCTCAGATGCTTCAAGTAATCTAATTGTAGACAACATACAGATCCAGTTTCTTTTTTTAGTTATGATAACTCTTTGCATATATCCGTGACAAGAGTTTGTCTATCTTTTACCCGTTAAGATAAGTCCATCCACTTGAATTATTCGGTGCTTGCTGTATTTTCTTTTTTGTGAATCTATATTAAGTACCGCACCACGCTTAGTCCTTTCTCCCTCCATTCTTTCTTTCAGAGCTTTTATGTTGTGCAATATAGATATATACATATGCAAAGAAACTTTGTGAAAGGAAAACACAAACTTACTCAATCTCACTATCAATATCTGCTTGTGATGCACCTTTTGGTCGATTAAATAAAACATAATGGCGATGGTTCCATGCAGAGTTATTCCGGATATCAAATACGAGCAGGTCATCGGTATATTGGAACTCTTGGTCCCATAGGTCAAACCGTGATACTACCCATTGTCTTTAGTAAAGACAAAACCTTTTATTATTTAGTAAAACGGTATATTTTTTGTCTCCCAGGTATACACTCTTGTTCCCTTTCTAAGATATTTAAATACATGGAATAGAGCTTACCGATATGACCAAGCGTGGTAATTTTTGGAGTCTTCATCCAAGATGGCATTAATGAAAGGCAATTCATTTGATCCATCATCCAACTTATCCACAATCACTTGTCGGTGATGCCTTTATCATCCATCCAAAAATCGGAAGAGCTCAGTAACAGTACCCACCCACAAAATAAAGACAAGTTACACGTCCAAAGAACCAAACGAATCCCCTTTTGTAGCATACCACACTTGATAGTTTTTAGCCTGTTCCCTAACAACTTCATCGACATACTCGAGCTCCTGTCGCAGATCCGCACCAATACCCAACAAAACCTCTTGACGATATTGCCTAAAAATATGCAAGATCGTATCTTCCATTAATATTGAAGGCGAAACTTATCACAGCATTTCCTGTTATACTTACCACACTGTATAGTGTGCAGGATTCATGTCGATAATATCGGCGATAAGGTCCAGTACGCGCTGCGACTTTTCTTCTGTTCGACTTACAGCCCGAAAATAGTCCATGGCATCTCTGTCTGTTGTTTTATTGATGTATTATTCGATTCCGCTTGGATGGTTAACTAAAGAACGCCAACTTAAAAAGAGACAGGAAGGAGTAGAAAACCTACAATCGGCAGCATAAGCAATAGGAACCAGTGGATTAGGACCGTCGTCCTGCGCTACAGGTACAACATCGTTCCATTCAGGTCGTTGGCTGTATGGTAGATTCGACATTCAATTCCTAGGAGCTAAAGGCGTAGTAATGGTTCGGAGTTTGTCGCTTCGCGTTTTTTCCGTTAAAGCGGCGAGTGGAGTTCGAGGGCCTGGGTTGCGTGTCTTTTTTCTCTTTTTCCTTTGACTTTTTTTTTTTTTACGAAAAAGGGAGGGCAAAAAGGGATCAAGGACACATTAGTTCACAATGATGACAATCATCCTTGTACTCAGAGTGGAGGAGTTGCTTCTTTCTTTCCATTCGTGGAGAGAGAGAGAGGCAAGTTGCTTCTGCGAGGCAGAAACCCCCTTTTTGGCCTTGATGGACGACATGTCTGTCAAAATTGATCTGAGTGAACAACCCGTTATAAATTCTATCTTTCATTATAGTCAACTAGATCATCTTTTTATTTAATTCCAAACAAAAAAAGTTTTTCTTTTAATGCGGCTGTAATAGTGCTTCCATAGCATTGTTTTGTATGTATGTTTTGTAAATGTGGAAACCAATAAGATAAAAAAAAGCTATGTATTTTGCTTGTAGGTTTTGCAAATGAAAGTAATGTACACAAAGGTACAGGCAACAAAAAAGATGGGCGTTCAATATTTTTGATCCAGCATCGCGCGGGAGGCTAATGAGCTCGGTGAACTAGAGTCACGTCAGATACTGCTTCACATGGGAAGCGACTTGGAAAGATCGGTGTTTTGATGGCGAGAAGATGGGTAGCGGCTTGTTGTCGGACGATATTGCTTTGGATATGACACCAATAGTCGAGATATTGTAACCCGCCGCTTCATCCCGTCCAAACGTGCTTTTTTCAATGATGCAGACAATTGCGGTTGGTGCACCGAAGCGCACCGTTTGCCGTCTTTAGCTTTTCATCGATACGATACTTGTGTAGCTTCATCAGATGGTAACATGCTGGGCATGTTTTGCTACTTGGATATTCATTTGTAATCTGCACCGTATCTGCTTCTGCGCTGCCAAGTCTCTGTTGTAACTTATTGTGTGCGCCAAAAAAAAAGTTACAGAGCCCACAGAGCGCCGCAAGCGCCAAGATGAAGCTAGTTTGCAGTGAAAAACCGTGTGGCGTATATCTCTTGTCCGCTGTTCCTTCTGTCGTCTAATCTTATCGCCATCGTTGTTGCCTGTGCGGCGCTTGCATTCTTCTCTTCTTGCATGACGAGCTTCCATTGTCGCCGCCTTCTTTTTTGCTGCTGTATATGAGTTTCTGATGTGGTTGTGGATGAAGATGCTGCTGCTGAAGTAGTTGCTGTTGCTACTGCGGCCTGTGGATCCTCCCCTTGCTGTGACACGCTACCAGTGTAAGGCGCCAGAGTTTGTAGAATCGTCGAAAGCTCGCTCAGGCTTGCTGTAGCCGCGACTACGATCCCAGGGTCAATCCCAATGACTCTCAACGGCTTCTTGCTATGTAGACTCTTGACGATCTTATCTTGTATGATCCGCTATGTAAACATTGGGTGATAACGTGTCAGTACATTATTCTGTGTCCTGGAGTTCCCTTTATCACACCAGAAATACCTGTTCTTTGTTATCTGCTTCTCCCACGTTGCCCATGGCCTTGCCTCCGGCTCCTCCTTCCAATACGTATAACTCGGATCTGATATCCGCCAATTTTGTTTGGGAGCTTGCGAGTTCAGACTCTACAGTACTTGATTTGCTACTACTCGTATACCATGGAGTCTTCCATAAAGGTTGAAATCCCAGATTTCCTGTTTTGCGACCCTTTCGGAATTCGCGACCAGTATTCGCACGATCAATTTCCAAGCGGGCGCACTTCTTACGTAAGCTTGCTATTTGCGACGACAGCTGCTTGATTTGCGCTTGCTTCTTTGATTTTTCTTGTTCCACCTTGTCTTTCAAATCTTGTATTGCTCGCCGCTTTGGTGCAGGTTCGCTCTGGTGTCGCTCGGCTTTGCGCTTCCTGGCCTTCTTTTTGCCTTTGTTACTGGCTTATTTGTTGCCTTGCCTTTCCCTTTCTTATCCGGTTTTCCTTGACAGGGGCCTTTGCTGCGCTTGATTCTCCTTTGTCCTCCTGCTTGTGTTCCGACTCACTTTCTCTGCAGTCCATTGTTGCTTCGACGTCCTGCTCGTTCTTGCTTTGATATGGTGCCTTTTCAATGAACTTGGATCCAAGGGCTCGGACAGTGTAGCGATCGACAAAGGTCAGGCGGCATCGAAAGCGAAAAGCATCGCGTTGCAGAGCATTCTCAATCTTTGCTAGATTGAAAAATGCCCCCCCCCCACCGTAGCTTGTCTGTCAAAACCTTTGCCGGCTTGGCGCTTGCTTGTAATTGCCGTAGGGGGTTCGTGCGACGGTAGGTGGTAAACCTTGGAGAACAATGTGTACAGCTCTGGAGGTCTAAGGTGGATGACGTGATCCTCCGCATCTACATCAGGAAACACAGCTCTAACGTTCTGCTAGGGTACTACTAACTCGACGACAGCGTTGGTGATATATGATATGAACTGATATGGGGCTTTGGCTAAAACTTACTCACCAGTACTACTGACTGGTCAAAGTTAAGAGTAAAGAAAAGGGGTAATAAGGATGTGTGAGTAACAACGAAGTGGATCAAATAGGGAAGTACAATCAGGTGCGCTGCTGATATGCAGAATCACTCGGAAATGGTAATCCCGCTGCTTTAATGTACACACATCTTCCCTCAAGCTTTGACACAAGCAAATTTCAACGCCCGCTATTTTATTACCATTTATGGAAGGCGTTACAGGGCAGACAGACAGACACAGAGAGACCAAAAGGCCTGAAAAGGGGAGGGGAGGGTGGAAGCAGAAAACAACATGAAAGTTTCTTTTTTTAGTTGAATGGGAAGGGCCATATTCACAAGCTTGGGAGGTAATCAATACAGAGAAGAAGAAAAGGGCTATTAACGGTTTGTGTCTTTCTTTTTAACATTACATACGCATGCGCGATAGTAAAAGTAATAAAACAGTGAATAGCTGAAGAAAAAGAAGGGGGGCGGGAAAGATAGATACAGTATAGAAGAAGAAGAAGAAGAAGAAGAAGAAGAATAGAGAGCGCGTGCGTGGGAGGCGAAATAACAAAACAAAGCAGATTTTTCATGTAACAAAACGCAAACAAATGGTACAACGAAGAAAGAAAAGAAGAAGAAGATGATTGGTGGTATACATGCGGATGATTGGTGTTTTTTTTGTACTTGCAAAAGAAGAATATGAAAGAGATGTGTGTGCGTGTGTGTGCGTGTGTTTGTGTTTGGCTGGTCGTAAACGTATAGTAGTATAGTATATAGGATATATAAAGACAAGCGAGCAGACGATATGACATGTAGAGGCTGGCATGTTGCGCGCTGTATCACAACACCGGATTCCATCCAAACGTTTCGCCTGGGTGGCCACCTTCCAATGAGGCGACAGCAGTGGCTGCAGTAACGACCTGGTTTGCATTTGTAGCTGGCAATATGAGCGGCGCCTTGTTGTCTTTGGCACGCATCTTTTCCTCTTGGCGCTGCTGGCACCATTGCATGCTGTTGGGCGGTGATGGTGCCGTTTCATAATTTATGCTGCTGCTGCTGCCGTTGTTGTTATTGTTGTTGCTGTTGCCTGCTTTACTGTTGTCCACCGTATTGGAAGCCGCAGCGGCGGCGGCGGCAGCAGCAGCAGCGGCAGCAACGGCAGTCGTGGGATGCGACGATTCGGTCGAGTATGCAGGTGATGGGGGCTGAGACGGCGTCGTCATGCCAGATGCAGCAGCGACTGCAGCAGCGGCAGCTGCAGCTGCAGCACTGTTACTGTGCGACGCTCGATATGCAAGGTGCTGTTGTTGTTGTTGTTCTTCATCGTTGTTGAATCCCAGTGCACGGCGGTATTGTGGTTGCGGCGTGGCAAATTGACTGTGTTCTGATGCTGCATCTTGCTGTGGTTGACTATTATGCTGCTCTTGAGTAGTAGGTGGTTGATGATGATGATTAAGATGTGCTTGAGTAGGAGTGCTACTATTATTTTGAGAAGATGAAGCAGCACCTGCAGCGGTTGTAGTAGAAAGTGCAGACGATGCACCCGGGTTACCATTGTATGGCGTCTGCTGATGCGTCAAAGCTGCTGCTTGGCTTTGTTGATGCTGTTGATGATGCTGTTGATGAGAAATATCGCTTGCCGTCCAATTCATTGAACTGGTTGGCGATGATGAAGGTGGAGTCATCATGTTCTGATGAGAGCCGGTGGACGATGATGCGGGTGAGTATTGATACAAGGTTGATGGGCGCGACAACGGATGGTGCATCTCGTCGGGTGCATGCGCAGGGCAACCTGTGCCACCATATGCATAGGCGGCATACATGTTCTGATTGTAGTGGTTGCCGGCAGCAGCAGCAGCAGCATTCGAGTTATTAGCGTACATGGAACCGTACGCGGAATTGGTGGCCGGGACGGGCGTTGCAGGTTCCATTGCGTTGTTACCAGGAACTTGTTGCTGTTGCTGCTGTTGTTGTTGCTGCTGCGGGTGATGCTGGTGATGTGCATGGTGATGTGCATGATGATGATGGTGTTGGTAATGCTGGTTTGACATGGTGCCTTCCAAATAAACATCATAGTTGGTTGCTACAATAATAAAACGAGACATGTTGACGATTAGCAAGAGTGATATGCGTGGCACAATATACGTGTAGAAAAAAAAATGGAAGCTTAAAAAATATAAAGTAATATACCTCCTGGCTGCTGTGCGCACGGGCCGCTGTGTGAGCGCGATAAGCTACTGACTGGACGCTGCATATGCGGATGGTGATGATAGTGGTTGAAATGTCGGTTGTAGGCGTAAGGGGTGGCATAGTAGCCATAGTTGCCTGTCGCTGTGTTGTTGGCAGTAGCAGGCACGGCCGAAAGAGAGTTGGCCTTTGCAGCGTTGGCATCTGCAGAAAGCGAGCGTCCGTCACGATAGCGACGGTTGCCACCTAGTGACGATGACCAGGATTCGGGCCGATAAGATGAAGGCGCAGGATCGCTACCTGACCGGCTGTTGCGGCCACGCATGGACATGGAATATCGGGATCGGTGCTCAGCTTCCGCTGCACGGTAGTCTACAATCCAGTACGAGCCTTTGCCAGGTTCGTTGATTGGTCTCGGTACACGCACGAAGCTTTTGTTCAATGACAGATTGTGACGGATAGAGTTCTATAAATAAACACAATTATTATCATCACAATTATAATAATAAATTTTAGAATTTTTTTTTTGGGGGGGGAGGATAGGTAGGCAGAGATAGTTGTTGTTGTTGTTGCACACAGCCATCAACCATGGATCACACAGAGGTATCTATCTCGGAAGCAGAAATTTTTCTGGCTGCTTACCTTCCATCCTGTGCCGGCGGTGCTGTAGTATGGGTAGTGCTCAATGACCCATTGATAAATTTCACTGAGCGTCAGCTTTTTATGCTGGCTGTTTTCAATAGCGTACTTGATCAACGTGGCGTAGGAGTAGGGCGGCTTGCCTTCGGTGTTTTTCTCTACGTGGATGTCTTTCGTAGACGGTGTGCGGTGGCGTTTAGGCTGGCTGGTCTTTTCTATAGAGCCAGAGGGCGATGGCGTAGGCTGGCCATGGTTCTGGTGATAGCCAACCGAGTCTTGCGACATGGCCGAGACTGTGCTATTGTCTCTGGAAGGATACCCAAGCGACATCCAAGAAGCGCTGTTGTTGTTGTTGTTGCTGTTGTTGTTTCCGGAATACGACGATCTGCGCGAGTCTATGTCGGTCTGGCTATGGTCGAGCATGCTGTGCGGCTGCGAGGCGGTAGCATCGGCATGTTGTTGGTCGTGGCTAACCTGGTTGGGCATAGCTTGCACAGGCGAGGTGGTGTTGGTGGCGGTGGTGCTTGCCGTGGTTATGATAGGAGGCAGCTGAGTGTAATAGCCCTGGAATCGATCGTTCGAGTTGCTATTGTTGTTGTTGTTGTTGCTGCTGTTATTGTTAGGCGAAGGAGAGGTGTTTGGACTCGTTGTGTTGGTGTTTGTTGTGGTAGCAGCAGCAGCAGCAGCAGCGGAGGCATCGGAAGTTCCGAAGGGCTGTTGATAGGGCATTCCGGTGGAGCCGTGCATAGATGAAGGACGGTCTAGCCAATCGAGAGCGTTAAAGCCATTACCAGGGCTCTGCAGTTCAGCCATTAGAATACCGTAGGATTATGGATAAAGAGAGTTGGAGTATTGCTGTTGACAACAGTAGTCGAACGCTGGGAGTGAGGAAGAGGAAGAGAGAGAAAAGGAAGAGAAGGAGAAAATTATAAAGCTCTGAAAAAATGGACGTTTGTTTTAAATGAACACACCTCACACACATATCACAGCGCACACCACGCACATAGTACGAAACGGGGAGGGAGGGCGTGCTGGGTGGAGAAAAAGCAGGTGGGGTGAGTGGGTTTGGGTTTGGGGGGGAGGGGGTGTTGAGAGGAGGAATGGACTATGGACTGTGGATGGGTGCTGAGAGAGGAGAGGCGAAGAGTGCATCCCATCCTGTAGGGTCAGGTGCTTCCCATTGTATTGAAAGCGGTTTAGCCTGGAAAGCCCCCTTTTCTGTTTGAAATCCTGTCGCTCTCGTCTGATTCCTTCGAGTCCATATCGGCTGATGATGAATGCGAACAAACGAACGAAAGAGCGAACCCACACACACACACACACACACACACACACACAAATTCGCTTGCATACATGCGGTGTCTTTTCTTTCCCTCTTGGCATTTGCTCCCCAAGGGACTCGCTTTTTGTGATCCACGATCTAGTAGAAAACACGTAAGGATCAACCACCTCTAATCACTCACACAGAAACATGGAACACTTCCGGGCGCAAAGGCCGTCGTCCGTTGCCAATGAACTGCATGCGGCAAAACTCTAATTTGGCGCGGAAGTGCTTAGCACCCCGACCGGAACGGCCGTCCCGACCCCCCAAAATCATTCGCTCTTTTCTTTTCATAGTCGTGATTCTGGGTTGCTCTCTCACCGCCTTCCTCTCTCTCTCTCTCTCTCTCTCTCTCTCCCAGCACAACAACAACTTGCGACAGATAAACAATAGAAGGAACTCCAAAAGGGAGGAGTATCAAACAGAAAATGGTCAGCAGCGGAGCATGAACCGGTCATCAACAAGGCACGGTTGTTGATGTTGATGTTGTTGTATACCTGCGCGATGTGTGTTTGTTCTCGCTAATAATGATCATAATAGCAGTATTGAGCAAATAGCAGATGGAGACGACCAAGAACCCTCCTCCAAATGATGGCAAGCAAGCACTGCCTCCTCCAGGCTGCTCCCCCAAAGAGTGCCGCTGCGATTTCCCAAAACAAAGATCTTCGATAGCGCAAGTGTTTCAACTGTAATGGCCACCCCGAATATGGTCAGATGGATTACGCCATGCTGCTGCCGTTGCAGACTGAACTACTGCCCATTCTACATGGCTCGCCTCTGCAGATCGGGTCTAGCTTTCCGGGGTTATTATACCTTGGGGGCAGGTGTGTTGCAGGTACTGCGCATCGAATTATCACTATTTCTCGCTCATCCGCTTACTCAAGCACCCACCCACCCACTCTCAGCCAGCAGCAGCTATTCTATTGCGTTTATGCCGCAACAACGTAAACAGCTGTCAATGCCAGTTTGTTCATTCGTGGGTAAACAACAACACAGCAGCAACCAAAAAAAAAGTTTACGCCTCTTTCGGATTGACCTCTTTGGTAATAGCATCACCATCACAACCATCACCCAATCACCACAGCAACCATCACAGCTTCTTTGCTTCCTTGCCTGCTGCCCCCCCCCCCTCTCTCTCTCCCCTCACCCCCCCCCAAACAGCCCACATGAGTTTCTTGCTGCAATCGTAAATCCGGGACCCAATATTGCCCGTTTCAGTCTCTTTTTTTTTCTTTCTAGCCTTTCTGCGCTTTTTTTTACCTGCTGCCTCCTTGTCGTCGTCGCTTCCTTGTACTCCGCGCATATCATCCATCAGACACCATCATCAGCACCAGCACCATTATTAAGCAGACATCAGCTTCGTTTTCTTTCTTTGGATGTCGGCGCTGCGTCATTCGGCTTTGACGAACAAGGTAGGGTAAGAGCCTCCAATAACGTGTGGCACTCCGTGTTTCTTTTAAAGTTTTAGTTTGCCACCCTCTTGCACCCAAACGCAACGCAACGCAACGACCACTAAACCACTCTCCGCTTTCTTATTCCCACTTTCCAAATTTCTTGCATTCACCTTGTCCCTGTCATCAAAATGGGTGCCACCACGCTACACTCTCACACTCTGCTGTTTTCAGCAACAATCATACGCCAGAACAGAACTCTTTTTTTTTTTTTGGCTAATGAGCCGAAGAGCAGTTGATCGTCTGACTTTGCTCTTCACCCCTCCCCCCCCCCGACCCTCCGCGGACTCTGTCTTAGCTGCATGGTTTCTCTTTAAGCCATCGGCTCATGCTTTGTACTCTTCCGAAGCTAATAATACCACAGGCACGCACATTGTTCACACACACACACACATTAACAGGCCAGCAAGTGATCGGCAAGATGTGTGTGTGTGTGTGTGTGTGTATACACTCATAACACAGGTGGTCAGTGCGAAGCAAAAACATTTGCTTGTTATGTAGCCCCCAACTTTCTGTTATTGATGTTATACATAGTAACAACAACTCATCATGGATTTGTTATTGTTATGTTTGTTTCCAAAATCCCTTAACATGGATGTATGTAATGTGTAATGCTTAAGCTACAGGATACGCATAATCAATGATTGGCATATGTGGCCAGGAGCCCCCGTTTCCCGGAGACGATGCTTGTTTTTATTCCTTTCTGTTGTGCTGTTGTACAAGATCATCTATTATTGTCCCTTGAACCAGCTTATGCACACTGCTAACACCACTGCATCATTATCTTTACAACCACCCTCTTTGTCTTACTCTATGTGTGTGGAGGAGATGTCTTTTTATTTACAAGCAAGAAGATTCATGCATAAACATGTATCCGTAACTATTCTATTTCTGCTGCTAATCATAATACATCAAATTCGTTATATTTGGAGGATAACAGCGTCGTCTTCGTCGCCATCATTTTGTGGAAGCACGGACCAGGTACTTTGGTTGAGGGAGTCCAGAATTACAAAATGATACCATAATGGCGCAACAAAGATCGTCGAAAGATGCCACAAGCTGTGTGCATCAAACACGCGTCCAATCGGTGGAAAATCAAATACTTCAAGCATCACCGTCAATGCGTTCGCCCCGGTTGCATAGAGCACCCAGTGCCCGTACGAAAGCACTCGCTTGTTTTGCCGCAGATAACCAACGACAAAGTACCACATCACCCACATGGCGCCTTGAAGTACTGCAAAGATACCGCATATGATCATGTTGTAGACGTAATTGAACGCGACAAATGACATGAAGAACATGTGTGTTGCAAAAAGACCCAAAAGCACGCCTCCCAGAAGCAGTTGTTTGCGTCGGTCGTCGATTTGGAATATCCGCAAAGTGGCATAGTATACCGAGTACAAGATTGACATGGCTGCGCTGAAATAGTCGAGCTTTTCGGTGAACGGCAGGTCGCGCGTGTGGAAAATTGTCGATTGGATCCATGTATTGATATTCACTGCCGCATAGCCCAGTATAAACGGACGTAGATAGTACTTTGTCGGGATTTCTTTGGCCAGCATGCGAAGGTAGTGGTAGTGCATATAGAGATTGCCGAGGGAAAAGGCCACCGATGCAGGCTCTTGTATGCCCCAGAGACGATAGAATGGCCATTTGCCGTAGAATTGGTACATGGGTCCGGGTCGAGCGTCGGTAACACTATGCATGCAATTATACCGGCAATTGTCTTCGCAAGTCCATAGTGTAAGCCGTAGATACAGCGGCTGCTGTTGTTGTTGTTGTGCCGTGCTGCTGCTGCACTGTGCTGCAATGGTCGAATTGACGCAACTGATAAATTCGGGTAGTTCGTCTCCCTCCGAGGCTATACTTGACCTTGTTGCTACCACAACCAGCAGTAGAGTCATGACAACCCAGCGAGAGTGCATGTTTGCCAGCAACATGCCGAATGTGCAAAATTTTGAAACGGAATGAACTTGTCTGTTAATCTTTGGGCCGAAGTTTTTATTTTCTACAACGCATATTTCCATAAATCTCGAAAAATGTTTAACCGAACCGACACTTGAATTTTTGGCAAGCCTGTACCACCATCTCAGGTGGGGCCCAACAGGCGGGTCCAAAGTAAAAGAGCACCTTTGTGATTTTCTTTTCTCCCCCTTTCAAAAGCTCTTTTGGATTAAAAAAATGAAGCCGCCAGTGACCGCAAAAGCCCACGTCGACAATCTTATATATCTTGACGACTACATTGACAGTAAGCAAAAGTTTCACAACACCAGAAGAATTTAGTCCCTCCTTTGGAAATCGTTGTCCTAATCAAGGAACTTTGCTATGGAAAAACCCTAGCCATTGAAGCCCTACCACTCGAATTACAAAGAAACTTTACCTTGTTGCGAGAACTCGATGGCTATGCTCAAGGTAAGTTTTGGAAATTGAGAAGCTAATGAACGCGTGTGACAAAAGCAACAACTACAGTGGAACTAAGAAAGAATTCTTTTCTAGATTTAGTAGAGACTGTCGCGAAAGAATCCATCGAGTTGATCAACAATATCAAAGAACTCGACCCGATTACACGCATTGAACGGTTGAAGCAGCTGGCCACTTTGCTAACAGAAACATTGAAACGTGGTGAAGAGAAAGTTGCGCTTGCCAAAACGACATTTGACGCTGTAAGTGAAAGGCCCTTTTTTTTGGCGTCGTTGTCTATGGTGTTGTTGTTATTTGGTTATGGAACGTTACAATCTCCACTCTCCGTTAATTGATTTCTATTGTGTATAATTTTTTTCCTTTGGGTTTGTTCGGTTTATAGGTGGAACGCCATTGTAATCGTTTGGATGCTGATTTAGTCAAGTTTGAAGAAGACAGTCCGTTGGGAGGACGGGATCGAATCACCGCACAACCTGGTTTGGCACCGTCAGCACGCAGTTTATTACGAGAAGTGGCCCGTGACAAAGTAAGCCGCGGCTACGACCGTAAAGATGGGAAGGGTGATAAGCGAGGTGAGTACTACTTTCACGTTTAAAAATTGATTTTGCTCATAAAAAAAAGAGTACTAATTAATGATGCCATCTCTCTCCCTCCCTCTTTCTCCTCGTACGCCCATTTCTAGAAGCTGGTACTGCAAAGAGTAAGTTTTCACGTTTTGTTTTGTTAAGATACTTTGAATTCTGTTTTTGGAAGATAAAGTATCATAAAGTAAACTTATTCGCGTCCAACTTTTAGAGCGCAAGATCAAGGATCCAGGATCGCCACCATCTGGTACTGTTCGACAAGCACTTAAAGAGCCCAGACCAATCAAACATGTTGACAAGAAGCAAGCGTTGTCGTCAGGTAAGATAAAAAGAAAAAAAGACCGCTTTTGCTTGAATCATGGGCTAACACAAAGCGCGTTCATTTCTGCAGGAAAGAAAAGTAAAACGTGAGTGCGAATTTATCTTACTTCGCTTTTGAGCGTGGGTCAACGATACATTTTATAGCTAAACCAACTACATCTTTATAGTACTGTTCCTGCCGATCTACCAATCGATCCAAATGAGCCATTGTACTGCTACTGCCAGCAGGTGTCATATGGAGAAATGGTCGCGTGCGACAATACCGATGTAGGTTGCACAAAAGAATTGTTCCTCCATATTGTTGTGTGTATCACCTGCTCACTATCAATGCTGATAATGCTACTTTAGTGCGAGATCGAATGGTTCCATCTTGCTTGTGTCGATTTGAAGACCGTACCCAAAGGCAAATGGTATTGCAACAATTGCGTATCAAAGATGAAAGGCAAACACCGAAAGTGAGCCTACTATTAAACCGTTATCAACTGCCCACCCATTCATCCAACAGCAAATTTACTATGTACATAATTTTTTTTCATTCTCCCGATTACTTCAACACACAACACACGCGTACACGACACTACATTACAGTTCAATCCAACTCAACATAAAAAGCCACCACATATTATATTTTTTCCTTTTATACCAATATATTTCAGTTTGCAGTAACTACTCTTTTTATTATTGCTACTTTGGCCTTGTGAGTATGTAAATTTCGAATTACATATTAATTGGTCCATCATCATCACTGTCTTCACTATCGTATGCATCATCAGCATATTCGCCAGCATTCTCGTCCTCTTCGCTCATCGGATCTTCGCACGTTGCCAAGGGTGGATACCATGACGACGACGATCCCATGACGGCTGCTGTGGTTGGCAAGGGAATCGGTACCATGGTCTCGCACATGTCTTCACCAAAGCAACCCGAAGGAATCGGTAACGACATACGGATATCTTCACCAACCTTCCTGTCACCACGGTTGAGCATCGTTTTTTCACTTTCACTACTCTTCGTTGATGCGAGGTTGCACAATTCGAAAGCTTGATCCAGACTGACAGGCAGCTGCTCACCATATTGAGTCATCCATTGCTTTCGCCACTCTGCTGCCTTTTCATGTATCGAAAGGGTGCTATGCCTTGCCACTTGAAGAAGGCTATCTATCATAACTTGTATTAAATCAGAACAGAATGGTTCTTCTAGAAGCTCGGTGACACGCTTTTCGAAATTGCCGTCACTGTTGTCGTGGTCGTTGCTAGGATCGCGTCTTGCCATTGCTGGTTTGTTTAGAGCACGTCTTTTACCCATTGTCACTACAAAAAGAGACAAAAAACAGTTGAGTAACGTATATCATACATTGCCTTTGTTCATGTTTCTAAATGTCCATACCAGCATGGAGAAATAGTTCATGTAGTTATGTAGCTGTCAAAAATACGAAGGGTTTCCGAACCCAGCGAAGAAAATACAAAAGACGAAAGTTGGGGGGAGGTCAGCACGCAAATCTACTACTTTTTGTTTTCCCTCTTTTTCCTTTTATATTATGCTTGTTGCCCTGTCAACTCGGATCGCTTTCCCGCGACAGCGATCCTGGATCTACAACGTACGACGATGCTGCACTACAACTACAACAACAACAGCACGACAGCAGCAGCCAGTGCGTGTTCGTTTTGCACCTAGTCCTACGGGCTATTTACACTTGGGTGGTCTTCGAACTGCCTTGTTTAACTACTTGCTGGCCAAAAAAACAGGTGGTGATTTCATTTTGCGCATTGAAGACACGGACCAGGTATTGCTTTTCTGCTCTCCCCACTGAATTGACTACAAATCGGCAACATGAGCTTATTGTCAAGTTTATTTTTTTTTGGTAATTTGTGTAGAATCGATTGGTAAAAGGGGCTACAGAAAAGCTTATTTCGGTATTATCATGGGCTGGCGTTGAACCTGACGAAGGTAAATAAGTAAATTTGCGAAAGACGTAAGGAATATGCCCCTCCCACTAAAATGAATATATTAGGACCTACTGCTGGTGGATCGAAAGGACCTTATGTACAGGTAGATGCGCGTGTATACTTACAATATCGGACATGCGTGGTTATGTCAATGCAAAGAGATGCTTAAAGAAAATATCGCAAATGTATAGTCTGAACGAACAGATATATATCGTGAACACGCTCAGCAATTGATCGAGGTAACTAAAGGATGCTACAGGGGAGAAAAGAAGAAGGAGACGGCTCCATGTATATCGGCTTTTCCTGGATCAAGTTATTCTAAAACGCACTATATACTATGGATGAAATAGAACGGTCATGCTTATAGATGTTTTTGCACACCAGAACGGATAGACCGGATACGACAAGTGGGGTTGAAGCATGGCAATCAAATTGGATACGATAGACATTGTGCACACTTGAGTGACAAAGAGATCAATGAGAATATGGACAAAAAGCTACCTTTTACTGTTCGGATGCGAGTAAGTGGCATAACAAAAGAGCAAATATATACATATAGCATGCGTTCACATATGTAATGATGATGGAATTCAAACAAACTTTGGATCGCTTGTTTGTATATAGACTCCAGAGGGTGAAACCAAAGTAAATGATCTTGTGCACGGCCAAGTCAGGTTCAATAATCGATTATTAGACGACGGTATTTTGTTGAAAAGTGATGGATTCCCAACGTATCATTTGGCAAACGTGGTTGACGATCATATGATGGGCATCACGCATGTGTTGCGGGGAGATGTATGTTACTTGAGGAAACTGTTTTTTTTCGTTGGAAAGATTTATAGAATGAATTGAAAAAAAAAATAGTTTAGACTAACACAAAAGACACGCATGGCTTGATAGGAATGGTTACCATCGACGCCTAAACATTTGATTCTCTATAAAGCATTCGGCTGGAAAACACCTCATTTCGCCCACCTTCCTCTGTTGATGAAGCCTGGCGGTGGTAAACTATCCAAACGATCGAACGATGCCTTTGTGGAACATTATATCAACAAGGGTTACTTTCCCGAAGCACTCAACAACTTTGTGGCGCTACTTGGTTGGAGTCCACCTGCAGGAGAGAATGAAATTATCACCACTTTGGATGCATTAGTTGACAAAGTAAAAAAAAAAGAACGAAAACGAACACAAAACGATTTTGTTTAATAATGTTAATGATTTTTTTTTCGCAATGTTAGTTTGATATCAAGAGCTTAAACGATTCTCAAGCAGTTGTGGATGCTGATAAGCTGGGATGGATCAACAAGCAACACTTGATCAAGCGAGCAGAGACGGCTGAAGGAATTCTGTCAATGGCCAACTACTTGCAGCCTATCGTCCACAGTACATTTAGCAGAAGGTGTGTGTGTGCATACAGGATGATTGGAAAACTATATTCAATTGTAGGAGCCGCATAACTGACTTGAGCCTGTTAATTGTAGGCTCCATGATATTGACCCTGAACACAAGTACATATATCGACTTGAAGCTGACTACATAGGCAAAGTGATTGATGCTGTCAAGGTTAGTAATTTAATTCCCCAAAGGAAGTGGTAGGAAGTTCTTTAAAGGATCACAGGGAAGAGTATCTTACAGTTTTGTGGTAATCAACTAGGAGCGTATTCGGGTTATTCATGATGTTCCTGAGTTGTGTGAATACTTTTTCATTGAACCGGATTACACCACAGAGGACGCAAATAAGTTGAAGAAGAAATTGAAAAACAAGCCAAAAGGTAAGTATAATTAGAGTGCTTACGTATATCCCCATGTAAGGATCGTGGTATACTAATGGGCAACATGTAGATATTGTGTTCTCGGATGCTGCTCGACAAGGGCTTGAATCATTAGAAACATTTGATACCACAGCCATCAACAAATACTGGCATGACTTGGCAGCTAGTCATGACGTCGATTACAACCGGATAATGCCGGTTTTGCGCTTTGCAATGACTGGAAAAGGCGTTGGCACCTCGATTCCTTTGACCATGGAAGTGTTGGGTAAATCAACGTGTTTAGCGCGACTGGATAAAGCTCGTGATTTCTTATAATAAAAAGCAATGTATAATACATCCCATCGGCATATAAGGAGAACAATGAAAAGACGAAGGTTTGATCATGTTACCTGCAATGTACTGTAACTGGGAAACCTGTTCGCCACCAAAACCCCTTATTTTTTCTTTAAAACAAAACCCCGCCTGTCAACGCCTACTCGTTATTTTGCGTTCCTCTCTTTTGAATCCTACAACCACAAACCACCATGAAGACAGTTACCTGCACGGCACCCGTAAACATTGCAGTGAGTATTACTTCGTAAAGAAGGCTTCAGCATCTAGAGATTGGCACCGAGATTCATGACTGTCGGGGGAAAAAAAGGAAGAAATGTAATTAAAATTGTGGCATCGTTCTCGTCAGGTCATCAAATACTGGGGCAAACGCGATACCGAACTCATCTTGCCTACCAATGACTCGTTGTCCGTGACGCTTTCTCAAGACATTTTGCATAGCAAGACAACCATCTCGGCTGGCAAGGAATACACACAAGATCGTTTGTGGTTGAATGGCAAGGAAGAAGACATTACCAAGAACCGCCGCATGCACAATTGTTTCCGCGAGACACGCGCTCTTCGTCAAAAGATGGAACAGACCGATGCAAGCCTCGAGCCTTTGTCGACCTACCACGTTCACGTGTGCTCTGAAAACAACTTTCCTACTGCTGCAGGTTTGGCTTCGTCTGCCTCGGGTCTTGCTGCATTGGTTTACACTCTGGCCAAACTTTTTGATCTGAATGTCAGCGTATCTGAATTATCGCGAATTGCTCGTCAGGGTTCTGGCTCGGCTTGCCGTTCGTTGTTTGGTGGTTTTGTTGCTTGGGAAAAGGGTGAGGCAGAGGATGGTTCGGATTCCATGGCTGTTCAGGTGGCACCTGAATCGCATTGGCCCGAGTTGGAGGCATTGGTATGTGTTGTCTCGGATGCCAAGAAGGGTACTTCGTCGACCGAAGGTATGCAGCACACGGTCCAGAGCAGCCCCCTGATGCAGGAGCGTATCAACAATATCGTGCCTGGCCGCATGGAAGCTATGAAGAAGGCCATCTTGGAGCGTGATTTCCAGTCGTTTGCTGAAATCACCATGCGCGACTCGAACCAGTTCCACGCTGTCTGTCTCGACACATTCCCCCCTATCTTTTACCTCAACGATACTTCGCGTGCCATCATTCGTCTTGTCACCGAGTACAACAAGTCGTCGCCCGATGGCAAGTTCAAGGCCGCATATACCTACGACGCAGGACCAAATGCAGTCATTTACGCTCCCAAGGAAAATATGCGCGAAATTATTCAGCTCGTTTCTCACTACTTCCCCGGTCAGGCTTCAACCTACTTTACCGATCCTTACAACGTCATTGCTGGCGCACCTCTTGGTCAAGACTTTGTGCCACAAGGCCACTCGTCCTTTAATGAAAACGCCATTCCCGTCTTTGCTCCTGGTAGTGTGAGTCGCTTATTGCACACCAAAGTGCACGATGGCCCACGTGTCTTGACCTCGGAAGACGATTCGCTCCTTAATGCTGAAGGCTTGCCCAAGCGTACTGCATGAAAAGACAACACAACCCTTTGATTCTTTTTACTTTCTCTTTTACACGCTTATAGTTTATAATCATCCACTCTTTTTTCCCCACTAATCGCTTCATTGTGTTTGGAATAAAAACATTTCTTGTTTGGTACATATATATAACTAGTAACTAGTATATCTAGCGCAATCATTATTTGTGAGGTATCGTATTACGATGGTATAGAGTTCTTTAATAAATTAACCGGGATTCTCATCTAGCTGCAACGGCTTATAATAGAAATATAGACTACCGATAATTATGTACAACTATGTATATATGGTCACTATACGTTTCTCGAATAGCGTTGATTATATGAAGCTGTAGCATGATATTTTCTGCTCGTCATTCGGGTCATAGTAGAATCCTTTGGGATCGTAACGGACATAGCATATCTTGTCTTTAGAAGAGCAATCAGGGTCCCCGGATAAGTCGGTGTCACCGGAAGCTTCCGAACCGCTGCCAAGAGAAGCAGGGTAGTAATGAGGAGTGATGATATGCATTGGAACACTACTGTATGTGTTATATTGAGGCCGGGCTCTTCTTCTATACCGTCGTAGACTTCCAGCTTCAAAAGAAGCTGTATGCCAAGAACCTTGCATACCATGTCTGGCGTATTCCACCAAGAGATATCGTATCTATTGTCGGCATGTGTACGATTTTAACGGTCAGAGAGCGAGAATTCCTCTATATTTAACGTCAAAGGCTGTCAGGAGTGAGGCTGTGTGTTTGGTTCTTCTCATCGAAAAGTCAACGTCGTTGGAGCCAAAATTCGTGTGTTCCATGATTCTGGAGTCGTGCCGTGGGTTTTCCGATAAGGGGTACCTCCAAAACCGGTCCACGATGGCGATCCGTCCACGGACATGCTTACTTTGCCTGGATAATCGAATGCTGGTGTCCAGAGCAGAGTATAGACAGATTTTTTTTTGGCAATGAAAGCTACATTCAGCTGTCGCTTCAGCTACAGTAGCCCTTGTTCTTCGTTGGCTTTGTATTTTCCTTACATACCACTTCTGGCGTTGTGGTGGCCATGGTATGGTCGGAAGATACATTTTATCTGAATCCTCTGCGAGTTTTTCCTTGCTTTCCTGTGACTACAGCCAAGTTTGCAAAGATGAAACCGATGACAGACGATGTCTCGTCTGCTCTTTGTTGTTCCAAAGCCTTGCTACACAGTACACTAGCGCTTGAACCAGGAACACTAATGTAATTAAACAATGCAAGGACCCGAGCGGAAGCCGACCGTGAAACCCAGTACTGCCTCGTACCATTATAGAGATATGTGCTGTAATTCGCTAAATTGAATATTCTTTCTCGTATTCCCATTACACTTACTTGAAATTAAGTCGTAAACAAAGAAGTTATGATCCACAATGTAACTGATGGTTTGCAGTCCGCTATTCAGTAAACATCCATATGCGCAACACAACCCAGCGCAACCCAACCCATGTACTTTACCAACCATGTCTAAAACTTAGCGTTTATCTATCGGATATTAATCGTATGTCGGTACCTGCACAAACAAGGTTGTTGCAAAAGTTTTGCCTGGAGTTCAGCATTACAACCAGAGCATCAAGTTCTCATTCCGTGTCCCAAAACACTTATGACCACCTGGGCGCGTCCATTCTTTTATCAATACCAGAATGCACCATCTGATGTGAACTATTACAGACGGTTTAAATTCTATCAAATAGTATTTCTATTACATAAATCCTATCGATATTTGTATTCCGCTCTATATCATAAATGATGATCTCAAATCTTTCATATGAGATGCCGTAATAAACTTGCGAATATGGTTGGCAATACATCAAGTATTTTTTAAAGATTGGTAGAGTGACGCTGGTGACATAGTGAATATCGCTTATGATTAATGACTTCATGGTTTTTTGTCGATCTTTAAAGATAACGCACTTCTCTGTTCGGATCAATGACTTTCGCTTGCTTTTGGTCACTTGAATGTTATGTTCAGCATATACCTATACATACGAAAACTAAATTCTGCAAAGAATTGGTATGGGTGGCATGTTTACATGCTAAAATTACAATTTTATAAATTGAATGCTGTGAAGAGTCAACCGGCTGTACATCCATAGCTGCTGTTTGGATGACGAAAAGTAGGCAATCAAAATGCCATTTGAAAACACAATTCGTATTTACCTGCGTGTACCTGCACAACAGAGCAAAGATCCCATTCGTTTTCTGTGGTCTTAATGCGGGCAGTAGCAGGAATATACTGTTTGATAGCACTGATATAATATCCAACTAAAAGGGATAAAAGAACAACTAGAACGTCCATGATACCCTTTCAACACTAAACTTTCTATTTGCAGCGGCATAGAAGGACTCTTATGTATAACGTAAACGATTGCATATTCTGGTGAGGACGAATCTCAATAAAACTGACCAATTGACACTTCATCATCTTATGTAGGCTTGCTCAGGAAATTTTTTTTACGAGAGCTTATACGACTGCAGCAGTGATATTCGAGTATCGATGCAGCTATCTTACCGGAATATATAATTAACTCTGTGTGCGAAATGGTGCCAATTACTGTAGATATATATGATAGCACATGGACGACAGATAACCACTTGTAACGTACACTTGAATAGTATTATTACTCGACAGGGGATACATACTTTCGTTTGCGGTAATATATAGATGCGCCATAGCCCATGTAACAACCGTAGAATTGAGTTACACAGCTCTGGGAGCAAGAAGGATGAGATGATGGCTTGCTAGATCATCATCATCATCATCATCATTTTTCCTTGCAGCAACTATATAACTATAGTTGACATGACGATATGTAGATATTTATCCAAAGTAATCGCGTGCGCTGATGCATATGTCTTTAATGAAAAGGCCGGTTTAACTTTACTATTAGCGAAAAAGCTTAACATCACTTGTTCAAGAAATATATGCGTGGCGTCGTCGGCGATTGAATTTGATAAAAAAAAAAGGTTTAAATGATGCCGCTCCTCTGCGGGAGCTGTTCCCTTTTCCTCCCATCCAGCCCTTGTCGTGTACCTGCATTATCTATTTGCAACGATAACAAAAGCGATTGATCAAGCTTTCCCAAGCAACAGCCGGAGAACAATAAGAAATGTCAGAACCCAGATTCTGTGTGACACCAATCACGAGACAGGATGATCAACACTAGAATGCATATGTGTGTAGGATGAAAGAGGAGCAACAAATGGGAGGCGAAAAAAAAAGTGCGCCACATGTTGGTGTAGATTTTATTTAAACTATAGAGGATGCATGCTAATTGACAGAATGAAAGTTGGTGTTTTTGGTGGGGGGGGGGCGGCGGCGGCGATGGCTGTTGTTGTTCTTTTTGGTTGTTGCTGGTGCTGGTGAGAGGGGTAATAAACTAAATTCAAAGATACAATGGGTAGAACAGAACGAGAATCGCTGTTGTTATGTGTGAGTGTGTATATACTGACTATATGTAAAGTGTAAGAAAATCGATGTGGCGAAAAGGGGGGGGTGAGGAGGTGGTGTGGCGAAAAAAGGTGAAAATATGCAAATGGTCCCTCGTTTAGTTGGACTTCTTGAGGCTGGCAGCAATGCGCTTTCCATAAGTACGGCGAGCAAAGTCGACAAAGAGGTAGGTGAGAGGCAAAAGATAGCCGACGTTGACAAAGACGGCGAAACGCTGACCGGGAGAAACCACACAGTCAGGAACGAACAGATAGCTGATAGCCAGGGACATGCCGACCAAGAACTGGGAGATCTGGATCGAGGTCAAGTAGCGCTTTCCGGGGGGATGCAGGCCAATGGAGGTAGCGGCGTAGTAGCAGTACATGACGGAGTGGACGAAGGAATTGAACAAGACAAAGATCCAGATGGGAGTGGCCTTGTAGCGGATACCGGCCCACATGGTCAACATGGCGCCGGAGTGATGGTAGGTCTGCAACAAGGACGAGCGACGGCCCTTGAGCAGGATAATGGCAGTATCGATGACCTCGTAGTACTTGGACAGGTAAAACAAGTAGCCCCAGTAGCCCAATGATTCATCCCACAAGAACTCATCCGTATCGCAGTACTAATAAACAAAGCATCCAAAAAGTTGTTAGTGGAAACCTGCTCCTGCACATCAAAAACAACCGACCGGCTTTCCAGTGCCCGGTGCCCAGGACACATATAAACCCGACAATTGTACTTACAGCATAATGCGTATCCACATCTCGCTGGAACCATGCTCGCTTCATACCGCTGGCCATGTTGTAAAAGGTGATCATTGAGTAGACAGCAAGGGCAAAATTATGCAAAAAGACGAAAGCGGTCATGAACTTGCTCGACGACGATGCATTGGACACACCGCGGTTCTTTGCCTCGACACGGGACAGCTTGCCGTCCTTTGGATTGAGCAGATGGATGGCGACAGCATAGGTGGAGGCGATAGCAACAGGTGTCTTCCAATCCATAAAGAACTCGTAGTATTCGGGAAACGGGACACCGGGGATCGCAGTGAGCTTGTCAATGACGCCGAGTGAGCTCATGATGTTGTTGATTCAATTGCTGGAGCAGGTAAAGAGGAGAAGAGGAGAAAAAAACAAGGGGTGGAGAGCAAGTACGAGCAAGAAGAAAAAAGGCTGTAAAGGGTGCAAGTACCCGTCGGTATTTATATGATTTGCCTCAGACAGACCCAAATTTTTTTTTTTTTAATAGTTGAGCCTTTTTGCTAGGCCCTGCCTCAACACATCCTTATCCGAACAAAACTCAGATCTCCCCCAGAGTTTGGGTTTGGGTTTCCAAGCAACGAGACATGTGCCCCCCCCCCTATGACAATCAACTCTGTTATCTAACGCTGGCTCTCCTACGCTCATCCGCAGTTTTGTTGTGATTATGGGGAATAATTTATTGTCTATATGGGATGGATGATGATTGATTCTAATGCACAAAATACACGGTGAGCTTTTTGACAGGCTAGCCACTACGGCTGACCTTCTTTCAAAGGACCAGCAGTGCGAGGACTGATGTACAATGCAGTTGCTTCAGTCAACAGCGTGTGGTCAATGGCCGTTTCCACTCGCGCATGGGCATACGCCTTGCGGCCTTCGACCCGATCGAGTTTTCCACGGATGACAACCCACTGGTCAGCCTTGCATGGTTTACGGTAATCAACCGACAAATTCGCTGTGAAACCCGTATAATTTGGCAGACTAGGAAGTGACTAGAACCACGAGATGACAGATCAGATCTCAACCTTTCCTAAATATATATATATATATATACACCCGAGCATATGCACTCTATCAGATCCACTTACAACATAGGCCAAATGTTCGTCGAGTAACGTTCCCAGCATGCCGCCGTGGATAATTCCAGCATGTCCGCACCTAAAATAGGAGCATTAAAGACCACTCTGTAACATACTTGATCTCTCATGTTGGCATAGCAACTTACAAATTACGACCAAGATGCATGACAATGACACATTCCGTCTTGTCATGGTTGAAAAACTTTAAAGGTCGCAAAGCGATCTTGCCATCACCGCGCAGTGTCGTAGCTGTCAAAGAAACTTCCCGGGCCGTATCTGACATGTGACCATAAGCTTTAACTTCATGCCATTCCGAAGAAGCTGTCAGTTCCTGCACAATGGCAAGCGATTCTTGTTCTTCAAATAAGGCTTCTTGTGCAGGACTAAACGTAAAACCCTGATCACTTCGGTCGACAGCGATATATTCGGCTTCAGGTCCATGGCCATTCATTACTGAGGCGGCGGCGGTGTGTTGTTGTTGTTGTGAAGGGCCCATGGCGATGCTAGGTAACAATATTTCACTTGCTGTCATTATTCTCGGTCGACGTACTGTATGGGGGAAGAAAGGAGAGGGTATTTAGAAAAAGAAAAAAAAAAGGCAAACCAAAGAAATGGTGGCGTATAAATATTGATCAAGAGGGGAGAGAGAGAGAGAGAGAGAGAAAGCGAAAGAGAGGGTAAACGTAAAGCCTCTCAAGTACCTGCGTAAAGAATGCCTGCAGTAACAGCTGCAGAAGCATTGTTCGACAATCGACGCCGAATTTGTAAGTGGGAATTGTGATTGGTTGATAAACTGAAACTGCGTTTTGAGAGTTGAAGAAGACGACTCGAGACACAGTTTGAATACAAGGGGCGGCTCATCATTGGAGAGTTAATCTTTATGCGGTTTGTACTGGCCGCCTCCACTTTTTGATCTCTTGCGTTGGGGCAAACAAGGATAAAAAAGGCTCTTTGAAAAAGAAGGAACCAAAAAGAAAACTTCTTTTCGGGGATGAGCTGAGAAGGTTCGCACGGCCAGTGGAACTGACACACTCCGCTATCTTTCGATCTCGCACTCCATGTAAACAGATAAACAGTGGACACAAAGTGATATACCATGTCCATACGATCTATCTTGAGTGTTCTATATCAGGTGTCGTGTAGGCAAGAGAGTTACAGCAGCGCCAATAATAGATAGACCGTAATGATATAGAGCGGAACGAATAGTAGGTTTCCTTCCGGACTAATTTAGGGGTAAACAGCACTCGTGGAGCTGATCAAGTAGTGCCGCACTCTACTGTACCCCTGTTGACGTTTATCTCTACTACATACTGTCGGCGGTGTGGTACACTTTGATAAATGCAACGCATACACATTGAGATACTAGTCTTCTTTGGAGCCAATTCGCGTCGTTTCTTGCAAAGTAGGTGTACTGGATCTATTACTGCACTTTTTACTGTCGGAGAGTGAAAGGGTAATCTAACGACACACATGAACGCGCATTTTTATGGCACAGTCATCGACACAACAACAACAACAACTCGCCGGAGCAAATCTTCATGACGAGCATCGCTGTCATAAAAAGTGTTCAGCAACGGACTTTTTGGTGCTTTCTAAAACTCTTGTTCGTCGTTTCTGAGAGATCACCAAAAAGCACAAAATTACATCCCTTTATATTTTTGTGTCGCGAACGGACCTTTTCCGCGAAAATGAAAAGGCACGCTATGATACAAAATCGCTCTTGCAAGATAAGATTGAATTACAATGATGTGAGCTGGACGTTACAGAGACTCGATATACCACATGGTCAGAAGAAATGATATAATCAAGTAACAGTATATATCTGGAATAATATCTGTATCAAGTAGCCGGCGTGTCTTAGTCAGCAACAATACAGCATTTCATGTGATGGCACTGTAGAATCTTGCATATCAAAACGGTCCTGCAGCATACACGCAAAATAACGAAAGATATGTAGCATAGTATCGAAGCTACCGCTCTCTAAAGTTTAATTCGATTACGTAATGTATTATTCCTCGATAAGTAGTACAAAGATTCCTAAGCGAAAAGCGAACATGCGAATCCAATAATCAGGTATGGAGGAGTGAATATGTCGTGTTGGTTTTTGGGATGAGAACATTATATACTACTTGTGTGTGTGTTGCTCGTTTTTGCACGTAAAAACCTGTGGAGGGCAAGAGAATCACCGTGAGATACAGAACTTGATAGTCAACAAGACCTCATTCCAGCGACTACTACATAGCTCATCATCAGCAGCCAGTGAACCTGGTAGTGATCTATGTGTCGATTGAAGTTTAAAAACGCTCGGCTAACCTGTGCCCAAACCTGCTTGTTTAGATACTACGTCCACGAAGAGCAACACTATGCAACTATGAATCTTCCGGTGGTCCGACGAGCTGGCCGATGGACAGCAATCAAAGACACTTTTTTCAGATCTACAAAGAATAGCAAGACACATCAGCATTCTCAATATATCATAAAAGTGTACTGCTCAGAATTTACGGTACGTGGTTTGAAAGCCATGTGGACACATCGCAGTTGGCCCTTTTGCTTTTCCATCATCCTTAGGCATGGAATATTCCATCTGGCACCCCCTTCTCATACAATTACATTTTTAAGGCTTTGTTTTGAGAGCCACTGCTGCATGCACTCCTTTTTTCTTTGCACACACACAATTCCAAGTATATATCTCAGGTACATAACTGGTCTTTGTACATGACTGAGTGCTCTATAAAATTTGAATATTTTTACTCAGGAACTTGCCGAGACGACGTAGATCATCAGCTCCTGCATTTTGCTCAGCTACAACACATAATATACATACTATGATACATATTATTACATACTCACGTAAGTAGTCATCTAAATTCTTGTGTGAATGCATAATAGATTTTGCGACTGCAAAAGGAAAGTTATTACGTCAGGCCAATCATACCCTAAAGTAAAACTGTGTTTTGTGGTGGTTGAGAGTTTAAAGAAGAAGATTTGCTTGATTGACAGTTTGTAAACAGGGGAGGGGGGGAAAGAAGAGGAGATATATAACTGAGGAGGAGAGAGTGTAAAATGCAATCATCATTTGAAAGCTTCTTAAGCTTCTAGATATGGAACCTTTGTTTGTTTGGGAAAAATATGCTCAAAGAATGAAAGCTTCTTTTAAACTTCTTGGGGATGTCCTATGAATTATGTACGGGCGCCTGACGCAAAACCCACTTTGTAAATGTCAAGGGTCAACGAAACGTCACTGAGAATAGACTATTACATATGCTGTTTTGTGTCCTCTTTGCTACATACAGTCTCACTGTATGTGCGACGCTATAAAGCGTAGTAGCTGTCAGGTACATATCGAAAGACCGTGTACTGTGACCAAAAAGGAAGCGCTATGGCAAAGCAAACAAGTGTTCTTGGAATCGTTGCTTATGAACTTATATAGAGCATCTGCTCGTGCGACGGAATAGAAGAAAGATTTGTATGTAATAGCATAGTGTTTCCTGCTGCACAGCATATCATGCTTTGATAAACAAAATATGCGTTTTTTACTTCAAAGACACATGCACCTTTATTTCTTTCTGGGGGGGCGGGGAATGCTTTCTAAACAAGCATCGATTGTTGATGCGATATATATATATATTTTTGGAAGCAGACTTGTCGCATTTGACGATCTTTTTCTTTGTGCAAGGTGTGCTTGTCACACACATTCTTTATTTGTTGGCCGTTGTATGTTGCTGTTGTTGTTGTTGTTATTAGCCCGACGAATGTTAAACAACCGCAATAAACTATGTATCGTCTCACTAATTACACCGTGCATACACACACACTTGCATGATCATGTCGACTGTGGGCTCTATATATATATCCCATGGAGGAGAGGACAACCGTGACCGGTGGAGTGTGTACCCTTCATTAGTCTTCAAGTCCCTCGTGGCACGTGCGTCATTCCATCCTATTTATTTTTTTTTTTTTTTTGTAGAAAAAAGCTGCTGTGCATATTATGAAAAAAATGTTCAGGTACGCTGCTCAGCATAAAAGTAATATACATATAGCAGCCAAGGCCACAGCCCCAACCAGGCAGCGACCAAGTTGGGATGCATGTTGGCGTCCCCCTCATTCGATTGATATATATGCAGTCAAAGGTACACAATAGTGCGCAAAATACAAACACCAGCGAAACTATAATAACAATTACACCTCCCACAATGATTCATTGGGACCCTGTTGCTTTACATGATCGCTGATAGTGCCGTTGTCCATTACTTTTTTACAGAATACACCCCGCCTTGTCTTGCTCGTATGCACAGCTCGAGAAGAAGAGGGCTTTTGCGTCATGAAGAAGAAGAAGATGCAGAAGTAAGTAAGAGAGAAAGCGGCAAGTCCCTTTTTTTTTTTTTTTTCGCCCGTGACGGGGTTCGTTTCTGGCCCGTTACTGTAAGATTATACTTTAATGCTCCATTTCTCCTTTAGTTACTTGACCTCTTTTTTTCTTCTTGCTTTTCCTTTTTCTAATATTCTGGGAAATATTGTTGAGCAGAGAGCAATCATCGCACACAACCGCACGACACCCGCACTCTCTTCCCTTTCTCTCTCTCTCTCTTGTCTTTTTCTAACCCCACTTTTGTCTTTTGCTGTGTTGTGTGTGAGTGAGTGTGTGTGTGTGTGCAATATCAAATAGCGCCTGTAGTGTTCGTTGGTGTGTTCTGACATAGCAACGGACTCTCTCTTTCTCTCACTCTTTCTTTTCTTTCCCTCCCTCTCCTTCTTTCTTTCTTTCTTTCTTTCTGCTCCTTCCCCACACACAAAGGCTGCCAACAACAACAACACCAACAGCACCCTGCGGCTCGACTCTCACTCAAAACAATAATGTCAACAGTCGCCATGGCAAGGATGCCATCGGATGCTGACCGTGTCCCAGATGATTCCACCACCACGACATCCTCTAATGCTGGGCAAAAACAGCAAACCACGACCTCCCAAAATACAGAAATAGAAAACAACAACAAGAACGCTGGAACCAGAAAGTCGGACTCGGGTGTCTACTTTGCAATGATGCTCTCGGATTACTTGGAGAAAAATGCCAACGAACTGCCAAGCGATCACCTGGCAGCTTTTTCGGAATCGCCCAAACGTAGTAATATGAGTGCTGCTTTCGACACTGTCGTTCAAGAGCAACAAAATAGCAACACAGCCTCCTCTTTTTCTTCAGCAACAGTAGCCGAGACACCACAGCAGCCACGAGTATTAGCGTCCTCGACGACCCACTCAGGAACAACAACAACAACAACAACAACATCGGTCACTTTAAAACAAGACAGCGATCATCCACCCGAAGAAGCAGCGACAGCAGCAGCAAACGAAGCCATGGCCAATCTGTCGAACTTGATATGGTAAATTAACAAGCAGTCTATCGATAAGATCAAACAGAGGAGTGTGTCATCCTAAAACTAATCATTGTGTGTGTGTGTGCGTTACTCGTCATTACTTTTTAAAGGGTGCCTGCGCATAAGCACCCGCAAATTGCACCTAGTGAATTTGTTCATTGGATACAGGTGCACGGAGCGGCTCCAACTCGGAAAGGGTCCAAAGTGAAACGTCAAAAATCCCAGCTGTCCAGGTCAATGTCCTACAACGACGCCCTCGAGGACTTTGACAAGGACACCAGCACGGACAGCACAAGTGAGAGCGACTCGCCCGTCAGTCCCAAGGACACAGACGCTCGCTTGCTACCGGGAATAGCCGAACATGCACATGGGAAAGATGGTAAGCAAGTCCAGCCCATGTTTTAAATTTGTACTTTTTCGGTTAAAAAAAAAACATTTAATTCAATGCACACGTCTGACATTTTCTTTGATTGACACGCACAGGCCATGTATTTGATCGTCACTCTACTGTGGTAGACGACTCTCGCATATTGGCACCACCTACACAGAACCGCTCATTGTTACGTCGCTCGGCCTTTTCAGCCCGACGTGCACCAAGCGAAGGAGGACCCCGCGGAGGTATTGGAGATCGACGACGCAGCAGACGACCCGCGCCTGCACCACGTCACTCCACCGACACAAGCGAACGCATGGGACACGTGCCTTCCGCCGAGCCTATCAGTCTGCATGACCATCCTGTCAGCCTGAGCGAATGGATCGACCTTGGCAGCGCCAGCCTCGAACCAGATGACTCACAGCATGGCATTCTTTCTCGCGTTCATGACGCGGAATCACAACTCTTTTCAAAAATCATGGACGAAGATCGTCATCATCACCCCACCATGAAAGATGAAAAGAACCAAGACAAGGCAACACCCCCATCGGAAGAAATGGCGGCGATCCCAGAAGTTGACACGTCAGAAGAAAGGGCGCAAGTGCAGGAAAGCGACACGACACTTTCAACAACCACTGCAGCCACTACTACTGCTACTACTATTAATACGAATGATGATTCAGATACTGGTGTATCTGCCGAATCCAATCCTGCTGCTATCACAACATTAACGGATGAACGGAGGGTAACATTACGACGTTCAGCCTCTGACCTTGTCATGAACGAAAGAGTAGAGAGAAAGCCATCATGGATAAGCAATCTATTGAACGGCGATAAAAAGAAAAAGAAGAGTCGACGAGGATCCTTACGACGCGTAGACGACGCACGCCACATTAGCGAAAAGGAACGGGATACATTGCAACTGACCCGAGTCACTTCAATGAACGATGACCCCGATAACAAGAAGCGCGGGTTTGCAGCATTCATCTCACGTTCACTCTCACTGAAATCGATCACACGCAAAGAACCCAAATTCAACCCAATGCGTGCAAAGGCATTGGTGGCAGGTTCAGGACCCAAGGCTCCACAAAACGGAGTAAACGGACAACAGCAGCAACAACCTCTTGTTACCAAGCAGTACATCAACAGCTATCGGTTACCGATTCACGTTGAGCGTGCAGTGTATCGATTGTCGCACATGAAATTGACCAACCCAAGAAGACCCTTGCATCAACAAGTCTTGATATCCGAGTTTATGTTTTGGTATCTTTCCATCATTAACCCTCAGCCTCCACAACAACAACAACAACAGCAACAAGGTGAAGGAAACCAGAATACTACTAGTAGCGGTAGTGATACTAGCAATACCCAATGGTCTTCCCAGCAACATCATCAGCAGCAGCAGCAGCAGCAGCAGCAATATTACCAGCAAGGCGAAGCTAATGAAGCAGCAGCATTAATGAACAACAGAGCAGCAACAGCAACAGCTCGGCCGCCAAAATTTAGTGCAGAACGCCGTTTCTCCGACGACAGTGTTGCTGCTGCTGTACCAAGACGGACTAGCCAAAGCTCGTCTGATGAAGAAGACAACGTGCCACTAAGCCATTACCGGAAATGAACAGAATTTTAGATCCGTTCTCTCTTTGTGTCTCCCCGTATAACCCAACTTTTGCACACTTTAACCGACTCATATAATATTACGTTCCCTTCATCATCTTTCTCTACTAGTCATCATCTATCACTATAACACATACACACACAACACACAACACTCTACTACTATAGTTCGAATATCCCTCTTTTTTTTTTTTTTTTTCTTTTCTCCTTCTTTCCTAATCTTCTATCTATTCTGTAAAATACCTGTTTGTCTCTCTTGAAACCCTTACCCCTCCGCAAACCACACGTTTTTTTTAATAACATTCTCTGTTTATTTTCCTCTAATAAAACATTTGAAAAGGACATGATGCCTTTATATGTTTCTGCTTTAGCAAAGTGCATGAATTTCTGTATCTACTAGGTAGAAAGAAGGGGGGGGGGAAGAAGGTGAGGAGAACTGGTTATAATGGGGGGGGGGAAGGTAGAAGACGTGCAGTAATAGTAGTAAAAGGATTGACACGCATTGTTCCCAAAGCTATATATACTATATATATACACCCCATTGCATTGTCCGACATCCAAGGATTGGCAAAGAAAAAAAAAAGATGTTGAAGAAAGTGAGTGTGCGGCATGCCAATTTTCACACACTCTCTCCCTTTCCCTCTCTTCTTCTTCCCTCTCTGACCATCCTATAAACACTTGATAGCACTACCTTGGAGTACACACACATAGCAACAACAACAACAAAAGTAACAATGGGCAACAATATATCCAAACGTAGCAACAAGAAGGGAGGAGGTCGCCGAGCAACCAAGAGCATGCCACCGCCTGCTCGTCCCCCGCCTTCTGAGGATAACGAATACAGCGTCAACACTACCCAATCGGTCAATTCCATTCTCCTCAATTCCCAACATCGCCAATCATTGCCTGTAGGAGGAGGAGGAGGAGGAGTAGGAGGCAATCGTTCATCATCATCATCGGGTGGAGCCACGTCGGCACTCGCTCAACTCAATCCGAATTTCCCTAATCGTGACAATAAACAACAACAACAACAACAACAACAAGAGGAACCACAAGACGATGACGAGCAAGATACCATTCAGGCACAACAACAAGATCCTTTCGGTGGAAAAGTAGCTCATCCACAACAACACAAACTGCTCGCCGCTTCTGACTTTTGGCCACCTCAAGGTGCTGGAGGCAGTACTAGTCACCGACAGTCGCTCGGTGAAGGCGACCTGAGCAATAACAATCAACTGACCGTCGGTTCGATCAACCAGTTGACAGTCAACTCGGTCGCTAGCTACAATACAGCCTCCGTCACGCCTGCCGAATTAGATGATTACATTGAACGGCTTTTGAACGCTGGCTATTCAAAAATTACCAAGCAACTTTGTCTCAAGAATGCAGAGGTCGTGGCCATTTGTCGTGCTGCAATGGAAATCTTCTTGAGTCAACCTGTAAGTATGGAGGGGGTTGTAGCTAATATGTTTCATCTCTCCCCTTCCTCCCCTTGAAATACTTTTTTCGGGGAAACTGAAAATCCCCTTTCTTCTTCTTTTATTTAGTCGCTTTTGGAGTTGTCTCCTCCTGTCAAGATTGTTGGTGATACCCATGGTCAATATACCGATTTAATCCGACTGTTTGAAATGGGAGGCTTCCCACCTAGCAGTAACTATCTGTTTTTGGGCGACTATGTCGACCGAGGCAAGCAGTCTTTGGAAAACATGCTGCTGCTCCTCTGTTACAAGATCAAGTTTCCCGAAAACTTCTTTTTGCTCCGTGGTAACCATGAATGTGCCAATGTCACAAAAGGTGAGTTTTTGTATTTCCTTGACTAGTAAACACCATGTGGATGCGAGGAAGATCCAGGGGGGGGGGGAAGGGGTTAGGTTTCTGTATGCAAGCATTGCTAAAACCAAAAAAATCGATTTAGTTTACGGCTTCTATGATGAATGCAAACGTCGCTTGAATCCGAAAATGTGGCGGACTTTTGTTGACACCTTCAATACCATGCCTATTGCAGCCCTAGTGGCAGGCAAGATCTTTTGCGTCCATGGTGGATTATCGCCTTCGCTGCACAACATGGACGAGGTGCGCAACATCCAGCGACCTACCGATGTGCCAGACTATGGCTTATTAAACGTATGTTGACGCTTTCTTTGCACAATAAGTGCTCTACAGACTTGATAACCATCGCACTCAACCGATCAACCGTTATTGTTCACATTGTGTTCATTAGGATCTTTTATGGAGCGATCCGGCGGATTTGACGGACGATTGGGAAGATAACGAACGAGGCGTGTCGTACTGTTTTGGCAAGAAGGTGATCAATGAGTTTCTTGCCAAGTTTGATCTGGACTTGGTATGCCGGGCACACATGGTGGTAGAGGACGGCTACGAGTTCTTTAACGACCGCACATTGGTCACGGTGTTTTCTGCACCAAACTACTGCGGCGAATTTGACAACTTTGGCGCAGTGATGAGTGTCAGTGAGGAGCTGCTGTGTAGCTTTGAGCTACTGACGCCTGCAGATCATCCACTGGCCAAGGAACGCTCAAAGAACAAAAAGACGAATGGCACAAACGGCCAGACGAACGGACGATGAGTTGGCTGATCCAAAAAGTACCTTCCTCTCATGAGTCGTATGCTCTCATGAGTATATATATAGATATATATATATATCAAACAACCCCCTCTCTACTACCTATCGAAATAAGCTACCACTTATCACAATCCCTTAGACTTTTCTCTTTTGTTTATATACATACACATATATACATTAGTCTCTCGCTCATTCGTTTTCTCTTTTATTCTCGTATTTATTTTATACTGTTATCCACTATCCCTTTTTCCACACTGACTCCACACTGACTCCACACACCGTCACACGCACACGCGCAACCAACAACAGCAACAAAAAGCACACAATCACTCGTACACAATATATATTTATACACACTATTACAACAAGAACAATGCAAAAGAAGAGATATCTGATTGAATGGACTATTGTGCAACGCACAGTTCGCACCCAAAAAGAAAAACAGAAGCTTATACAGCCGAGCTTAACAGTGCAAGCCATCTGAGGGCCGGGCGATGGGGTGGGGGGCAGTAGAAAGAGATAGACAGGCAGAAAGCAGGAAGGGTATAATAGGACCGTGTGAAGCAAATGGGCGGACCGGAGTCGATAAGTCATAGAACGAGAGAGCTATCGCCAAAGTAAAAGCGGGGGAAACCATGGGACAACTCGGAGCAATTCGCGTTCGCCACCCCCAACAGCCACCCGATCCGCCCGCCCGCTCACACAATTTCCCAGCAATCCCTTTTTCTTGTCTCTTGTTTGCTTTTCTTTCTTTCTTCGCCTCCTTTTTGATAATACCCTGGACAAGACACAATGACCTTCCTCACATCCCTTCAGCGCATTGCTCCTGTTGCCGCATCTGCTCGTCGTGCTGCCAAGCCTGCAATCTACTCTGCCTTCACTGCTGGCCAACAGCGCTTCAACTCCAGCAACGCTGTCGAGGTAAGGGAAAAAGGGGGAGGAGTGGAATAATAATAAAAAAAACACGTCACCAGCAACAACAACAACAACAACTCACACATACATGTCTATATTGAAATACAAAAATCAAAAGATGACCGTGCGTGATGCTTTGAACCAAGCTCTGGAGGAAGAACTGTTGCGCGACGAAAAGGTGTACATCCTTGGTGAAGAAGTTGCCCAGTATAACGGTGCCTACAAGGTAAATTTTATTATACACTCTCAATTAACTCATATGGGAGAAGTCGGGAAAATACACGAAAAAGATTGGGCCAAAAAATTAAAAAAAAAAGTTTCTTCCGACTTACTCTGTTCCCCCCCCCCTCACGGATCTCCCTTTCCCCAACCCAACCCAACCCAACCAACCAATGCGTTTTTTTGTGTTTGATAGGTCACCAAGGGATTGTTGGACAAGTTCGGATCAAAGCGAGTCATTGACACCCCTATCACCGAGATGGGTTTTGCCGGTCTGGCTGTTGGCTCGGCCATGAGTGGCCTCAAGCCTGTCTGTGAATTCATGACCTTCAACTTTGCCATGCAGGTGAGCAACAGCTGTAGCAGTTTGTAGTTTTTTTAGTAGCAGTGGAGAAGAAGAACACCCACCCCCCCCTTGAGAGAGCAAGCAAGCGTGTACAGAATCGTAGAAAGGGAAAAAGGAACGTTAACAAAAGATCCTGGCGTGTGTGTGTGTGTGTGTGCATATATAGGCTATCGATCAAATCGTCAACTCTGCCGCAAAGACTCACTACATGTCTGGCGGTACCGTCAAGGTCCCCATCGTGTTCCGTGGTCCCAACGGTGCTGCTGCCGGTGTTGCCGCCCAGCACTCGCAGTGCTATGCCGCATGGTACGGCTCTGTGCCTGGCCTGAAGGTTGTCTCGCCATGGAACTCGGAAGACGCCAAGGGTCTTTTGAAGGCCGCCATTCGCGACCCCAACCCTGTCGTTGTCCTTGAGAACGAGTTGGAGTACGGTGTCTCCCACCCCATGTCCGCCGAGGCCCTCTCCAACGACTTTGTCTTGCCCATCGGCAAGGCCAAGGTCGAGCGCGAGGGTAAGGATATCACCATCGTCTCACACTCGCGCTCCGTCGGTTTCTCCATCAAGGCCGCCGAGGAGTTGGCCAAGAGCGGTATCTCTGCCGAAGTCATCAACTTGCGCACCATCCGTCCCCTCGATGTGGACACCATTGCCCAGTCGATCAAGAAGACCCACCGTATCGTCACTGTGGAAGGTGGCTGGGCCTCCTTTGGCGTTGGCTCTGAGATCGCTGCTCAGGTCATGGAATGTAAGTTTGTAGTGGAAGAGGGCTTCTTTCATCTTAAAAAAGTAGGATGGGTGTGTGTGTGGTGGAATTGACCAGGGCCTCCCAAAAATACTGACGTTTCTTGTTTGGAATAGCTGACGCTTTCGACTACTTGGATGCCCCCATGGTTCGCGTCGCTGGTGCCGATGTCCCCACCCCCTATGCAAAGAACCTTGAAGACTTTGCCTTCCCTGATGACAAGGTCATTGTCAAGACTGTTAGGTAAGCCTACAATAACTTATACATGCGCTGTCTGCAATCATCAAGTACTGGTATACTAACTAAGCTTTTATCTTTGCAGAGACGTTTTGGACAAGAAGATTGGCGCATAAATGCCCCCTTTTTTCAAAAAACTAGCACATTATAATAATCACTTTGTTTCTCCCATCATGCCCTTATAACAACATCACCACCACCTCCACCAGCACCTCTTCTACTTCATACAAGACACCTCTCCTGCTTTTGCTTTGGTTATATTCTTCTCCCTTACTTCCTCTTATTTTATACTATAGAAACACCGAAGGCTTGTGTGTACATAAAAAAAACAATCGCATTTTACACCAGCATCTACGCCCATGTTTACCCGCGATTGTGTGTGCTTTTAGGATATGACACTATAGAAACACTCTATTTTTCGATTTCTCTCTCATGTGTTGTCTCCCATGTTCTGTGTACGTGCGTGCGTGAGGGCGGAGTCTAAGCGATGGTCAAACCGCGCCCAATGACCGATTTCTTGACACCTCTTTTTTTTCTTTCGTTTTTTTTTTTTTTTTTTTAAAAGGGGACTCTTCAATCGCATGCTTTCGCAGATTAAAAACTTGCTCAAAGGAGGCAAGCAAAAGCGAACGTCTGTAGCAATGACGTCGTCAGAACAAGAGAAACGACAACAACAAGAGGAACATTCTAAAGAAAACAAGAGCAGCAGCAGCGACGACGGTACTACTGGTTCCAAACGAACCCTCATCGTTGCTGATCCCAACAAGCTCTCTGTGCAGCCTTCGCTCACGGCACAGCAAATATTTGAACAGGAACGCATTCGAAAGCGACGTTTGCCTAGTTATGCCGGTTTAGAACGGTTTGAGATAATTGAAAAGCTTGGCGAGTAAGTATTTAATGATATATGTGTATTGCATATACAGTATGCTAATAAGTCGTACCCACAACAGCGGTGCCTTTTCAATTGTCTATAAAGCACGCGATAGTCAGACCGGAAAACTTGTTGCTATCAAAGTTGTTCGCAAGCACGAAATCGACAAGGTAAAATGCGAACTCGTCTATTTCCTGGGGACAGTAGAAAAAAACTCACACACGGTTTTTTTTTGGGCGTTTGATAGCATGGTCGAACTCAGCATTTGCATGCAAGCTTGAAAAAGAAGCCACGGGCAACCGAGGTAAATTAAAGATAATAAATGCCCTCTGAGACAGAGAGAGACAGAGAGAAGAAGAAGCTTACGGTTCCATGTCAATCTATAGCGTGCCAACATTATGAAAGAAGTCCAAGTTATGCAGAGCGGCAAACACCAGAACCTTGTGCAGCTGTTGCACTTTTCCGAATCAGACGATCATTACTTTTTGGTCATGGAGCTCTGTCGGGGCGGCGAGCTGTTCCACCAGATTGTCAAACTGACATATTTCAGTGAAGACCTTGCACGCCATGTGATCCTCCAGGTTGCCCATGGGATCCGCCATCTCCACGAAGAATGTGGTGTCGTGCACCGGGATATCAAGCCGGAAAACATCCTATTCGAAGCCATCCCGATCGTCCCATCCAAAAGCCCCAAGGACGCGTTTGATGAAGACAAGGTGGATGAGGGTGAATTTGTGCCAGGCGTCGGTGGTGGCGGTATCGGTCTTGTCAAGATTGCCGACTTTGGATTAAGCAAGGTCATCTGGGATCAGGTAAAGTAAACAAAAAAAACCAAAACTCGTGATGTGATGTCAGTCAGTACTGGGGGAGGGGGAGAAAGCTTAAAAATAAGCATCGTCATTAAATAGGCAACCGGCACCCCTTGCGGAACGGTCGGCTATACGGCTCCCGAAATTGTGCGCGACCAGAAATACTCGAAATCAGTGGATATGTGGGCATTGGGATGTGTGCTCTACACCATGCTGTGTGGCTTCCCTCCGTTCTACGACGAGTCGATCCCAGCGCTGACGCACAAGGTCGCCAAGGGCCAATACACGTTCTTGAGTCCGTGGTGGGATCCGATCTCGGACGCAGCCAAGGATCTCATCACCCATCTACTGTGTGTGGATGCCGATAAGCGATACACCGTCGATGAGTTCTTGCGTCACCCTTGGATCACCCAACAACAGCAACACTTTGCGCCTGTACCGTCGCCTATGCCGATCGCTGCTATACCTTCAGAGTTTGATACCCAGACAACCAAATCCAACCGTCGTCGCAAGGATGCCTTTTCCCCCGGCGTCGCCTCCATCAAGGAAATCCTCGATATCACTTATGCTGTCCAGCGGATCGGCGAAGAAAAGGCTAGAAAGCTTGGCCATCTCACCGAAGAGAATGAAGAGGAGGAAGAGGACCATAAAACCACACACATCTCAAGGACGACGGAACATCGTCAACTTAAGCCTTTTGCTCTTGATCTAGACAAGGCAACCATTCTGAAGAATCGAAAGAAGGTATCCCCTGTTGCGGCTTAGCCCATGACAATTGTTACGTACTTGGTAGTAGCTTTCCTTTCTACCAGACCCATCATTTTGCTCGCTTATCTATTTTTTTTTTTTTTTTGCTTTATCCCCTCCCCATTTTATTTCTATACACTTTTTGCTATAAGTTTAAAATGAAAGTCTTGCATTATTTTATATCACTACATATCTGCATTATACACAAAGCTTTTTAGAAGAGTCGATCATTTTATGCAGTAGCCTTAAGCAGGCCTTTTTCCTTTGATCTCCTTCTACATACACCAGGGAAGGGGCTCAAGACCCAAAGATGCGAAGGTGACAATGGTCCATCTATTCAGTAACCAAACCTGCTTCTTCGCTATGGGCTTGATGTTCAAACTTTACTAGTTTCTCCACTTGTCCCATACTAAGCAACACAATAAAAAGAATCAAGCAACAGTGCTGTGTATAATACGGATCTTTTTATTCGGTATCTTTTCCTTGGCTTTGTCCTCTTCCTCGACCTCTATTTCCTCCGCTACCACCGCGACCTCGTCCACCACGGCCGCGCCCACGTCCTCTGCCTCGACCTCGACTGCTACTTTTTTCTTGATCTGACAGTGTTTGTTCCGTTGTATTAATTGCTGGAGGTCCTTGAGCTTCACCCGATGTGCTTTTCGCATGATTATTCCTATTATTATCATCATCATCCTGCCGCTCACTTTTTCTGGGTCTATCTTGCTTTTTCGGCTTGTCAGATTTGGGTCCGTCAGACTTTGGCGGTTTGTCATTGTTCTTGGGTTTACTGTCTGCCGCTTTGTTTGGCTTGTCCGATTTGGATTCACTCGCTTTGCCAGATTTTGGTTTATCGTTGGATTTGTCTGATCTGGGCTTATTTTCAAAAGACTTGTTGCCGGTGGGCTTGTCAGGCTTATCACTAGTAGATTTGTTCTGCTGCTGCGTTTTGTCGGATTTGGACTTTTCTGATTTAGACTTGTTATTTTGTTCCTTCTTCGGTGCTCGATCATTTTTGTTGTTCTTGTTCTTGATATTGCTATCCGTCGTTTCAACGGCCTTGTTTTTGGGTTCTTTCCGTTTGCCCTTTTTGTGATGGCCATCAGCAGCGCCTTCGTCCTTCTTCCTTGACTTTTTTTCTCCTTTCTCGCTTTGCTGTTTGGCATCAACCGCATTAATGTTGCCCTTCATGTCTTTGTTGCTACTAGTATCCGTTGATGATGGCTTTTTCTTCTTCTCTTCCTTTGAAGCTGCTGGCTTGATTTTGAAAGGAACAAATGGTGGTGGTCCACTATCGTCATCCGTTTGTAACCCACGTTTTACAAATTGCTATAGAAGAAACCCAGAAAAAAAAAAGATACGACGGACATAAGTACCTGTGATTGTGGAACGCTAAAGAAGAAAAAAATAACCATTTGATGCTACTGATTACCTTGCCCGCACGCCACGCTTGCACCATTTCTTGGACATGACCACCCAAAGGTTTCAACATCCCAGGGCCTAGCAGCAACAACTGATCCTTGATAGTAATCGGTTTTGTCACCAAGAATTTCGATCCAGGGGGCGTAAGTAACCTGCCAAATCATTAAATACCATCAGAGTCACCAATAATGAATATGTACCAGTAGGTCCTATACTGTACTTTATCGATTCGACGTGTCCCAGAAATTCAACGCCTGTGAGCTTCTTTTTACCCCCGTCGCTAAACACGACCCGCAAAAGCCTTGGGTGTTCAACTTGATGCGTAGACGGCAGTGCAACATTTTGAACTTGTTGAACTTGTAATACTGTTGGACCTGCAATGACAGGTTCTCCTTTTCGATCTCTTGGTTCACCAATGTGTCGTAAATCGGTCTAAATTATGCACAGTTATTGTTTGCCATGTAAAACGCGATTTCGCGCACTAAACGTGTTGTCAGGGTATATTTTTTAAAGAAACGTACATCGAGTGCAGCTGCCACCAGGTCTTCTAAAGAAGCGTTAGGATGATCAAGTTGTTCTCTAAGGATATTAATTCCTTCTTCGCTGAGGTACCATCCTTGCTCCTGTAATGCTTCCTTCATTGCTATCGTTATTTCGGACTAAAATTGGGATAGAAGGGCGGCAAAAGGAATAAATAATATATCGGCTAGCTGCGTGGATGGATATATAAGCATTGTTGCTTTTTACACCAGCTTTCCACATAGATTCATATAGTGTACGGAAGTCTATTTACACGTACAACCGATGGGCTTTTTCTTACATCTACAAAGTATTTGATGACTCAAAAAAGTGGCAAATAATTCTGAACCATTTTAAGAACAAGCAAGTGGATTTCCATAAGGAATGACAAAAATCGCTAATGCGTTTGCAGATACGTTTATGAACTATGACGAAAGACAGCCAGCCATTGAACGACGGCTCCTAAATGGGAAGCAATATGGGTCGCCATGGCAGCTATTTCTGGCTGATCTAACGTTAAACTGCGTACCCCGATATCCGCATAAAGTACTCTTAGACAATTTGGAACTCGACTGCTTGCTTTAACAGAAGAAGTATCGTTTGGCGGTCAGTTCGTGCTTCAGACGGCATGGGAAGAGGAACAAAGAGATGTAAATGAGCTTTTCGTAAATGAGGTATTACTTGTATTTATGTATAGTAGCAAAACATGGCTATGACTCACCTTATACAAAATGACTCGTTATGAACTTTTAAACATTGGGCAGTGGTAAACGGCTATACTAGGGCTGTAGTAGGTATGATGAACAGCCAGGTAAGTCAAGTACTAGGTTCATTACTTCTAGGTCTTAGAACATGTATGTATTTTATGTCTGTATAATAATATAATTTGGCTAGATAAAAAACTAAGGACTCTTTAAAAGTTGCTCGATATCCTTCAGACTGTTTCCAGCCACCAACATCTCCTTGACCAACGCGGCCCTTGTCTCGGCGCGTCTTGTCTCGTTGCTTTCCTTGGCTAGCATGCGCTCACGCTCCATTCTTTGCAAGGCAAGTTCGCGTTCCATGTTGAGTTGTTGGCTTTTGATGGCCATTTCCTCGCAGTGGCGTCTTTCCTCTGCTTCTTGCTGTTGTTCTCGAGCCAGGCGACGCTCTTCCATCTCAGCCTTTTGGTTTTCTTTAGCTAATGTCACTGCCTCTTGGTACCTGGCAGGGCTTCACTTTCCTTTGCAGTAATGGCGTCGATTATTGCGTTCTTGGTGGCCTGTTTCTTGTTGTGAGACTTCTTGACATTGGCCGCAATTGATGCTGGACGTTTGCGTGATGCAGGTGATGAGGACGATAGGGAGGATGGTGCGGTGTTGGCTGTTTCTGTTGATATTGGGACAGTGGCTGTATCATCAGTGCTATTATCTCGCGATGGTAGTGAATCGAATGTTGGCTCGTAGCTGTCGTTGTCGTGGCTGTCATGATAGTATCAATCAAAAAGCGCACGATCTTCTTCTGGCAAACAAAGAAGTTCCTGTGGCTCGTGGTCAAGCAACGCTGGAGTCGAACGAGCCTCCGGAACAGGGTGGATTACGACCGGCTCATCATCGTCAAGGTCACCGGTGTCGACACTGGCCAAGGGCATGTTGTTGATACGATTTCCCAGCACATTTAAGAGCTCCAAGAAACAGGGGCACGGTTTCTCAGCAACATCTATAAGTGAATTAAAACATAATCTTAGTATACATAAAGACGAAAAGCGACACCCAATAGCTAAAAAAAATGACTTACTCGAGATTGACTGCTGCTGCTGCTGCTGATTCAGTTCTAGGTGGATCGAACTTTCGTCGTCGTCATCGCTACCATCTTCTCCTTCTTGCTGTTATCGTCAGGTAACGCATCGTCAAATTGCTGGTGTCGTCTGTGAAACTTGCACCTGTTTCTTGTGAGGGCAACCCCTGGTTGGCTTGGTGGCGCTGGAGGGGCAGACGCGGTAGCCTGTTCGCCCGATGATACTTGTACTGCTAACGGTGCTGATGCTGGTGCGATGCGCAGCTGTGCGGAATCTGAGCGTGGGGCAGTAGTGGAAATCGGGAACTGGGATGATGCTGGAGAAGTCACTTCAACAAAGAAAAAAAAAATAGGAAATACAATAGGCCTGGTCAAAGGCCGCTGAAGCTTCAAATCTGAAGGTCGTACAAATATTTCTTCACCTAAAAAGTAAAGAGCGCGAGGGTTGAATGATCACAGCTGAAGCTACCTTTTTTAAGTAATACGTTTTCTTCAGTGTGATAATTGGCTAGAATGTTTTTACTGTACGACCTTCAGATTTGAAGCTTCAGCGGCCTTTGACCAGGCCTAATAGTGAGGAGTGAGTTCACATCAGGGTTGGATTATTCTTCACCTGATGACTTTTAAGTTACACAAAAACACACACACGCACACACACACGCGCGCGCGTACGTAACAGCAGAAAAACGACAACGTATCTTTTTGATTTATACAGCGCAATGCTGCCTTTTTTTTTAAAAGAAAAAAATGCTTTTATTAAACTACATACTGCTACTACTACATACCGCTGTCACTGCCACTGCTGCTACGGGTAGTCCTGGGCGAGACGACAACCTTTTGAACGCGACCAGCACGTTTCGTCGTTATACTTGTCGACACTGTGCCAGGGTACTTTTTGGCATTCGAAATCTTAGTCACAATATGCATAATTTAAAGAATAGAGAGAGAGAGGAGCAAAGTAGCAGAAATTATTTCCATGCAGTGCATTTAAATCTTGTATGTTGATCGCCTGGTCAACTGATCCAAAAAAGGAAAGAAAAGAGAGTTGACAGCGTCACTTGCCAAACCAGGACACGCCGAAGTATGGGTCTGTCATTTTCTGAGGCATTGGGGATGCAACCTCACTGACATTCCCCTTTGCAAAATGCACACTCCAGGCTACACGTACTCACTAACCTCGTCTTTCTACATGGCTCCTTATGAAGTGTCTCTATTTAATTGACGCGCTTTTCTTCTACTCGACACCGAGGCTACACAATGCCTAGGCCATCGATAAGACGCATGACGGGGGAAAATCTATACAGGCGATTATTGGTTTCCTCGTCCTTTCACAAAAGCGTCTGATGCCGGGCCTCGAAACCACCATGACTTCATTCTTGTTGCTGTTGCGGCTGCTGCTGTTCATCGTGGTTGCTATTGCTGCTGCTGACGCTACAGCCATTGTTCTGCTGGTGGTGTTGTTGCTGCATTGCTTATCTACGTGTCACCTTCGTCAAGCGTCTGCTACTGCTTGTCATTACCTTTGCTGGTGAAGTCCGTTCCCCAAAAGAGAAGTGGGAGTGAGAAAAGAAGTGCTTTATGTCGAAGAGATGGAAGAAGTGTTTTTGATTGGGAAGCAACAGAAGTCAAGTCTCTCTTTTCTTGTTTGAATAGCACAGAGCAGCTCGCATTAAAACATCAATGCACAGAATATGGTGTGGTCGTCAGTCGATGAAATACACTCAGAGAATTCGATTTTTTGGGCTATGTCTTTTGCGGATCCTCACTT